CGTACTTGGTCCAATAGTATACACCTTCCTGTCCAGTAGAGTCCCAGGCCATCTCGCTTCCGAATGGAATCTCCTCAGAGTTCCACTGCGCGGCACGGTATTTCATGGCTTTAGTCAAGGTATCTGCCTCTGACGTCAAGTTCTCTCTGATCAAATCTTGAAGCAATTCGCCAAAGACAGTCTCGCCCATGAGGCCAACACGGTTGTACCCGACATCGGACTGCATAGAACGAACGACGGTTCTGTAAGATTGGTTGAGATACCAGTCCCAAGTATGACTGCTGAGAAGATCTGGATATGCCCGCCCGACACGGTAGAATGCCCAATACGTCGCCGCCACGTGCACATAATCGTAGGCCCGGTCGACCGCGTAGGCAGATGCACGATTCCAGGATGTCCAACTTGTCCAGTCAAACGTTTTGTTGTACGCATAGCCAGGGACAACCGACGGGTCGTAGAAGAATATACTCTTCCGCACGCTGTAATCGGCTGTCTGGATTGTCTTCCAGAGGACCCCATCAATGAAAGACTCTAATTTTATGACCTCCTGTGCGTCAGGACGAATAGACTGCTTCATAGCTGCGGCAAGGAATGAGCCGGCACCGGCTTCATCGCTCAGACCAGCAACCCAGGCTCGCTCGTCCTGCGTGACGATCGTTTTCTCCTCATAATCGTACGTCATGACAGATGGCGCTCTACCAAAGGGGTCCGACTTGTCAGTAAACCACTGCTCGGTTGTCGAGAATGATCCCAGGTCACTGACTGCCTCTGTGGCAGGTTTAGTGATGTAGTAGTGCACGGTTTGAATCTTGCCATCCGTATATGCAATTGTCACTCTGACACGACCCCATGCTGTCTTTGATGGTGTCACGGTGTATATGTCGCTTTTAGATGATTCCAGCACCAGCGCATCCTCCGGGTCCACTATGATCGAAGACACAGTGGTATCAGCTTTGAGGAGAAGCTGCGCAGTCAAATCTTGGGGCACAATGTATCCCGGTACTCCTCTGGCGACCGGGGTACCAGTACCTTGAATCGTGCCATCGATGCCCCTGACCCCATCTACGGCCACCGAAAATCGCAGGCCAAACTGCATCGTCTCACCCGGCTGGACTATCTTCGAGGACGCAGCATTCCACGGCTTCCTGCCAGCCCACTCCTTTTCTGCCCAAGCTTTTGAGAGGACCTGCCATTCGTAGAACCCCTCAAAAGTTTGGCTCTCGTACGCCGTGTCATCATAATAATCCTCATCGAGATTCCGGTACGCTTCTAGAGGCGTGTCTCCCAATGCCGTGACAACAAGGGCAGCGCCTGTGCCCCGTGTTGGCGTCACGCGAATGTAGCCCGCGTGCATGCCGATATAGGGGTCCGATAGAGAGCAGAGTGCTTCCATCTCCGTTGCTGTCCGGTCTGTGAAAATGCTGTTGAACTCCGCAGGGAATCCAAGACTTCCTATTTCGATCGAGGAGCTGCCGGTGTTTTGTATGGAAAACTCCAGTGCTAGGTCACCATCCACATCAGTCCATTGCCGGGTGATGTTCAGAGGCCCTGAGGGGAGGGTTGGCGTCAAGTTGGCAGAAGTATTAGAGTAAGCCGTCACAGGCTGCCGGGCCAACGCCGAGTCGCCGTCGACCCAGGCGGAGCTTGTTCCGGCTTGTCGATAGCGGAACGTAATATCGCCCCAATGATACTGGCCGTTGCGTGCCCTTCGAGATAAGTAATCAAAAGGTAGGAAGTCGAAATCGCTCCCGGCTGGCTTAAGTGATGCGAGAACCTGGGATTTACCCACGAGCTTTGCATTTAGATTAGCTGTCTTGAGGTCGACATAGCCTTGGGCAATGCCAAGATCATCTTGACCTAGAACAGCGCCAAGATTGACGACCAAGATCACGACAGTGAGTCTCAGAAATCGTGGCAACCACATTCTCACAGACTAGAAATGATGACAATTAGCGACTATCTCCTTTGACATGGGGTTCAGATAGCCTTGCCGTTATATAGTGTGCTATCACAGGCAAATACCCACTACAACCATTGTGTAGTGGAATGTGAGATTATCTGAAGACAAAACTTGGTGGCCGACACGACATCATACGTTGGAGAGATATGTCATTAAATGGAACAATCACAGTGGCTATTGGTGGGGTATCTACAGATTGTTGAACTGCAATCTATCTATGGGGCAAGTCCTTACCCCTATGGAGGAATGCTAGAACGGTTAGTGCCTGGCAGCGTACGGCAGGTTTGATGCGACGTAACTACAGTTCGCATGTATGTGGAGACAGTCATGACCGCGACTACGGTGAATAACGGTCGGCCTAACGCCATGGTACTGAGATCGTGTTGGCTACTTTGCTGGCATGCAGCGCTGCTATTGGTGCGGTAATAGGCCCACAATGCCCGATGTTACTATAGCCGGCACCCGAGCTGTCCGGTCATGAACACACGCGCACATGCCCCGCACCATTTGTGCAAAGGACCTTTGATCTAAGGCATAGTAAGTGTTTCTTACCGCGTTATGTGAGTATGTCTATACACTGCATCATTTAAGCCATGGTCATTGCGAAGGTAAATTAATCGGGAGCACTCAAACAAAGTTTGGTATACTTCAGGTGCGACTTTCCCGTGTCTAATCAGCGATGCCCCAGATCTTAAACCCACTGAACGCGCAGCGTCACATTTCAATCTCCCTATAGACTTTTCCATGGCGCCCACTCAAACGTAACGGGTCCTGATTTACGTCGTCGTAAAATCAATCAAGTGTCCACATCCACGTGGTGCCATGCATGCTAAACGGGGGGCCTGGCATGGCTTCAAATTCCGCTAGACCAGATAGGCTTCAATATATACTCGATTTCATTCTCTCACTAGAAGACGTCATATCTCTACCGCTGCACACATAGAAATATGGCAGCCTACTGGAGGCTTATTTGTGTAGATCTGGACAATGACTACCATGAACAGATGAAGGTGAACGGTGAACGTCGGGTTCATCGATGTGAAGGAAGTCGAGTATTTTCACTTTCCCTGTGTGGACAGGCGCCGCTGTCATGGCTACACTCAAGCTTGAAATTGATCTTAATAGTTCCGCGGGTGCCGGCCGCTGTCAGAGAGCATATAAACCAAGGACCAGCATCGATGTCCTAATGCGATAACAAATTTGATTCTCAAATACAGGTGTGGTAAGTTCTTTGAGAATGAATTCACTTCATATTCTCCGTATCCTTCGTTGCAAGCAGTGTCCAAAGTGCTTTCCGCATAGTTGAACGCCTTTTCGAATCCCACGTCGTAGCTTCCGAGTGCTTTCAAGGGGCTGTGTCTCTTTTTTGAAAAACAAACTGAGCTATAAACAGTTGCCTCACTTCTTCGACACAGTTTTGCGCTTAACATATCGGTATACTTAGTTTCTGTCATGGCCAATTGTTCATTTCAAGTCAGCTCTGATCTCAACAAAATGGTGCCGCTGGATGAGCTTCATAGAACACTGTACCCGGAAAAGAACAGGTTCTTTCGTATTACCCAAACTTATCTCTGGTTGATCTTTAGCAGAAGAAATCATCTGAGTCATGTGCCGCGGTTGCATGAAGACCAGTGCATTGTACGACATTTGTCTCACTACTAGTGTCACCGCAATGAGCACGGGAATGACTACCAACCTCCCGAGGTGCAGAGAGCTGGTCAACATTGCCTTCGGTGGCACACGTCATTTAGCAGATCAGCAGGTATGATGATGAAATGAGCGGGAAGAATGCTTCCATTACCGGGAATGTGAGGCGGACATGGCAGAAGTCGAGGACTGCAATAATGCGGGCCTGGTGCGCTCCGTGCGGGACCCTGAGACATGGGAGGGGCTGGTCGATCTTGAACTTCGAATATAAATCTTTCATAAGTATCCTGGGCGCTGAACTTGTCCTCTGAGAAGTACTCGCGGTATTCCAGTGGACCTCGTAGAATCCAAACAGCCCAGCATGATTTTCTTCCGAGCTGTTCAACTCATTTCTCTCCCCTTGTGTATCAGAGCAGCCATTATACCTCCCCAAGGCTCTATATTGTCGCGTCAGTTTAACGGGTACGCGGAGGGTCAGGATGATCTCATTCACGACGCTATCGTCATTGGTGGAGGCCCTGCCGGGCTTAGTGCCTTAAGCGGCCTTGCACGTGTGCGCCGGAAGGCCATATTGATTGATTCTGGAGAATACAGAAACGGGCCCACACGACATATGCACGATGTCGTGGGCTTCGACGGTGAGAGTCCTGGTGATGAGAGTTTGTAAAGATATCTAACGGAAACCAGGTGTGGAACCCGCTTATTTTCGTTGGGCTGCACGACGGCTACTCTCGTACTATGAGACCATTCAAATGGTCAATGGTACTGTTACCAAGATAGAACCAGCGCAGAACAATACCTTTCTTGTGACTGGAAGCTACCCAACGGAGGTCTTCCCTTACGTTGAGGAAGTCACGTTGCGCGCAAGAAAAGTAGTACTCGCTACAGGGCTCCGCGATATCTTGCCAGAGACACCCGGTATTGCCCAAAATTGGGGCGAGGGTATTTACTGGTGTCCGTGGTGCGACGGACATGAGCACGAGGATCAGGCTCTTGGTCTCCTTGGCAGTCTAGATGATATCCCAGGACTCGTTCGCGAGATCCTAACTCTTAATACCGATATCGTCGCTTTCACGAACGGGACGAACAACCCTACGACACGTGCAGCAGCCGACAAGAGCTTTCCAGACTGGGAGAGATTCCTGTCGATTCACAATGTTACCATCGATGACCGAACTATCACTTCTGTGGAAAGGCTCAAAGATGGCAGCCCAGACTCTGACCCCAGTCTCCCTTCTCAACCCCAATACGACCTTTTCCGGGTCAATTTTGACCAAGGTGAGGCTGTCGAGAGGGCTGCTTTCTTTGCTTCTTTCCAGGAAGAGCAGCGGTCCACAATCGGGCAAGAGGTCGGGGTTAATCTATACGGGGGCCGCCTGGCAGCAAATCAGTCGAGCGGTCTTCAGACCAACATCCCCGGTATCTATGCGATTGGCGACGCCAACTCAGACAACGTTACCAACGTCCCGCATGCGATGTTTTCGGGCAAGCGAACAGCTGTGTACCTGCATGGTAAGTTGCGCCGTCTAACGACACGCACATGTCGGTGATTAATGCTGATCATATTCCAGTCAGTTTGGCCCGGGAAGACGCGTCAAAAGAGTTGTCAGTGGCAAGTGCTTCTGATGGTACCGTAGAGAGTGCAAGAGACATGCATTTCGATCCCAGAGCCGTCTGGGACATTATGGACAGGGGGCCTCGAGACATGTTCTACGCTGGAGAGTTTGACCAGTAATCATTTAGCCTGTGCTTCTGAATGTATTGACGAAATAGGGCCATGGTGGAGTCGGTATAGAAGTGAAGGTCGGTATTCGTAAGCTCGGAATGCAGCTTAGGATGGAGACTTGCGCTGCTAAGCAGACGACTACAATCCATAAGTAACGTACTACAGAATTCAAACTTGCGAATCACAATGGAAAATCAAGTCAGCTTATACTCGTACTGTTCTGGCTAGCTTCATAGGTACTATGTACACACTGGTTCGGCTAATCAACGGGTGAAATCAATACCTCGGCTGAAGCATTAGCTTTTAACTTCGTAGCCGCTCCTGACAATCTATCCCTGTAGCTACTCTGAACATCTGTGCCTGTTCATGCCAGCCTCATGAGACGGCGAAATGGCATCTACTCCGGACTCGACGCCGTCTGATTTGGCGCACTTCTTGAGGATTCCATGGTGTGCGAAATATCTCAATGAGCCGCTCGTTCATGTGTGGGCCCCGCCACCTAGCCGCATCCTAAAACCTACCGGAGAGGATACACTGTGGTCTACAACTCTCAATACACGTGAAACTTTCTCGGCTTTCATCGCATTTTACAACAAGCCTGAGCAACCAACTGCAAGAGTCGACCAAGTGAGAGCATTCCTTACTGCAGACCATGGTCTCCAAGGCTATCCTGGCGTCATCCACGGAGGTATCGTGGCCACCATCCTGGATGAGGTGACCGGCTTGCTACCAACACTGAACCGGGATCGCACTGCTTTCCCCAAGATCTCATACATGACTGCTTATCTAAACACGACATATCGCCAACCTGTGAGAACGCCTGCGACGATTCTAGTTTCTGCAACAATTACCAAGTCTGAAGGGCGCAAACTCTACATAAAGGGTACCATACAGGATGAGGCAGGAACTGTGTTAGCAGAGGCCGATGTACTTTTCGTTGCTTTGAAGCATAGATTGTAGAATGATGATGTGCTCGTGTGGAGGCGGTTTCAGACAATTTCGGCTTCAACAATTACCACCCAAGAATGAGGCGTTCAGGTCCCGATTAGAATATCTTCATTATAGAGCAAGAACAACAACGCGCAACGCAGTTGCGTGCTGACTTATCGCGACCGACCGCATTTCCCGCCGTACGTCACCGACTCCGTATGACTCGGACCCCACCGTGTCCCGTTTTCTGGCCGGCCGCCGTGGGCAGGCGTCGGGGCGGTCGGGGCGCGGGAGGGGGAGTCCGTTATCGAATGGCTTGGTGTTGCCGGTGCCGAGTTGGCACGCGGGCGCGTCGCTTTCGCGGCCCCGGGGCCGCTGCCGCCGTTCACCCTGTCTACACCAGGTTCAGGTCCGTCGAGCTCTTCGGCCAGTAGTCCGAACAAGTTAGCGCGATCCAGAGTAGTCAGGGTGTCTCAGAGACGAGCCTAGCGCGGCTCGTTTGCCGCGCCTAGGCATCCCAATTGGGGCCCGCCGGTGTCGGAGGGTGTGGGATGTCGTTAGAGGGTACAATGTAAGGATTGTCCGAGGAGTCGTTGACGCGAAGAACGCCGGGAAGTCGGCCTGGAACGGCTTAGACGTGGCGCTCGCAGGATATTTTGTGTTCGAACATGGGGAAAGGCGCCGTGTTTGGAAGAACGAGTCGTCTCGTCACGTGGCTGTCACTTTCTGATGTAGGACAGAGTTTGAAACCCCTCACCCAAACCTTGATCATTCCTTCTCATCAACGACACGTGACGAGACGACTCGTTCTTCCAAACACGGCGCCTTTCCCCGACACGAACTGCAGTACCGGCAAGGGCTCTAACCTCTTCAAAGCTTCAACCTTATATTTGCCATGGATCCCGTCCCTGAGACAACCATTGGGCCGGCCAACTGCCTCGCAACGCTCCCCGTCGAGCTCATCCGGGCAGTCCTGCGCGAGATGCTTCCCTACCACTCCATCACGGCTTACGAATCCACTTCAAATCAGCCTCAGGTGGCTCTGTCTTATGTTCTGTCTCGGTCCGACTTGGCCAGCGTTTGCCAAGTCTCGCAAAGGATGCATAGCCTCGCCATTCCCTTCCTCTATCATACCATCCTCCTGAAGAGCCAGCGAGAGCTGCTTTATTTTTTCCGTACCATGGCAGAGGTCCCATTATACCGAGAACTTGCTCGGGTCTTCATCTGGACTGCCATGCTCTCAAAACATGATTTCGTTTTTACGGAAATGGTCGACTTGTCCACTATAACGCTGAGATCCGAGGCCAAAGACGTCGATACATCCATTTTTTGGCATCCGAAAGGCCAAACCGAGGCCCTTGTCGGTATTTTAGGTTCCATATTGGCTCTTGGTGGCCCTAAAGAATGCCCAGTGTCCCAAATTTTAGCCGCTGCTCTCGCAATGGTACCAGAAATCAGGGTACTATTTCTCAGCATACATACAGGCTGTTCTATAGGACCTTTACCACACCCATCCGTTGCAATAGAGATAACTCCAGAACATGACGCCATTTCACGCCTCTTTCGGACCTGGAAGTGTAAGTTCTTCTCATATGACAGGATTAGTGATTTCGTCAAAAGGTATAATCGTTTTAGCACAGGTTTAACCTTCGATCAGACATGAACAAAAACCCTCTACACCAAGTGGAAAAGTTAATTCTAGAAGGCTTTCACGACTCCCACCCGATTATATCATCGGTCGCCATCGATTTAGTATTACATATCTTGCAAGATTCACCAAGGTTGCGTTATGTGATGCTCAAAAGCAATACCGTTTTTAGCGGATTAGTCAAACTACGCACTAGTCATGGACCGTTGCCACCCACTATTTTAAAACACACTCGAACGCTACATCACATTGGTGGCGACCACCCGCAGTCCGGCATGGAGCACCTGGCTATAGCTTTTCCAAACCTTGTTACACTTCATTATGAGTCTAAGGTTGGGGCGTTCCCAAAACCCCGTGGGCGAGGTTATACAGGCTTCTTAAAATGTCTCACGAGTCTCAGCGCAACCCTAGAAACGTATTCTCTTACTACACAAGCAGGAGTGTCATGGAAAGGGACTAATACTCCGGCGCTTCTATCCCCAGCACTGCGGCACATGAAAAGACTCCGGTGCCTTCGGATAGAAACAATCTGGCTTTTTGGCACACTGGATATTTCGGCGGCCCACTATATCGCAGATCTCCTTCCTGTTTCTTTAGTTAACTTCCATCTTATTGACTACTGGGGTAGCCACGAGCCAGATGCCCTTTGGCCTCAGTTCCCAAACAGAATGACACCCTTCAATTTTATTGATACGGTCTTGACTAGTCTCCTCCAGGGCTGCCGAACTTCTTTAACCGAGCTTAAATCCCTTGCTGTTACATCTCCAATCTTCCGCAGGCCTAATAATGGAGAGTGTCAAGTGGACGACGATATAAGGCTGCTTGAAAATCGGTTTTGCTCTCTATTTGCGAGCACCGGGGTTGCTTTCTCTATTATTCGACGCGAGGACTTAGGGGATATGATGCGTTCATCTTGGGGGAGACCTGGCGTTGTCTGAAGCGCTATTTTCTCATAATAGAAGGGCTCGATTGATTTGCGAAGCCAATCCTAGCCTGTTAATGAAGGTCTCGCAAGCTTGATACACAGATTTAAGATATTTTAGTGATTAATTTGAAATCACCTGGTGTATATATCACTTTCCTTGGCTCTCAAAGTAATTACTACTATCTATTTAAGGAGACGGATTTTTTTAAGATATACCTTAAATTCGCGCCGGGTACCCCGCAACTTTAAAGCATCTGTAAAAGCAGAGCCACATCATCAGTGCCTTCTCATGCTTGGAATTGGGTCTAGAGAAAAGAGAAACAAGTGTCAAATCAAAGGACCAAGCTATCAACCGTAATACTTAGAGTGGAACGAAGGACACATGCAGGAACTATACTTTCCTCTCGCCCACACCAGGTGGCAGAGCAAATCTAACAAACGAGAAAGAGTGACTGAAGTAACAAAGATAAAGAAAAAAAGAAAAGAAAAAACAGTAAAATCTCCAAGTACCCAAAGTGGTTTAGAAAAGCATCGCGCAAAAAGAAGGTACCTTCCAGCCATACTACCCACAACTTATAGTCTCCAACGTATCCGCCATTTACCTCTTTGTTATTATCCTTAAAGTGTCCCAAAAAATCTGCACTGTAAATTTTCAATAATCCCAGCGTCGTAGAGCATAGTACCGGTGGTGAGCTCTCTAACCATAGCACTTTGTTGAAACTTCGTAATCTGGCGGCAAATTTTAGTAGGCCAGCAGCTATTCCTCCACACCATGCGGCTGGTTGCATCGCACTTTACTAATAACATACGAACCGTCGCCCACGCATCGCCAGCAAACTTCCTGCCCAGTACCTCCACATGTTTTGCAAGTCTCCCATTTGTTCTCTTCCTCATTGCGCACCTGCATCTCGCCCTTGCATTTCTCGCATTCCGATTTTCCAGTCGATATTCCATGTAACTTACACTCTTCGCAGTCAATGGTAAGTGGTATTTCAGGTGCCGCTTCAGACTTTGGCTGACTGCACTTCCAACAATCCATTTTGTCTTGATTGGAGAAATTGACGGGATTGCGGCATTCGTTTGAATGGTTACCCAGCTAGTTGATGGGCTCCAGCTAGAGATATTGGTTTGGGTCGGATAGCGAGAAGGCGCTCCCAGACAATAAGAGGCCACGAGAAGAGGAGAAGAGCGTCTACTGGTGAGATTCTTCGGAGGTAGAAAGGAAGAGCTTCTCGAAGACGACCAAATCTTGAGAAGTGTATAAAGAGGCAGATGAATGTTGAGAGAGAGCTAGAGTTCCAACTTTTGTGTATATATATGCGTGTGATCTACACAAGAAAGAGATTGGAAGAAGATGAGAGAAGCCCTGGCAATATATAGTAAAATCCCCTCTGCTGTAGAATAAACTCTCGCGAAAGAATCTCAGCCTGTGTTGGGATTAGATTTCGTCGAACTGGTGACCCGACCAAACATCGGGGGGTTGTAGATCATTCACTGTCTAATGTCGACGCTTGCGGAATTTTTTCCAGCTGAGAACAAAGAATTCACTGTTGGTACTCGAGTTGTTAGTTTGCATGGCCAACCCAACATCTCGGCAGCATCGAGAACAAAGAAGTTATCCTTCCTGTCCGACGAACCAGATGATGTTTCTCGCCGCCCTTTCTGCTTCGGCAACCCCTCATTCTTGTTGATCCCTTCGAGGCTCAGCTCCTATTAGTCCGACCAGGAAAAATGAAACCATGGATCTGATCTCTGCTAAGGTTTTTTCCCACTTCGCTTCGTCTTTAAAGTGCTGAGCTCTCAGGCGATCCAATCGGATGGCCTCACACAACGAATATGAGAGATTTAGGAGAACAGCACTCTCTTGCCTCATCTCCATCTGTGTCAGCCTAGGCCATAGATTGAAATTATGGTTCGCCTGATCGTCAACTGTGGCTCTCGAGACAAAGCGCTGTCCATGTATGACCGTTGATAGTGCTCCTTTCGTCACTCTCGGATGTAATATACAGGGTCCATCATGAGAACACCTAATAAACGATCTGGATCTCGGCGTTAGCGTCTCCAGAGGGCTAGTATTCAGGTGCCTTTAAAATATGACTTAAGGATGAACATTACGCAGGTTAGTCGGCGCTTTTTAAGGGTGAGATCTCCTTTCTTACCTTTATTCTCAGTGTTTATAATATATTTATAAGGTGATTCTTATTACAGGGGCATCACAAGGCATAGGTAGGGTGACAGCCAAGTATCTCACAGCTCGTGGAGCCAACCTATCCCTTGGCGATATCGTGTTCGATGGCCTCTCCTCACTGGGCACGGGGCTCAAGGAGACCAACCCGAACACTGAAAGTTTGATCCAAGAAGTCGACGTTTGTAATCCCGAATCAGTGAAGAAATGGGTCGAGGTCACGAAGCAGCATTTCGGGAAAATTGACGGGTGTTTCAACAACGCTGGCAAGTGAACCTATAGTCGGGCGTGTTTCATGGCTAATTGGTAAAGGGGTTATACCGAAGACACTAGTCTCGATCCCTGAGTACAGTCTCGACGAATGGAATAGAGTTATCAACGTCAACCTGACTGGTGTGTTCAATTGTCTGAAGCATCAATTGGCCAACATACAGGACGGTGGCAGCGTTGTGAATATGGCAAGCATCGCTGGGGTAGCTGGATATCCAAATTTCTCAGCTTACGTCGCTTCCAAGCATGGAGTTGTGGGTTTGACAAAGGCCGTAGCCCACGAAGTTGCATCCCGAGGCATCAGCGTGAACGCAGTGTGTCCGTGAGTACTGCGACCAAGCTAAATATTGGTGCATGAAACTGATAGTCAAAGGAACTACGTCAATACGGGCATGTACCACGAGCTTGCACAAGGCCGAGATTTGGTTGAACATTTATCCCACCTGTTCAAGAGGCTGGTGGAACCTGAGGAAGTGACTTCATTGATTGGTTTCCTATTGAGTGATGAGAGCAAGTTCATGACCAAGACCGCGTACCTCATCGATGAGAGAGCGTTGTCGTGAAGTGTCGGAGAAATCTTTATTATCTGTCTGTGGCTGTTCTAGTTGAGTTCAAATTCCAAACCTATGTTCTATGTCTCGAAGAAACTGCGTGCCATATTCATGCTATTCAACAATCCTCATTATCGCGGTTATCATCTATGCGCTTGCTTCCTAGCGGAGGGAACCTTGACAGAAACAGAACAGTGACAGCAACAACGGCGAAGCCCTATGATTATTAGATTATCATCACGGGCCAATAAAGTTCGTCTACTCACCGCATTGCAGAAGAATGTCAGTCTTGGTTGTCCGATTTCAGAAAAGGCGGCAAAGATAAGTCCGAACAAGCCTTGCGTGATTAGCATGGCTGCGCTTTCAACCAAAGTAATAGCAGCGATCGCATCTTGGCGTTTATGTGGGGGGCACATCTCGGTCATAACTCCTTTCGCGGCTGGTGCCGATCCAGAGGCGAAGGGTAGCAAAAAGGCAGCTGTAAGGAACGGAGATAAGCATCCAAAAATATCCCAAGACGCTAGAACTTGAACTTACCCATGTAGGCTTGCCATCCTTCCCTTGATAGGCCTGCAATGGCTGTAACGATAGAGTCTACGACAAGACTCCATCTCACGAAAAGAAGGTCAAACCCAGTACCTGTATCTTCGTCTTCTGGTTCAGGTGGCTCTATGGGTTCTTGTGGAACCTGCTCCCCAGGGCTTGCATCGAAATCCCGAGGGTCTGTTGGCAAGTGCTCAACGTTGTTTGTCGTTGTAGCATCGGATTGTGTGGTGCCATTAAGCCAATTTCTTCCTGTGGAAATGATCTTGGGGAACATAATGATCAAGAACAGGCCCCTTATTAAAGAATTACCAAACATAAGCCATCCATTTTCCGTAGTGCCGAATCCAAATTCTGCTGTAGCTGTGAAATATGTTAATATTTCGACAAGTTACAGAGTTCGGGGGCGCGCAAACATACCATACATCTGCAACAGGGTTGGCGCATAAGTTGATGCAAACTAAAGGATGCTTAGCATGATGTCCAAGACTGTTGAGACTGTTGAGACCTACAACTCCAAGAAATATCCCTAACGCTAGAAAAACCAAGCCGTAGTTTTTGATAATCTTGCCGTCTTCCAAAACGTATCGGTGGGGCACGATGACCTTGAGGGGAGCAAAGAACCCTCCAACGCCTCGTGTATTCTTGTCTTTCACCTTGTCGTCGTTGGAAGAGGTAGTTGGCATGAAAAGAGCGCCATAGATGCTGGATGTAATGTACAAGAAGAAAGCAACCTCTACAACATCAAAAAGTCAGTTATGCCAACTTCCTAGAATTCAAAGAACTGTGCTTTGATCCACGGTGGTCAAGGTTGTGTACACTTGACTGTAGCAGCACCACGGAGGGAAAAAAGGCCTCAAACTAAAAGTTCCACTCACCAAAAGGGCGGCGGATTCCATATATATCGCCGAGAACACCTCCCACTGAGCTGATTAATTACATAAACACGTATATCGAGCACTCAGGATGACTCACATAAGAAGCCGAATGCCGTTCCTAGCATAATGGAGCCTTGCAGCCGACCGAAGACTGCCGTTCGATCCCGTGGAGAGACAACTTCGCTGACTGCAGTGTTTAGCACCAACCTGTCACAAAATATTGGTCAGTGGGGTTCACTAAGTAGTCACGGGGGTAACATACTGATAACCACGAGGACCGCCAATGATCCCAATACTTTGCATAGCCTGGAAGACAATGATGCCGGTTCTGCCTCCAAGCGTAACTCCAAGAACTTGGGTGGCAACTCGAACGCCAAGAAGCGAAGTCTGGCTAACAAAGGCCCAACGAGGACCCCACAGCTTGATGAAATACCCGCAAACGAAGAGATTCAGAACACCGCTAAACGATGTGGACATTCCTAGTATTGAGACTTGTGTTGCAGTACCGGCGTTGATTTCCCGGCGGTTACACCGATCTCCTATTCCTTCAAATGGGGGGTTGTGAGTATAGAAAACATCGCACTCCATTACGCGGAACACATAGATAATACTGCGGATGACTGTCAGTTTCGCCAGCCTAACTATAGAGGTAGCGGAATGATCATTGGGCTTACGGGACTTGTGTTATGCCCAATGTGAATGCCATCAAGAACCCGGCCAGCAGTATCCGGTTGGCGGGGCCGAAGAAAGTCGTTGCCAGAGTCTTAATTGACTTCGGCTCTTTTTGGAACCCATTGCCAAGTAGAGGCGTCGTTTCATCGGCAGCCATGGTCACGAATCTGGCTTTACGCAAATCAGCGCTGAACGTCAGGTACGTGCTATCGCGAGGAGAGGAGTTTCGCGTGGATTTTGCAGATTCTGTAGTTCGAGATCGGCGGGGGCTCTCCGAAAGTGCCGATCGCACCATCGCAGTGTGCCCGAATCTTGTGGGTCGGACGCCGGGCAACCTACCTGCTATGGGGTTCTTGATACGGGCGACCGGTGTCCACCAAGTCGTATTATACCCTTCAAAAGTCCTTGACTCCTGAGCCTGCCCATGATGCAAGAAGTTCGGGCCCTCTTGTCTAACCCAATTCTGAGAAACTGCGGACAAGTCTCAACGTGTCTCAGACGTTCTTCTGAGTTTGTAGTGGCGGCGGTGAATCCCGCCTATATCCATGGATCTGGCGCCCAAGCCCGATAGCTGGCCGTTAGCGGAAGGTCCCACAGCTGCAGCATGCAGGGCTAAGGCCACTTCGGCTTGGATTCCCTGTCGGCTTACGGGGAGATCCTCCGCTATCGCCCCCTCGTCCCGATTGCCGAAAGCTTGGCCCGGGGCATATGGAAATTCGCCGCAACCCGAACGCGGTGGTTTGCTCTGACACATAGCTGTTGATTCATTTCATATCACGGACCCGGGGCCCATTACCAACCTGCGTATTCCGCTCACATGTGGAGATCTACTGAAGCGCTACTGCAGGTCATAGTTGAGTTTTAGCGTCTTCAATAGAAGGCCCAGCACCCGGAATACCCCAAAAATTGCATCAGGAGTGATGACGACACTCGGCAGTGTCAAGCAAAAGAGCGATGGCGAACGCATAGGGACTATAGAAAACTCGTACAGCAATGACCACACCGAAAACCCGCCTGTGATGTCGACGAAGTTGGGCTCAAACAATGCGAACCCCGATTTGGGGAAGGTCGTGGAACCTCCTAGCACTGGTAGCATCCACGATAACAGCAACAATGCGAAGCCGTCAGGGTTTTCGAAGTCAGCCTTAGGGATGCTCAATTGGATGCCCAAAAGATGCCAATATGATGCCGAGAATCCTCCCGTTTTCACACTGCCCATGAACATGCTGATGGGTCTGGTAAGTATTGGGAAGCTTGTTACCAAGCCGTTTTGGACTAAACCACATCTAGGCTGGGACTTTTACCGTAGCAAACTTGTATTATCCGCAACCAGTAAGTCTACAACTTCCTTTTGTCTATCCTACTCGCCGTACCAGTCGAAGTCGCCCACCGATGGAATTGAGGCTATGTTTCAAGACAGTGAAACATAAGTATGTGATATTGACAATATCGGACAGATTCTCAACATCCTAGCTGAAGAGTTCCATGTCAGTTTTGAGCGTGCCTCATCCATTGCGACCTTGTCCCAGGCAGGCTATGCAGTAGGCCTGCTACTGCTTTGCCCATTGGGAGATAAAGTCCGGCGGAGGCCGTTTGTCTTGTCTTTGATTTGGATTACAGCCACTTTGGTAAGTGCTGACGGAAGATTCCTGTCTCACTGTCCACTGACATATTGAAGTGGCTTGGATTATGTCTCACTTCAAGATTCGAAGCCTTTATCACCATATCTTTTCTTTGCGGTGTGGGGTAAGTTAGCATCTCCTCCATGGTCTACGACGGGATACCGGAGTCTTGCCGACCAGCTGACTGATTATTATTTAGGACTGTGACACCACAACTCATGCTGCCTCTAGTGGGCGACCTAGCGCCTCCGCACAAGCGCGCAAGTTCTTTATCTATAGTTGTCTCAGGACTCGCTCTCGGCATGTTGATAGCGAGAGTGCTCTCAGGAATTCTGGCAAATTTTACCTCCTGGCGCAACATCTACTGGTTTGTAAGATATTGATTGTTGGAAACAAGCGGAAATGGATGCTGATACAGGACCGTTTAAACAGTCATTCGGAGCTCAGTATCTCATCCTTATATTACTATTCTTTACTCTCCCGGACTACCCTGCCAAAGACCCCGGCCTTCCATACTTCAACCTCCTATGGGACATTGTTTCGATGGTCGTTAAAGAGCCTTTGCTGTTACAGACATGTCTTATCGGATATCTACTCAGTGCTGCATTTACCTCATTTTGGACAACCTTGACCTTTCTCCTGGCTTCGCCTCCTTACCTATATTCTTCCCTGGAGATTGGGTTCTTCGCGTTTATCGGGATAGCTGTGATTACGCTAGGGCCTCTCTGGTCACGTCTCATTACTGACCGCTTCATGCCATTGTTTTCTGTAGTAAGACAGTATTTTGATGGCAGTCAATTGAAAAGTTGCTAACGATCTTAGGTCCTCGGTCTCTCATTTGAAATTAGTGGGATCATCGTCGGCACCTTTATTGGAACCTGGACAGTAGCAGGCCCTATTGTACAAGCAATCATGAGTAAGCCATCCGCAATCCACAGGCTTTCCCTGGAATAGAATTGCGAACCCGATGCATCTGACCAGAACATAGTGGATACGGGAGCAAACTTTGCTCACACTGCCAACCGGACCAATGTATATAATCACCTCTCTCCTAAAAAGAGAAATCGAGTCAATACGGCATACATGGTTTTCAGCTTTGCTGGACAGTAAGTCACAACATGCTCCTAACACATAAGTCTTATCATGAAGGATGTATTGTCAAAATTATACCTCAGGAGCTAATTTTCTACATACAGACTGACTGGAACTGCCGTTGGTAATCGGCTTTATGCTCAGGGAGGATGGATCTGGAGTGGAAGTTGCAATAGTAAGTACACAGTGGCATCCTGACCCATTGACGTATCTCACGACATCTAGTTGCATTCATTGGCTTTGCAATAGTTCTCTGCTTCTTAAGGGGTCCCAGAGAGACAGGTTGGATAGGGTGGCGAGGTGGCTGGAATGTGCGAAGAAGTGAAGTAGTCGAAGCTGACAAGGTCAATCCCAGCCAGCAGAATGTCGTGGATGAGGCCAACCCGAGAATTCTAGAAGATGGCCCCCGGTCACCTGAGACCAAGTCATGACACGATTCATAGCTCAAGTCAAGCTACGTTCCTATTCGAATACCGTATATACTGTTCATGATAATGATCCCATCGTCATATCAATGATATTGTCATGTCAAGATTCTTAACAGGTCACATATTAACTGCATCAATACAGTGAAGAAACCAAGGAAAGGAGCGTGTGAAAACAGTCTGTGGAGTAATCATATGAGAAGTTTGTGTACGACGGAATTTGTATCTTGGATTTTGAATCCTCGCCCAGCTGAGTGTACCTGACCTTCCTCGAGTTGCTGTGAGTCCAACCTTCGTAGCTTTAATCCAACTCCTAACAACTGGTGCGCTGAATAAACAAGAAGTAGTCAATGGTCTGTGGTTGGTCTACTGCTTTCATGCAGGCCATTCTGCTCTGTGTAAACCTTTCTCGCAACTTCCAAGGTCATAAAGCAATCTCGTTTGCTCATAGCGAACAGCCGGCACCAGGATCTCCATCTCTTCGTGCGTTTTGCCCCATTCCGCACTGATCTTCGTAAAGTTCTTCGCTACGAACAATTCAGGTACTTTCGTTCGAAAAGCAGGTATGAGCTGTCTGATGTCAGAAGTGTGTGATACCAAATTGCCATGGGAACCTACCTTCCGCAGAATTCTGTTCATATTATCGTAATGCCGAAAGTCCAAATCCTTCCATTTGTCCTTCAAACCATCCTGAATGTTGGGCTCCTGGGATCCAACCGATAAGAGGAAACTATTGTATTGATTAAGTGACATGGATACGAGGTAGTTCCCTCCATCTCTAGTCCTTCTATCCAAAGCATTCATGATACCCAGACATCCGATAAGTCCAGTTTGGAAATCCGCATTCGGTAGCGGCGGCACAATGGGCTCATCAAGGCCGACGAACCTGCCCATTTCCCAAGATAGACCGACCACGGCGTCGCTGATCATCTGCCATCCACTGCGATGGGATAATGGTCCGTTCCAACCGTAGCAGTTCTCACGCGCATAAATGATTCCCCTTCCACGTCTCCGAGCCAGTTCGTGGACATATTTGGGGCCGAAACCTAGGCGATCGAGTGCACCAGGGCGGAATCCGTCAAGAATCACATCGGCATCTTCAAGAAGTCTTAGAAGAGCCTGTCTTCCATCATCCGACTTGAGGTCCAAGTTCACATCTCGTTTGCCAATGTTGCTCTCCACTAGGATGGCTCCCAATTCAGCTAGTTGGTCGTTTGAGATTCGTAGAACAGTCGCGCCGAATAGTGCGGCGAGTCTTGCGATTGTTGGTCCGGCAATGGCTCTCGTCAGATCGAGTATCTTGATGCCCTCTAGTGGTCGAAAAGTCTCCGTATCCGATCTTGGCCATGGAATCGGTGGCAAGTTTGCACTTGGGAAATGTTCGATGACGTAGACGGGGTCATGCGCGACAGCTCTTCCGTGTTCGCTTGCTAAGTATTCCTCCTTGGTTAGGGCTATGCATCCTGATTGTCGCCAGTGCTCGTTGGCCTCGAGATCCAGCCATTCTGCATCGAACTCGCTGACCTTTTTGCAGTACCTCCTAATAATCTCCGTCTCATCCTTCTCTGGATCATGAGTTGGCAGCCCTAACATCTGTAGAGTCTTGGTTGCATCGAGACTGCCATGCGTATGAAACCACCTTCCATCCCTCGTCGGGTAGACGTTCGTGCATAGCCGCCGCCAGGGAGTGTGTTGGAGGTGAAGATCGTAACGTTGATACCGTGGAACAACTTCTGGATCTGTGATCGACTTCCCCCCAAGCTTAACCAGCATGAAGGCGAATATGAACAGGGTAGCTACATCGCTGTTCACTGTCACTGATTGCTCGACACCGAAGCGGTGCTTGGTAATTGCATTGCCATATGTTGCTAGTAAAGCCCACAGTGCCGTGCTGGTTTCACTGGCCTTGGTTGGCGCCGGGAGGAACGGCTTCGCGATCGTGGTGGCAGTGTCGATAATGGTACGGGATGCCGCTTCGTGGACCTCCGACGGCAGACCGAGCCGTTCATCTTTCAATAAAACCTCCCGGAAGATCCGCTCGGCTTCCTTCTGAATGCTGTAGTCGCCCATTGTATTGCGCTCGTAGGTTCTACTGATATATCAGTGATGTCTTACTGTAGATTGGCGTTGTGTATAGCTTGAATGTGTTTCAAAGGTCCAAGGCAGATTATTATCAGCAGACCGATAGCTGAGCACGACATTGATCATGCTGATTGCCCTCATTCCTAATTCAGTAGGTGGGGTGCAGTTGGGAACGGGAGGCCGAGGAAGCATCGAGTCACATTTTTGACAATGCGTAGCACTACTACACTGAGGGGCAATACTCTCCGGATCTTGCGAGGGGCTCAAACTGTACGGCATCGCCATTTTTAGTACTATTTTCACTGATTAGCACCGGTTATATGAAGGCCAAGGATTATATATTATATAACACTTGCCGTATTAGTTACTGCGACCCATGCCACTTCACCAAGAGCGCCACATTAATACAGGCCCAACCTTTTGTGTGTCCTATCCCCAAGATATGCGATATGTACATTCGAATCATTCGTGTCCCCGTAAGTGGCTTGAATTGAGGCAGTGAAGCTGCGATATATGGCTTTCAAACAAAGTCCATCTGAACGAGTGAAAGACTGGGCTCCTGATCTTTGTGAGCATTACATCTGAGCTATATATTCATTAATGTCTAATAAAATCTATCGAAACTCTCGATTTACGTCTCCGAGCTACATTCGGTATATATACTTCGTTGTATGACCCGCTGCAATGAGAAGATCGATTTGTAGACGGGGTTCTAGTGATGCTGGAGCACTACCTGAACAGTTGTTTGAGAGCGACTAAAAGACACATGGCATACAGAGCCTGGCTACTGAGCGCATATTTAGACGTGTTGCTTCTCAGTATGCTAAGCCTACGGTCACTTGTCACGTACACTAAACAACTTACCGTACCAGAATGCCCAGCGACAGATTATACTTCTGCCACCTTGGTCATTTGCGGGCTTCTCAAATTGACCCTCTTGAGGTCGCAACTTGAGAAAGTTTGCCCGATCATCATCTCAGCTAATGCCGACCCTAAGCAGAAGCTTACACAACGACTTGAGTGTGTTTCGTGCTATGTATAGGGTACCATGTTAATGCAGCTGACTGGCGACCTACCCCACTTTCAGCCCTCATGCTTACAGGCATCTGCCGAAACCTCCCTTTTGATGAAGATCACGGTCTTGGAGCAAGATACTGTTATCAATGAACGAGTTGCCCAAACTTGCCCTAAGGAGATTTACATATTGTGCTAATGGCTTCATTCCACGACACATTTGCAGCGGATTACCCTCGGCAAGGGGCACTGACCAAGGAACAACTGCAGCGCCTTTATGTGAAGAACAAGTTTGAGCTTACCAAGCACGTCAGTGCCGTCGTTGGAGCAAAGGCACAGTATTTTGGCGGCAACGACTGGTTCATCAGTTGGTACAGTGCCCCGGAAGGAGCTGAGATTCATAACGGACTCGAACATCAAGATGTGCCGGACCAACACGTCCCTGCGGCTTTAGATGCAGTCAAGCACAACCTCAAGGACCGCAGATTTAACTGGGTCACCGGGCCCCAAGACCAAAATCGACTGGAGTACCATCTCCGGCGACAGGACTTTACTGTCGATGAGCAAGAGCCTGTCATGGTGGTCGACCTGAGGCAGCAGACGGAGGCTATGCGAGCCGCAGTTCCAAACGGCATCCGAATAGGTGATATTGATTCCTGGCGAGTGAGGGACTGGGTCAAAGCTTGGTCAGGACATGCCCCAGTGGAAGCCACGACGCATTGGACGCAAATATATGACACAATGTTGAATACCCTGCACCGCAAACAGTTCTGCATGTTCATGGCCCAACAGGGCGGGCGGGTAATTGGCACAGGCTACCTCCACTGCTTTGCCGGCATCGCTTCCATTCATGCTATCGCTGTAGTGCCGGAGCTGAGAGGCAACGGCATAGGGAAGGCGTTGACTGCGTATGGAATGCAGAGAGCCGCCTCTATCGGATACAACATTTCTACCTTGACATCTTCACGCGCAGGGTTGAATGTGTTCCAATCACTTGGATTCAAAGAGTTTGGAGTGGTCAAGTTGAACGTATGGCGTCCTCTCATAGATCGTGGCACGATAGAGAATGAGCAGAAGGAAGCACTCGAAGCTGAACAGGAAGGGTGGTGCCTAGTGTGAGCTTTGAGCAAAGCAAAGGATTACCAGTGTTGTTAAGCATAAAGACCACACAAGAACAACAATCCGTGTTATTTTAGAGATACCACAAGCATAAAACTCAGTGCTGCATCAATCGTGTATCGTATATCATAACTAATTATAGAAAGCATCGTTTTGCCTTTTTGAGCCTTGGTCCGACGTCATTGAAGCCAATTGCTTCGCAGGGCAAACTGAGCTACGCCGTCAACGTGATTTGTAGGAGACGTGTGGTGACGTATCTGATGCTGACAATTTCCGTCCTCTCTACTTGGAATTTGCAACACTTTGATTGACAAATTCTGTTTCATCAAACCATGACACCCTTCTCTAGATGAGTGATAGCAATCTGGTCCCGATATTTCTGAGCCAACGTGGCATCAACAGTCTCATCAAATACGTCAACGTCAGTGGTGGCGAACTTTCTAGCACTGATCTTCCTTTCGAACAAAAGATCTAGCTCCGCAAAGGACCTTCCGGCAGGCTCAGGTATCCGGAAGTACGAATAGATCAGACAGAGGAAGCAAATGCCAGCCTAGGCAGGATGTAATTAGCAATGCCCTTCGACTGTTGAATGTGGCGGTGGGTGGTCTTACCCAGAAAAATCCAGTAAAATTACCCCAGTTCCATGCGCCAGGGTTTAGCATATATGGAGTAAGCACACCACAGATGATGGCGACGATATTGCTGTTCAGGTTTGTTAGATAATACCCTGACAGTCAAGAGATAGTTGGGACCTACTAGAGAATGCGACCGAGGACAACAGTTTTGATCTGAAGTCTCCGCGTGGAGATTTCGGCGACCAACGAGTAACATACGGTACCAACGGTGAGCTGGTAACTTAGCGCCCAAACTAACATGATGCTGCCAGTCGCAAGAGATGCTTCCGTCCTGTTTGGTGCTAGGCCCAGGAAACCGAGAATCAAGAGCATCGAGAACAAAGCTATCAGGCCGAAAATGTACAAGGATCTTCGACCAACGCCGAGTGTGATGAGACCCCATGCGCCAAAGACACCGACGCAGTTAATGGCGTACTGGCCTAACGCGAATGCGTATGCCTTGTTCGGGTCCAGGCCTGCTTGTTCCAAGAAGTACGTCGAGTAATTGGAGAATTGGTTTCCGCTAAGGTTCTGGATGGCCCAAGCCATGCAAACGATTTCCGTGCGGCGCAGATCAGTGCCCCTGAAACAATCCAGGTAGCTGGCTCCTGTTGTAATCTTCTTCTCTAGGGATGTCGTGTGTACCATCATGGCGATCGTCTCGTCGGGGTCGAAGTCTGTGTCTCTCTTGACACTTGTCAGTCGAAGCAGAGACTTCTTGGCATCATCGAGACGCTCCCTACGGACAAGCCACCAGGGACTCTCGGGAGCAAGATAGATGCCGATCAAGAGCGGTACGGGCCACATCCATTGCAGCGCGTAAGGGATCCGATAGGCCCATTCATCTGTTCGCCACAGGTTTCCCATGATAACACCAATGCCGATCTCTTGGCCAACGCCCCAGCAGAAGTTAATATAGGTCGTCAGATACCCTCGGAGGGCAACTGGACAAACTTCGGCGGCATAGCTGATGGTGATGGTTTGGAATACACCCCAGGGAATACCACAGAGGATCTCGGCGACCTGCAAGTCAACCACACTTTGGGCTGTAAAGAAGATGGCCGTAAATGCAATGATGAGTACGAGGCAGGTCATGACGGTGTACCTGTAGCCAAAACGCTCGGCGAACCAGCCATTGAGCAACAAGCCGATGATCTCGCCCACCGTGGCGCCATTGCTCAGACCTGCCTGCCACCGGGCAGGGACCTGCCAATCGCCGTTGGGCAGTTGCTCGCCGTATTTCCTGTTGAACTGATCGAAGGCGTAGAAATTGTTGACGAGAGAAATGTCATAGCCTTCCATACAGATGCAGGTGGAGATTAGCACACTCCAGCCAATAGCCTTGGGGTAGAGTTTTATGCCCTGCCACAAGGTCATATTGTGCTCCTTCTCGGTAGCGAGCTTCGCATCCCGGATGAGATCGCTCATCAGCTTCGCCTCGGCGCCGGTATCAGCACCGGCACCGGCACCGGCACCGGCACCGGCACCGAGCCCCTTCTCCATGGAGGCCGAGCCATCTGCGGCAACGGCATCCTCAGTCCCCCGGCCTGGAGCCGCCATTGGAGCGTGTCGTGCCTGATATGGAGAAGACCAAGACAAAAGGGTGAGACGAGCTGCTTGTGTCTAACGGATAGTGGGGAATCCAAGCTGCTCGCTTCGTATCAAGTTGCCTGGATTTGACGTTCCGGCAACCAAGCACGCGTCGCAGGAAACGAAACTTCGAAAATTCTCGCGACCAGAGGGACGACCCAGTCTTATTCTCCACAAGTCTCGTTGACGATGTGGGGGAAATGATATGCGGGGCCCATGACTCGAGGCTAACTAGCCAGGCCAGCGAGGTCAGGTTGCCAGACTTCGAGCCTCTGCTCCGATTTCCCTCTTTGCCGCTGTTGTTGGAGCATGGAAGGGTCCATTCACGGCGGGCGGAGACTGCTGGTCAGGGTATTGCGGTAGCCAAGACCATCTTCCTGGTCCCGGCGAAGAGTTGGTGAGCGGCAGACGGGGGGCTGCAGGCCTGCTGACCTGGGGCTGGAGATGGCAAAAGAGGTGTCAAAATCCCCCTGGGCGCCAGTCCGCTGGACTTGGACTGCCGTACCGCCTATGATTTCGCACCAAACTGTCATCCGGCAGCTGGGCTCAGGCCAACAGGCGGTTTCGAAGAGGTTACGGCAGTAAGGTTAGGGGAAGTCAGATGGTGTTAGCCCAGGCCCACGGACCCTTGACAGGTAAACTGTAGCGGGGACATCTGCCAGGGAGCCCTGGGAGGTGGTAAGGCGGCATTGGCCAGCAACAGGGAATGGAAAGGTAATGCAACCTTGTCCACGGCGACGATTTGCCAGTCCTGGCCAGGGTCAGTCGACATTATTACCTATTACATACATGTGGATTTCCCCGCGCTCCAGGCCCCATGACGTACTCACTAGTCTGGGGAGGGTGCTAGATTTGAAAAACCCTGCAGCCTGTTGGTCCTGTGCTGCTCTCGGGCGTTTTGTCCATCTCTGGACGATCATTTCTAATACCGATGTTCCCGGAAGTTCATTGAAGAATCCATGGAAGTAAGGAGATATCCGCGGGCGACGAGTGGACGCCTGCCCAAGCAATAACGCGAATGCCCTCACCCGACAAAGCGGAGCTTCTGGCAACACCATGGTACGATTCCATCCCTCCATCTATACCGTACCCGTTCTCGCTTTCTCTGTCGCCCTTCCAGTCCCTTTCAGCCCTGTTTAGTGGAGAGGTCTTCTGCTGACTGTGGCCTCTGTCGGCCATCCAACAGTCTGCCGTGCCGGGAGAATCACTTGAAGTGTGATCGGCTCACCCCCCAGTGCTCGCGATGCCTGCACTCGGGCCGCGAGTGCAAGCTCGCTTTCAAGTTCAAGTCAGCCAAAGGTAATCGGCTCCAGCAGATTCCCCGCCGACGTCTCAACTGACTTGTACCGTACCCTCAGATTCATTCAGGAGAAACCAGAGGTGGCTCAAGACCCCTCGGCGATGTAAGCATAAGCCAGCCTTCCGCCGAACGTTATGTAGCTAAACATCTTGGCTTAGTGACATATATCGACGAGACAACGTCATTGATCCTTGGGAACTCTGCTGTTGAAGCCCTGCATCCCCACGAGATTGCACAGTCACCCACCTCTACCAGAGATGATGCGTCTGAGAAGTCTAATGGCCCTGTTCAAGATGCATCAGATTATCGGACCACGGTGACGCCTGATGCTGGCCAGGACCACCGCCTCCACCACCACCAACAATCCCCCCACAGCCGCGTCGTCCCCAGGTCAGAGCCGTCGCCTACAGCTATCTCTTCGTCCATTGAACGCTCAAGTGTGAGCGTATCTGATAGTCCATCATCCCATGTACCTGCCCCAAATGTCGGAAGGGGTTCACTCCCAACTCCCACGAGAAGCGTCGGCAGCTTGTCGCATCTTCCACTCCAGGATACTTTCTCTTTGATGAACGAGACTGAGGCACAATTGTTCCGTCATTATGTCCAAAGACTGGCTGTCTGCGTAAGAATGCCTCTCGTCACTCTACTCCCCGTCCATGTCTGCTTACAAGTACCCAGCTCGACCTCACCGACCCTCTCAGGACTTTTGAGCTGGTGGTGCCTCAACGGGCGACCATGTGCCCAACGCTGCTTAAAGCTATATATGCCATCTCTGCAAGGCATCTAAGCCAGACGAGCGAATACGACCCGCTCGCTTCAAATCGGTATCATGATGAGTGCCTAGGATACCTCATACCAATGTTGAACAACTCATACACAGTTTCGGATGAGAATCTGTTCGCGGCTACTATTATCCTAAGAATGCTAGAGGAGATGGATGGTGAGCCTTCGCTGCGCAGTCACATTGTTGGAATATTCTAACGAAACACAGCCAGTTCGGGCCAGGATAATCATGGTCACCTGTTAGGTATCCATGCTTTCGTCAACGTTGGTGATCAAATCATGCTGCCAGGGAGTCTCAGTGCAGCCTCATACTGGGTCGGCCTGCGCCAAGAGATATACAGTGCCATCAGCACACAGTCTCCGGTAAAGATGACCTTGGAACACTTTATCGTCGACCGTTCATTTGAACCCACAGATGATTACACCTGGTCCAATCGTGCTGTTGTTAATCTTGCGGATGTTTTGAACTTCTGTTTCTCTGATGTAGCGCCGTCAAATGCCCGATGGGTATATTTGAATGAGCAGTGTATGCGATGGGATGAAACCCACCCGCCATCGTTTGATCCCTTCTTCTTCAAGGAAAGGGAGGGCTCAGCTGCCTTCCCTCAGATCTGGTATCATTCAAGCTGTCACGGTAAGTCCAAGAAAACAGATGATTCGGTACCGACTCATGCTGAACTGCTTACTAGTTATTGGAGTTCAGCATCATATATTGGCTCAGCTTTTTCTGGCTCAGTTTGATCCTACTATACCTCGGGTAGGGACAAAGAGAGCAGACGCAGTGAAGAGGATGACGGTAAGAGGACATTGTTTGCACCAGGATGCTTCTTGAGCTAAATCGCACAGAAACGCATCGATGACCTGGTACGCCAAATATGTGGGATCGGAGCATGCAATCAGTGGACACCTCCGGCTTTATTTACAGCCTCTATGGGAATCGCGATGTGTAAGCTCTAGATAACCGTCGGAAGATTTTACCTAAACTGACCGTTCTAGTTGGGGACCGATTCGACGAAAGGGCAGACCAGGAAGCTATGTTAGATGTACTGAGAAAGACTGAAACGAACCATGCACGCCCAACCAAGGCAATCCAGCAGCAACTCATGAGAGTATGGGGTTGGATACCGAACTATGATGGTGGTTGAATACAAAGCTATGACCTGATTCGATTTTGCAAATGCCTTGAGTGATCATTGAGGAAATTACCGTGCTCGGCCCAATATCTCCCGTATTCATCGTTCAAGCTACAACCAAACTCGGAAACGTATGCCGTTCCGAGAAGCACTGGCGCCAAATAAGAGAGGCGGCTGACAAGAGCTGTGAACAGAAACGGCATTCAAGAATGTGCCGACTGACGTATCTGAACCCCGCGCAGTCCCGCAAATGAGACTCGATCTAAACAAAGGAAAAGTGATTAACACGGGGGGCCGAGCCAGCGGCGTGATATCGTTTCGACGCTTTGCAGCGAGTTTCCCCATGGAGGAATGCGGCTAAGGCGACTAAGGCGACACTTTCGGGGATTTTGACTACTTTAAGCCAGATTTTGTACCCAAGTACCCTGGTCCAGGATTAGTGACCCCAGACCCATCGGCGATTTTCACCATCTCCAGTGCCTTCTATGCAGGTTAGGACACGGCAAGTCCTCTTACATCAGTCCCCACAGATTGATCGGGTACTCGAGTATATATCACCATAGTGCGCAGTGTGTGATTTGAGATGGGTTCACCATTCAAAGTCAGACTCCAGCGATAACACGAATAAAGAAACATTCTCAAGTCTCTGTTGATTCTACATTAATATCCGACACTGAAAACTCTCATCAAATTCTTGCACAATGGCACCGGGCGCTCTGATCGACCACGACACGACCGGTCGTGATGGCCTGCAACTTGAAGAGACGTCAGACAACATCGACAAGGTCAATGTCCTGAAGGACCAGAAGAAGCAAGCACAGAAGGAGAGGGACGAGGCGGCGTTCAACAGCAAGTCAGCATTCGACTCAGAGAAGGACAAGACGCAGTTCAGGCAATACGAAGATGCCTGCGACAGAGTCAAGAACTTCTACCTAGAGCAACACACCAAGCAGACCGTAGCCTACAACCTGAAGGCCCGCAATGACTACAAGTTCCGCCAAAAGCACCGTATGACCATTTGGGAGGCCATGGAGAAGTTGAACACTTTGATCGACGACTCCGACCCTGACACCAGCCTGTCACAAATTCAACATCTGCTCCAATCCGCAGAGGCTATCAGGAAAGATGGCAAGCCACGCTGGATGCAGCTCACTGGCCTGATTCACGATCTTGGCAAGCTGCTGTACTTCTACGGCTCCCAGGGACAGTGGGATGTTGTTGGCGACACATTCCCCGTCGGATGTGCTTTCGATGAGCGCATCATTTACCCTGGTTCCTTCAACGACAACCCCGATTCGAAGGACCCTATTTACAGCACTAAGAATGGCATCTATACGCCTGGCTGCGGCCTAGATAACGTCATGTTGTCGTGGGGACATGACGAGTACCTTTACCATGTTGTCAAGGACCAGTCCACACTGCCGGCTGAGGCTTTGGCCATGATCAGATATCACTCCTTCTACCCCTGGCACAAGGAAAATGCATACAGAGAGTTCATGGATGAGCACGACGAGAAGATGCTGGAAGCTGTCCGGGCTTTCAACCCGTACGACTTGTACAGCAAGAGCGATGGCCTACCCGATGTAGAGCAACTCAAGGTTTGTTCCCTCGTTTATACCTTGATACAAGATCAACGACTAATAATTCATTAGCCATACTACCTAGACCTGATCAAGGAGTTTTTCCCCAATGAGGTTATTGAATGGTAAACAGGACGCAGAACCAGAACAATCATATATACTATATTTGGGTTATGACAATCAGGTTAAGTCTTGGTAAGCATGGGTTGGGATATCACAAAGAATAGATTTTGAAATTAGCGGCAATTAAATGTTTTGATGGAAACAGGACAAATGAGAATCCAGAGTCTCATAGAATCACCCACTCGTGGTATATGGATATATATTCACATTAACAGAGTAAAAATGATATCATGTTTTCGGACTATCTTGTGACCTACATCATCTTGGCATTTATGCAGTCATCGGAGCTGCATCTCTGATAGACAGAGGCCTGCCCATAGCCGCCACAGATCTGCTTCGCGTCACCACCACATTTGAACTCACAAACACCCATCGTTCCATTGGAAGGCATACGGTCCGGAGCCACACTATTTCCGCAGAAGCACTGTGTTCTATATTCGACACCTGCATGGCTGTATCCGGCTCCGTCGCAGTACTTGATGCAAGCATCTACTGTCATATCAGGTTCATCCTGCTGGGCCCCATCGAGGGTGCGGCTCTGGCCTGCCGGGTCCGAAACACAGCCAACGTACTTCCACTTCAGTGACTTTGAGATATCGGTGAATGGGAGTATCGGGTCGCCAATCTCAGACACTGCATCGCAGTTTGCCTGCTTGACTACTGGATCCGGTCCAGCTTGAATCGGGTTGCACCCCGGAAGAGCAGCCAGTATCCCATCGTACGCCTCATGGACCCTGGGCAGAACTTTGCAGCCTGTCATTTCTGTCTCCTCGCGAAACTGAAAAGCGCCGCATTTCTCCACCACACCGCTATTGTCGGTGCATTCAGTGATGGCTTTCTGCAGGATGTCTACATCCCAGCCATTCAAGAAGTCGCCGTGGTAGCCATAGCCGTCAGGATCACTGATATAGATGAGCATGGTACGAAAAGAACGGAAAGATACAGGCAAGATTTAATACATACCCGTGGGAGAAAACGAAGGGCTGCTTATCGCCATACCACATATCTTTGAAGTCATCGACGCTCCAGGTCACCTCGTAGAAGATAGTAATGAACCGCTTGGGGTGTGATGATGGACAAGATCCCGAATCTGTGCGGGTCGGATAAGTCATGTGACTCTTATGGTCTGGGGAGTCGAGATCATTCCCATTCCAGCATGATGGGAAGACCAGCTGGGTACGGAGACCATTGGGGCAATTATGTTTTGGAAGCTCGGGGCTGGCTGGCTCTGTGATTCCCAGGCATACGAATGATACAGCGGACTGCTCGATAGAGTTGCTGTGATTTCGATTGTTGGGGTTGCCGGCGATCATTCGAAAGTCTTTTGGAAATGCTACGAGCCCCTTGTCAAATTCGGGGTCTTTTTCATCTTGACGCTGCCTTTAAATCTTCAGTTTGAAAAGGCACCAAAGTTTTCTCGACAATAGACTTACAAATAGTATATAAGAGCCCCTCCAGACTGCTTGACCGGAATGAAGCTGCCATTTTCGGCATGAAAGTATAAGTTGGGAACCCAGTAATTCGACATATCCTCTTTAACCTTGCAGGTCGAACAGGTTGCTGCCTGTGTACCTGCATAGTTCATCGTAAAATTGAAGGCATTGGAGCCCATAACCGTATGCGCATGCGTAGAGACGATTCCTGGGTCCATGATTGGGTCTGCTCGCTCTACAATGACGGGGGATGCGCATGGCAAACGCCAGAACGCATTGGCATGCGCAGCGAAGACAGCCACGGCTAGCAAACCTGTGCTGATGAAAGTACCTTGGGACATAGTTATTGAGATGTGCGACATTAAGGCAAAGAAGCACAACTTATGTTACGGGGTTGAAGTGCATTCGAGGAGGTCAGCCAAGTAGATTGAGTGTCAAATCGTAAAATGGCTTTGTTGACAGTGGCGCAAAGCTCCAAGACGGCAGGTCCGACAAGATAGACACCTCCTTTAGCTACGAATATTAAAGACAAAGAGGAAAGATTAACCCATTAGCCAGGGATCATTAAAGGGATTTCCCAATGCGGTTCCTGGCCAAGAAAGATAGCAGACAATGACTTGAATGCTTCCCGTAAAGAAGTTCATGGACATCGGCTGATAGAAAGTGTACGGGTCAACAAATAGACATAACACATCCGTTACGAGGAAGCTGTTTCCAGTTGTCAAGTCCAAGTTTAATCTTGAGCTGCTTCTTAATATAAGGTAATAATGGCATAAGCTACGTTACATTGACTTTTATAATGCAAACATGCTGTTATACAATCATAACCACAACCATGTACCACCTATAGTAACAGATCGGAAGTACTCCAATGCAATGCAACATGAAACAGTACGCCATAACTGCAGCACCAAATCGAAAAGTTGTGATACAAGCCTAGCCATGCTAGCCATCATCCCAAGACACAGTCTTGACCCAGTGTACCCGTTGATCCTCTCGCTACTAGAATCGACGGCGTGACCTCTCGTGGTTTTCTCCACGATATCCCTGATAGCAATCATCATCCCGGCGTCTATAGTATCCTCGGGTCTGGGGATGGTAGCAATGGCTTGCAAATCTTTCGTACCCCGGTGGCCGTCTTTCGTTGTGGTGGTTAGGTCTATGGTTCTCTTGATTCTTGAGACGCATAGCTTCCAGTTTTTCGTTCAACTTGTTGATCTCCATGTCTTTCTCGTGCATTTGGCTGTTGAAGTTAGAACTGACGTCCTTTTCGACCGCACACACGAGGTGATCTTCGCATCTCGGAATTCCATGTCTGTCTGAGGTTGCACGCTTGGGGCAACCTGCTTCCTTGCATCCGTGTGCGCTACAGAAACCGCATTGGACCATTGCGCTCTCGACGCAGCCTCTTTCTCTGCACTGATGGTTGTCGCAATAAACCGAGGTATCAGTCGCACGTTTCTTCTTACACCCGCCACGGAAGCATCCATGGTTGTTGCAATAGCGACTAGGTTCTCGAGCACGTTTCAAGCACCCGCCTTCTTCACACTGGTGGTGTTGGCAATACTGTGCGCGTGGGTCGCCTCTAATCCGCCTCGACTGCTGACATCCATGCTCGACGCATTTGTCTTGACTATCGTAAGTAATATGTTATATGCCAATGTGACGTGGACGAAGATACTCACGGTTCTGGCAGAATTCGCTTCTGCCCTTGCGCACATTAGAGCAGCTCTTGGATATGCACTCGTGCTCTGGGCAATATCGAGCCCCGTATTCTGCAACATTTGAGCAGTCTTCAATGTCGCAATAGGTATCTGTAGTTTGCTGTCAGCTGACGATTGCGCGATTCATGCACAGGACTTACGGCCTATGCAGAAGTCTCTGCGTTCCTGAGCAAACCTCTCGCATCCATTCTTAAGACACGGGCGATGTTCGTGACACCTGCGATCATCCTCCGCCCGCCCGCCGCAGCCTGATATAGCACAACCGTGGTTTATGCAAAAAGTACTGTCTTCCTGTACTACTCCGATGCAGGGCTCGATCGCGCATTTTTGAGGGTATCCCAGGGATCTGTGATCGCGGCAGTGATAGGTGTCGATATCGCGAGGCTGTCGGCACTGTGGGAGTGCACATTTATCTGCAAGACATTAGATCCAAAGTGAAGCCAGCATGAGTTGATTGGCACTCACGTTCTCCACATACCCACGGCAGGTGCCTATCAGGGTATTCACCATGCTGCAGGCAGTTTCCGATGCCGCCGCCGCACTTTTGGTCTGTGGCGACATAAAATTAGCTCAGTGACATTCGATTGAATACATCTAGCACCGATGATGAGGCTTGAGGAACTGACGTTTCCCACAAAATAATGCTCCGGATTCTCTGCGTTTGGGACAAAATGGTGTGGCAACTTGAGGTTTCCGCGCCATGCAAGTATCTGTCAGGAGTCTTAGTCGGAGTATGCTTTTGAGCGCCTTGACGACCACCTACGATCATCGCAGAACCTAGAATACTCCCTAATCTGGTACTCGTTTTTCTTGAAGCCGCGGTTATTGTTACAGCCTGATACTTCGCATTTTACCTTGGGTCCACGGTGTGTTGGCCTTCTAGTTGGCGGCATCTTCACAACAATTGGATGTACACTTGTTCCCAGTGATGAACCCAGACCGTGCTGAACAAATAAACAGCGGCTGTTTAGGATAACGAGCTTGGTTGGATGAATTAGTGGAGTCTTTATGCAAGCACATACCTCCTTGCCATTTCTATAGGGCGCGCCCCCGCTGGTAATACAGCGGATGGGTTCCCTCAGACGAGGCTGCCCAGGCTGCTACATCTGCACACTGCCTCGCCTCTTAGCCCCTGTAGGCGTTCCTGTACGTGGGGCTGTACTGAGGTCATGCCACCCTCCTTCACAGGTAGAACCCATCCAAAATGATACCCAACGTTTCGACAACAAGGACGTGTCAAGCTATGAGCGATCTCGGTGGTCATTGTTTCGGTGAGCAGAGAGATCACTGAGCACAAAGCCAAGATACAATTTAGTTATCAGTCCTGCTCACTGCGATGATCATTAGAATGATCAGCCCTCTATTCCTACACCGAAAGGTGAACCCACAACGGACCCATTTGTATTTGATTTTATAGGTTGCACTTTTACTACTTGGAAACCTAGATAACTCTCCTAACGATGCATGTATAGTTACGATCTATCAAAGCCGAAGCGCCCTCCGTGACATCTGGAGTAGAATCGCAATGTCGGTAAATTTCAGACTTTGAAGCCTTGGGCGCGCCGTGTTGATCACACTGCCTCCACAGTCCGGCCAGCCAGCGGTAAGTCATTCTCCCACCCAAGGCAACAGGCTACACATTCAATGAACAGGGCTGACATAGGGAGTCGCTCAAGCCAGGAAACCCATGTCATGTCAGCGCCCGATAAATAGAAGAAGTTCCGTATGTCTCAAGCCTGAACGCATGATACTCGACTTGAACTTCCTTGCTACCACAAACTATGATTTCATGCTGCACCACCAGCTGGGGCTCACCGAAACACACCAACATCTGGCGTCGTCATAATTGATGAATACAAGGGATGCTCTTGGCTCTCAGACGAACGTTGTCAAGTAATGCTCCAGCGGCCTTTGAGGAAATCCTTTCCATACGACAAACGATGAGTCTCGCATTCACACGGTTGACGGATTAGAAGCATGACGTATCAGTGGACGCAGTACTTCCTTGCGTGGTAGGGGACCAAAAGTCAACTAATATATATCGCTGCATATTCTGCGGCCCCGAAGTTGGCCCAGTCTTCGCGTTGCCTTGAAATATAGGGTTTGTCTTGATAACTTGGGGGCGAGCCTTGCCCAATCTTGCCCACGTGGCCCTACACTGTAGAAGACCTGGCGGGGGCTGAGGTCACGCCCCCATGCTCCTGGGATGCAGACAAGTATTTCCAGTTTACCCCGTCTTCGTCATGGCCTGATGTCGGGTACTCGCCACTGGAAGACATTTTACGTTGCCCGCAGCCTGGTTTGGGGCGGAGCGGAAATCCTCAGATTCAAACCTTGTGTCACCATGAATTCCGCTGTGAATTATCTCAACAAGGCCAGTGGTTGGTTCGACGAGCTGGGTAAGCGCTACTGAAGAAGACACTTGATGAAGAACCTAAAGCCCTGTTCGACATTGTTTCACTGGAAAGCCGCTCTAGGGTGTTTGATGTACCAGTATCCAATGACTAATTGTTATACGCATACATTTCATACACGGCCCCTGGTGCGACCTCAAGTTTGGACTGCCGTTTTATTTCGTCTGTATGCTCTTCTTACGCAGCAGCCACTCGTGTTCGTGAAAGAGAATGAAGTGCGCCGTTCGGGATTGCCATGGTGGTCGCAAGGGTTCGTTGAACGAGACTGAGTCTGGGAAGTATTCTTAGCTTTGATGTCTTTGAAACCTACGGTTACTTTCGGTTATCCGGATGTAATGCATTTATCTCCTTCAGATACAGTGACGTAAGAGGGTCATTCTACTGAAAAACAACGAGACGTCCGTTTCTTCTCCGAGTGTATGTGTCCCACGGCTTTCGGCCAGGGAAGGCTGTGTGCAGTACACGCCAAGCTTGGGCAAAGGGGTCATGTGTAGTCAGTGAGTAATGTTGATGCAGCCAAGGTGGGAGACATGTCACTGTACAGCTTGAGGATCTTGCAACTATGGGACCATAGACTCGCGGAGCGCCTGTTACAGGTACAAAGCACTGGATAGGTCGTCCTATTGATTGGTGTTACCCATAGCCCTCTTTCCTGGTCGCGAGACCTGGTGATCTTGTTCTTCAGTCTTCCTCTTCTTTGAACTTTCCCCTGAGTTCTGACCGCTTCGATCGCTCTTCTCGAGGCAGTACACCTCAACAACCTCATCCACCCCGTTCAGGCTTGGCAGGGGCAGTGACTTGATCAGACGGTACGTCCAATCGGCGCCTTCGAGCAAGTCGAACAAGGCTTTCTCCGAGTCGTGCCTTGGCTTGGTCGACAGGACCACCTTGGTTGTGACGACCTCCCCTGCAGCCACAGAAGCGCGTGTGAGGTTGTGGGTGTGCAGTGCTGACAGCGTGCCTACTAGTACGGGGAATGAGTCGACATTGTAGGTGCAATCACTCAGCACAATGTAATTCCAGAAGCGCTCGGTGATCAGAGGCCCAAATCTGCCTTCAGCCCCGTCTTCCCAGTCGAGGTTCTCGTACAGGAGATTTGATGCCTTCTCGCCGATAAATCCCGTGCTCTGAAATCTCGCAATATTGGCTCGCGCCCGCTCCTCTGCCTCGGGTAAATCCGTCAGGAGCACTGTGGCTTCCCCTGAGGCTAGTCCGGCTTGCTGTGACTTGGCCGCGTCGTAGATGAAGGTGGCAATGGCAATTCCAAGAACCCCAACGCCACACCCAAGCTCAAGCACATTGAGTGCCGTCGTCTCCTTGTCGATTGGCAGAAGTTCGTCGATACGGAGAAACCCAACCCGCTGACCCTTCTTTCCAGGCCGCTGGCAACATCCGTCGGCCACCAGCGCCGCGGTGACTAGTCCGGCGTCCCATATATGCCGGGCGATGCTCTCGCCGATCTCCTCCTCGACCTGCAGCGTGCGCAGCCCGCCCTTGGAGGTGTGTTGGCACTGGAATTCACGGATGGCCACGTCGGCGCCCTGGCCGTCGGTCAGTTGGACCTTGAGCGGGGCGATGAGGCCTTGGTTCTCCCCATACTCCTTCGCCCGCCACGGAAGCAGGAAAGCGGTCTGTCTGGCCGAGACCAGGGCGCCATCCCGGCCGTCCAACACGTCAACGCTGATGGCAGCGGAGCCATTGGTTATTGCACGGGGAGCGCGTAGGTCGACCTTGAGAACGCGCATGTTTGCCTTCCAGAGGGCAAAGCCACGGCCATCCCCGTTGAGAGGCTTAAGCGACACGTGCTGTGTTCCATCATTCAGACCTTGTCGGGACTCTGTGAGCGGCCCTGGCCGCCCGTGAATCGCTTCAAACCTGAAATGGAGCTTGACGGGAGCATCGTCGGGTGGCGACAGGAAGGCGTCGCCCAGGTCCGTGGTGATGGTCAGTTTGAGCGTAACAACTGGGCTGTCGGGGTTGGCGGCATTCACCAAGGCTGGCCGGAGCAGGCGAATGTAGTGCATCGCGGCCGATCTGAAAGGTGGCAATGCGTGGTTACTGAGGCCGTAATGATCTCCATGATGCTTCAAGTTGACATTGGGCTACATTTGCGAGTCGAACTTTTTAATTGAACCAACCCCTGTTTTTTCCCAGTCTCTGGTAACAAACGCCGTGCACATCAGAGGCAAAAGACACAAGCCGCTAGCTAGCGCGATTGACTTCCTCACCGCGAGGCAATTACATAACGTAGACAGGTTGCTCACACACAAGATGCAGGATCGTGCCAGCCCTTACCGCATAGCGACATGACATAGGCGAGACTGAGTTGAGTCATTTGGGTTGATATAATGGTATATGCACCTTGCACAAGATTGTGAATATGTTAAAGATGTACAAGCAAGGGCCATTCCACGATCGCCAGACTCATCAAAATCATGGCTTGGCCCAGTGAGTGTGACGCATATTGTTCCAACACCATTCAGGCGAGGTGCGAGTCTGTACTCTCCAACCAAGCGGCCCCTCTTCGTCTCAAACCGACGGCCCGACCTCATCAACACCCCCTCGCACTCGCATACGTCGTCACTTTTCCGCTGTCTCTTGCGCCTCCTCTCATGAAACCTCCACTCAACGCCACCAGCAGACGGGTATACTCCTCTCTCTCATGTAGTAGTGTCAAGGATGGAAGCATTCTTTGCTTTTGCCCTATCAATCAAGACCACCGATTAAATCAAAAACTCCCCATGTGTGCGTAGCCAAAAAAAGATCAGACAGCAGCAGTTGCAGCCTCACCCGAGGCACCGGGTATCTTCATCTCGGTGCCAGCCAGGTTTGTCGGCTTGGCCTGGGGGTTCTTGGTGTAGTAATTTGAGATGGCAGACTTGATGGCATCCTCAGCCAGCATAGAGCAGTGAACTGTGGGCAGCAAAGGTCAGATTCATATCGCATGAGAGAAGGAGTGGACGAGGGACAAGAGGCAAGATAAGGCGAGCTAGGATGACTTACGCTTCACGGGCGGCAGACACAGCTCCTTGGCGATCTCGGTGTTCTTGATGCGGCCGGCCTCCTCCAGGGTCATGCCCCTGACCAGCTCAGTCAGATAACTCGAGCTGGCGATAGCACTGCCGCAACCAAAGGTCTTGAACTTGACGTCGGCAATGGTGTTGTTGGCGGGGTCGACGCGGATCTGCAGCTTCATGACATCGCCACATGCCGGCGCACCCACGAGACCTGTGCCGACATCGACGTCCGTCTTCAGCATGGAGCCGACATTGCGCGGGCGGCTGTAGTGGTCGAGGACCTTCTCGTGGTAGGAGCGGCGGGCAACATTGGCAACAGGACTCAGGACCTGGCGGCTCGCGGTGGCCAGACGGGGAGTGGTGGACGAAGCCAAGGCGCGGCGGGCCGTCGTCGATACTGCTCTCGAGAACATAGTGAAGTGGATATTCTGTGCTGTGATGTGATGTAACGTGCCCTAGGCTTGTTTGTCGTTTTCTAGGCGTGTGTCAAGATACCCGAGGTGTCTTTTGAATCTCGACGTGATGTAGGGTTGGATGGTATAGAGTATGATTGATGATGATGATGGAAGACAGGTAGAGGTTCGGGTTGGTTGGTTTGGTGGATGAGCAGCCAGCGACTTTGCAATTCGTTGGCGCGGCGCTGCGAGAAGCGAAACTTTGGTAGGTGCGGCCTTTGTCGGCGATCTCGGGGACAGGCTGTGGCGAATCAGAGCATGTCATTTCCGTCATGATTTCATCGCGCCGTGCGTGCTGATACTGCGGACACGGCCACCGCGCCCCAGATTGGGTAGTACCGACACAGTCCGTCGAGACAGCAAACTGTGGGGCATACACGGTGAGGAGCGTGCATTATCAATCAGAGCCCAGAGATTTGGGGGACAGGTTATCAGATCCGAGCGGACAGCGAGCCATTGAGCCAGGCCCCCAGACAGCACCCTGGGCACAGGACAACGGGGCGGAGAAAGCAACCTCGGGCATAGCGCACGCGGATCCGATGTAGGCGCCGATGTAATTTTTTCTTCTACTCTTCCTTCCGTGCTGCAAACGCCCTTTGGATAAGCTTATGAGGGACTAACACGTGGAGTACTGCAGATAATCATCCGCAGTATCTATGTAGCCAATGTAGTCAATTCCAGATATTTGACAAGGCAGGCTGACTTGTGTCACTCGCGTGGGTGCCCCCGGTACATGGAAACCTCGGGATTTGGTCCAGAAAAAGCTTGGGTCAGGTCCGACCCGACGTCTTGTTCAGGGTCTCCAGATTGCACAACATCTTGGAAAGATTGTGTGTGCCTGTTATAACCTTACAATAGTACTGTGAGCTTTGGCGACGCCGACCTGGCAGCCTGGCAGTCTGGGGAACCAGTTTGACTCAGGCTCCTGCTCCTCCCCTCCAGGGCTGCGTGTGATGCTGCTGTTGCTGGCTGCTGTTGCTGGCTGCTGTGGTGGTGCTCTCAAGGCCTCTTGACGTCAATTGGGGCGCTGCAGCTGCCCGCCGGCTGCAGAACGCGGGGCAGGTCCTCCCGCCCCTCGCCCCACGAACCGCGTCACTGGGAAGGGAAGCAATGGAAAGCTTGAGGCGACCTTAGGTGAGGTGAGGTCAGCGGCCACGCTCCGTTGGTTGCCCCACGCTGTCCGCTGTCCGCTGTCTGTGGTTGCCTTGCGGATGGATGTGACCTGCGGGTTGGCGGGGAGCTGGAAGCATTGACGTGAAGTATCCCGACCAGCAGCTGGCAGCCTGAGAGGTACCTGCCGGCTTGCCTGCTTTACCTTGCCATCCTCCCCCAGGCTCCCTCTTGACATCCCGCATCGAGGCGGCGGAGATCTCCAAACGATAAACACCAGGCCTCATTAGGTAGCTCTGAATACACATCAGTCACATTGCCCCCGTTCCAGGTTCTGTTGGCGTCGCGACACCCAGCCCTTTTGCGCCTTTCCACACAGGAAAGAGACCCTCTTTTCCTCCTCCTCCTCCTCCTCCTCCATCTCTTCTCGTCCTCCCTCCAGTCAGTCGTCCGAGAACCTTGACGGCCGCAGTCCCACGACCTGCCCTTGCTATAATCGACGGACAAGAGAGAGCTAGCCTCTCCCGCTCCCGTTCCCGTCCTCCCAAGATGGCGTGCCCGCACGTTGGGTCCATCAGTAAGTTTCCAACGTCTTCCCAACTGCTTCCGGGCCCGATCGTCTGGGGTTCATGGTAGTTCGTTGCTACGAACAACGAGGCTCATTGTCTGTCTGTCTGTCCGTCCCTCTAGCTCTCAGCCCTCCGACGCCCGCCCAGTCCGTCTACCGAGAAGACTGCACGCAATGCTTCGACTCCATCGTAAGGCCCCTTCCACGACTTGTTCCCTACGCTTCATCTCGAGCGGCCTCGTCTGACCAGAACCACTACAGGATGATCCCACCGGCCTTGATGTCTGCCTACAATGCTTCAACGGAGGCTGCTCCGGCATCCACACACACTCTCAGCTGCATAGTGTCACCCGTGGCCACCCTCTGGCCCTCAACATCCGCCGAACACGCAAGCAGGTCGTCAAGGATGAGCCCGCTCCCAAGATGACCAAGCTCGCCATCGCCGCAGAGACCGACGCCGACCGCTACGATGTCCATACCTCGGCCAAGTGCCTCGAGTGTAATGTCGACCTCGACCTGTTCGACCCCAAGATCGCCCCCATTGTCGACGGCATCATGAAGGCCAACACCTTCTCTCGCCAGGAGGAGGTCAAGGCTTGGGAGCAGGAGCTGACTTCTTGCGAGCACATCCTTCTCCTGCAGCAGCACGAGGCCAAACAGCTGAGCAGCGACCTGGGACAGTGCTCCAAGTGCGACCTCAAGGAGAACCTCTGGCTGTGTCTTGAGTGCGGCAACTTGGGCTGTGGGCGAGCCCAGTTTGGCGGTGTTGGTGGTAACTCACACGGCTTGGCCCACGCTACCGAGTCGCAGCATGCAATTGCCGTCAAGCTTGGCTCCATCACCCCCGAGGGCACTGCCGACGTCTACTGCTACCAGTGCGACGAGGAGAGGGTCGACGGTGACCTTGCCTCCCATCTGGCCCACTGGGGTATCATCCTCTCCGACCAGGTCAAGACGGAGAAGAGCTTGACCGAGATGCAGATCGAGCAGAACCTACGTTGGGAGTTTTCCATGACCACTGAGGACGGCAGGGAACTGCAGCCGCTCTTTGGCCCGGGCTTGACGGGACTGAAGAATCTCGGCAACAGCTGCTACCTCGCCAGCATTCTGCAGTGCCTCTTCGACCTCCCGGCGTTCCAGGATCGTTACAACAGACCCGGCTCGGACCTGCCCATTGTACCCGACCCTGCCCAAGATCTGGAAACCCAGCTGTGCAAGGTGGCAGACGGTCTTCTCTCCGGACGTTACTCCGTACCCGATTCTAACGTCGTCGCATCCGAACATTCTCCCGAGATTCCGCACCAGAAAGGACTCGCGCCTAGCATGTTGAAGCACCTAATCGGCCGTGGCCATCCCGAGTTCTCCACGATGCGCCAGCAAGACTCTTTCGAGTTCCTGCAGCACTTGATCAAACTCATTACCCGCTCTCAACATCCTAGCCCCCTCCGAGACCCTACCCAGAAATTTCGCTTCAGCATGGAGCAGCGTCTCCAATGCATCAGCTGCAGGAAAGTCCGATATCAGACAAACGAGCAAGATAGTATCTTCATTGACGTCCCTCTCGAGAAGCTGCCTCCTGTCGAGGGCGAGGATGGAGGTGAACGGTACAAGGCTGTCACTCTCAAGCAGTGCCTGGACAACCTGACGGGTTCCGAGACTGTTGAGTTGACTTGTGCATCATGCGGCAGCAAAGATGGCTTTACCAAGCGTTCCATGTTTAAGACCTTCCCCGACACTCTTGTCGTGAACGCGCGGAAAATGGCTATCGAGAACTGGGTGCCGAGAAAAGTGGATGTGCCCGTTATTGTCGGGGATGAGCCTTTCGATCTGGACAACTACCTTTCTCAGGGCAAGCAGGCCGATGAGGACTTGCTGCCCGAGGACGAGGCTGGTTCTGCACCGGCTTTCGTCGCCAACGAGGCGGCAGTAGAACAGCTCATGTCCATGGGTTTCCCAAAAAACAGGTGCGAGAAAGCCTTGCACGCGACTGGCAACAATGACGCAAACACGGCCATGGAATGGTTGTTCGGTCACATGGAAGATCCTGACATCGATGAACCTCTCGTCCTTGCTCCCACAGGCGCCAGTGGTGGCACGGATGCCGCTGATCCTGGCAAGATCGAAATGCTCTGCGGCATGGGCTTCAGCGTCCCGCAAGCTCGCAAGGCTCTCCGCGAGACTGGTGGCGATATCGAACGGGCTGTAGAGTGGGTCTTCAGCCATCCGGAAGACATTGGTGACTTTGGCGACGAAGCGCCGCCTCCTGAAGCTGCCGAGAGGACTGAAGCCGGAAGTTCGACACTACCGGCCAAGTTTCAACTACACAGCATCGTCTGCCACAAAGGCACCAGTATACATGCGGGACATTACGTTGCCTTCATCCGTAAGATTCTTGATACCCAGGTCCCCAAATGGGTTTTGTTCAACGATGAGAAAGTAGTAGAGGCAGGCGATGTCGAGGAGATGAAGAAGACAGCCTATGTCTACTTCTTCAACCGCGTCGTCCTGGTCTGAAACGTGCCGGAGTAGGAATTGCATGGGTGGAGAACTGGAGTTATATGGTCTCGACAAAAATGTTGGTGGTTTGTTGTTGAAGATCCATGGTTGTTCTGTTCACGTCGAGAGACTATAGAAAGAGACGACATGATGCATTAAACGAGACCCGGACCCCTGTGGTGTAGTTTTTGTCGCCAGGCAAATGACTACTTATAAGGCATTCATAGATGTGCAGAAGAGAAAAGCACATGACCAATCATACAGAACAGCGTTTTATCTATTGTGAATCCAATTCTAGTAGCACCAGTTCAGCATTATACCCCTGCCTATATCCTCAACTTCTTGCCGGCGAACAGCCCAATGTAGGCAATCACCCTATAGATGGTCCCGATGCCAAATAGGATCAACATGTTCCTCCACAGCCAGTCCAGGTGATAACCGGTCGCCTCAGCAGCCAGCTCCACATTATACAGATAGGCGAAGGGAGCCACCATCTGCCCAAAGTAAACCTCCGCAAGCCAAACACCGGGACTTGCTCGCCAGAGCCATTCCAAATTCCAGGACTTGACCTTAGACAGGGGCGGCGCAGCACCAGAGAGGATACCAACGATCAGGCTGATCATGGTTGCGAAAAGGGGGGCATCCTCGCGCCGCAGCACCATGGAGAGACACGAAGCAAGACCGTAGATGCAATAAAAGTACACAAGGTTGGCGAGGAACGCCGTGCCCCAGGGGATGACGGGCGTCGAGAGTAAGAACACCCAGGTAGAGAAGTGAAGGCAGCCGAGCACCATGCGGGGCAACACGGAGATCATCTTGGCCATGAAGTAGGCCAGTCTCGAGTGGCCGGCCTCGGCCTCACGGCGGTGCAGCAGCATCTCCTCGGAGAAGACCTTGACGCCAGGGGCGCCACATACGAGTCCAATGGCAATGGCGACCAAGAGAGCGAGCTCGGGCGCCGACTTCAGGTCCGTCGCCACGGAGAGGATCTCGTACGGGGCGTTGTATAGGCCCGTGAACATGACGCCTTGCTTGGAATTCTCGGCCAGGCCGATGAGGAAGCCGGCCACCGATGCGAGGGCCATCTCAAACCAGAATGCCGACTGGACCCGGTACTGCTGCAGCATGGCTCGCTTGAGGCACAGGTACATCTGCCGGAGGCGGCTGGCACCGCGCATGCTCATCATCTTGCGCATCGACGAGCTATGGATCGAGGCCATAGATTCGGGCCGGCTGGCTCTTATTGCCGAACTCTGGCGCGAGTTGGCCCAGTGCGAGATGAGACTCTCCTTGGAAATTTCGCCGCTCTTCTTGTACGCACGTCCGTTGCCCGTGATGATGTCCGTTACAACGTCGCCGAAGTTACTGTGGGGTGGGAAATGGTAACCTACGCCCTCGAAGAACGGCCGGACCTGGTCCTGTGGTCCTTCATAGATGATCTGCCCGTTACCGAGAAGAATGAGATTGTCGAGCATCTCGAAAATCTCCATCCGAGGCTGGTGGATGATGACAATGACCGATATGCCGAGGCGTGCAATGGCCTTGAGTGTCTGCATGATGGAGCTGGCGGCTGTGGCGTCGAGTCCGGACGTGGGCTCGTCCAGGAAGATGGCCATGGGTGCGGCGGCCAACTCCATGCCGATACTGACACGCTTGCGCTGGCCACCGCTGATGACGGGCTTTCCGACGCTACCCACCAGAGAGTCACGAACGTGGGATAGTTCAAGGCAGTCGATGACAGAGTTGACGTGCGCCTCAATATCATTCTTCTTCCAAGTTCTCGGTAGTCGGATCCGAGCAGAGTGGAGGATATTTTCGTAGACCGTCAACTCGGGCAACACGATATCATCCTGGGGCACGTAGCCGATGAGCTTCTTATACCGTTTGATCTTTCCGGGAACGCCATTGACCGTGACGCTACCGCCCGTGTGTGCCGTCTTGCCCATCAGCACGTTGACGAAGGTCGATTTACCCGCTCCCGAACCGCCCATGACAGCAACCAGGTTACCGCGCTCGATGGAGCCCGTCACGTTCTGCAGGATCATCTTCGGGGAGCCCTTGGGCTGGAAACTCAGATCCGAGTATCCAAAAGACAGACCGAAATGTGCCGCATCGGTGGCTTTGCGCATGGATTCCACAAAGGCGCGGAGTTCGGGTGTCATGCCCTGGGCGTTCTCGAGCTCTTCTGGTCTCATGCCGCGGTGAATGTCCAGGACAGCCTGAAACCCGGTCCAAGTATCCGCGCGAGGCAAATACGTTGCCGCCATGGGCATCATCTCGTGGTCGAGGTCGCGGTCGTGATCGTGGTCGTTGTCGTCATCCAGGGAGCTATACCCGGACATCTTGGCCGACATGGCGCCCATGCCCCCCTTTGGCTTCCTAAGAGAGTGCGCCTTGGAGGCATTGAGGAACCGTCTCCGAATGATCATTACGAGGGCACCGGCTACCAGCCCGATGTCGATGATCAGGAGCAGCACGATCGGGATCACGAAACGCTCAAAGCTCGCGCCCTCGCGGCAGACGCTCCCGATACTGCACGGCGTCGGCGTGGCAGCGCCTGGCTGACAGTACGAGCCCGCTGGGCAAGTGATCATTTCAACACCAGGCTTTGGGCAGTAGCTCCCAGCCTGGCAGACCACGGGTTCGAAAGGTCCCATTCCGACGATTCGGCCCTCGAACTGACAGACCATGCCGGCGAGACGAGCCTCTTGGCATTCGGTGATGGGCGGGCAGTATTGCGGGAGCGAGTTGATGGTATTATTAGTACCTGGCCTATAGTCAGTACAATGTTATGTGGTGTGCGGCACCGCCAGAAGTATAGGAGAGCAGAGATGTCCATGGGAGACAAGACGTACATAAGAAGCCCTCGTTACAGCCGGCATCTCGCCACGACTCTGGTGTCTGGATTCGAACCGGCAAGGCACCACCGGGTCTCCAACAGGGTGCTGCATCCACGGGAGTCTGGTCCTTTGCGATCTGATCTACAGCCCGGTAGAATGCCGTTGAGAATGTCGTTTCGTTTTTCGCCGTACACGCCTGGTCGTATATACTGAGCTTACCCAGGTCTGTGGCCTCGACGAGCTGCTTCTTCCCGTCGTCCCAGGCGAGAGTCTTGCTGATATCCGGACCGTGTGCTGCATCATAAATCGGCAGCGTCGTGGGATCCAGGTTGGTTCCGCCAATACTGTTGAACCACTTTCCCGTTTTCACTTCGTATACGCCTTGGGTCTGGTTGCCAATACATTGCCAGGCGGTGTTGCCGTTCTTCGAATTCTCCTCAACGTTCGACCCTTCTACCACTTGAAGTGCACACACGCAGGCGCCGGTATCGAGGAAGCTGGGGCCATCAGGATCCGAGTACGGCAAGTAAGGGTCTTGAGGGGCATCAGCCGTATTAACCAGACTGAGAATATTTGCTTTTCCCTTTACTTGGTCTGTCATCTTGATCTAGGCACCTAATCAAGGCCAGAAACAGGACAAGAACGTGCGAGATGGATAAATGGGTGACCAGAACAGACTTTCGACGGTGGCCATCAGTCTCACCCACCCGAGGACATCGTGCTTATGTAGTATCAATCCATCGGTTCAATCTTCCTCGGTTGCCTAGTACCTGTAAGCCCTCCTTGCTTCGGCATTGCCCTCGAGATAGGCTGATTCATGTTCATTTACCTGTCAGGGAGGACTGATCAGGGGCAATGCTTGCTGCATCGGTTGCGGTACAGCGGGCCCTACGAGGCTGACGCTGGATGGGGTCTGGATATCGACGTTCGTACGCAGCATGGCCACTGACCTGAAGGATCTGACGAAACTCATTTGCAACCCCCCCTGTACGGCTGGGCCTCCGTCAGCGCGCTCTTTTTCCCCATCAGGACATACGGCGCACGCAGGTAGACTGGAGAATTATGGCTCGCGGCCGGTGGCTTAGAATCTGATCAATTGCAGATCTCACACGCGGGATTAGGTCAGAGCCAGCGCGATGGTCCACGTCGGCACCTGGTCGTATGCGGCCGCTGGTTCCAGCAGCCAACGAATTGCAAGAGCCTCCATGTCGTTAGTGTGTTTGTCCTTACGGAGGCCGAATTGGACTCCGTTTTTTGAAGGGAAAAAAAAAAGTAAAAAAAGAGCGCTGAAGACCAACCTGCCCTTTTTCCGTCAACCCGTGTATAGGCGATTGTATTTCTAACCGCAATTTCGTGTCTGCCTGTCGACTTGTACCTAGTTGCATTGCGCTTGAAGCTGTGGTTCTCGGAATTGAACATTCATTTGCAGTTGTTAGTTAGCCATCAAAGCTTAACCTGCTAGGGTCGACGCGCAGCTATTTTCAGGAGGACTAATTACGTTAGTGCTCACTCAGGAAGAAGCGTGGCCCGTAAGTGGCCCCTGCCCCCCACCTACTAGCCAGCCCGGGTGAGCTCTCCCACTGGGGCCTCACTAGTCAGCTTGATTGGTTGGTTGGTTTGCGAAATATTTCTAAACGGCCTGGAAACCTATCTCCCGGCAGTTCTCGCAAAGATGGCCCCTTGAGGCCTGCCTGTATCCCTCATGTACTGTTTATGATATTGTCAATCTTCAATCATCATCCCAACATTGAGGCCAACTATGTGGCGGAGAGTAACATAATCCTAGTTCGCACGGGATCGGCGACCCCTTAGGGCCTCTCGATGGATCCTGCGCAATGTTAACGGGACGGAACCGTGTCTTTCCAATGTCCAACTCAACCGATTCGTCGCTTGTTTTACCAGAATCTTTTGTGCTTCCCACCTCTTAGGAATGTACAAAATGTGGTGATTGGACACACGATCCGACCGAGTCCTAGAGGAACTCCTGAAACCCCTGCTGTCTCCCTCACCCTTCTGACATAATCGGAATCCCCCCACCCCAAGAACGTATTACCGGGTTTTGCCCACAACAACTCTTCATTGGTCATAAGACGTGCGTGGCCTTCTCATTGCTTCGCACTATCATCCTGAGCCTGTGGACAATATAGTGGACAATATAGCACTGACGCCAACCATCCGAGACAGCGTCGAGTCGCAAAACACTAAATGGGACAGTACCATCCCGCTCCTTAGAACAATAGTTTGTTCTATCAAAACGCTCTAGATGCTGCGAGCAAACTGCTTAATTTCCCTTGGCGGTGCGAGACAAAGCTCATCAGTTATGTGTAAAAAACTACATGCATCAAGTCGGAAAAGCGATATTCTTCCTCTGCGAAGCATTTCATTATTTGCAAGATCGCGTTCCAACTACGCCTGTGGAACACAGTTTATAACTTCACAGATAAGTTGCAATACTCAATTTGGAATTGGATCACTGCTGTTCGAATGTGATGGAATGGGGCCAATGCGATTTGCGACACCTTCATGCGTTACTAAAATTTATCTTGAGCATGGAAGACCAAGAAATTTCATTTTTAAAGGCACAAGGTAATAACGGGACGGATTATCGTAGTATAGCCTTTGTCTATTGTGCTTCATATTATGTAATGATCCATGCTGCCCCTGGCTTGGTGCTTATACTATCCAGGCCTGTTCGAAATGGAAAAGGTAAGCAGATATGATTACTTCGAAAGAGTCTACTGTAGCTATTCCATATTACCTTCTTCAAATCGTAACAAACCCTTCTTCCTTCCTTGCTTCTAGAAGATGTCGAATACCCCCGATGAAAAACCCAACAGCGCAGATTCTAGGACCTATTCTCTCTACAGAAAACTATCAAGAGAAGCCCTCGAGCATGTCCCATGTAGACTGCTAAGTGGGAAGTCTTTTTGGGTTCTATTCCGCTTTAGTATAAAATATGGTACGCAAGGCTGAGAACCCCCAAATATATTGTATTACACCATGGACAGTCACTTAGATGCCGTGTCAGCGGCGAGTGATGTAAATTGAGTGAAACCTTATTGTGTGAAAGCGTAGTGATTTCTTGGAACCTGATAGGATACATCAGACTATCACTGGATGCATCAGACTTTTTGTCTATCACCAGATAATAGGCGCTATCAGAATTCCTGTTTAATTCTTCTCAATTTTTATAGCAAATTGTTCTTGATAGAGCAAGCCGCATCTATCTGGATTTTGCCAACAAATAACTTCGGCTTGGTTGGCGTAGAAAGCCGTCTACGTGCATTATTTCCCTTTCAGATCGGCTCAAGGGATCAACTACGCGCGGCGTCTCCTGTCTCAGCGATCGTAGTTGGCATGTTTGTTGAATTATTAGGTGACTGGAAGTCGCGGTACAGTTGACGAACTAGGGATTGCATGATATTCGGGAGGCGGTTACGAATATTAGCTGGGCTATCGGCCCCAAGCAGCGAGTCCAGCTCGCTGTATAGTCGGCCAGGTAGCGGCTGAGAGATGTGGCATTGTTGTCGATGTAAATGCATATTGTCGCTACTAAAAACAATCTTGCGAGCTGATTGGATTTATATCGAGCCCTCTTACAGATGGTCGTACACTTTGCATTAAACATCAAAGGACAGTATGGTCGTCAACGAAGTAGATGAAGATTCAACCCCCACGTTGGTTCGCAAGCCGAATACTAGCTATAAGCCATATCAGATGGTTCGCGAGCCCGCACCCCACAAGATATTTCGATCGATAGTGAGCCACTCATACTATAATACGACAGAGAACTGTTAGCAGGATTCTACTTGCCATTGGTGATTGCTTGCTCTCCTCAAGAATTGTCAGCATATTTGACTCAAGCCACCCTCAGGTCTGGGTCAGTGGAAGAACTTGAGAGAATCATGCGGGGTGGAAGGGGGATGCCAGGCTATATCTGCGGTGTAGTAAAGGCCGGTAATCACAGGTGGCAAGACAGTCCCACATTTGAAGATGCTGTAAATCACTAGTAATTCAAAGGCAACTCAGCATCGTGTGATGCCGATGAAAAAGAGAGGATTTATGGATGCGCAGCAGACAGTGCCGGTACTGATGTGTAACGGTTCCAACAAACTACAGTTAGGATTGATGTTGAAACCCGAAGGCATTTCAGACATCTCGCAGCCGGGTTGATTATAATCACTGCTAAGGTCTCCTGTAATCACCAGCAATACAGGTTGTTTGACGCCATTGAGACACGGAACATCCTTGGCGTCCAAACTTGGGTTGACGTTTCCCCTGGTTTAGAAACACTGGCCCAAGGGCGTCGTTATGAGGCGCTTTCACGTGTCCAGTCTACTCGTATGGCTTCAGGATCGCGCAAATTGTTATTTTGTGTTTGTCGCTGGCAGTGGGCTTCTGTTGCAACAGGTCATACTCGGAATGGCGTCGATAAGCCTGACACAGAAGTAAGATCGGTGGTAATTTACTCTGGACAATGAAAGACCTGTGACTAAAAGACACAGTCAGCGCAACAGGAGAGTGCAGTCGTGGTCTCAGTAGGATTAGTCAGCCCGCACAGTCAGATTCGTTTCTTTCAATCTAAGGCGCAAGGAAAAAAAAAAACCTATTCCTAAGGAGAGAAGATCTTGCATCTCAAGAGTCGACCTAGGATAACAGGCAAAACCCAGTAGGCCATCTTCTCGTTCCCTTGAACGTACTCATTCATCAGCGGGGTTGTAAGTGCTGTGAAAATCAAAGAAGCAGTTGGGCAAAATTTGGATGAAGAAAGGAGTAGCGAGAAGTGGGCTCGAAGGGGATGGGATATTAAACCTTTGATAATGAGCCAGCAATACCAGCGACTTTACTGGCAGGAAATAAGCAGTGATCCATCATTGAGCGATGGACGCGGCACCAGTTGCCGTGGCACGGAACCCCTATGCTTAGGTACTTGCACTTGCGCAAGATGAGTCGGGACAACCTACCATGAGGACTGATAGCAGCAATAATGTTCCGAAAGAGCCGAAGCTCTCACATCAAGCTATAGAATTGCACGGTCCATTCCGCGCCAGTGCAAATTTCCGATGCAAAGCCAGCAGTTTCAGACGGCACACCACTGCTAGCAACTCAGGTAGGCGACAGGATGATCCGAGTTTGGGACTAGAAGAACCTTCTTGTACTGAGAAGGCAACACTGGACCGGACTGGACCAAGACGCGATCCAGGCTCGAATGCACGGTTGATTGTTTCCCATTGCCCAGAGAAGGCTAGTATTCGAATGCCACAGACCTTAAAGACCATAAAGCCTGCCAAGTGGGGGGGATCTACCTAGGCAGAGCCCTAGCCCCACAAGGTTAAATGAAAGTATATGGCGGAAACGGCACCGGCGCTGCAGCTTCAATGCGCCCCAGGCCTGTTTCGTCAGTGGCACACTGCCAAAAGGGGACAGGTCTCCACCACCATTGGTCACTGGCTCACCAAACAACCAAGTTGCTCACCGTATAGTCGGTCAGGGGACACCACTGACAGTTTCCATCCCGTCGCCCACTGATCCACCCGCTCGCAATGGTCCCTGGATCTAGACCCAATGCGCGCAAGGCTGAGCACGCGATGCATTATGCCGCCCGGCCTCGACGCTTGAACACGAGGCCCTACTTTTTCAGGTGAGACACTGACATACAGAGCGCCGCTCTCAAGACCTTGCCAAATCCTGCGCGCCTCCCGAAATTACGGACCGCTGCGGCAGATCAACATGGAGTAGCCGGTCGGCAGACTCGCGGAGATCATGCGCCTGGCAGTCCGAGCCGCAAGGACGCTGGGTCGTCGGCGTGGCTGATGAACTTAGCTCGCCTGTCACTAGCCTCGACCGGCCTGTTTCGATGGAACACAGTGATTGCTGAAACACGAGCTTTGCTTGCCTCTGCTAGTTGACAGTCGAGATGAAAGAAAGAGCTTTGGGTGTTAGAGGTACTGGGTATATCAGGACGCTGGCAGTCGTTACTCTTGGTTCTCGTCCTGCTTTCTTCCCCAGTTTCACTGTCTTCTCTCTCTCTCTCTATTTCCTATCAGATCATTCACTTCTCATATCCTACATACAATCGTTAATTCAATTCTCACCACTGACCGTGTCAGTCACTCTTTTTTCAATCATCTATCCAATAGAACAGTCCGTTCATTCTCTCAAATATCAAAGCAGCCATGAGGACCGTTCGCGACGTCACGCTTCTTGCTCTCGTGCTGGGTGTATCAGCCGAGTCGCTACAGAAGCAAAACAAACGCACATTCGGCCTCGGCGCTCACGGCGGCGCTGGCGGTAGCGGAGGTGTCGGCCTTGGTCTCGGCGGTGGCGCCGGTGGTAGCGCTGGAGGCAGCGCCGATGTCGATGTGTCGGGAGGTCTCAGCCTCATCACCAGCGCCATTGGGGGCTGCAGTGCTCAAGTCGATATCTGCAACAGTGCGGTTCTGGACCTGAATGCCGGCGTTGACATCGGTGTTTCTATTTCCGCCTTTGCTTCCCTCGCTGCTACGCTCAGCGCTGCCGTTGGCAGTTGCGGCGCAGCAGGATCCATCAGCCTGACGGACTTCATCGGTCTCTCTGCCGATATCACAGCCTTCCAATCGGCCTGCGCGACTCTCTTCGCCAACATCGTTGCAAAGAAGGATATCGTTGTTGGCCTCAATGGCTGCGGCTATATTGGCGATGCCGTCTTGGAAATCCAAGCCTCTGCTGGTGCTCTGTTCGATGCCATTATCGGCCTCACTGCCGGCCTCGACCTAGGCGCTGATATCGGTGGCCTCCTTGGTGGCAGCGGTGGCCTTGGCCTTGACCTTGGCTCGCTTACTGGCAATGTCGATGTCCAGGGCATCCTGTCCTTGATCGCTGGCATTTCCGGTAGCTTTGAACTGGGTATCGGGGCTTTCTGCAATGGCAACTGTGTAAGTACAACCCAGCTCATTATACAGTATCCTCACAATCCCTCAAGCTATGACTATTTCACAAGACACCACCCTCTGAGCATATTCTAACTGTACTTAATGTAGATAAACGCCGGCGGCGTAGGCGCAACAGCTTCGATTGGCGGTGAGGTTACCGCCACTGGTGCGATTTCTGGCGGAGGCGCGGCCACAATCACTGTCTCAGCCGGTGGTGGAGGCAATGGCAATGGAGGCATTAGTGCCAGCGCTACTGATGCTGTCTCGGCCACCGGCGTCGCTGGAGGCGATGCTGAAGCAACTGGAGGAGTTGGTGGCGGCATTGGAGGCGGCGTTGATGGTGGTGTCGGCGGCGGTGTTGACGGAGGCGTCGGTGGGGGTGTCGGCGGTGGCGCTGGAGGCTCCGGCGGTATTGGAGCAACCGGTGGAATTGGTGGTGGTGCCGGAGCCACTGGCGGAGTTGATGGCGGTGCTGGAGGCTCCGGCGGTATTGGAGCAACCGGTGGAATTGGTGGTGGTGCCGGAGCCACTGGCGGAGTTGATGGCGGCGCTGGAGGCTCGGGAGATGTATCGGCCACCGCCGGTGTGACTGCTACCCCTGTCGAGGGTGGTGGCTACCCTACTATTACTGCTTCCGCTGGACTGGGTGGTGATACCGATGGCAATGCCAGCGACAACGGCGGCAAAAGTGCTAGCGCTACGGACGCCGTTACAGCATCTGCCGGCCTGGGCGGTAGCGGAAACGGAAGCGGAAGCGGCAATGGCGCGATCTCAGGCTCCGGTGGACTCGGTGGTGATGCTGGAGCCACCGGTGGCGTCGGCGGTGGCATCGGCGGCGGCATCGGTGGCGGTGTTGGCGGTGGTGTTGGCGGCGGAGCCGGAGGCTCTGGTAGCATTGGCGCGACTGGTGGTCTTGGAGGCGATGCTGGTGGCGCTGGCGGTATCTCAGCTACTGCTGGTGTCACAGCTACTCCTGTTGAGGGTGGAAGCTATCCTACCATCACCGGAGGCGCTGGTGGTGATGCCGGAGGCAGTGGAAACGGAGGAATCGGTGCCAGCGCCACAGATGCCGTTTCGGCAACTGCCGCGCCCTCCGGTGGCTATGGTACCGGCTCCGGCTCCGGTTCAGACTCCGGCTCCGGATCTGGCAATGGCTCCGGCTCCGGCTCCGGCTCTGGCTCTGATTCTGGATCTGGCTCCGGCTCTGGTTCAGACTCTGGCTCTGGCTCTGGCAATGGCTCTGGCAATGGCTCTGGCTCCGGTTCGGGCTCTGGCTCCAGTGCGTCGGCTACTGATGCCATTGGCAGTTCCGCAAGTGGCGAGTGCACAACCTTCACCACGGCTTCGACATTCTCGACCCTTGTCACCGCATCTGGTTCCCCCACCAGCGGCTCGGGAGCCTGCTCTGGCTCTGGCTGCGGTTCAGGCTCGGGATCAGGCTCCGGCAACGGCAACGGCAAATCATCAGGCTACGCCACCTACCCTACCACAACCAGCAGCAACAGCGCCTCTAACCTCACGGCAACTACTAAGCCATTTGTCACTGCTGGTTCGTCCCAAGTGGCCGCTCTGACGACTATGATCGGCCTGGTTGGTTTCTCGATCGCTATGCTCATGTAAAAGGACTGCAAAATTTTATCGTTGGGAACCTTTCTTCATCAGGGATGAGAAGGCGGCTTGTTTGGACAGGAGTTCACAAATCTGTGCTTAGTTGGGCTAATTATTGGCCATCGGCCATCGGAATTGGTAGCCAACTTCCTTAATCTAAAGACACTTTTCAATGAGTCCCATGTTCACCTGGTGCATTGAAGGGACCATACTTGCATATTTTAGTTCCCTCGGGTTGGATGTTGCTCAACACCACCCCGTGACAAGCAACCTTGGTAGGTACAAGTTGTTGGTCCTCATCCACTGCTCTCGATTTCCAACCTGTCACAGTTCCCGACTTAATTCTAGTGTATACCCGACATTTCCGGGTGCATGCGTGGTCAGGGACTTCTAAACCTCAACCACTCCATTCAATCGGACGTCCCGGCTGCTGCCGCCTACAAAAACAGTATAATTCCCACCTTGGACAGCCCATTGTTGTGAGACTGTATCCCATACGCTGATGTCGCGCCGGGTAAGCTCAAATCGCACTGTTGCTGATTCTCCTGCGTGGAGAAGGGCTTTCTCGAAGCCGCGCAGCTGCTTAGGGGGGCTATTGGGGATGCCCAGGTAAAGCTGTGCAACCTCTGCACCGGTCACCGAACCATTATTGGTAATTGTGGCCTCGATAACCGCCACAACTTCCCAAATATCACTCTGTGGCCCGAGACCTGCATCCAACCTGCTGGAGTTGATTGCCAGTCTCGAATAATCAAAACTCGTGTAACTTAACCCATACCCAAATTCATAGCGAGGTGTGATATTTTTGGCGTCAAAATGGCGATAGTCAACGTAAACACCCTCTGTGTAGTCGCATTGAGGGTCTGTATCGTTTGGCGATGCTTGGGCGCAAACATGATAGACCGAATAGTCGCTTTCGTTCTTGGCCAGAGTGTATGGGAGCTTACCAGAGAACCCTGCCTCCCCGTAAAGAAGCTGGACTAGAGCGTCTCCGCTATCTTGACCAGGCAAATGTGCAATTATTGTGGCTGTAACATTGGGATGCTCAATCCATTGGTCCACAAGACGGACACCCACGGTATGGATAACGACGACAGTGTTCGCGCATTTTGAGGCCACACTGAGCACTAGACCGTCGCTGAAGTCATCATGCAGTCCCTCCCGATCCCATCCCTCGGTCGATATCGCATTGATGAAGACCAAACAAACATCAGAAGCTGCGTTGACGTCCGGGGTGGGTGAATTTAGGTCCCAATTCACCCACGTATTATCCACCTTGGCGCGTTGCTGGATGGAACTCAAAGGATCACTGATATAACTAGGCGCATTGGCACCAGCTCGTCCTCCAACCACAATGGTGCCACCCTTCGCAGCCTGGTCGAAATGTTGCTCGGTGCCCAGGACGGCTTGGCTCATCTCCGGTGACGAGAGATAACCCAATTGAAATACTGTATCTGTATTCTTAGTTCTTGGGATAGCAGCATCGTACCCAAACACAGAGAGCATCTTGGGCTTTTCTTTGAATGGCAACGCTTCGTTTTCGTTCTTAACAAGCACGTGGCCCGCGATTGCCCCATCAAGAATAACAGGTTTTGACTCAGGTACTCTGGCGTCAACGTGCTCGTGGGGCAAAGTAAGATTTTTCATGCCAATGCCCGGCGTCGGGAAGTTGGAGCCATCTTGTCCTACCAGGTACCAAGCAGCGACGATTCTGGGTTGTCAGCACTTGAAACAAGACGGGCACCGTGGAAATCATACCGCGTAGCCATGTCAGTCACTCTGTCTTCGCTGACAGTCCCGTTGTGGACTGCGGCAGTGAGGTTATTGCCCCAGCTTCCTCCTCCAGGCATCAGCATATCCAGGCCAGCGTTTGCCGAGTTCAGGCTGTGGCGGGCGTTCCAATCCAGCATGACAAACCCTTCAAAAGCTAGCTCCGTCTTGAGAATGCCATTCATCAGCTTGCTGTTCTCGCAGCCGTAGGTATTATTCACTCTATTGTAAGAGCACCTGTTACATGTAGTATTAGTATATCTTATTAACGAACGGCCTGGGTCGTTTTCGTCGCTGAGAACGAACAAGATTGTGTCGTAATCTCGCAATCCAAGTATTCAGGTCGATACTGGCTATAGACTTACATGACCGATGCCACCCCGGCTTTGACACTGTCCATGAACGGCCAGAGGTAAAACTCATGCAGGGTTTTGTCATCAACGTTGGAAGAGGCTGCCTCGACACCAAAATATGGCCGTCTGAACGTTTCTTGTTCGTTTGCGATGAGGTGCTATAACGAAAGATGTCAGCTACTACAACATTCTCGAGAGACCTTCATACCTTGATAGTCGCAATCACTCCAGCGTCTTGGTGGCCAGCGATCGTCTCCGCGTTCAAGCGGCCGGACAAATACGGATCAACAGAGAAGCCTTCAAAGTTTCGGCCTGCTAGCGGAGATCTACCCAAGGGCCCGGCATTGGGGCCCAGGAGGATGTTTACTGCACGAGGCAAGATGAGCATTTGATGCGGGGTTCAAGATCTGCATGGTGGTGAGCAATCTTACCGCCCTTAGCTTTGAACTCCTTGCCCATGTATAGGCCGCGCTCGTACGTCAGGTTCTTATCCCAACTTGCACCAGCGTGGATGGCCGAGGGGTATGCATTGACCATGTCCGTGGCGCGAACTCCGTTCCCGGCATCGTGCAAGCACATACCGGGCCAGCCCAACCGAGGGACAGTGCCGGTGTTCCCGGCGCAGACATTCTCGGGGTTCACAAAACCCCGTGTGATGTTTACCTTCTCCTCCAGGGTCATCTGGCCTACAAGCTGACGAGCATTTACGTATGCGTCGGCCCATGAACCAAGGCCCTTGCCAGGCGCTGAGAAGAACGACAGCTGTTAGTAAAATGCAGGCCGGTTTGGTACACGAGTGGTGGTAGGACTCACGCGAGGGATACACCGGAGGGGACTGGGCATAGTCGGCAGCAGCAGAAGCTGCCAAAGCCAGCAAAGTTATCAACTGCATGATAGCAGCAGACGAGAATGGCAATACAGCACAGCTGCTGTGCTGTTTGATGCTCCCCGGAGACGCCCGGTACTGTTATTTGTACTGCGGCGAGCCAGGTTTGACTCAGGCCAAGCCAAGGAACGTGAGCGCGCAGGTGACCGTGCCGATACGGACGCACTGGCCAATTGTGGCCTGCAGACCTTGATGGCAACAGGGATGAATAATGGGCAGCATAGTCATCAAGCCTCACCGCTCTACCGGGCCAAGCCCCGCGTGCCCCGGCAGCGGGAATTGTCCCCCGTCGGGACCGGGACGACATGCGTCATTTCTATCGGGGTTGAGGCACACGGCGCGCTGGACTTGGATTAGATAGGAAATGATGCCCACAAGGGTTGTACGTTGGCGTACGTATATTGTGTTGAAAAGTCGCTACAACCTACCCCATACTCCAGTAACCCGCATGGTCTCCACAGCGGCTCCATCACCCCGCATCGCGATGGTTAAATCTCGGATGCCCTGCACTGTTCAAGACCTTGACATGCACTTCGGTATCGAATAGCCCGGTCTGGCATAACATCAGTTGAATGTTTCTGCATCTCAGCAAACCCCCCCAAGACTAAGAATTGTATCAGTAAGCTAACTTTGTCCAACTCCATGATCAGCGCACTCGTCGCGCCTAGGCCCAGGAACTCTGGCCAACGTCAGACAAAGGCGCCCTGTTCTCGTAGCTGACAATCTACTTTTGCACTTCGGTAACCTTGCAAGCCAGCTGCGGCCAACATTTAGTTCAATGTCACTGTAACCTTTCCCATTGAGACCTGCCTTGTTGTAGATGATAGAGATTGTCGAATAATAGCCATAAAAGAATAAAAATAAAATTAACAGAGATCTCCCTTGGAGCAGTGGCATCGTTCCCTGACCATCCCATGGTTATGGCTCTTCATAGACCTCGAGCATGAACAAATTTTTTGAGATTCTCGAGACATAGAGAACATGACAAGGCACAACTATGGTACAACATGCGACATTGATGTGACCGGGAGCTCAGCCTCAGAAAAGCCCTGTCTTAAGCCATATAATCATAGAACCAGTGTGACCGCTGGTAAACGTTGGTATAGTCCCCTGTCCATTGTGGCTCGCAATCCATGGTCATTCCTTGCAAAGAAATTGAGATTTCAGCATCGTCTGCGATTTCCGAAAGCCAACATCAGTAGAACGAGCTGCATATGCAGGGGTGCTTCTCTGTTGGTCTTCATTGAGCTGCGCCTCACAGTACCGGCTCACTCGGGCAATTTCCTTGGTCTCAAGCGAACATTTGCTGCTTCGTGCCCCTAGCAGGTATCTACCCCCGACTAGGAACTCGCCTTTAGGTTCGCCCTCTAGCTCAGTCATCAAGTTGTGTATGCATTCTGATCTGCCTCTTCTACATTTTAACACTGCTTTGAAATCAAGATGTACGCATTTCTGGGAGCATTTTCGTGGCTGAGCTTGACCTTCTCCCTTGCGCTTCTGGCCCTTACCGTGGCAATTTACAGGCTCAACTTCCATCCTCTTGCTAAATTTCCTGGGCCGAAGTTGGCAGCCGTTACTCGCTATTTCGAAGCATATTACGACGTAGTTTGCGATGGACAGTATGAGTTCAAAATCGCCGAGATGCATGAGAGTTACGGTTTGTTATGGCCTTACATACTTGGGAGCCATGCATTTATAACTATCATTAAGGGCCCATCGTACGGATTAGCCCCTACGAGCTTCACGTGAGTGACCCGGACTTCTTCGAGAAGCTTTACGACCGAGACGGACGCTGGAACAAATACGGCTGGGCCTATGATGCCCACGGATCTCCAGGCTCCACGCTTGCAACCATAGATCACGACGTTCACAGATATCGCCGAGCCGCTATGAATCCTTTCTTTTCCAAATCCAACGTAGCTCTACGACAAGAAATCATCACCAGGCTCTCTTCCAAGCTTTGTCATCGGATAGATCAGTTTGCGACCGAAAGAAAATTGCAGGTCAGGCTGGGCGACGCTCTTGGTGCACTGACTCGAGATGTGGCGACTGAATTCGTTCTTGGGAAGAGTTTTGGGAACCTTGATGCTGAAGATTTTCGCGGCGGTGTTGGTAATACTCTCCAAGAATCGGGTACCATCTGGAGGATAACCAAACACATCCGATGGTATGGCGGAATGATCAAGTCGATGCCCACCTCTTTAGTCCAGAAGATCGGCGACTCCGCAGTACTGGAATGCCTTCGCTTCGTTGAGGTTCGTAATCAAGAGTGTTAACCACACCAACTTTTCTCTGAATTTGAACCGTTAATGCCACACAGGATATGACGAGCACTACTCAAGCTATCCACTCAGATCATATCAACGGGCGCCTAGACGGCAGCTCCCCACCCACAGTGGTCGGCGCAATTTTAAACTCGAAACTTCCGGCGATGGAGAAGACACCGGAGAGACTGGGCGACGAGATTATTACAGTCGCCGGAGCGGCTTTCGAGACTACAGCTTTCAGCCTAGCTGTTACACTATACCATATATATAGTAACCCGGCAATCCTTCAGCGTTTACGGGACGAGTTTCTCTCTGAGAGACTTAGCACTTACGACGCGAGCCTCGCAAGCCTTGAGAAACTTCCTTACCTGACAGCTGTTATAATGGAAGGTTTACGACTAAGTCCAGCACTAGCCACGCGCATGGCACGCGTATCACCGGACAGGGACTTGGTATACAAGGCCTGGACCATTCCAGCAGGCACGCCAGTCGGCATGACTCTTATTTCCATGCATCTGAATTCTCAAGTCTACTCTGAGCCAGAAAAATTTGACCCAGAACGATGGGTCAACACAAATACCAAAAAGCAGGCGGGAAAAGCTTTTGCGCCATTTGGCCAGGGAACTAGAAATTGCCTCGGCATGCAGTAGGTCTCCGATCCTATATGCTTAGATAGTACGATATTTGGCTTACTGACTGACTGGTTAGCCTCGCTTGGGCCGAACTTTACATAGTTATTGCGGTACTGGTTCAGCGATTCGATTTTGAGTTTGATATAGGCGCTGGCAGGGATATCAAGTGGGTAAGTGACAAGTTCACGATTGGTACAGCAACTCGACAAGGATTGAAAGCACGAGTCACTCGTTGCGAGTCTTGAACAGTACTCCATCGTAGCTGAATTGTTTCGGTGTATTTCAAATGGTAGGGATGGTGAGAAGATTAGGCGACGGCGCGGCGCAGTGATTCACACCGAACTAGGTCACGTAGCATCTTCCATTACCATGTCTGTTCTTGTGCATAGTATTCCGCATGCTTGATATGGTGGTGGCCCGATGGCTCGGGCCGCAGCCCAAGTCGACTGTGGCCGTTCCATGGTACCAATTCAACAGCGAGCCGTTAAGATGTGAATAGTTCCAGTTGGGGTTATTCGCAACAGGCCAAGACGTGTTACTATTTTTAAAATTTATATCCGGAGTAGGTGGAACATAGGTATGCGAACGAAAGATTTCTGCCTTGATTGACATGCTCGACCTATTCTCCGTATATACTCTTATGGCGACATTGGAAACATCATAAACCTTTCTGCCCGCTTCAATCAAACAGAAATGGCAAGTATCAGCCTGGTCGGATGCACAAAATTGTGTTATATCAACAGCTGGATAAATCGCCAAGACGTGGAGAGGTGCACTGGTGTTTCAGCTCTTCCAGGGTTACGTCTTGTAAGGTAGCACACACAATTCCGAAGAGACATCATTAGGTCAAACGCAGCCTTCAAAGCATCTAGATCCTCCATGCTCCACATATATTGGTCATGTCTGCTCGCGTGCTGATGGGGTTTGGTATAAAAAGACGCGCATTAGCATATTATAGATCAAGTAACCAAATCTGGCCCTTGTCGTGGTACGCTAGGTGGGCTGAAGACCCATAGAAATGTACTTAGTTAGCTACAAGGTTCGCGCTTATGGTGTGGCAGTGTTGAGGCTGAGATTAGCCCTTAGTCAGACAGCCGCGTGGAAGGCGTAATGTCAACCACTACCAAGTCGTTTGCTGACAACACTCTTTCAATCTTCTGAATTGGACTCTATTCTACGGGACAGTCGTTTTCGAAGCTCGCGTTGCGACGTGCGCGTGCCGCCAAGTACCTTCAGTCATGCCAAGAGTGAAGTCGGTTGAGCGGCGGCGGGCCAACCACGCCAAGTCGCGTAAAGGCTGTCTAACATGCAAGTATGCTTTTGATGACCAGATCCTCACAACTTCTGCAAGCTAATCTTGATCTCAGGGGTAAGGAACCCGAAGATCAGACCATGCAATTCCATCTCGAGTACTTGACTCATTTCCCTGTCACGCCTCACAGCTCGCCACATCAAGTGCGATGAGGCAAAGCCAGCATGTGTCAGATGCACGAGCACAGGCAGGGTAAGAGAATTTCCTATTCAAATGCCTCGGATCGCAACTTACTCATTCGACATCGCGATGGCCTAGATATGTGACGGCTACAGAGTAGTATTTGCATTTCGGAACGAATCGCCATGCTTTCAGCTACCGAGTCATCCTGACGACACCCAAACGAGTCGCCGCGCTTTTGAATTCTTCTGCACTGTAACTTGCGGGCAGCTCTCAACAAGGCTGGAAGGCGAGTTTTGGAGTCGCTTCGTTGTTCCGCTTGCGTCTCAGGATAGCACTGTTCGATCCGCAGTCAGCGCATTTGCGGCATTCCACGAGGATTTCATGCGTGGTATTAACCTAACCAAGGAAGTCAACTACGATGCTCTCCAGATGTATAACTCAGCCATCATAGAACATGTGAGGAACTCTGACCCAAGTGTACATCTTGAACCAGCCGTAGCATTTGTGCCTTGCTTGATATTCGCAATCATTGAGGTGAGTTCATGAGGTTCTTACCGTGAAGTATTATCTTTCTGAGTGCTCACTTGTCGGCTTCACAGATGCTAAGAGGCAATCTTGTCGCCTTTACACAACTGATTTCCAAATCCTTTCCGTTGATACTTGCGATGAACCGCGAGCGGGGCGAAAACGAAGATCGCATGTCACAATCTCCCCTCTACGTTATCATCATCATGTTCCGCAACTTTGTGATGGATGCTTGTGGGGCAAGTAGAGTCTCTCTGATGAAGATGGTCTAATGACTGCATGACTAACTTGATGGTCAAGATGCTGGGCTCCGAAGCTTGGCTATCACTCGATGTTCCGAACCTTGACCAAACTCGGAGGAGTATGCCCTGCGTATTTTCATCTGTCTTGGAAGCTCGCCGTTTTCTTGACGCCCTAGCCCAAGCATTTGTCAGCGAGGGCTGCCACGATGAGATACCGCTCTCAAGTGATACTGATATAAGGATTGGCTGCGATGAACATTGGAAAGAGACCCTTGCGAGCTGGACGGCAGCTTTCGAAGGGTTCCTCGCAACTGATGAGACTTTGTCGAAAGCAGACCTCCAGGAGGCTCGAATACTACAGATTCGCTCTTTACATTATCAGATTTCACTAGACGTCAGTCTGAGAGAGGGAGCATATAATCAGATGGTCTGGGATCAGTACCTTCCACAGTATGAGGTCATTGTGAACCTTTCTGAAGCTCTATGCGAAGAGTCCAACAACAAAGATGCCAAGCCTTTTCTATCGCTAGGGCGTTGGCTCGTGGGACCCCTCTCGGATATTGCGGTGAGGTGCCGCGATCCTGGGTTTCGAAGAAGGGCCGTTGCAACACTCGAGAGATTTCCCCAGAGGGATGGTTTCATGGATGGCCGTCTCGCTATTGAGGCTGCAAAGCGCTGTATCGAGATAGAAGAGGGGGGATCAGAAGTTCTTTGTGCTGACAACGTCCCTGAGTCGAGACGCATATCTAGGGTGAGGGCTATTCCGGATTCAGTCAGACAAAAGGTATCCCTGAGGTACTTCCGATATACAGACGGCAATGATCCGTCCGGTCTAGAGGTTGAGGAGCCGCTTGGTTAGAGATACTACTATCAAACAACTTCCAGCTGTCATTGGAAGTGAATATGGTGAAATACATCTTACTTCTACCATGTGAGGCGGCAAGTAACTGTCAGTCTATAACTCAGTGCGATTTCAGATTCATGAGTGCTAGGTATTTGGTGTGGAATAGCCACCACATTGGGATCGCCATGAAGAAAGTAACTGCACCGGTTAGTTGAGGGTTTGTGGGTTAGATATTAGCTGACAAGTTGGGGCGTATCGTTAAGTGTGCAGCATAGGATATACATCTATTTTGGAAAAGGGGTAAAGCTTCAGAAGTCTATTTTAAATCCGTCAATCCGTCGTGCAGGTTTGCGTGGCTGGACATCTGTGGGTTAGAAATTGGATACACTGCGCGCTGATTCTCCGCAAGACAAAGATGCTGGCCATTGATAGTCATTACGTCGAGGTCGGAAGCTACGAATGCAAGAGGCATGCACAGTACATTCAGTCAACACCACAACCGAGCCGGCAGCGGAGGACATAAGGATTCAGGATCGGCCGCAATAAGAGGCGTTCCTTGCAAATCTACTTCTAGTATATTTCCTAACTTTTGATTTCAAAGACACTATAAAATGGGCGATTAGGAAACTCTGCTGTGGGGAATAGCGTGTATTTTCTTCAGACCAGCATGATTTCCTTTATCTCTGCCTGAGCCCACAAGGCCGGAACCTCTTCGCTGACTTGCTCAAAAACCCCCAAGCCCAGCCTCATATACTGAGTTTCGTCAACCCTGCCGAGAACAAGCGCGTACGCTACATCGGCGTCGTATCCAAGTAGCAAGAGAAGGCTCTGCGATGTTGCTTTAGTCTCCTCTAGATCGGTCTCTATATAACCCCAGGGCTGCTCTTTTTGGTAGATTCCATCATCCAGCACAAGCTGAGCTTGGGCTGAGGTAAGGGTCCTACCCTGTACAACGGCACACTTTTTATTGATTGATAATGACACGAGTATGGCATCCGGCTCGCTATCGAAACGACCGGAAGCTATCTGTACAGTTGGCGGCATAGATACCCACGACCAAGTAGGCGCTCGATCTGATCGTGCTTCGAAGTCACCTGCCCAGGAAACTGTCCAGGCAAGTTCTTCAATGAATCTACTCTTCCACAGGCCAAAAACACACTCATCACTCCAGAGTTCCGATAACTCTTGAGTCACACCTGTAATTGCATTCAGTCTATCTTCTGGATCGGTTAGCGCTCGTCTCGTATAGTCGGTCAAAATGTCGTGCCAGAAATTCTTTTGTCCTTCCGTTGTAAGATGTGCATCGGAGGACTCTGCGGCGTGGAAAATGCCAAATGGAACCCGAGACGCGCGGCTAGGGTACTGAACGATGTTCGGTCGAATTGTCTCCAGGCTGAGGGACCGACACTGCCAGACTAACTCCTTGTCCGTGTAGTAGAGGTGCCTGCTTGAGAGAAGGTACTCCTGAAAGGCCCATGCACGATGTGAGAGAGGTTGTGTGTGAAATGATGTAGACTGAAGAGGTGTCAGGTAAATATGCCCGGGCCTGCCATTAGGACCAGTCAGCTGCTGTTGGCAACAGAACTTAGTTTCTGTTTTCCACTGAAGGAAGCCATCTCCAGCCGCTTTCGACGATGCGGCAATGATTGTGGCAGTGGCGTTCTTGTATATCTTCCCCATCCGCTGGATTTCATAAGCCTTGTCCTCAAGACTATCTTGAAGGATACAAAGAGCATCTATCCATAGATACTGAAAACCTAGCTCTCGTGTGACGATGATGGCATCTCTTAGGGTCCTTGGAAATTGCGACAATGAGATACCACCCACCAATGCGTCAATGTTGTGGGTCATGGTAGTCAACGGCTGTGGCCCACCCCAGCTATAACTCAGTGCAAGATAGTCCCCACGTTGCCCTTTTCCCGATATATGCAGTTGAATGGAATCCTCTCTACCTCCATAGTCAACGCGGAGGACTCTGGTCGGCAGAATTGGCGGCTGCTCAGAAGGACCACAGTCTGGATGGTTGGCTCGGCAGTCCTTGAACCATCGTCGAGCAGCATCTATGACCAAGTCACTAGTCATGGAGTCCAAGATTGGAGGCCGCGCAGGGAAGTATTCATTTAGACTGTCTCCTAAGTTAATCCATTAGCGCACAAGTGGCGTTAGGCATTTTTCTCATACAAATTCCATACCTTCGTACGTGAATGCTGCGATCTCGCATACTCCAAGGAAGTATCTTCCCTGTTCTTCGCTCCAAGCATTCGCGGTCAAAGTATCTAAGCTTAGTGGATGGGGTTGTCCAGCGGCGGATGCGACCAACGCTGGTGTTGCACGCTGGCAACTTGCCTTAAAGATCAGCGGCGATGGATCGGCCCGCTGGAAGAGAGCCTTCGCCGCCTTCCAAATGACTTGACATAGTGTGCAGTTCGTCGCACTCTGTCTGCAATAGCTCGCGTTGAGGTGAGAATAGCCTTCATCGCTCCAGAGGGACTTCAGTCCGTCTGGGGTGAACATATTTGAGCAGGTTCCACACCAACTGCCCGTCAGGGTAGCGGCCTTGCGATCACTGGTGGTCATGCAATCCATAAATCTGGCCGGATCTTTTCAGTCAAATGTTCGTCCCTTTCAATCGTAGAGTCTCGTATGGTGAAGTTGAGTAGATGTTGTTGGATTGTGCTGAGATCACCGAGTTCAGGGGGGTGCTGGTCTCAGAATAAGCGTGCTCGCGGCACTGAAACACGCGATACCGAATGTAGAAGAGTGCTCAGCCTCATCGCGGACTGGGACCGAACACAGAATTTAACCGCTGCTCCAGCTTTTGATAAGTGGTAATAGGCAAATACCTCTTTCTTTGGACGCATATCTTGGTGGTTTATATACATTTCAGCAACGCGAACTGAAAAGGGCAACCAATATGGTATGGGTTTGGGAACACTCTCCATGCAGTGAATATACTACATGGCTTGCGTGGATGTCGCGACAGAGAGTGCCGAATGTCGTTTGGGGCGTACATTCGGCGCGAAATGTCTCAATTGGCTTGTGTGAATCGATATGCGTTTCTGTAAAGTCCAAACTGTACGCCTGTTCTATTGGATTAATCTGACCCTTACCCCAAATTGATGAACGTTGGCTGGCCGGGTACCCAAGACAGATTGGTCATTACGCAGCCTTCTCCCGTGACAAACGCACCCCTCGTAAATATATTTTCGGGAATAAAAGGAAGAGAGGTCATAATTCCAAGCCCGTTGTCAGTATTGTCAGTTGCGGTTGTAGCGGTTGTAGCGGTTGTGTGATCGACAGTCGGGCTTGGTGTAATTTCGTTATCTTGACATTGTGTAGCTTGCTATCTGTCAGTAAATGTAGAGGCCAATCATAGATAAAAAGAAGTAGTTACCTAAGTATGCAACGAGGTTGACTCTAGTACACCCATTTGGGACCAAGTGGGCGTCGAGTATAATGTATACCAACCCATCATCATGATCTCTGCAAAAGCTAGCACGGCCACCTACGAACTCGACGTTGGTCCAAGATAGTGTCGCGTCAGCGAGCAACGAGAAGACTCGCGTGATACTGCCTTGAGGACTCACGCGGAATGGCATAATAGGAACGCCTGGCGTTGCGGCTAAAAGCTCGCCACCAGACATCAACTCCCCCTGTCGAAGTACGAATAAAGCAGCATCACTGCAAGAGCTTGCAATGAAACGACCATTCTCACCTACAAATCCTTCCGTAGCAGCGAGATTATTGATTAGATTCGCGTTGCGTTTAGATACGAATGTATCATCAATAGGAGTGACACCAAGTATGATGGGGTCCATCATATCGATAGTGCTGGGCGGGGTCGAACTTCCTGTTACTGATTCTGTGCTTGTGGAAGATGGGCGAATCGTGGGAGATATTTTTGCGCCACTGCTCGCTGTAAGAGGCGTAATTTGCGAGCTTGTACCGGATGGTATAATGGAATTGATCGAAGTTGTAGTTGTTGACGTCTCCGATATCACCAAGCTCGTCCCGCCCGATATCTCGGTCGCAGGGCTCTGGATAGACGTGCTTAGCGCTCCATTCGAGAAAGCGGAGACCTGTGTGGACTCGACCGAGCTTTGCTTGCTAATTGAATTAGATATCGACGAGGCTTCTGCGGTAGTCCTATATCCAGTGCTTGAGGTGAAAGGTATCGCAATCGGTGACGTGAAGCCCGTAGCTGAGAGCCGTTGATTAGCAATCCAAACCAAAGACAACCATGCAGCAAGAGAGGGGTTGGAAGAGTTTACATGTCTCGGTCTCGTTCTTTTGAACAATGATCACGACTTCACTCGCCGGTTTGGCTAGAATGACATTGATATATGTCTCAGCCGCCCGACGGAGCGATCGCTTCCGACTTAATGCACCACCGCCACACCTCTCACTTGCGTCACCACGGCATCTTGCTTCGCAGTTATCTCTGTCTTGGCCTGGCTCAGTAGTACTAATTTGCTCTCCACAGAAGCATGCACCTTGGTTGTTGGCTGAGAGTGATTCTCCGTCGCCGGCGCAGTACCCAGCGCAGGTAGATGCTTTGTCTCCAGCGTCTTGATTATTCCTAAATCGATCTGTTGCGTTTACTCCACCGAAGGGATTTTGGTCTGCCGGTATTCCGAAGCAGCCAATGTACTCGACCACATACACAACAACGTCAATAACTTCGCCTGTCTCTGGGTCGTGTATTTCTAAATAAACGAGAGCAGCAGTTCCTGGTGCCACATCTTCGGAATCGAAAATTGAGGCAAAACGCTTAACTTCAGTGGAGGTCGCTGTGAATGTAGCCAACGCGTTTGTCGTGGTGGCTGAGGTGGTACTTTCTGTTGCCAAAGTTGACGACCCGGTAATGCTTGACGGAGGTAACGTTTGGCTCTGGTCTGCTGGCTTAATGGTGTCTTTGTTGCCAGACGTAGTTACGAATTTGCTTGAACTCAAGCTCCCGGCGCTTGTACTCGTGATACTGGAGCTCGGACTGTCCAACTTGCTGGTAGACAAAGGTGGATCTTTCCCAGGGATCGATGATGAAGTTGCGGCGGAAGTCCCCGAGCCACCAGTCACGATATTTGTATTGTTGGTGGTACTAGCCATGCCCGAGACAGAACTGCTGGAGGTCTGGGATTCCAATTCCAATGTCGACGAGGCTTCGACTGTGTCAGTGATGGTTGTCGGTAACGGAGAAGGTGTCATGATTGCTGACGAAGTTTCACTCGTCGTTCCCAATGCTGAAACAGATGCAGTGGTACTTGCCGAGGCAGACGAGTCTGTGTGGGTGGCTTCATTTGTGATGTCCGAACTGGGAGATGCTGTCAAAGACATGGTCGGTAGAAATGCTGAAGTCGAAGAGTCGATTGTTGCCTCAGAGCTCTCACCTACAGACGATGCCACGAAGGTGGGATTTTCGGTCTGGATGGTAGTGCTTGACTCAGAAGGCGCTGTAATGGCCGTAACTGGGCTGGAAATCGTAGAGGAAACAATCGGGCTCGTAACAACGTTTGTTTCCTCTGTCTCATGAGACCCCGAAGATTGGTTTATAGATTCAATAACAGATGTCGTGCTTATATCACTGCTGCTCGTTGTTGTCTGCCAGGTAGTCGAACTTGTTGTAGTTGGAGTGGTTAACGTTTCCACAACGGGGTTCGTGCTTGTGTCCGTGGTGGCTGTTATCGTAAGAGACGAAGTGGGAAATACGGTCTCAGATTCAGACATGGCTGAAACTGTGGTTTCTCTGCTAGTTTGTCTAGAAGTAGCTGATGAACTAGAACTCGAAGTGTCCGGACTAGCGGCTAGAGGTGTTGACAGAGACGTGGAACTAGACGTAACAAGACTAAGCTCGGTGCTCGTCTCAGAAGTAAAAGGGCTAGAGGGAAGAGTTGATGTGCCCGACGTTGGAGAGCTAACTTCACTAGGTGTGGCGATGAAGTCAGAAGAGCTGGTAGATATTGGAATGTCATCGGAAACCAACGTCGATCGGAAGGAACTGCTGAGGGTACTAGGCTCTCCGGGGCTGCTCGAGGTTGTAGTCAGTGTGGCAAATGCGGTGACGGTACTAGATATGCCGTCTGTAGTACTCAAGCTAGAAGTGCCAGGGTCAGGGCTTGATGAAGTAGAGCTGAAGGAGGTTGGACTGGACAAGTTAGAAGTTGAAGAACTGGAACTCGATGACGAGGTCGGCTCAAATGCGCTGCTGGAAGTAGAGCTGGATGAGGTCGGACTAGACGGCAAGCTGGACGGCCTGGTCGGATCTAGAAACGACCCAGAGGACGAGCTAGAAGTAGACGATGATCTCGGCGAGCTATTCGGATCTGTGGAGGAGCTGGAGGACGAGCTGGAACTGGAAGAGGAACTAGACGAGCTGGATGGGCCGGACGTGGAAGCCGGGCTGGTCGAACTGGAGGACGAGCTCGAACTGGAACTCAACGAACTTGAAGAAGTGGACGACGAGCTGGACGAGCTGATCGAGCTGGTCGAGCTCATCAGATCTGTGGACGAGCTCGAACTGGAACTCGACGAGCTTGAAGAAGTGGACGATGAGCTGGACGAGCTGGACGAGCTGGACGAGCTGGACGAGCTGGACGAGCTGGACGAGCTGGACGAGCTGGTCGAGCTCGTCGGATCTGTGGACGAGCTCGAACTGGAAGTCGATGAACTCGAAGAAGTGGACGAGGAGCTGGACGAGCTGGACGAGCTGGATGAGCTGGACAAGGTGGTCGGAGCCAACGAACTAGACGTACTGGACGAAGTAGAAGAACTAGATGAAGAGCTGGAGGATGAACTGGAGGATGAACTGGAAGGCAAGCTAGATGAGCCGGAGGATGAGCTAGTAGAGCTGGTTGGGCTGGCTGAGCTGGTTGAGCTGGTTGAGCTGGTCGAGGTCGTCGGGGTCGACGAACTAGACGTACTGGACGAACTAGAAGAACTAGACGACGAACTAGATGACGAAGTGGATGAAGAGCTAGAGGACGAGCTGGAGGGCGAGCTGGAGGGCGAGCTGGTCGAGCTGTTCGAGGTCGTCGGAGTCAACGAACTAGACGTACTGGATGAAGTAGAAGAACTGGAGGAGGTGGTGGATGAGCTCGTCGATGGACCTGTAGGAGTCGGTGTTGCTGTTTAAAGTCAGCTGCACCATTATATAAATCCTAATTGGAGGAGCTGCAATGCTCGCACGGAGAATAAGACGTAATACTCGTTTCACTTTATTTAAGCGGGGGGAAACGATCGTTATGACGGCGCTTTGTAGCAGATTGTGCTCTGCAGAAGACCGCAGCTGTTATGTGTGACACTTACTTCCAGTACATCCATACTGCGATTGCTAATGTAAGCTTATTGTGCCATATCGTGTGATACGATGGTGCTAATATGGGAATTATATCCAGGGACAGAGCTTACAGTTGACGTAGTAACAGTTTCAGTGTAGGAGAAATACCATGACCCAGTAGTTGCGCTCGCAGCGACTGCGTAGATGATAGCTCTGTTGTTCAAGCCACAATTCTGCTGTGAGCCAGTTCCTTGGCAAGGCTCGTTGCAATTATCCATCTGAATCGGGTTCTGACGGCTAAGTAGCCCATCACCACATACGCACTGTGTGTTAAATCTCGAACCACCGACCGCCGCCCAAGTTTTTCCTTGGGCAAAGCAGTAGTTGGTGCACTTATCCACATCTATATTGGGCGGAGTTCCCTGATTTTCAGCCGGCGCCACATTGCCGTTGTATGATAGCAGGTTACCCAGTTCGGCGTCATAGCAACCGAAGTTGATCATTGACGACGTTACGGCACCACGGGTAACGGTTGCTGTGGCCACAAACGAAGCCGACCTCGTAATTGTAGGATTTATAGTACCCCCGGATGAGTATTGGCTGAAGTAATTCCGTCTAGATGAGATACTCAGAGGTGTTGGGATGCAGCTGTATGCGGTCGGGTCTGGTGTGGCGGGTCCCCCGTCCTGCTCGATTCTTGCGTATCCAGGGATTCGAGGTATGTGGCACCCCATTAGCCTTGGATTGGCGTAAATGGGATAAATCTGGAAGCCAGCATTGCCACAGCACGTTCCTGAGGCTGGGTCACAGTTTCTGGCTGACTGTCAGTGTGCCTGAGCCGACTCCACTATTGTCTTCATACTAACGTTGCGCCAGTGCTACAATTGATAGTACACTTCCTATTGCTTGGAGTGTTCACGTTGTCGTCGTAGGACCGTGCTTGAACCCCAAAATCTGTCCCACAGAAGCAACGTACTGGGTTTGGGTTGCTGGTGGCTGGTCAGAGGAGGTCGCGTTAATGAATGGAGCTTCTGCGATACCTTGTGTCCCTGAACATATACGACAGTGGAAAGCCGTTCTGTGAACAAAATGCCAAACAAGCAGCTGGAGATGCTTGCCGTGACTCGCGCGCTAAATCATCGGTTGGCAGGTTAGGCTTGCTGAAGCAGCCCAAGTATCCAAATGTAGTGGCCAGTTGCGCGGGCGTTGAACCTGCAAGGGACGTCTCCGACTCGAAGGAAGGATCCACAAAGATCCGAGCATGGGGTGTAAAAGAAGCCTGACCACAATTCTCGGATCTATCTCCTCCACATGGGTTGCCATCAGGTCGCGCATAACATATCCCCTGGTCTGACGCCCTTCTGCCCAGGTTCGCACCGAGTAGTGTACCACAACGACATGATCTGTCGTAGAGCGAAGCGTACCGGAATCCGTGCGCTCTGCAGGCTTGAACGCAGTAGTTGGGCCCAAGTGTGCTGTTGATATTATTCCCACCTTGATTGAAGTGGACATAACTCCTGGACGGGTCGCCTCCTACGAACTGATTCTGTACAGCGAAGGCGAATGGCTGGCCACCGGTGTTGTAGCATCCTAGCTCTTGCCAATTCTGCGACTGGGAGCAGGAGAATGGTTCAAGAAAATATCCCTGTCCCGCCACTATAGTAGCAAATACCCAGATAGCGAACAGGACCACGGCCGCTCGTGATGTCAGACTCATGTTAGATATCATGTCGCGTCTAACGGCATTCAGGACGATAAGGATACGTTTCTTTCTTCTCTCTTTTCCTTTCGGAAAATCAAAACGGGAGCAAAGATATGAAATCACTTGGCGGCTGGAGGAGCCTAGGGCGTATAGAGAGATACATGACAGAGGTCTGAGGAGCACGGGACAAATATAAGGTCAGGAGAGATTAGTGATCTTGTCTATCACGATGGGCAACCCGGTGAGTGGCCTCATACTAGGAATGCTTGCATTGACCAGGTGGGCCGGGTCGCGGCTACTGCCTTTCTTTGACTCAGATCCTGCATAAAAGTCGGCAAAGGCGCAATAGTACGGACCGAGTGGCAGTGGTGAGACCCTCCCCGAACGACATATTATTATAACACAGGGAGGGCGTTGACCGGCTAGAACGCGTCCAATGCGCAACCAGGTATCACTGGCCGAGGCGCTGGCAAAATACATCAATACAGGTTAGCCTGTATAGTTTTATACTAAATTGATAGTAGTAAGTCGCATTGAGAGGACTTTCCTTGTCATATGTGTTAGTCGTCGGTTCCTTGCCTAGCCGCCTAGTTTCCATGTGTCACGCTAGGGATTGCGGGAATGACGGCACATTCAACACATGGCTTGGCGGAGGACACAAGGGTGTTTCTCAGACACGGATAGTGCCTACGAAACAGTTAAGCCGTGAGAGTGCATGCCAGGAACGGCCCATCGTATGTCTCAGATCCGAACTTCTCTTAAGAATGCGGCGAGATTCTCCATCTAAGGATTAGGTAGTTAGAGATCTGATCAAAGACATCATGGGAGGTTTACTTGATCAAGAGTAAGGCTCAAAGATCAGAAACTTATTGGGCAAAGTCAAATCAATTGGATCAGCGTAGAAAAGACCAACCGTGAAGCTGTCATGGACATGGACGTGGTTTGCAGGTCAGTCGTAGCTCTAGGTAGACACCGACGGGTGGCGTCGCGGGAGTGGCTGAAACAGTGGGTGATATTCACTGAGCACGGCGTAGCATAAATGGTGCCCAGAAGTCTTGATTCACTTGCTTTATTAGAAGTGGAGAGAATAATGAGGGAGCCTCGCAGGGTCCTGCCGTTCGTATTGGTGGTACCCTGATGGCCTACGATTATACAGCGTGACCGCTGTTAGGATTACCTCATTATTTAGAGTGAAAGTTTCAGTTTCGGTGGTCATGGTATACATTCCCAAGATGTTCCTGAGGGAGGTTGATTGCCATTCTCGTCAATCATCTTTCCATGTCCGCCGGAATTCGAAAGCTTTGGTCCAAGTTATACGAATTACCCATTATGTTAGCTGACATTCTTCCTGATTGATAGAAATTTGGACAGTTGGCGGCCGATAGAAACAGTGGACCTCATGTTGACCGCTTAACAATACCTATCCTACTGAGAATAGCAATGCTTACATCACGTCGGTACCTGGTGTATCTACCCACAATGAATTTCTCATCTCAAAAACACAGACTGAATACGTCTCAACCGTCTGAGTAGAATGTCACTTGCAGGAAGAAGAAACATAGCGGAGTCTATCATGTGTAAGATGTGTAACATCTCGTAATGGTAATGTATTTGTCATAATTTGCTAGGTACCGCGTCGTACATAACATGGCGCGTACTGTAATTTGTAAGGCTCTAAATTTTCTTCTAGGAATTAGATGGCCTCTTTCTCGACGTGAGTGACATCCTTGTCATCACCCAACACACCATCCCCGATGTTTTGGCGCTGGGCGAAAGTCGTCGTTGGCTTCCAGTGCACGCTCTGTGGTGCAAGCTTCACTTCGTTGTACATCTCGTCGACCTCCTCCAGACTGAAACCCTTCGTCTCGTAGATGAAGAAATAGACGAAGGCGATGCACAAAAAGCAAGCTGCAAACCAGACGAAAAAGATCTTGGATTGTAGGTTGGCGTAACCCGGACCGAAATTAACGAGGTAAGGGGTAGCGTAGGCGATAGCCCAGTTGAGCAGCCACTAGTTGAGTATTAGTCTTCGCATCCGATTTTTACATGTTTCTTGAGTTATATGTTGTAAACTTACGTTTGTGGCAGTAGTCATGGACAAACTTCTTGCACGAGTCTTCAAGGGGAAAATCTCGCCAGTGACAACCCAGGCCAATGGTCCCCACGTGGAGGCGAAGAAGAAAATGTAGATACAGACGAAAGCGATGCCTGCCTTTTGCGCGGCAACGTTGTAAACAATGATGTTACCTGCTGAGTCTTGTCCGGTGGTCAAGGTGCCCAACATGGCGACGATAAACTGGCTCACGCACATGCCGACGGCTCCCCATAGCAGCAGAGGTCGTCGTCCAAGCTTATCGATGGCCCATAGACCAGGGATGGTAGAGACAACATTGATGCACGAAGTGATCATTTGAATAGTGAAGGCGTCCTGAATTCCCGAGTTCTTGAAGTACTGGGTGCCGTAGTAGAAGATGAAGTTGATACCTGACAGAGTGCAATTAGAATGTGTTTAGGACAATGTTATACATGCATAGTTTATGCACAGGGGCTTAAAGGAAGCCCACGAGGGCGGTGGAAACCTCCCCACCGAGTCGAAAAGAATGAGAACACGGCAAAGGATGTTGTGGTCAGACATACCTGTCAGCTGCTGAAGAGCTTGGATACCCATACCCGTAAGCTGGCGCTTGAGCATCTGGCCCTTGAAGCAGTCGATGTAGCTGGCCTTTCCAATGCTCATCTCGTAGTCGTGATTGGCCTTGACCTCGCCGAGCTCGGCCTTGATTGGCGCAGAGTCGGCCGGGAGTCTTCGGAGCCTGCTGAGAGCGTGTGCCGCCTGCTCGTACTTTCCCTTCTTGATGAGGAATCGTGGTGTCTCCGGCAGGATCAACATGCCGACGATGAGGATGATGGCCCATGCGAATTGCACTGCGATAGGAATTCGGTAAGACCCAGTATCCTGTCGGTTCTGAGTAGCATAGTTGACGATGGCAGCCAGGAGAAGACCGATCGTGATGGCAAGCTGATAGGCGCCAACAATAGCGCCGCGAATCCACTTGGGAGCAGTCTCGGACTGGTACAAGGGAACGATGGCGGACAGGAGACCGACTCCGAGGCCGGCGAAGAATCGACCAGCAAGGAAGAGCGGCAGGGCCACTGCAGCCGTTTGTAGGATAACACCCAGGATGAAGACTACCGAAGAGACAACAAGACCAAGGCGACGACCAATGTTGTCGGCCAACAGGGGAGAGGCAAGAGCACCAAAAAAGGTGCCGGCCGAGAGGATCGAGACAATTGCTGAAGACTGTTCGGGTGACACATCGAGGTGTCCAGTGGAGTTACGGTAACCCGTCGAGAACAGGTTCATCCAGTAATCCATGGCCAGAATACCAGAGATGGTTCCAGTATCATATCTGAACAGACAGTTAGGCAATTGCCGAGAGGGTTCCATGTAATAGCTACTTACCCGAAGAGAACACCACCAAAGGCAACAAACAAGCCAATAACAATAGCAGGCCACGCCTTGCCTTCCTCGCCGGGAGGCTTAACCAAGGATAGTCGCCGTGCCATGATGAATGCTGTCCGAGGCGCGTTGACCTTGGTTTGGGAGTAGAGTGAGAGATACAGATCAGAAGTCAAGGCCCCGTAGAGAAAAGCTGGGGTTGATCCAAGTCTTTATACATGTCGCGAGTGACATGGTTTGAGCCGCACATAAAGTTTCGGGGCAGGTCCTTGATTGGGCAGCGGGTCTGGGGCATGTTCTGGGCTTGGCCTTGACAGAGGGCGACCAAGGGTACCATTCTGGTGGTCGAAACGGCGGCCATGTTGGAAAATCATGAACAGAACGAGACCGCGGTACGGCTAGCGCCTGCCGACTGGCGCTATAATCGCACCATAATGGGACATTCCACTGACCAAAGAGTGGTCTCGAGCACCGCTGTCAGCCATTTGACTTTCGGTGCCACATTAGCCTGCTGATGGGCTGGGATGTTGAGTAGCTTTCCACGGCCGGTCCGATTGCGATGCAGAGTAGACCATGGGAACGGCGCCAGGGGGGTAAGGATGGTGGGTCATCCGTTGACTTGGACGGCCATGAACAGCATCAGGACCAATGGCAAGCAGCGTCCAGGGAAAATTACTCGGGCCCATACGGGGGTAGCGTTTCTTCCCCGGGGGCCTTAGCCTGCCCACATCCCAAGATTGCCGGGGCCAGCACCCCATGATGGGACAAGTCTGGGGGAGAATGACGAGTGACAAGAAACAAGTGAGCCGGGTAGCGGATGAATGAAATTAAAACCCAGGTGTCGTGTCGTCGCTTCGGGCAAGGTTGATCGAGTGCTAGTATGTCGTGATACACACGACGATGGATGAGCAGTTCAATCGTGGTCTTTGCGTACATATTTGTCAGTGGCGCGTTCTTCTAGGTTGGATGGCTGGAAGTTGACGTCGTGACATCATCAGGGCATATCACGCGGTGTTAACGAGAGCCCAGGATTGAAACGACCATAATGGGTTGACTACTATGAATACCCTGTAAGGTGGCGGTTAAGCGTCACCAAGGCTTTCGTGGAGGCCGGGGGGCGCTGGAATTGCCGCACACGCAGCAGGCTTGCCTCGACACTAGAAGGCTTGGCGATAGAGATTCTCGGCGAATATTTCGAGACATTCTCTCAGGCTGCAGCGGCTTCACCGTTGGCAAGTTGGGTGTCGTGCTTCGTGAGCTAAAGCTTTCCGCAAAGGTTCCAGTGCACTGGAGCCTTTGGGCGGTACAGGACCTATGCTGGGTAACCCATACAGGTAAGCTCGAACCTCTCGGGGCCAATTGACTTGTCGCTCATCGTCTTCACAATCCTGGATCTGGGAGTCGTGTGACTGTCAGACGTAGAAAAGGAAAAGGATGGAAGTCCAATCCATTGGGTACGACAAAGAACGAAGGATCGTAGATTATCCACTTTGGCACTGTAGTTGGGACACGGATGTACCGTAGAGTTGATTGAGGCCGGTGGCAACTTGGACAGTACTGTGACAGACAGGGCTTCTCCTCAGCACCCCCAGCTGCTTCCCCAAGCGACCCCCATAATGACCCCTCACGATGTTAGGCGGGGAAGTCGTTGGAGGTGGTCTGAGGCCCAGCTGAATCCCACCGGTGCATGGTGCTGCATTCGGCCATGCAAGTGGAGAAGATAACTTATTGGTGACTCCAGGTTTGCAATGCTGGGGGGAAAGTGGCTGTGGGGGTTGGCCCATACACTATTTTGGGTTGAAAATTCTTCCCAAGCTGGCAAAGGTATGCGAAGCTTCGCGCACCCCGCAGTGGGTGCGTTTTCTCGCGCTGTTGATTCCGTCGTTGTCGCTGAAGAGAGTGATAGGGAGGCAGGAGGTGATTTTCTGAAGATGGCGATCTCTCAGTCTCCATCACCGCCCTGGGTAGGTCCATGGTACAGGAGATTCCTCGCAAGACATCGCAAGAGTTTCCCGCGCGTGTGCTGAGGCGTGGGCAAGGAGATGGGGTTGTCCCCGCATTGGGGTAGGCGGACGAGGCGTCACCTCGGCGGTACTCGTCCCTAGCCAGCAGCTTGCGAGAGACCTGACACCTCTAGGCAAATGCACTCCGCGCATTAACGCCCTTATGCTCATGGATAATGGGCATCCATGATCTAACGAGTCGCGTTTTCTCTCGGAGCGTCATTCGGCCTTGCCAAGCCTGCCGTCTCAGCAAGTCTTCGGTGCGTGGCTTTTTCTCTCATAGGACACACTTGGCAGTCAAAGCCTCGTTTGCGAAGGATCTGGTGCCCTCCTAATCCCCGCCCCCGTTTGACGTCTCCTACGTAGACATAGCATTGCAGATAGTGGATCGTGGACAAGACCCAGGGCGTTGGATGGGGTTGTGGAGGGCAACAGAATGCCACGTGAGAAGCCTTCTTGGCGCTTGGACAAGCTCGACAAGCAAGTCTGGCGGTGTCGATCGCGTGCTCACGGTGGTCTAGCCAAGGCCTCGCCAGCACGCCGAGTACGTATTGCACGTACAGGAGTTCACACCCTGCATGGGTCGTCCAAGACGTAGTTAATCGAGCGCGATCGAAGACATCATTGGCCCGTCCGTCCTGTGTTCAATGGAAGCAGTGAGGCCCGACGCCGGCTGAGAATTTGAGGCTGCTGTTGGGGCTGCTGGCTGAATCGCGGTCGCATCGCTTCTGGCTTTCGACCTTTGCGGCTCGCACTTGTGCTAAGCCGTAATTTAGCGCCGGCATGCAACGCGCCGCCCCCTGCTTAGCGAAAAGGAGCCCCACCACACATTTTGACGACACGTCGAGGGTTGAGCTGCAGCGCGCTGTGAGGCCGGCCTTGAGAGACAGGAGTCCATCGAAGGAACAGCAGCGTCGACTCTCGGCAAATTGCACGCAACGTCGTCTCCGGACGCCAATGGCCATCGCAGCATGACCTCGTCCCAACCAGGTTCCGCCGTCCGCGGGGCCTCTCTCCTGATCATACTGCAGTTTGCATCGCGCTTTGTGACCTTTGGCGCCAACCAGCTGCTGCTACGCTTCCTGACTGCTCGCCTCCTGGGCGTCTCGACTCAGCTCGAGGTCTACTACCTCTCGGTGCTCTTCTTCGCACGCGAGAGCTTGCGTGTTGCCATCCAGCGCCAAGGTCCCGATGCGTCCACCGCCAGGAATGGGGCTGCCGGCAAGAGTCATGAAAACCAGTCCGTCGTCAACGTCGGCCATCTGGCTTCAGTGTTGGGCCTCGGCGCCGCCATCGGATTAGGGGCCGCCTATTTACACTATGTTGACGCCGCAACTGCCGAGACACCATATATGGAGCGGTCATTGTATATCTATGCATTCGCTGCTGTCATCGAACTGCTCTCTGAGCCCGCCTTTGTGGTTCTGCAACACCGCCTGCAGTTCGGTCCTCGAGCCGCTGCCGAGTCCATCGCCACCTTCGTCCGTTGTGCCGTGACCTTCGGGGCAGCGAATTGGGCATGGCGGGCTGACCGCGAGCTGGGCGTCCTTCCGTTCGCGTTGGGCCAACTAGGATACGGGCTTGGACTACTATTTGTGTATCTCTGGTACGGATGGGGCCTGGCCTCGTCAGAGGGATTCTCTCTTCTACCAAAGAGGATTGCTGGTACGAGTACAGGCCATGAAACGGATGAGAAAACCATAGCGGATCATCCGAAATATACCTTGGGTTACTTCTATGCGCCGACGCTCCACCTTGCTTCCAGCCTGACGGCCCAGTCATTTGTCAAGCACATCCTCACTCAAGGCGACACATTTCTGGTCTCTGTCCTATCCAGCCCACAGTCGCAGGGTGTCTATGCACTGGCAAACAACTACGGGAGTCTGCTGGCACGGCTGGTGTTCCAGCCGATCGAGGAGAGTAGCCGGAACTATTTCAGCAAACTCCTCTCCGCAAGCTCAACCCCCCCAGCGCCAGCGAAGGAGGCAAACGAGAGCAAGCAGGACAAACCAGAAAGACCTAGTCAGCCAAATGGCAACATCGTTAGCGCAAAGGCCCATCTGCAATCCCTATTCAGGGGCTACATCCTACTGAGCATCTTGGTCACCACCCTCGGCCCCTTCGGCGCTCCCCTGCTTGTGCAAATTATCGCGGGCAAGGCATGGGCAGCCAGTGGCGCCGGCAGCGTGCTGGCGCAGTACTGCTTGTACATCCCGTTACTTGCGCTCAACGGCATTAGTGAGGCTTTCGTGTCCTCGGTGGCATCCAAGGCCGAGGTGCACCGCCAGAGTCTCTGGATGGGCGCGTTCAGCGTCGCTTTCGGCGTTGCTGGATTCGTGTTTCTGCGCGTACTGGATCTCGGTGCCGTCGGATTGGTCTACGCCAATGGAATCAACATGCTCTGCCGCATCCTATGGAGCGGTCGGTTCATCTCGGCATACTTTGGGAAGCATGGCGTTGACTTTGGCTGGACGGCCGTGGTGCCCAATGGCGTTGCCATCTATGTTCTGGGGACAGCTGCACTGTGGCAGGCCTTGACTCAAGTCGCTGGGATTACCGTTGGCGGCGTATCTGACAATGTCTTTAGGGATGTGATTAAGGTAGTTGGTATGGCTCTGCCGTACGTCGCTTTGATGGCATTTTTAGAGAGACGGATGCTCATTGATGGCTTTCGGTCCCTAAGAGGCTCTAGATAGCCGCAGCTAGGCAATATTGAAACATGTTTAGATACCGGAGCACCTTGTTCGGCGGTGGATCTCCCAGTTGTGCACATAGGAGACCGTAGTAGAAAAAGTGATGTCCAGAATTTGTGTCATGGTGGGACAACAGCTGAGCCTGGCTATCACAGAATTGTTTAGGAAAATCAGTTGAATTTGGCGCTTTTGATGAATTTCAATCAGCTGAGGGACTCTCATCAGTCCTCCGCTGCCACCTATCTCTATGGTCTAGAAGCCGCTTGTCGTGTCTTGTGTAGTAATACGATCAACTCCTTCAAATCGACATCCATGCTTCTATATTCTTAATCAAATGTGATCTTGGTTCCCTTCTTGGTCAGATCGACGTCCTTGTAGAAGGCACCGTAGGTGCCGTGCTGCTTCTTCTTAACAGTAGTTCCAAACTTGAGCAAGTTCTCAGGAACAGGCTGTTCAGCGGCCCGTAGGATGTTGATCAAACTGAGGACGAATGTTAGAACAAAATGCCCCGTATGGGTTCATGCGGCATAAACTTACGATCCAGAGTGGGCCTTGTCGTGCTCAGTGAACAGGGTGATGGCTTGGCCGGTCTTGCCCGCGCGGCCTGTACGACCAATGCGGTGGACGTAGTCCTCGATCGTCAAGGGAAACTACTACTCGTTAGAATTGCATGGACCAGAAAAGCATGACGGGGTATAAGCTTACGGTGACGTTGACGACGAGCTTGACCTCTGGGATATCGAGACCTCGGGCAGCGACATCGGTAGCAACAAGCACGGGTGTCTCTCCCGACTTGAAGGCCTCCAGACTTCTGGTTCGCTGTTCTTGCCTCAGGTCACCGTGGATGCCAACAACCTTGATGCCTCTCTGTTGGAGGAAGCCTTCCACGCGGGTGGCCTCCTTCTTGTACAGGCAGAAGACCAAGACCCTCTCGTTGCGGGGCTGGGCCTTGAGAATCTGCAGGAGCCTTTGCTCCTTGTTGCGGGGGTCCACAACCTCGACAGCTTGTGAGATACGCTTGTTGGCTTTCAGATCGCCGCTCTCATTGTTGCCGATCGTGATCCTGACGGGCGAGACCATGAAGGTGGACGCCAGAGCCTGGACGCTCTGGGGCCAGGTGGCGGTAAACATGAGGGTCTGCCTCTGGTCCTTGGGTGGGCAACAGCCCAGGATGCGCTTGATGTCCTCCTCGAAACCCTTGTCCAGCATGCGGTCGGCCTCGTCGAGGACGGTGAACTTGGCACTGTCGAGCCTGATGGCGCCCTCCTCAATGAAGTCCTTGAGACGTCCGGGTGTGGCCACGATAATATCAGCCTTCTTGAGCAAGTTGCGCTGGTCGTCTTTCGAGGCACCACCGTAGACGCACACGGTCTTCAAGCCGACGGTCTCAGAGAGATTTGCCAGCTGCTCCTGGGTCTGCATGGCCAGCTCTCGGGTAGGCGAGACGACAACGGCGCGAATGCGACCGCTTCCCTTGGCGGGCTTGGGCATGGCCAGGACGGCCTCAACCAGGGGCAGGCCGAAGGCGATCGTCTTTCCCGAGCCGGTCTCGGCGACACCGACAATATCGCGGCGGCTGAGACCGAAGGGCCACGAAGCAGCCTGGATGGGGGTTGGCGCCTTGAAGGCGGCAAAGGGGTTCTTGGACGTCAGGGTGGTAGCGGGGAGGTGAGCGAACTCGGTCATAGGACGCAGATTCGTGGCGGACAGAGGATCGTTGATAATGATCTGGTGGGTGGTGAGGAAGGACGTGATGTCGGACTGAGGAAGCGCGCTGAGGGCGGCGGTCTGCTCATAGTTGCCGTACACAGAAGCAACGGGTGCATGGCCATTCGAGACGGGGACCGGCTCGGGAGCCGCTTCTTCAGTAGTGGGTGCATCCTCAACCTTGCGCTTCTTATCCTTCTTGTCCTTCTTCTCTTTCTTGGACTTCTTCTCCTTCTTGGGCTCGGCGGCGTCCTCGGCGGCGTCCTCTGTCGCGCCAGCTTCCTCGCTAGATGACTTCTTGTTCTTCTTATCCTTCTTTTCTTTCTTGTCTTTCTTGGACTTCTTTTCCTTCTTGGCGTCGCTGTCGACGTCCATCTGTTCTACATCAGGGGTGGCAGCAGCGGAGTCCTCATCGCGCGACTTCTCCTTCTTGGCCTTCTTGTCCTTCTTGGACTTCTTGCGAGAGAGGGTGGCGTCGACGTCGGCGTCGACCTCGTCGAGTGTGCGTTTCGACATGTTGTCTGTGTTGTGCAAAGTGATTGGACGAGAGATTGAACGGGATGGATCACTCAGTCTAGAAGGGAAAATGTTAAAGGATCTAGGGACAATTGAGCGAAAGACACAAGTTGCGCCCGCTGACAACCTCGCTGCAACTGGACCTGGAGATAGGCTGGGGAGAAAAAAAAATAAAAAGCCCAGGGACTTTGTCCGATAAGATAGATAAGCGATAACGATAAGACCAACCCCACGATCGCCCCTGTTTGCCGCTCCCCACTGTTTTATCGCACTAACCCCCGACGGACTATGCAGGTATCCGGTGCACTGCAGTGAAAAGCTCTCTTAGTTGCATTCCCGGGCCCATCGTCGCCCCGCCAAAGCTGCCCGCTCTCTCTGGGATGGAAAGTAAATAAACCGGCCGAGGAAGCAATCACCACAGACGACGAAAGGTTCCCCTGTCCTTCTCAGTCTCGCGACAGTATAGCCACAACCACTCAAAATGGCAGACAAATCGGCCGACAAGGACAAGTCAAAGGTCCACAAGCTGTCCCTCAAGGGCAGTGCCAAGCTGGTCGCCGAATTCGTGAGCAATCCCTCCCCCCGGAGACCAGAGGCCAGAGACCAGAGACAGACAGGGTCCGGGTCCAGGTCAGGTCCAGGTCCAGTCCAGGTCTAGGTTTACGTACAGGTAGCAACTAACATCGCGATCTCGCCCTCCCAGTTCCAATACTCGATCCACACCATCCTCTTTCAGCGTGGCGTCTACCCGGCCGAGGACTTCACCGCCGTCAAGAAGTATGGCCTCAACATGCTCGTCTCCGCCGACGACCAGGTCAAGGCCTACATAAAGAAGATCATGTCCCAGCTGGACAAGTGGATGCAGCACGGCAAGATCAGCAAGCTGGTCATCGTCGTCACCGACAAGGACACGGGCGAGCACGTCGAGCGCTGGCAGTTTGACGTCCAGATCTTTGGCAACGTCAAGAAGTCGTCCAAATCAAAGTCATCAAAGACCTCCAGCGCCGCCGCCGCCGACGAGAACGCTGGCGCCCCCGGCTCCACCGTGCCCGACACAAACAAGACCGAGGCAGAGATACAGGCCGAGATTGCCGCCCTGTTCCGCCAGATCACCGCTAGTGTGACCTTCCTGCCCCAGCTGCAGGGCGATTGCACCTTCAACGTGCTGGTCTATGCCGATGCCGATAGTGATGTTCCCGTCGAGTGGGGTGACTCGGACGCCAAGGAGATCGTGAACGGCGAGAAGGTGCAGCTGAGAGGCTTCAGCACGAGCAACCACCGCGTGGAAACCTTGGTCAGCTACCGGCTCGGTGAATAGATGGAATTGGCGTACGAACGGCCTTTGTATGAACTTCCTCTCGGTTTGCTTGGGCTTGTATTATATTGAATAGGCGACGGACAAAATGCCGTCCAGCCTTCGGCATTTGGTTTGGCAATGGCGTTTCAGGTGATGGTTTTCTTTTCGGTTCTGGATGAAGGCTCAGCGTTGAACATACACTGTTGGTTATGCCACGCGTTCTCCTGCGCTGGTGTGTCGATGCGTGATAAAGAATGCACTTCCAAGATACACGGGAAATCCAGGTCCACGAATCTGTCTACAGAGTTCTTTTTACTATGAACCATTGCTCCTGATGTCACCTCCGTGCTGCTCTCAATCCGTACATGGGGAGAACAAGTACACTTTAGGGAAACCAACTGGAGGCAGGGGCTATATAATCTAAGAATTGCACAGCAGCCAACGCAGTCCTCCTCTTTACTACCGATGATGAATCGTTGATTGTAAGATTGTAATTCGGCTGGTCAGAAGGATAGCTGGTAATATAAGGGGTGTTGGCGACCGGAATATAGGGGTCAGGAGGATGGCCAGCAGATGCGTCCATTCCGTAAATATTGCGCTTGTGTTGAGATGAGTTTCAAGCTCGTCGCCAGTCTTCTAGTCAGGGTTCAAGTCACCCGGAAAGCCTGAACCGTTCTCGTCTGGAATTTATTTAGCAGTGAGGGAGTGAATCGCTAGCTTCTAGATTTTTGAGCTCCGGTGAATGTTCGAGGGACCACGATGCCAAGACCGGCGGCTACGAAAGCAACCGGGTTTTGGTGGTCACAGGACGAGGTGGAAGCCTCGGGATTCAAACCTGCCCAACTGCGCCCCATGCTCCATTTCAGTGAACCATCAGAGACGGATCCATATGGAGTCATCTCATGGCTTTTCCCAGGGCTCCTTTGGCGCCACCGTTCTCCTAGTCTAGGTCGGACGTAGCAGCCGCTTTCCGGCATGCTAACAGCCAAGCAGGGGCTGTCTGCTCAAGCGAAGCTCTGCGTAGGGCATTGGCGTTTCATTTTGTGTATTGATCCATGACTCGTCACGGTCAGAATCCCAGCCTAGCTGGCCTTGTATTCTCACTTTTCATGCAAGAGCGCACCCAGTGCATATAACAACTCGTCTAGAAAAGGCATAGTCCTGCGCCTGGTTTGTCTGATTGGCCAACCCCTGGCTCCGCCTCCAATGCCAACTCCACATGGTCTCATTTTAAGAATAAGCTGATCAAGAAACATATTCAGGCTCTCCAGTGTGAGAGTACATAAACCTGGGCGGCTCAACATTATCAAGCACGTATATTAGGGTGTCCATGATAATCCTTTGTCAGCAGGTTCGAAGTCGAATCCGGGAGGGAAATGTCTACGGACGGTTTGCATGGGTACAATGCGAACCCTTCGCTCTACAGCCCCAATAACTACGACAGCCAACATTGCCAACAAAGCCATCACGAATTTGACGATCTGCAAGAGTTTGCGAATCCTTCGCTCGACTACCACCTTGACTATGAAAGTCAGCCAAAAGAGCGTAACGTCAACGGTCGGCAAGGACCAGCCCTACCATGCGTCGGTTCTAATGCACGCCCTAATGATGACACGCAAAGTCACACATATTGGGAGGTTCCAGCTAAACTGGTCGGATTTCTCGCCGTGGGAGCTGGCCTAGCTGTAGGCCACCACTTCTACTACGCGGGCTTGAGTGGCAAACAAGTAAAGTCAACAGACGAGCAGGAGTGGGCAGTCAGATACGGCACTGCCTTTGCATTTCTCGTGAAGACTTCCTGTGCTGCTGCTATTGCTACCGCCTACAGTCAGCATATATGGACGAGATTCAGGAAGCGCGACCTCCGTGTTGCCACTCTCGATAGCGCGTTCAGTGCCACATCCAACATATTGTCATTAGCGCATCGAGAAATGATCGCAAAATTACCGATTGCGACTCTTCTGGCAGCTCTCATCTGGTAAAGAGACCCCTTCTTGTAGACACAGTCTCAAATTACTGTTGAGAGATCCGTTCTTCTAACAGATTTCGGTGCTAGGCTTCTCCCTCTTCCTGCTCTATTCACACCAGCCACGTTATCCGTCATGTCTATAAGTCGAACCGACAAATTGGATCTGAATGTGCCTACGCTCAATTTTTCAGAATCAGCAGTGGCCAACGCCTTTGGTGGCATCGACTATGGTATCAATGGATCTCCTGCATTGTCACGCGTGTTCAGCGCAACCTATTCAGGCGCCAACGTTCTTCCAATGGAGGCAATCATACCCGATGCTATCAATGCGACGTACGACACTGTATTTCACGGGCCTCTTATCCGTTGCAGAGACCTCAATGCCAGCGAAACTTTGGTAATGAATGACGTGGCGGCCATACAGAAGAGTTGGTCCGCAGGAGGGGCCATGTCACGAGTTGCGTACATGATGTTTGCGCCGTATTCCGGGTGGACCAATAGCACGGGAATTGCGAATTTTTCGATGATTCAAAACCTTTCGGAATGTCTCAACCTTGGCAATTCATGTAGCATCATCCCCACCAACTGGGAAGCTGGATATTTCTGGGTGTATACTGAGGCAAAGAGCTGGGCGTGCCACCCGCGGAATGCCACGTTCCAGGCCAGTTTCACTCTTGGCAGTAAAACTCAAACGATATCGATCGACCATTCCAAAACGACAATTTCTGAGCTGGAAAGAGCAGCCACTAGTGAGGATGAGCATCCGTACGCCTTTACACGGAAAACCTACGACAGCATTTTCTCCTCGATATTCAATCTTTTGAAGGGGTTCATCGCACTCAGATCCGCGTCTCCGAGGACGCCGCTCTCCACCAAGTATATCGACATGAATGTGACAGTCAAGGATACTAGTATTTCAAGGACAGCTTTGATCGGCGCCATCAATTTGAATACGAGCGTAGAGGCTTTGGGGGTTCCTCTATCCCAGTATAAGACTCCCACGGCTTTCACCACAGCAGAAGACCAAGCGTTGGCTGGAAACAAAACTATGGCTGAGCTTATCGAAGAATTGTCATTAAATGTAACTCTCAGTTACTTTAGTACAAGTAAGATGTGGTAAGTTCAATAGCACCCAAAGCCAACCAACATGGAGTCCCACTGAATTTCTGAATAGGTCGGCCAGCGGTCTTGGGTACGATACGACAGTTGAAATTCCACGCCGAACCAATGTATACTCATATAGCTCACGGGACCTCATAATCACTTACACCGTTACCTTGATTATCACATTACTCGCTGTTTTTATTGGGTTACACGCTCTGCAAGTCAACGGGGTAAGCCACGGGTCGAGCTTCTCTACCATCGTACAGACCACGCGGAATCACACGCTGGATAAGCTATCTACTGGGAAGGAACTTGGAGTAGAGCGTCTCGATCGCGAATTCGGTAAGACGAAATTGCGCTTTGGTGTACTGTATCCGGATGATACAAAGGACGATGCAGGCAGTCGAACTGAAAATGAGCATGTTGCATTCGGGCTATCTAGAGAAGTCAACCCGTTGTTAAAACAATAAGTCCCGCGCTTGGTGCGTCCTGTGTCAAATAATAAAAAAGCTACTTTGGGACGAAAATGCAACCGAGATAGAAAGGCGGGAAGCTTCTGCCTTCGGCGCCATCATGAAAGTTGTCGATAGATATCATAGAAAGTTTATAGAAATCCCCTGGACATAATTAAGATACGTGCTCTGCCTGGATGAGCTGACCGTCATGTGGACCTCCTCAACCGAAAAGATCGGTCTTCCGAGGGGATGGGAGGAGCGTCAGCATCACCATCTAGATTATCTTTCGCTCTCAAGCCGACATTTCAACAAGTGACATAAATACGTCATAAAGACTCCATGGACAAAGATATACTGGTCTTGTATGTGCCGAGGTCTCTTGAAACATGACCATGATGTACCGTTTCTAGCGGCATGTATATACGTATGTGGCTCAAGCGGGCGAAGTCAGATGAGTCTTCACACTCGTGAATACACCTCATCATCGCGTGTAAGAGCAAGCTGGACGGTTCTGCAACTGGGCAATACTACAAAAGAAGCGGGGTGTTTGGCTTTTGGCGGGATTTATGTAACATTAAGGAATTGATAAGAACAAGCTGTTTGGCTAGACGAGTACGGGGCCAAGTTCTCTGACTGAGTTGTGATCAAGGCTTGGTCAGAAGCTGCAGACATGTCAGGGTTGAGCTTTCGACGGCATACCCCTTCCAAATCCGAGCCAGCCAGCATCAATGAAGCATGCGCTAGAAGGTTCTATGCGCCTTCCACATCCAGATTGACTCGTACTCTACCACTTGTGGAATGCCGGGGACCGCTGGTATACGACTGTCGACTTTTATCTGCTCAAGCACATCACCTTCCCTTTGCAGACGCGGGTATTATTGAGTGACAGTTTTGGCATGAAGCCGGGTTTAGTGAGTCGCCGAGGCCCGCTGGGTCCTCCCAGAAATGGATATCATATAGAAAAAAAAGAAGCCAATTGTGAGCCTGAGTCGTTGCAGCGATCTTGGGACAGGACCCCACGCTGCAAAGCATGAATGTTAAGAACGTGGGTTAGGGTGGCGCAGGTGACCAGCGTAACGGCTCAGCCCTCATAATTTGGGACCAAGACCGAATTCGTCGCTGGCAGTCACAAGTCGAGGATGGAAATCAGCGCTGACCGTGGAATGGAATGCGCTGCGCGATTAGAATTCTCCGAAATAAACGTGAGGCATGTGTGACAGACTTGGTAAGGTGATGATTTCTTGTGACCAATTTGTCTGGCGGTTTAAACAACAGGTTGGTATCGATGATACCGTTACAGCGCGAGTGTCAAGTTTCCTTCCTTCGCGTAAGAGCGTTGTTGAAAACATTACGGCACGCTTGCATAAAATATATAACGCATCGACGCATCGACGCATCGACGCATCCGAAGGTACGAAGGATGATTGACGGAGAATACAGCTCACAGAGGACCGAAACGACACCCGCCTTTTCTGCTGTCTCTCTTGGGACACCGCCGGTCTGCTCGCCGCAAGCGCTCGGGTTCCGAAGACGTTGCCAACAGTTGCTAGCCAAGTTGGCCTACGTCCCCGGATTGAGTTACGGGCTTGCACTAATTAGTAGCATGACGCGAAAGGTAGGAAATTCATTTGCGACCCTGGCTTCTGCTGGAAAGGGTTCTTCTTAAACAGCCGGGTTCCCTTTCACGACTCTAATTAATGATGAAACAGGCGCGCGAGGGCCGAAGGTGACGACACCGGCGCCCCTCACCACAGATAGATTAATTTCGGGGAAGGGGGCTTGCGGGTTGGCCGCCGGGGGGTAACCCGCGGGCCAGGTTTGGTCTGGTGGCAGGTAGGGCGTTGTGCTACTACTGTACACTCTGACATGTGGCATTGCACCGAACTCTTGGTCAGATCTCAAAAATTTGCTTTCTGGGCGGGAGGAAGGTTGATTGCTGGCCTTCAAGCAAGTCTATGCAAGCCGGTGCATATACTTGAACGCACCTCGCCATTCAGCGGCCACAATTGAGGACCAGAATTGTATGTGGCGGTGATCCAAGGTCACGCCAACGCCGTCCTTGCAGGCAGCGCAGTGCTTGCAGCTGAGCCCCACCAAAACCATCGGCGCCCAGGCAGTCACCCGTTACAGGCGGAGACACCGGGGCATCCCCCAATCGCGCCGCGGCCAGGGGTTCACGCCCGCGATGATCGTCCTGTGGCCTACGAGTGCCGTTAAGCCCTATCCAATGAACCGGTGTTTCGAATAAGAGCGCCGACACCAATGAGCAAAAGAGGCAGACCGGCGGTAAGAAAAGATGGCTTCTGGCCGTCTCAGCCATTTCATTGCTTCCAGCAATTGCTGCCGGCAGACTTTGAATGGAGTGATATGGACTCTCTTGCTGTGCCTGTTTGATTTGCCGCGAAGGATCACAGATGGTATGAATGCTCGCATGAATGATGGGCGGCCTCGGCTCCGGATTGAGATCCCAAGACCCAGGATTCACTCCTCATTGATAATTTGAGCGATGTGATTCAACTAAGGAGATTGGACCCGTGTCCGTTTGATTTCACATTCCAACTGCGATCTTCGAGGGAAAACATCGGTGCACTGGGAGGAAGCCGTTGTACAGTCAACGCAACGACTCTGATGTAGATGCATATCTGACTCGGGTTCGTTTTGCGGTCTGCCACATGACCAGATCACCAAATCACCAATACAATACGTAGTAGGGAATAATATGCACCTTCGACGGGCGGGAGCCGTTGGGAAGCTACTTAGGTGAGGTAGTGACCTAGACCTTGCGAAAATCACCCATTTTTGGCAATGTGACAGTCCCTAGAATATTGAGGGGCAGCGTTGACCCCTGTCCGGATATGCAAGCATTTGCTGGTGCAGGCCCCCAAAATGGCGACGGGATGTTACCCTATCACTTCTGTCTTCCGTCGAATGTCGTCAGCTCCCTCCGGAGAGGCTTCTTGATACGTGGCTTTGGCCGGCTGCTGGTTTCCCTTGTGATGTTGTTCGATTGATCCGAGACTTCCAATATACATACACAGCATGTCATATCGATGATGCGCTCGGCAGCAGTGTCCACGGGATTTACGAAGCTTTTGGGGTTCCCACGATGCCCGGCAAGCCGGCTGCGTACCTCCAGCAACCGTGAGATTGCGCTGTCTGATACTCTCCATCGAACCGTAAAACATGACCCGTAATCTGCACATCGAAATTATTGTTCGTGGCCAGCTGTGTCGTAAGCAGCAACACGTCAATCCTGTAGAAATGAGCGCGAGGCGCAACGAAAAAAGGCGAGCCGTACAGGGTCTGGCTCCCAGCTCCCAGGGTTCCACGTAACCCGGAAGTTTTCGCGTGTATTCTGAGCAGATATCATCTTCAGCATTCCGAAAGTGGTCAAACATGAGAGATCATGGGTTCTCGATCCCCGGTCTGTCGTGCTTCAACAGACCCACTATTGCCGAAGCTACTGAATGTTGACCGCGGCGAGTTTCAATATCAACTCTCAAATGGTCAGAAAGGACAAGAATCTGGCCAGCGTGTCCAAGAGTTGAGCCTGCATCTTGATTCAATAGATCGTGCATATTGTCGATATATTCCTTCCGAGCAACGAATCTATCAGGTTTCCATGGACGGGAGTGAGGGCTTGGCACGTCTAGATTGCAGGACCCCGGAATCCAGCTCCCACAGCTCGGTCTCCCCTGGCTGTAGAACCACGCAACCTCGAGCAGCAATGGGCAGACACACAGTCAGTCAGCAGAGGGATCCAGGTTTGTCACCCATCGGACGGCTCAAAGGGTGATCCCAGGCTGTCAATCCTAGTCGCATAGACGGGCAATAGCCAAGCCCTCGCAGCCAACCCCGCCAATGGATACTTATGTGGCCCTTTAATGTTTGGGGGTTCGTGGGCGGACGAGTGAGACGGCAGCTTGTTTTCCCACGCGGACGGGCTGGCCCACTGGGGGAGTGAAGGGGGGGGGGGAAACTGACGGCGGCCCCAGGGGCTCCTCCACTCTCAACCTGAGCAGCGCTAACCTTGGAATGAGGTCAAGGTCCGTTTTATAGACATTCGGTGCAGCCCGCTAGTTTCTCGTTCTGACTGCAGTAGTGTGTGCCTGCGTTGCTCCCTCCTTCCCGACTTACACGAGGCCGGACTGCCATCTGGGCTGCCCGTATTCTTTTCTCCTCTGAGAAGCGACCGCACTTGCACTCGCTCCGTTCCGTCTGACTTTCCCTCTGATTCACCTTCCTTTCCATTTGAGACCTGGGTCTGTCCCTCCGCCTGTCATTCGCTCGCAGGTGCGACACCTGGCTGTTATCCTTTCATAAACACGCCGAGTCCCCATTTCTTTCGTTCGTCGGTCCAGTCGTCTGTCCAGCCTTTTTGAAGCCGACTGATTCTCTTTCGACCTTCTCTTCTCCCCGGCCTGTGGCCCTTTTTGCCTTCGTTGACCTCCATAAGACCCCTGCTGCCTGCTCAACTCAACTTCGCGTCGTTTTCGCGTCTATTCTTGTATTACTCTGGCAAGCAGCATATCGACGAATAGGCTGTGAAAGACGGGATAGCGCAATAAACCCATCCTGTCGGTTCGACATTATCATCCCCAGCATCCCCGCTGCCTGGACTGACGTCGCCAACGCCGGTTTTCTGCTCTCAGCCGACTTCGACTGAGATCATTGTCGATCGTGGGCCTTAGGATTTCTCCGCCATCTTCACCCCAAGGGATTGGTGAAAATCACGCCTGCTTCTGGAGAAGCTGACCTGGTCGGATTCCTCAGCTTGCACGCCGCGCTGACAGCCACACAACAACATCCTATTCGTCAATTGCCACCGACCTGAGTCTTGACTCTCTCATCGGTTCACCAGACCCAGGAGATCGGATACTACCACCCCATACATTACTTGGACGACCATGGCCATTTCTGTGGCACTCTGATTCATTTCATCGTCCTACCAGTCCCTTCACCAGACTTTCCCACCTACACACAAAGACCAACTCGCCCCTCTGCGGCCCCTTTCCTTCTATCAGGCCTGACCCGTCGGCCTCTTCTTTTTTTTGAGATACCCTTTCTTTCCTGCTCCTTCTGCTTCCTCAACGACCTCCCAGGTTGAGTGGTCGTATTCAGTCAACAACGCCATTGCGTTGACTTCCACTTACACGTCTGTTTCGAGGTCCGGCTATTAAAATCAACCGCCAGACATGGTTCGCCTTCTCCCCGCCCTCGTGGTTCTATTTTTGGGCCATGCAGTCGCGGATGATCTATCGGCTTGTTCAGTACGTAATCACCCACACACCACATCCCACAGGCACCACCGGTCGCCTCATTGGTCAACGTGCCGTCCAAACCCCCCTTTCAGTGCTTGGCTGACTTGCATCCTTCACAGGCCGGCTGCATCAATTCAGTGTTCGCTGACCCGAGTTCACTGAAATGCGCCCAGAACGACAAGTTATGTGTCTGTGACGCAGGGGACAACTTCTCGTTCGCCATTCGGGACTGCATTACCCAGGCTTGCGGGGTGACCGGCGACGCCCTCAATGGTCAGCTGGAAGCTGCGAAGGGTTCTGCTAAGATCCAGTGTGACAGTATCAAGGGTAAGCAGAGCATCTCATTCTCATCCCAGGCGTTGTACTGACCAATATTGCTGCAGCTTCAGCAGGTGTGACTGCCACCCCGGCTCCAGCTCCAGCCACAACGGAGGCACCAGCACCAACGACGACAACTGCTGCACCTGAAACCACCGAAGAGGCTACGACGAAACCTGCTACCACTGAAGCCACGAGCACGGCTGCGCCTGTCACGACATCTGAATCAACGACCACTGCACCTACTACCCTGGCAACCTCGACGCAGAGTTCGTCGGCCAGCAAGTCCAGCGCTGTAACTGTATGCCTCATGGTCTGTTTCTCTCGAGGAGTGTTTTGCTAATTCACAGTAGTCTTCTTCCTCCACAACAGGCACTCGGACCACAGGTGCTGCGCAGACTACTAGCAGCTCGAGTTCTGATGCGGCTACCTCGCCTTCAGCCGACGACTCTTCTTCGGGTGGGCTCTCCGTTGCCGCAAAGGCAGGAATTGGCGCCGGCGCCGGTGTGGCCCTGATTCTCTTCGCCATCCTTGCATGCTGCCTTTGCTCGCGAAAACGCAAGAATACGAAGCCGAACGCAACTTCGAAGCGTCCGTTCCGCATTCCCACCATGCAGATCTCAAGGCCTTTGCCCGGATCAGGCCGGCAATATGCAAATGACCTCGAGGCAGCCAAGGCTTCAGCCTTGTCAACACACTTCCGTAACGACGTGGTTGCTCCTATAAAGCCCGTACGATATAGTCCATCGGTGGTTTCATCACAATACTCACCAAAGTCGGCCTACGCACCATCGCGCCCTTCGCGCGAGGATGAACACGATCTTTTAGCCCGTCGTTATGAAGACATGATCCCGAGAGTAAAGCCGAAGACCGTGCTGTAGGTACCTGGATGTGGCAGACCGAGCGGTTCGCGCGCTTGATTAAAGAAGACTCATGTCCACACATCGGAATGGGAGGGACCGGGAAGGGCAACCAGATGACAAGAAGCTCGATTTCGGTGTTTATGTTACCGGGATAATTTAAGGCTAGAAGAGGTTGCTATGATGTGCTGCACTCACGAGCCGGGCACCAGGGGATGGGACCCCGGCGATTCCCACAAGAACAATACTCTGGAATGGACGTCAGACTCTTTTACTTGTTTTCTCTCATGATGTTATGATTTATGATAGTCGTGCGCGCTGTGCTAGTCAGACCGATCCAACTTGGTGCCTAGGTATCCAGATTGATTCTTCAAGAGCGAAACAAACATTCTCACGTACATGACCTGGTGCTTGTAAAGCCTTTTGGTTCAGATATTTGCTGATTAGTGACTTGGCATTTTGCGCTTGGATAACGTGCGAAACGTTCCCATGTAGTCATGCACTGGTGGCCATCACAACACCCCCCCCCCCTCTTGTTTGTGGGGATAGCGTTGAGCTAAGCAGCGCCTCGTGCAATTAACACGACTATTTTGCAAAGCGTAATTAGACAGTCGTCTTTGGTCAATCAGACAGTCTCGAAACTCATGTCATCTGTCTGTCGCGCTTGTCCCACTCAAGTACGCGACTGTCTTGGACATCAAGTTTGTCAGGCCAAACTCTCTCCCCGACACTCCACAATGCGTCTTATTGCCCGGCCATTTTCTCCCGAGTCCAGCCACTCACGAGCGCGGAGACTGTATGCCTAGGGAAGATCATGACTGCTGCATGTCCATGCACAAATTTCCCATAATAGGAGGTGCCTAATATTTGGATTGTGGACGAGAAGCTTCAATTTCGTCGGCGACATGGCCAGATCAATGGTAGCGCTTCCCGTCGATTTTCCACACTTGCCACTATCTTGGGTGCGCCAGAGATTTTTGAGGCCAATGAGGAAGTGTGGCACTGGCAAAGTTAGGACACTTTCACCCCCGGGTCCTTGTGATCATGGGGGCCGAATTTCACAACCAGTCAGCCGGGCACGCCGGACCAACCAACCAGCCCAGCCCCTGGAGGTTAGACCTGGCAAGAACACCTTCTGTTTTGCCAATGTGGAAACCGGTTCAGTCTTCCTCGCTGTCCCTCGGTCCTCTCTGACGTTCACAGACTTCAAACCCAACCCCCTATGCCCCAGGCCCCGGATTCAAGGTGTGCAAGTGTCTACATGTTGACGATTTTGATCGAGTACACCTCTGCCTTCTTGGACATTCGCGAATTCGTCTTCGCCAACTTCACAAATTCCAGTGTTTGGATACTTGGTGTAAAAGTCGAACGGCCTTCTCGTGGTAGTCATTTCAAGAATTCTATTGAGACTGGCCACCAATGCTGGTAAAAAGTTCTACACTATTTTCGATATATGCTTATTCATACCTCTAGGGTAGCGTGAGCATGTGCGGTAAAGCAGAATAGATGTATTACAGCAAGTGAATGTTGTTTAATAGAAGGAACCAATACCCCAAGTCCTAATGCTCTTTTCTTCAGGCCAACCCAGTAGCATGCTGAGAGACCATGTGTTATTATGGAAACCAAACTCATTGCCTATGACGTGACTATCGCTTTCGGAGGTGAGGGGGTTGTATTAGCGCAGAATCATGCGTTCGACTCGTCGACCGTAAGCTAGGAAAACCATAGTACGGAGCAATTGATTGGGCTGAGTTTGTGTATATCATGGCGTAAACAGCACCATCTTCTCCCACCCCCCTGACTGGCTCGCTATCTTGAACGCCTTTTCGTGGTCTTCCAGAGTATGTTGGCTGGTGGTCACTTTCCTCAATCTCATGTTACCTGCCTCAACGAGCCTGATCGAGCGAACAACATCGTCTCTATTCTGGGCAAACTGCCCCCTAATGGTCAGGCAGTGATTCATGAGAACAGCGTATGGCACGGGAACGTTGCCACTAATTACACCAGCGAAACAGCATCTTCGCCCTATATCAGCAGAAATACGCCTTTGGAGGCTATGGGAAGTATGAACCCACCTGCCATATCTTTTCAGCGCCAGTAGCCCAGCTTCGATATGTGTGGTTCCAGCAGCCCTTGGCGGTGAGTAGTCAATATAAGCGTCAGCCCCTTTGCCACCTGGCGTGGCGGCACGTAGTGCTGCAGCATCTTTGTACACCTCACCTGTAAGTACAACAGTCGTGATTCTATTGCCCTCGTCGCCGAAGTGCTTGATGAGTGAATCTAGCTTCTCCTTGCTGCGGCTACCAGCAACAACATTGGCACCAAGACCCAGGGCAACAGCAATTGCACTTGAGCTGAAGAAGCCGGTAGCCGGTAGCACCAGAACTGTCTCACCAGCCGTGATGCTAATACAATTTGCAGCGCCCATCCCTGGCATGATGCTTGCGATCTCGGACATTTGGTAAGCCTCAAGGCAGTTGCGTTCTAGAGCTCCCTCATCGAGCACGTGAACATTCTCAGCGGGGAAACGGGCAAATTCGGCGAAGCATCCATCTCGCCAGTGCCCCGAAGAAATCTTGAGCTCGTTTGGTGTCTGACCGCCGTGGTAACCTAACGACAGAATTAGTGTCACGGCGCTGTACCTAAATAACAATATCACCTACCAAGGACAATCCGTTCCTCCGGCGCGTCTTTCAGGCGGACAATATAATCACAAAAGACTAGGTCCCCAGACTGGAGGGTAGTGACATCCGGCCCAACTTCTTCAATGCGCCCCACGCAGCAAGTTCCGAAGACTAGTGGGAATGCGAGAGGATACTGCCGTGTTCCGTTAATGGCTTCTGGCTGTAATTAATCAATCAGTCCGTCTGTTTGGACATTTATGAAATGGATAATGCACACGATATAGTCCCATAAAGGAGCCGACTGGACTCGGACAACCACAGAGCCTGGGTCGGCTCTCGGCTTGGGAATTTCGTCAAGCCGGACATCGCCAGGGCCGTGGAGAACGAGAGCTTTCATTGATGATGACATCGCGTCGTAGTGAGGAAACACAGCTGCAACTAAGTTCAAGAGGTCATCTATTCAAATGATGGTGTGTCGCCGATATCGTAAACCTAGGAATTTGTCAGCAGCCGGGGTGGGTCACGCGAGGTGCTGACTGCATTGGGCCCAAGTTGGTCCATATATCCGAGCGAAGTACCAGGTCAGCGCGTATCCTGCAATCTTGCCCAAACAGACATTGACTTGGTCAATTTTTAGGTGAAGTTGTTTTCCGCTATTCTGACACGAACAATAAGTCAACCTGTACCACCCTGATCACCTCCACGCAATGCTTCTTCATAAACTCCGAGAGCGAAGCCTAACACTCATCAATGCACACTATACTCTCTGTTTCAAACCTCAGTCACTGAATGAGCTTAAAATATTGATCATGATTGATACAGTTGTCATGTGTTGCTTACCACACCGCAACTACGGTATGATATGAAACAGCGTAATTTGTCACTGTTCAGGTCATAGTGCTTATACCGTCAACCCAATTAAGCCAAAGGCGGCCTTAAACTAAAACGTAAATGATAGTTGACATCAATATATATTGAAGGATTGTTCAACTAATTGACCCTTTCGTAGTAACTCTACAGCCTCTCCTTGCATAATGCCATGGATGTATGCCTCGCCAATCAGCCCAAATTCTTCCCTTCCCACTTTTCGTCGAGGTCTTAACATGAGAGGGACCGCACTCCCAGAAATAACAGCGCAAATATCTCCAACCTGAGTTATCTGTGAAGCAAGCCCATACAGACCTCTTCTTGTAATTATGAATGCTCTACCAATGCATTTGCTAACCATATGCATCCAGAAACTGTGTACTTTGGCCCAGTTACACTGCGGTGAAGGCGACCTCTGGCAGTTGAAGTACTCAGGCCATACACTTCCCAATGATGTGGCACCATGATCCACAGGCTCGCAACAAAGTGCATGGGCGAAATTTTCTGTGCGGGAGCCGTGATAAACACCTGGAACGTCCGTACTCTCAAGAAACTCGACGAGTTCCAGAATTGTACAGTATGACGTTGTACCTGACCTACGAAAAATGATTTTCATTGACTCCGAAATAATTTGTATCATGAAAACTGTTTCGACAGCGTCAACTCCAACTCCGCTCACCTGCAATACGTCGTGTTGTATTTCCGGTGGTTTTATTAGCTGCCCAATATGCGCACGATATTTGGTGTTTGGGTGAGTATAAATGTTGTTGAGAACGAAACCTATGTCCCAGCGAATAACCCATGACGGAAAGTTCTCGTCAATGGTCGTGGCGCTATGCTCGACAGACGACAATACCCTGAGCCCAGCGTCTTGTAGTAGTAGCATAGAAACCTTCTTGTAGACCTCTAGCTTTTCCACAGTATAGTCCGGCTTGATGTCCCCAAAGGCTCTGGCAAGGGGGTGGCCCAGAAAGGCGTAAACGCGGTCCCTGGGGTCCTGACAATCAAGCAGCGCGCCGTGATCCAGAAGATCGACAAACCTGCACTGCCCGTGGGCAGATGTAGCTGCCCAACTTTCCGACCAGTCTACCCATTGTGTGTGAATCAAAAATGCCCCAATGCCTGCTTTTGCAGCAAAGTCAGCAGCAAAGGTTCTGATAAACCTGACAGTAGCCATCAGGTCTCTGTAGCTGAATTCAGCAGATCCGTAGACCACTCGTGGATTCTTCGCAAGTCCGATCTCCTGCAATACCCAGGCCCGTCGAAACCAACCTAACCCCAGTACCGCCCTCAATGATCGCCATCTGTGATCCTTATCCGGAGTGGCCCCCTGACGCCACACCTGGAGTATTTCCGCAGAGCCTCTTGGTCTAGCCAGTATCGGACCATAGTCACCGAGAAGAGACGCAACTTCTGCGGACCTGCCGTCAGGGTCGTTTCCCATGCAAGCAAATACGAACCTTGCACTAGAATAGATGCGACCCATCAGGGCCACCTGCTGGCTCCGCTCCATCCTGTCATTCTGGTTAATGCACAGTGCGTCCGCCCAGACGAGCCTAGGCCTATCAGGAAGTCGAATCCTTGCCAAAGCACAATGCAGGTTGAATGTCACGTTCGTCGAGATGCCGTCGCATGAGAGCGGTACGACGTGATGCGCGCTCCCCCAGACATAGGAGATAGCATCGTACTCCGGGTACGAATCAATGTTCGCATTGACGAGGTAGACGGAGATCGGGGCATGCTGATCGCCTGGTTGAAGGAGCGCTAGCCTAAATTCATTCATCTGAAGTGGTTTATACAGGGCTGCCTCAACCACAGGATCCAGTTCCATGAGGTCCATTTTGATCAGGCCTCACGGGTGTGCTGGAGCAAATCTGGCAGAGGCAGCATCACATTCAACTTAGTAGACGTGTATAAGATAACGCAATGCGTCGAGGGTAATGAATGGAATATGTGATCAGTCTCATGATTATGAAGGCAATTATAAAAGCTCATTCCGTGCTTATCGCGAGCTGAGCTGCGACGTTTCGTTTCCATGAAGAGCTGAAAATTTTCCCCGCTTTTCTAAGCAGCGATCTCATGCGCCAAGCGAGCGAGCTTGCTGAAAACAGCATCGTGACCACACCTCCACATGGTACCAAATATCCTGTAAGTACATGGCTTCAACCGCGTCTTGAACTTCTCCCGATCTGGAGGATATCTTCGCACGATTCCACGTATATGTCGACTGCCACTCCCTCAGCGGTATTGAAAGTGATAGGTTGCAGATTGGCACAGTGCTCATTTGGAAGACCTTGCTAGAGACCTCAGTTTTTCTTTGAAACTGTTGCCTTCTTTCTGCCTCTTCAATTGAAAGTCTTTGCCTCCAGTTGACGAAGCATCGTCAGTGCAACTAGAGTGGGCGTACAATAACCCGAGATCCTTCTTTTCACGTGTACCATATAAAGCATCAAGTTTGGCTCCAATCTCTTGGTATTCGATGGTACGCGTAGGAGGCAGGCTCGGCTGGCCTTTTCGCGGGAAGATGTAAACGTTTGGGTAGGGGTGCCTTGATGCCATTGTTTTCGAAATAACCTGGAGGGACCGAGCGACTGGCAGATGAAAACGGATACCGCGCGCGTTTTGCTACAAATCGAGATGAAGATCGAGCCATTGCGAACTTTGAGGGCATCGTAACGCTTATATATATCTGAGGGCAGCTGAGCAACACTAGGTGGTTGGCCGTATAATTGAAGAGGCGAGCGACTACTGCAGTCTCAGACGCGCTCTTCAGATCGGAGAAGAAAGTGAGACATAGAATGTTCCAACGCTTACGAATCAGTCCATCCAGACGATAGAATGACTCATTGGCAAGATCTGATAACGAGGTGGTGACAGGCTTCTATGGTTGATGAGATAGCACTAGCTCAAGTTGGGTCAGTTCTTTGAAGTGATTCAGGGATTTCGGTCCGTACTCCATCTGCCGTAGACCGGATCTGGTACCCGGAGAAGCCAAGAAGCCCAATTCGAGATGTCCGACTATGCCCATGGACAAGGGCGTCTTGCGGCCGTGCCAAGCCGGCAGTAGTTGCGGCGATAACCTTATTTCCATATATATAGTTTCTATACCCGTGTTTGCATTCCTGGGGAGGGTCAGGCGATGACCCGCGCAGTACGGGATACCAGCATTCCACTTACAGGATGAGGCACGCCAGCTATTGAAGCCTGGAGATGATGCTTCACAGTGACTCATGCAGCTGAAACTCTCGACAGCCAACCAGTTTGGCAATTCAAACGTGCCTTGTCGCACACGTTACGCCGGCGTTGGAGCAGACGGTCGGGTTCGCTATATATTAAGTTAATTTATCAAGATAAAAGGCTGTCCCGCAATCTCTCTCGAATTAAGTGATAAGCAGAGTTAGTAAGTCTTCCTGAGCCCGCGCTACAAACGATGAATCCAGAAAACCCATTTGCGCCGTATTCCGCCAGCATACGATCCGTTTCGGACTCGGGAGGGCGCATTTGCGGGCAGTGGGAAATAATCGAATAAGAAGCTTGGTGGAATCTAGCTCACCGTAGCTTCTTTCCGTGGTTCTTGTAATGAAAGAGTATATCTACAAGATGACTTGGCTCGGTATCGCTTTCGCTTTCGCGATCGCCTATTGCGTTTCCCTTTTCGGACTGGTGTACGAAATGAGCATTGCCTTGTAGCAGGGCTGAGTCTGCACGCTAAGTCAGCTGTCGAAACGGATCAGCATGGGGAGGGAGACTCACTTAGAGCTTACTTATTAAAAGCACTGTCTGCGGGTCTGCATCATCAAGCAATGGCTAGCTTGCAGGTAGCCCCTGCTGGTTCTATGCTAGAAGGGATTAGCGACGGGTCCCAGCCCACACAGCCAGCGCCACAGACGTGGGACGGTAGCTGGGACCGCCATCAGCGATTCGGGGCATCGAGGAAAGGATTCATGTCTATTTAAGCCGCTCGGTCGCCAAGGACTTTCTTTGCCCGAACTATCGTTATACCAGGACTTGGAAGCATATCCCAACACAATCTCGGCTTCTGAATTGACACAATGCTCAACCGCCGTGGTCCGATCGCTAAGCTTGTCGGTGGCGCCATCGGCCTTACTAAGGAGTATCAGGCAGATCGTAAGGAAAGAAAAACGGGTGAAAGCACTGAGATCGGCGCCGGAGAGCCTCCCCATGGATCATCTGCCAGCAATGATCATCGGATGCCTGCACAGCAGCATGGCGGACACCAATCATACTCTGTAAGGGAAGAAGATTACTCTGATGACGAGGATTGGGCACTCAATCTAGACGAAGTCCAACAACAACTTCCTGGCGGCAATGCTCAAGAATGCGAAGAAAACACCGATATTGACGCCCTCTTGCGAGACTTCATACGACGTCATCCGGTCTCCTATGCTCAGAAGCCGTCACAAGGTCGATTACCTCTGCCAGTAATCCTGCCCCAGAGGCGACCTGAATCTCGACATCGGGGATTTGTGAGGGCTTATGCCCCTGTGCTGGAGGACTGCGAAATCGATCAATCTGCCTGGCTCGAGTTTCTCGACGGATTTGAGAAAAGCATCAATGCAAACCCATTGTATGTATGGCTCCTCCTCACATGTAGGCAATGGACTAACGCCATGCAAGATTTCATGTCGCGAACGGTGCTGTGTTCGTTGCTGGCCATGTCAGCATGGCGGTTTCTGGTGTCAGCGTCCTTGCTTCTTTCGTCACCATGGCCATTCATCTCAGTGTAGAGGCCTCTCGACGGACCTATGTGCACTACCAGCAGAACAAATACCTGGACACGATGAACGAGCAGTTCTTCAAACCGCGAGGCTTGTACTGTCTCGTCATCAAGTACAAGCCAGCGTCTGATGAACTGATGGAAGAAGTCGATCTGGAACACAATGTTGCCAAAACCATTGAAAAACGAGATGGGCAGAGCAAGTGGAAGCATTTAGTCTCTGCCTCCTCTGCCACTACCAAGCACGACGCAGAGATACCCGAGGCGGCACCACTCATATTCCCTCAGCTGGACAACATGGATGAGACCCAAAAGCAGAATTCCGTGAAGAGATTTGGAAACTTTATGAAGGACTACCACGACCGACAGGCTGCGGCCAAGTTCGAAACACAGAACCCCGATTCCAAGATCCCCAACGTCCCGAGGAAAGAGTTCGCATCGAAGTACAGCGATCCAAACCACCCAGCCAGTACCGGAGGGCTTATATCTATCGCATCAGGAGGCAAGTACAACCCGGTTGGTCCGCTGGGGAGGATCAAGCAGAGACGGGCCGATCAACGGGAGGAGATGGGGATGGACCCGCCAGTCGACAGGAAGGAGAGGAAGAAAAATCGGCCAATGCATCGCTTGCTGAAAGCAGACGCGCTTTATCTGATGGTTGTGAACATGCCCACCCAAGAAGAGATGGACCGCGTAATGGCAGAGGTAAACAAAGCTTAGGACTTTACATAGAACACTTAATCTCTCGGTGGCTGCATTAGAAGACATATCTGGTGGCAGTTCAGTCAATTATGTAAGTGTGCCTGTACACGCTACTTGCCATGTCATGGCGCATCTCCGTAAATGCTTACGGTCCCTAAGCCATGGAACCCAAACCCGAACAGCATCACATACCATGTACGCTTTGCCTTCGTCAGAGCTCGTCAGTACTATGCCAAAAACCTAAGGTTGGCTGTTGAGCAATCGGACATAGTCAGTCGCGGTGATGTTTTCCGCAACATGAAAGCCAATGCCCGCGTCCGAGCACCAGATGCCGTTGTGACCAAAGCAAGAAAGCAAGCTTGCGGCGTTCTTGATGAGATCGTCTGCAGATGAAGTTGTCAGATATGTGCTTCAGGTGTTTTGACATTAGTCGTTTACTCACTTGTCTCAGTCGAGGCACGGGTTGTCCCGCCTGAGCCATTGGCACAAGTGCACGTGAGTTTGGTTGACTCCATGATGCAATCGGAGCAGCTAGACGAGAACCCGCCACTATTTCTATGTTAGATACCACGAATGCTGAGCGCATTGGACCTGGGAGTAGTTGCCGCTTACTTGAGACGGGGTTCAAGACGGCCGAATGCATTGGCGTAGCACATGTCGAGCTTCTGTTCAATCACAACCGTAGTCAGTTCGTGTTACTTGATACACATGAAAAAGGGATCCCTATGTCCAGAGGTCACACTGGGGCAAGACTTACCAGGGTGGTGCAGCGGTACGAATCAGGTTGGTCGGTCTTGACGGGACATTCGGCAATGATCTGCGGGACCTCGTTGCCGTTCTTGCCACGCCAGTACTTGAAGAACAGTTGTCAACGCTGGTAGCATTAGGTTGTTTGACGGTCTAATGATTTACCTGGATGGTCACGCATTCATCGCGATAGCGCGGGTTGTCTGCCATCACGAGAGTGACCAGACAAGCGAACGCGAAGATGAGAGCGGCGAAAGTCTTCATGATCATAGATTGCTGAAGTAAAGAGGATGGGTGTTGTAGTACACAGTACTAATTGAGTATCTGAGTTGTTGAGGATGTGATACTGAAGTGTGATGTGCAAGAATAAATGAAGACGGGAAGGGATTTTGGCCTTAAATATTTCAGGGTGGTGTAAAGTACCTACGTACATTCAATTAACCCAGTTCCTAGGTTAGATTAACCTTAAGAAGACTTTGTGGAATTACTACCAGGTGAATACTGTGAGCAGTGTATACCACAAGAAGTGACTCAGGTGAATACATCCCCCCGGTAACCCATCTCACTTTCTTGAAAGGCGCATAACATAACCGGCGAGATGGGGCACAGCCCATCGATGTCTTAAGCCAGGTTTATTTTCTGCTGTTATTCCAGAGTAGGAGCTGGTCCTCGCTGTATCCATCTTATCTGGCCCATCACAGGATCCATTAAGCACGCGAAATGTGTGCATTCGGCCATGGTCGTCTTGGACTGAACCCATCTCCTCAGCGTAGATTCAAGCACTGGTGTTGCCGGTACTTTTGCTGTTGCATCCAACGATGCAGATATCGCAGTATTCGAGTTACCGGCGCCATTCGCCTCAGCTTGGACCTGGCCGCTCTGCTGATATCTCTTCCACTTGTCTTCAAATTCGGCTTTTCGATGAGTTGATTCCTCAAGCCACTCTTCATGTCCCAGCATTGAAGATCCAGTGTATTCGCTTGGGTTCGGTGTGATAGGATGATCTACGTCATGATTGGTGTGAACCATGTAGTTATCTGATGTTCTCACTTTGCCATATTTGAGGTCCTTCTCAATAATTGTAACTTCAACGCCATCGCACAGGATGAGATAGCAGGGAGAAGTCTTGACTAAAGACAGGCGATGTGCTTGATCTGTTAGGCTAGGTTTAATCGCATTGGTTGAATCACTTCGCGGAGCACGATGAAGAACATGTGCGCGTAGGGTAGAGCCAATTGACCTACGACGTCCCAATAGGACCAGGAACTGATGCCACCGGAGAGACCTTGTTGTGCAGACATGGTTTGGTCTGAAGTTCAGTGACAGCGACAGCCCCTCGCTGTTTGAGAGTTAATCGAAATGCTAATTGCACAAAATGTAGCAACTTTACATACCGGACAGCGGTTAATGTACCCACAAAGCCGACGTAGGTCACAGATCGTGCCAAAACTCGCTTGCCGCTCTTCTTGGAGTCAATGAACTCCAAGGTGACCAATAGGTCCCTCAACTCATCCATCCCCCAGTCTAAAGTGCGAAAGTGCATTAAGCGTGCCTCAGAGACACTACCGTCGGTTGTTCTGTGGCGTGGTGCTGATGGCCTCGTCAGTGCTGCACCTGAGGTGCATCCTAGGAAACAGTCGAGGAAGTTGTTCAAGGCCACAAGCAGATAAAGTTCTACGCCGGTAGATTCTGAGATGCCTTTGAGTTCTTTCTGCTCTTCTTCGTCGTATACTCTGCGCAGCGACACCTTTGCCGCTCTGATCACAAGCTGTCGCAGAAGCGCATTTGGTAGGAAAGCGATTAGGATCTCTTCGAATAGACCGGTCAGGGCCCGCATGCGCGGACCAAAGTCCTGTGACACCTGACGATACCGAGACTCGGCAGGTTGAGAAAGATCGATTGTGTACGCAGGAACAGCGTCATTGACAAGCGTCGTCGCCATAGTCAAGACTAACTGTTGCTCTAGGGCGAGCAAGTCGACTAGGAGCTCAGGCTGGGGGTCTTGTTATGTATTTGCTCAGGAGGAAAGTGGACCAATAGGTAAAAATACCACAAGAGAAGGCTATGGCATAGATCGCAATCTCCCAAGAAAAACGCATGTAAGACTGGTTAATGGTGTGTCGTTGCACGAAGTAGGCAGCAACAAGTCACGTGCATATGCTCCACCATCCGTATACTGGAATTAGGCCAGGCGCAGGGTGCCTCCTCGATTGTACCTACCTCTCCAGATTCCAGCTGCAATGACAAAGTTGACCAGGGTCATGCGGCAATACATATCAAGGACATTCTCAAGGTTGAGATCGTGCGGTGTCGTGCGATTTGCCGTCAAGGATGATGTGGTGTAATTAAAACTCTTTGTCTAACAGAGCCTCCTTCTATTGTAATACTGGGCTATGATTTGCCTGTCTGTCATTTGAGTGCTATCAGAAAGCAAATCAAGTAGGGAAAGAAGGAATGTGATTATTGGGTCGGTCAACGTTCATCAAGACTCGTTATGGCCGCTCAGCAACTGGAAGGCAGCGCTATATCGCTTGGGACTATTCTTAAATGTTCCAGCGAGGGCTAAACTGCGCCTCTATTCTCTACATAGTTCTGATGAAGATGTTGCCTTACCATCTGTGCCAAGACCTGCAGGCAAAGTCATCAGTAGCCTGAGGGGCAACATGTCTCGAACTGCTAAATGGCAACCAGCAATCACATTCTTTATTAGGTCAGCTTCTGCGCAGATCACTTGAAGGCACCAACCAACCGGCCAGTTGCTGCATGAATGTAGATTCTCCATCGCGTGGGATCGCATGTCAATCAATTGCGACCATCTAGTCGACACGCGCAGCCATGTCTCACAGCAGTCGCACCAAGGTTGTAGTGGACACCGATATCGGCACGGACCCCGACGATGGGCTCGCGCTCGCATATCTGGCCATGCACCCGGCCTGCGACCTGCTCGGCGTCACCATTGTGACGGGCGACGTCCAGCAGCGCGCCGCCGTCGCCGAGATCCTGCTGCGCGCGTGCGGTCGCAGCGACGTGCCAATCCACTGCGGGCGTCGCGAACCGCTGCTCAAGGGTGCCGGCCAGCCCCTCGTACAGCAGTATGACTGCATAAAACACATGACCCACATCCAGGGCCGGCCAGAGAACGCAGCCGTGGACTTTCTACAGCGCACCATTCGAAACCACCCTGGTGAAGTCGTCCTCCTGACTATTGGGCCCCTCAGCAATGCGGGGCTGCTGTTCGCGCTCGACCCCGAGCTGCCGTCTCTCTGTAAGGAAGTGGTCAGCATGTGCGGCAAGTACTTCGGCCCCGAGAAGCACCAGAAGGAATGGAACATCTTGGTGGACGAGACGGCGGCGGGCATCGTCCTGAAAACGCAACGCCCGCGTCACCGATTTGTCGGACTTGATGTCACGCGACCGTGCACATTGCAAGCCCACGACGCTGAGAAGCGGCTGTTCCAGGAACTCGGGGAGCTTGGAGGCCTGATGAAATCTCTGGGAGACTGGTGGCTCAAAAAGAAGGACCGCTTTACATTCCACGACCCTTTAGCTGCCGCCATCATCTTCCAGCCTGATCTTTGCGAGTGGGTGACGGGTCGTATGGATGTGGACCCGAGCAACGGCGCGACAAGTTTTGAGGCAAACGCCGGGACTGACCTCGTTGCGTGTGACGTGAACCCTGAGGCATTCTTTACCAACTACTTCGAAGTTGTGAAGAGCACAAGCCCCAAAGAGACCTTTGATCGCATGAGGGCTCAAGTGTCCTCTCAAGTGTCCTCATGAGGAAATTAGCAGTGCTGATGACCTGTGAAGCACTGGACGGAACCGTATTTCAAATGCTACACAGAAATGATACTCGCCTCGAGAAGTTTGCAGTCATCTACAATTTGAATCAAGTGGTCTTTGCATGCTGACATGTATGCCTTGAGATAGGAAGCAATAGAAAAACGAGAAGGATAGTGACGGGAACAGGAAAGCAGAAACACGGTGAGTCTCACATCTCGTTGTATTCATCGATAATCAAGGTATCGAGCTACTGTATAGTTCTAATGTGGAAACACCATCCATTCGCTTTGTATTGTGGTCATTATCATACCCAAAATGGACTCTTGCCGGCTTCCAACGAGCTCCTTGTACAAAGTGGTTACGTTGACCGTCCGGGCTAATGGCTGATATATGACCAAGGTGCCAAAAGTCTTTCCGTCAGCCCCTAAATGGGCTTTTATAAGACGGCGAAATAGCAGCCTTCCATCAGATATCCTGGGGAGTATTGGTGTGTCCCCTGATGGTGACCAAGGGGTAAAAAATTCGCTGTAAAATATATGTCGTCATCATTTCCGTTAATTATCCCTTCAGGCTTCTTCGAGATGGGCCGACTTTGTGTCTGATTTGGCCGCAAATTCTTGGGGAAGAGCGACGGGTCGGGTCTTGGCGTACTTGACTGTTGCCCAGGCGGATGGCGAATCCTTGAACATCATGTCGATATCCTCCAAGGAGCGCCCTTTGGTCTCAGGGAAGAGGAAGAGGACAGAGAGTGGGATGCATGCCGAGATGACAGCGAATACGATGTAATATTGCCAGCCGATCGTGTTGATGGCCACAGGTGTAACCATTGCAACGACAAAGTTCCAGAGCCAATGGTTGGCTGTGGAGATGGATGACATGGCCATTCGAAGACGGATCGGCGCAACTTCTGTGCAGTAGAGGAAGTTGGCTCCCAGGAAACCAATCGGCACAAAGGTGTTATAGAGGTATATGAAGCACCCGGCGGCGATCTGAGCAGACTTGTTGTCCTTGGGGAAGGAGGTGGTGATTGCTAGAGCAATCATGCAGCAAGACATGCCAACACCGGACACGATGAACACTGCGCGGCGACCGAACCTGTCGATGGTGAAGAAGGCAATGAAGGAGGACAGGAATTTCCAGGTGAGCGCTCCTCCGGACAAGACTCTCGAGAGTTCTCCGCTGAGACCGAGGTTCTGCTGGAACAGAATGGGTGCATAGACGCTGACGAGGTTGCTCCCAGACATCTGCTGGTAGAACTGCAGCATGATGCAGAGAAGGAATCGGTACAGCAGCTTGTCTTCTCCCATCTTGAGCATGTCGGTGAGCTTGACGGCAGTCCCTGCAGTCTCCTCAAGAGAAAACTCGATTCCAGTCACTTCTGCCTGCACTTCGACCGAATCCTCGGGGAGCCCTCGCAAGGCCGCAATCACCGAGCGGGCTTGGTCGCTGCGGTTCTTGAGCACCAGCCATCGGGGCGACTCGGGAAAGAAGTAGATTGAGCCCATCAATATGAGTGAGAAGACGATCGAGATAGCCAACGGGGGTCGCCACGTGACTGGTCCGGTGTGGAATTCGAAGAAGCCGAGATCGATCCAGGACTCGAGGACATAGCCCAGGCAAATGAAGAGGCCAGTGAGAACGACATGGCGCCCTCGGTTGGTAGCACCGGAAGTCTCGGCTTGCCACACGGGCACAATGGAGCTCAGCTGGCCGACTCCAGCGCCCAGGATGATGCGTCCGACGATGAACTGAGCAAGTCCGAACGAGGAAGCCTCCAGGATGGAACCAATCAAGGTAAAGACTCCGGCTGGACAACAATTAGCCAAGACGGCAGACATTAGGTCCGCAGGACATACCTATGAAGATAACATTGCGGCGGCCAAGGGCGTTTCCGGTGTAGGAGCACGACAGAGATCCAAAGAGAGCTCCGATGACAAAAACTGCCACCACGACGCCCTGGATAGTGCTGTTTTTACTCTTTTCTGCGCCCGTGGTGTTCACAGTGTCGATCTGGGGGAAGGTTTTGACCCAATCGGACTCGGTCAGGAGACCACCGACACCAGCCTGGTTGTATCCAAAGAGGATGAAGGACGGAGCGACGATGAAGGCCAGCTGCAGGACGCTCAGGGTGGTGCCCGTGGCGCCGAAGTGGTTGTTGGCGCTCATAGTTGGAGGGCTGTACGTTCTTTCGTTCGTACAGATGACTAGACAATGGACCTGGCCGATGAGGAATGGGAGAAGAGAGAAGGAGGAGGCCAGGTATTTAGGGAGGAGGACCTAGGGAATCAGCCCAGGGCCCGACGACGCGCCTCGCGCCCCTCCCCGTTCCCCATCGTATCCAGTCATGGAGGTGCGTGACAGAAGGCAATTCGGCGCCCCGCGCTGATGTCAAAGCCAGCCAGGTTCAGGTAGCGTATGGTCGCGGGGAGAGCTTTCCCACGGAGAACCTGGACGGTTGACCAGAGTGGATATCCAACCAGTCGTCGATACCTTGTTCCCCCAGACTGGCGGAGGACGACTAGCAGAATCCGAGCAAATTGCGCTCGAATCAGGGCTGCGCTGATTAGTGATGCCAGGTCGCCAGGTATCCGGGCTTGTGGTACCGAGTATAACTTATCACAGGTACGGAGCTTTCTCGGCGCCTTGGTTTACCGTTAATGAGATCGCGGCTCCGTAAACATCCGCTTGAGCTGGGGCTAGGAGCGGGCTAGAAGCGAAGCGGTGTCGCCGTTGCCGCCAACCACAAAGCTTGAAAGCAATAGCGGATGGGTTGATGAGCTCGTAGCCCACATGAGGGAATATCGCAGACAATTATATCACGTCACTAGCTCTTAGCTGCAGGGGGAAGTGCTAGGGAGCGACCCGCCCGGAGACAAGCATATGCCAAGCTAATCCCAAGCATCTCTTGCCAAGCAGAACTGTGCCGGCCATGGGGCTTGCCTGCCGCATGCCACGCGCGTCTGGCAGCGTCCCTGGCGCCCCCGCGCTACTGTGTAAGTTTCCTTTCTTGTGGATCTAGGGTCTCAACGTCTCAACGATTCCATTTCGCATTCTTGGGTCGATGTGGGCCGGGGATGTGACTCGAGACGGGGCAAAAAGGCACTCAAGGGCTTTTCATAAGTGAAGCCCTCGCTCTCGGCTTAAGGAAAAAGTCCTCCCCGTCTACCGCTTTGCCCTCCGCAAAGACTGAGACAGTGAGGCGCACCTATCCCGCTCGCCGGTCCGGCACGGCAGACATGTATTGTAGATCGGAGAGTGTACTCGTGTTAAGGATCGTATCGTGCCATCACAACCGCATGAACATGAATCAATTCCTTTGCGTATCTTGCACTACTACGGTATACCGTGCATCTCTAGCTTTGAGCATCGTCCGGCAAAGAGCTTAACCGACCGCACGCCCTGTAGACTTGACAATGAACCGTGTAGGTGCGCCCGGCTAATGACTCAATTGGCTAAGTCAGTTCCAAGGATGCTCCTTTGAGAACTGCCGGCAGGTTGTTTCTCGCCCAAGCAAGGGCAGTGTGGAATGGCCAGAAGCTCGCCGCCTCTCACTCAGCCCGGCACGATGGATGCATGGCGCGAAAGTTCGAAAGATGGACGTGTAAGTTAATGATTGCAGCATATGCGAGTCAAAAATTTAGGAGAATGATCGTTACCTGCTTGGGCATGATTAAAGCTCAAGACCCTAACGAAAACATCCCGGGACATCGAGTTCTTGGGGTATGGGGGTGTCAGTGCGCGTTGCGTATGTACGCAGGTTAACTAGAACGCCTCCCCCCACATCGCTTATGGGCTAGTGACTACCGACACTGTCGAAATTCCCGTCGGTTAAAATACCTAACTTATTGTCCTCGCTTTGGGCGACTTTGTTTGGGGCATAATAGAAATATCATCTGCCAATGGAAACTTTGCTCGCTTCTATATATGATATTCTGTGCGGTTCTGGGCTGCCCTCGCATCAACCTACCATCTTGATGTCTCCTGGACCTCATGGCAAGCTTCAGACAGTCTACCATAACTTCAACTCGCTGGTTCTCACCTGTTGATCACTAATCGCAGTAAAGAGTGCGAATCCCGCATCTGCAAACGTGAAGACACCGCAAAGAGAACTCGAGGAAAGCTCTATCCAGTTGTATGAACTGTTGTGCGTTTGTCGGCCACCACCGTGTATGTAGGAACTGTCTCCTTAGGGAAGTGAATTCCTCCTTGTAGCATCTTCGTACCCGTCTGACTCTCTGCCACTGTCTGCTTTCGCTGTGTTCTGCGCAGCTGCGGACTCGGAAGGCTGTGTGGCAGTCTGGTGAGTTTGTATCATTTCTCGTGCGCCTGGATCTGCTGCCTGAGGAGGCCGTCCGCGAAGGTTGATGTTTCGGTGCAGCTGAGTAAACATGCCTCCTGGAGAAGGAGAGGGCAGTCTCGACCGGTGTTTGAAGCGCCAGAGCCCAAACAATCCGGCTATTACGATGATAAACGCGACGGGTAGGCCAACTTTCAAACCAAGGTCCTTATTTCCCCCGGGTATTCCCTCATTTGTCACAGGCATGGTAGGTTGCGACGTGCAGACACCTGTGATCTCCGCGGGGAGAGAGGTATTCGTAACAGCCTTGGCAAGCCAGAATTTCTTCTGGTCGTAATCTATCCGCAGGTAGTTCTGCGATAAGAAGACGCCACCGAGTTGAGGAACATCATTCCCTAGATCGCCTTGCCCTGATTGAATCGCGGCCATGACACGTGACGAGTTGAGCACTGCGTACTTGCCTTGGTCATCAGTCCCGCGTTCATTCGATACCAATTCGAAGTGAGGGATCACAGACGTGTAACCGTTCGACAACTTGATGGTCAGTGTCCCAAGGAGTGGCTCTCTATCCGCAGGGTATGTCTGCCCTGTATAATTCGATCCATCGAAGTCAATGTGGCGCGTCAGGCCGGCCCATTGGTCGTACATCGTCTTTGTGAAGGTGAACGCATTCTGGATCGTATCTATACACGCAGGAACTCTCGAATCGGGATCTCTGAAGAGCGAGTGATTACCTTCCGAGTTGGTCAAGATGACATCGGCAAGCATCACTTGCAGAGGACAACTTATTGCAGCTCCATAGCCAAACAGCGGGAATTCGGCCTCAGTTGATGCATCGAATCTAGCTTCGTCGAATCCGCCAATAATCAAGCGACCATCTTTGGCTTGATTTTGCGACCTCGATCCATAATATAGCCCAATGTTGCGGGTCGGTGCCCATGAATGTTCAACAAGGCGGCTGAGAAATGATGAGCTCGGTCCAAGAGCAAGCTCTGATTTGTTTTGGGCGTCTGTATCGGACCAGACCTCGACGGGGAGCGCGTCGACCATTGCCTCTGTGCCAGGAAACTCTGCCGCGCCGTAGCCGTATAGGATCGTCACGTCTTGCGGATGAGGGTCCACAACAGAGACGTTCCATCTACTTGGAGGGACACTGGTGAATGTATCCTCCGAGATGCTGAATACGCCGCCCGACGCTCCCTGGCACCTGGAAAAGTTGGCAGCGCGTTCCGGACAGTCGCGCGCATTCCTAACGCGAGTATTGTTTTGGCTGAGCGAAAGGCGGAGTCCTAGTAGCTGTCCACCGAGCAAGGTCTGGATGCCACGGTTGACAACTATACCGTCGCTAAACGTTGTGTTTTGTATGGTCAATGTAAGCGGTGGGACACTGCAGTTCTGGGCCCACGTGGGCGCGATGAACCAGCATAGCACCAAAGTGAAAGCAAACAAAGGCATCTGGAGGCGCGTTTCGTGTATGTGGAAGGCTGTTGGCGGTTCGAACCCGCTGTGCGAGCTCTGATGTGTGCGTGCACACATACAGAGGATGGACAGGATTGAGCTTCGGGGCGGAAATCGCGGCATTTTGTCTACCGTGGCGGACGCAACACACCAGAGACAATCAAAGCCCAATCTAGGCATCCTGTTTGGAAACAGGTTCCCGGGACAAGATCCGAGTTAGCGGCTGTCCTTGCTGAAGGCTGAGTCGACTCGGTTAGGTGCTCATGAACGAGCTGTGGCTGTATTCGGTTAACGTAGCCGCGAATCAAGAAGCACCATCATCGTCATCAGGCACCGTCCTCACACCGAGACGAACCATCCGCGGGGAGGCTGAGTAGATATTAAACCCCAAAAAGCCCTACGGGGCTGGCCTACGGGGCTGTGCACATTAACCCGCCAGGATACCGAGTTCTTAATTTTCCCCCAATAGGTAATGCACGTGTTATCGAGCAACTATCATAGACATAGCAGTGTAAATGGGCACAGCGAAGCGGCCGGGCGGCTGAAGCGGTCCCGCAAGCCTTGGCAGCCAAGGCCCCGCCACATGCAAATGTCAGTCAGCGGCTGAGTTGGTCTTCGCCAATATGAGATGAACGCCAAAGCCATGTAATCTCCAAGATAGACGTGATGCTTGTACGTATAGGAACATTCGGTGCAGAACACGTGACGTCGATGCGTTTGGATTCAACGAAGTATAGTGTTTCCGTGTATCTATATTTGAAGTGTAATTGACTTTGTAGCCTAAACCATTCTTTTCACACTACTTGAGCTCTAAATTTTGTCCTTTGAATGATATTAGGCGTGCTTTACTACCGCGGGATTTATTAATGGTCATTGTTGCTGGTTAAACTGGAAAACTAGTTCAGTAATGGCTCCTATAATGTAAGGCGTGAAATGGGAAAAATTTTAGACAAGTGAACCTAACCACCAATCATCAATCCCACGTTCTGCAGCTGATACTCTCAGCTTCTCATTTTGTCCCAAACCTATCTTCCTAGAACCGCACTACCAAGGGTGAGGTCAGGTGCAGCTATGGAGTGCATTATAGAGATGTGCTTCGTGAAAACTAAGACTAGCCCTTTCCCAATCAGAAAGGGCAAGAAGAGCATCATCTATGCTACATTCTTGGAACCTAGCCGTGGTCATCTGACGCTCCGTGGCAACGCAGCAGAAATGCTGCTATATTCACTATTGTCTATGAAAGTTACCATGTCCTGTGTGGATGAAGCTGGCCAGGTAAATGAGCTTTCCATCGCTGCCCTGAAACTAGCGCAACAACTTTTTAAAGGTATTATAGTCGTTTCAGCTCTGTTTACATCGCAAAATTCGTGTGACTTCGGTAGTTCTAGAGACAGGGCCCGCTCACAAAAGCCGTGTTGCGTCTGATCCAGCATGCGCGATGCCAAATCTTGAAGATGGTAACTTAATCGCCGTGGTCCACTCATCATCGCGCTATTGCTTACGATCGAGGACCTGGTGCGCTTCGTGCAGGGGCGCCTGCTACTGAAGCCTTCGGGACTGGAATGATCAGTGATCGCCGCGTTGCGCTTGCAGCACCTGGCGCACGAGGAGCTGGGCTGGGGAACTGATTGGGCCACGACAAGCCGGTCCCGGTCACGTAGCCGGGTACGGCCCTGGTCGCGATCGGCGTTGAGGACGAGAGCCACCTGTTGCTTCGCGCTCCCGACGCGCCAAAGAAGTCGGACAGTCTGACATGCCGCCGGGAGGCACCGTCGGGATCTGACGAGATGGGAAACAGGCTCCCACTAACGGCGGAAGAGTTGCGAGGGTATCATTGGAAGGCCAGTAAAGGGACGATCTCAGTGATAATGCGGACAAACAAACTTCTTCACAGAAATAAAACTAAAAGGGCAAGTAGATTGCAGATCGACCACACGTATACTATTCAAGCTCCATTCACGTGAGAAAGCCAATACAGTAGTCAATGGACCAACAATGCATTCCAGATCAGTTAACTAGGGTGGCAGAGGACCGGTAAACCTAGAAATCATGTGTATGGCCAGCTTGTCAACCGTACTCGAACAATACAGAAGATCCAGATCATGACTTGATCGCCACATATAAGAAAGAAATTTCTGATGGAACCAAAGCGCTCGCAATGATAAAAGCCATACTTCATACTCGAGGATAGTTCGACACAATGGCATGAACAGCTAAAACGCCGGTTCTTCAGAAAGCCCATCCATGTCTCCAGGTCTGTACCATGTATTTCATGCTCCGATGTACATAATTTAACACAATCAACATCTTTATCTACACCTCAAGATTATAAGTTAACAGTGATCCATCACTTAATCGCATAGTTTAATAAGTGCCTTCAAGTATTTCGGTCGATATTGTGCCTGGCCTAGTTATTCCTTCCAGCCTTGTATTTATAAAAGTAGTGACTTCAAGCTATGTAAACGCTGCTCACATTTTCCAAACGTAGCGTATCTATTAATTATCGAAGTTCTGACTTAATCCACAAAGTCCTGGCTCTAGAGGCGGGCTGTTGATAAGTGATACATACGGGTTGCTCGGTGAAATCGTAGATGTAATTGGCGGTAACTGCTTGCTGTACTGAGAGTAAAGCAAAGCAAGACGGTTGGTCAGGATCTTCGCCATCTTGCTTGTCTCTTCTTTGCTAGCATACCTAGGTACTTCACGTTCCGTGGATAGACGAAACGTGCGTATAGAGGAGCTAAACTTGAATATCTTGCGCCAGAATATGGGAAATCGTGGGCATTCCGTTACCCATGACGACTTGAAGCCTACTATCACCGCTGAATCTTGACTTTGACTAATTGGTGCGCTTGGCAGCTGTCAGCATTATCCTGGAATATACTCCAGGCACGCCGCCACTGATCCTTCAGGATCCACTTTGTTTCCATAATTGTCTTTCATTCGCTCGACTGACTGCATACAACACTCACCTGCCAGAAACAAACTGGCCGAATGCACCTATGGGGCGACCGCGGCCGCATAGGAGCACCATAGTACACAAGGAGACAGCATACGTCATCGCCACTGTTCAAAAACGAAGTTATTTTTATAATCAAAGCACCAGTACTCCGGGAACGGAGATGTTGTTTCGATACCACAGGCTGCCCAATATGAAGCTCGTGATCTTGTCCCTCCTTGCTGCGGCGAGCGATGCTGTCTTGGGCCAAGTGACCGAGCGCCCGGACTCCGACCATGTCACCGTCCAAACCTCCACCGGCAGCTTCACTGGGCTCATCGACCCCAAGTTTCCAAACACCCTACAGTTCCGCGCCATCCCGTTTGCGAAGCCGCCAGTGCTGGAGCGTCGCTGGCTGGCGCCTCAGAAACTCTCATCGTCTTCAAGTGAGCATCATTACGCCACCCGGTTTCCACCATCGTGCCCGCAGTTCGTGACGGCAGTGACCTCACTCTGGAACCAAAACTTGACCAAAGGCAACTTGATTTACAATGGCAACCAGAACGACTCGTCGGGGCTGGTAGGCGAGGCCACATCTGAGGACTGCCTATATCTGGCGGTGTGGATGCCAAAAAGGGCCGCAGCACCGCGAGCTGACGCCGGTCTGCCCGTTCTATTTTTCATGACTGGAGGTGGCTTTGTGATTGGCGGAGTCGATATCCCGTGGCAGCTTCCGCCATCGTGGGTCGAGCGGTCGCAGTCGCACATCGTCGTCACTATCAACTACCGTCTTAACATATTTGGCTTCCCCAACGCGCGCGGACTGGAGGGCGGCGACCAGAACCTCGGCATCCTCGACCAGCGCGCCGCACTCGAATGGGTGCGCGACAACATTGCAGCCTTCGGCGGCGACCCGAACCGCATCACCCAATGGGGCCGGTCGGCGGGATCTATAAGCGCGGATATTCATGCGTATGCTTTCCACGAGGAACCCATCGCTCAAGCCTACTGGCTTCAATCGGGGACGATCTTTTCTGTCTCTGCGGTCGCTGATCCAACGTACTCAAACTTCACCTTCGTGGCGCGCCACGTTGGGTGCGATGCTCCAAGCGGCGACGATGACGACGAGGACGGTGCAGCGGAGCTTGACTGCATGCGACGTGTGCCGTTTGCACAGATAGAGAACTTCATCGGACAGTACGGCGATCGGGGCGAAACACCCGCGCTTTCCTTCAGCTTGATTCCCGATGATCGAATTGTGTTCACTGACTACGAGGCCCGGTCTGAAGCAGGCAAGATCGCGCGCCTCCCGGCCATTATCTCGGCCACGGCCAATGAATTCTCATCGTTGGTTCCATATCCGGTAGATAACTTGACAGCGGGCCCGTACCAGCCGGCGGTCGATGCTGGCACGATATCGTTCGGGGTTTGTCCAACATTCAACTCAACCGTATATAGAAACCGGATGGGTGCTGATGTGCCAGTTTTCCGGTTCCAGTATGCGGGTACGTTTCCTAATTTGAACTACTACAAGTGGCTCGGCGCGTACCATGCCAGTGACGCGCCAATAGCCTTTGGGACGTATAGACTGCTGGACCACATCGCGAACACCACCACTCTCGAAATCGAAGTTAGCAATTCGATGCAGGACCATGTTCTCGCCTTCGTTAAGGACCCGTATCATGGCCCGCAGACGGCTATGGGCTGGAAGCCGATGGTTGTTAGTGATCCGCATGGTGGGGACCTCATCCGTTTCGGTGCTAATGGGAAAGTGTCAGAGCGTGTTGACGGAGTTGAAGTGGATGGAGTATGCCAAGGAATAAGAGAGTATAATCCATTACCATAGGCAGTGATGAGATAAAAAGGGGCAACATCGATCAAGACAAGGTCTAGGGCCAACGGAAGTCTATGATTAAGCTGAAACTATGGGATACCGTCCGTTTTGAAAGAGTTACTGGCTTGACGACTGTGAAACATGAGGCATGAATTTGAACATCAGCTATCAGGCAAAGTGCTCAGTGATGAGGGCTGTGATGGGGAGACATACTGGTCTTGCCGCGCGTTCTTCTATATCATGATTCAATGAGCACGAGGCTACGAGTGCTCGATAGTGCAATATGTGCCACAAGAATTCACCCTACGATGGGCTTCATTTTCCATTGCTGGACTGGCACTATAGCAGACTCGACCTAGGTAGGTCCTGGGGGCAGGCCTAGAAAGTATGTCGGTATTCACGACGCAATCTCGGAGAGACCTCCAATATGCGAAATGTAGTTACATATCAGTGCCGTGGCACCATTTCCAGACAACCCTCATTGGCTGATGTCAAGGTTGTCTGATAGTCTCAAACTCACAAGTCAATGTGGTACTTTTGCATAAGTTCTCGGCTTCTACTAAAATTGTTCTCGAAACACTCGCTGGTATCATTTATTCTAAGCCTCACTCTTATATTGCGGGTAAATTAAGCCTTGGCCGACATGCATGCCCTGATTGTACTAGTGTAATCCAATTCAGCTGACTTGGCATATCGCAAGCTAGGCCTTTGGGAGTTCGCCGACGATATGTGTGTTAGTGAATTGACACAACTTCGTTTGAAATTGCGCATTCTGCGTTCATACGATGTCAATGACAGACTTGAGTTACGGCACGTCGTGTGACCGGATAGATATGGAAACGACATAATTTCCCAGGCAAAGTTATCACACGGGGTTGTAAGGAGTAGGCATGATGTGAATTCACAGTAATTGGTGGTGTTCCGTTGACTCAACAAGGTTCAGGCAGGCCACACTGTCATGCTGCCTATGATCACTTAGGGTCTAGCCTGTCTACTTGGGCTTGTCAGGCTGCGCACTAACTACGTGCTGAGGCAAGTACTCGTGTAGGTATCTTCAAGCAACTACTCCCGTAATTCGCGATTCAAGACCAACACCTCCGCACCCTCGGTCAACTTAGATATATTGACCAACACCAAAATGATAACAACCACGGGTAATGGGTCCAGACCCATCTGCCAAGCAACAGGGCATAAGAAGGGTTTGTTTAGCTTGTTCAAACCAAAGAACTCTGAACCACATCCATATTGGTCTGCAATTTAGCGCACTCCACATTGGATGCCACTGCTGCGGGTCTACAGGGTTTTCGCCAGGAATGGCAAAGGCCCCCAGATGGCATGCAATCCCCAGAAGATTGGCAGACCAGAAGAAAAAAAAAAGATTCGCTACAGCTTCCAATAGCACAGTATTGAGAAGCTCATCCTGGTTATTCTCACGCGACCACAGAAGATACTTGTCATGGCTGTGTTGTCACTAATATAACCCTCCCTCGCCAGTAGCTTCCTCAATCCCTCGCTTCTCCGTCGTCCACCGGAGTGGTCCGTAAGTGCCAACAACCTCGAACTTCGAAGTCATGGACGCCATCTCCGAAAAGGCCGTGCTCGGCGGGTCTGCCCTTGTCGACGAGAAGCTGGCACGGCATACCGTCACAGCAAAGTCATCCAAGTCAGAATTGCACCTCCAGGGTGTTCAGGCGGAAGTGTACAGCCTGGACCCTCAAGCTGACCGCCGATTGACAAACAAGATCGATCTGAAAGTCATTCCGATTATGGGCCTGCTATATCTTATTTGTTTTTTGGACAGAACCAACATTGCCAACGCTCGCCTAGCTGGCCTTGAGAAAGGTCTCAATATGCCGCCTGCTGGTTTCAACACTGCGCTTTGGATCTTCTATATCCCCTTCGTATGAAACCTCAAATCAAGCGGATAGGTCCCGGATTAATCTCCAATTACAGGTCTTATTTGAAGTGCCGAGTAATTGGCTTATGGCATTGAAGTGGATCAAGCCAAACATATTCCTGGGTGCACAGATGCTTATTCTTGGTAAGGCGCCGACTTCGTGCTCGGGACTTCCATGGCCTAACCAGTATCGGTGCTACGCAGGAGTGTTGGCCATGTGTCAGGGTTTCACCAGATCCTATGAAGGTCTTCTCGTAGTACGATTCTTGATGGGTGTAGTCGAGACCGGATTGCCGGCGGGAGCTGGACTGCTCATTGCGTCATACTATCGGAAAAAGGAGCTGTCTCTACGATTTGCATTATTCTTCGCCTTTGGGCAATCAGGCTCTTGTTTCAGCGGTGTAAGTGAGGAATGTGCACCAGGTACGCAGTTCTTCTAGGCTAAGAAGCTTTACAGCTGCTTGCTTACGCACTTATGGATTTCAATGGCGCCTCAGGTCTGGCCGGTTGGAGCTGGTGAGTCAAGTTCAATGCTCCAATTCCCTCTGATTTCTCTTCTGCAAGTTGTCTCATACGGCGCAGGATTTTCATCGTAGAGGGTCTCGTCACCATTGCATTCTCGGCGTTTGTATTCGTCTTTACTCCACACTTTCCGGCTCAAGATAGGTGGTTGAGTAAGGAGGACCAAACCCAGCTCTTGGCAAGACTTCAACTCGATAAGGGCGATGAGAAGTCACATATGGTCAAGGTTGATTGGCCGAAGATTGTCCTCGACTACAAGATATGGCTACTGTATGTTGTTTCAGGCCTCTTCCAAGTATCCGATGGATCAAGCAACTAATCATTGCGAAGGACTGTACTCTTCTTCTGTGCCGACATGTCAGCTGGGTCGCTCAGCTCGTTCAATCCCACAATCCTGAGTCAGTTGGGATGGACAGAGCGCCGTGCCCAAGTGATGACGATTCCAGTATGGATCATCAGAATCGCGGGTGCGCTAACAACGACGCTCTTATCGGGACGTCTTAACACAAGGTGGCCCTTCATCCTTCCAGCTATCGTTGTCAGCATTCTTGGGTGGATCTTGCACTTGAAGCAGGTTGATCCACCAGCGGTACGCTATTTAGCACAATTTGCCATCAGCCTTGGGACGTTTGTCCAGATGCCTATGTACATTGGGATACTGACAGCTAATCTCCGCGGACGCGCCCACCAGTCATTTGGGACAGCTGTGTTACTTGGCATCGGCAACTGCGCTAACTTTGTGAGCAGCAATGTCTTCATCACTGCGCAATCACCTCACTATCCTGTCGGATTTGGTACGGGATTGGCCATAACAGCGCTTAGCTTTCCAATCATGTTGCTAACGATGGTTATATTCATTGCCCACAACAAAAGTATTGATCGGAAGATAGCTGCCCTGCAACCAGGCGAAGAGCTTGACGATCAAACAGACTACAAATTTGTCTACTAGAAGTATATAAAAGAAAGCATTAACCCATTTCAACTAAGGTTTTAAAGTTGTACAGAGGTTATTCAACCTAGCTGAGATGAAACCATTCAGGCTATAATACGACTGAAGTACAGTACGCGCTCCGAGTATTAACGAGCTTCCCTAAACATTGAAAAGCCTGTTTGTGGATAAATGTGCATTGAAAAACTCTTTCCAAGTTCCATACTCGCAATGGCCGAAGCGCAAACAGGTGAAGACGACAGCTCTTGTATATGATACCACATGTATTCCCAAAGATTAAAGCGGGAAACCATCCACATGGCCACCATGCAAAGTAAATCTCAAGGGGGAAGTAAGTTGCAGTGGATCATATTTCTTTCATTCCTTTTACAGCGGTAACACAATTCGCAAACAACAGTGCTATGCCGGACGACTTTCACACAAATGAATTTGGGGGAGACAATTCTGCCCCGCGCGCTCCAGGAAAGGACCTCCGGGATTGGATAGTTATCGACACAATCGCCAGACTTCAATTCTGTTATGGTATTCCACTTTCACGCTTAGTTACAGCATAGGTGCGGTCGGCACAAGGCGAACGGCTTTCTAGGCGATCTTTGGAGTGTAAGCTGAATTATACCCCGATGTTCACTAATTTTGGGCCATGCCCCATATAAGCGCCTCACTCATACGTCGCAAAGTACATGAAGGTCCCGGCGCTGGCTCTAGGTCGCTCCAGGTAGCGAGATTCGACATGAAAGGCGATTAACTTCGCCGTGCTCAAGCATGGAAATTGATCAATTTAATCACGTCATCTTTGGAGCTCGCACTTCGAACTGCAAATACTCAGAGAAGCACGTACAAAAGCCTATGACAATGTTTATTGCGTACGCAAGTGCATCAAATTGTAAACTGGTTGAGTCTCTAAGCGTAACGTCTAGCACCTCCAATGTAGCAAAGGAGGAAGGCATGCTCCGTAGGCTCCTTGAAGAGAACAGGGTTGAGATGAGTCCAGATACTCTATTTTGTCGATTATACTTCTCTGTATTAATGTAATCCATCATTATAATCCATCATCGTGTTTTCTCAACTACAAAGACTAAAGGTGGACAAAGCTTTGAAGTTAAAATGAGTCTCGGGGCAGTTTGGACAAATCTGGGCCTCGTTAGTTCATATGGCCACCAACTGTGGCGCCCATTAGTGGAGTGCGTCACCGGGGCCGCCCCTAAGAACAGGCAACTCTACTGAGCCAATCGCCGAGGTCGCACTTATCTGCCCAATCGCAGTGATAGCCGACTCGGACCTCAACATCCAAGTGCAACTTCTTGACCACAACGCTGATCGGCCCAGCCCACAGATCGGGAGCGATGGACGCATCAACAGAGCACGAAGCCTCGTGGCTGTTTGACTCCTCTCTGAGTGAGCGCTATGCCAAGCGGACAAGAGTGTCGGTAGCTTGCAGTCGCTGCAAGTCACGCAAAAGCAAATGCGACGGAGCTCATCCGCATTGCTCTGCCTGCTTAACAGCCAATGTTGAGTGTCAGTATCCTCACTCGTCAAGGCCCCCAAGTAAAACGCAGTATATCCGCGCCCTTGAGGATCGAGTAGTTGAGTTGGAAAAGAAACTTGCACGTCTGACGAAGAACGAGGGAGATGTGCCGCCACGGGAGAGCGACTCAACCGGCGATGACGGGTCCCCAAGTCAATCCCAAGTCAATGTCCCGGGCAATGCGGAAGGCGGCGTGAGCTCTCTCGTATCGCTCATACGGGATTTATCTTGCGAGTCTGGCGGTGTATATGTCGGGGCTTCTTCTAATATCTCGATGGGCAGGATGATGGCTTCAGTAGTGCGCAATGGAGGGAAACCAGAGACGATACGCGAGGTTGAGTGCGGGGAAGATTTGTCTCCAAGATCTGTATTCTGTGTCAACCTCCCAGATGCGGCTGCCATAGATCTGGAAGATGTCCCTTCGGAAGTCGCAACTCGTTTATATCATGGATACCTCCAGCACATCTCGACACGATGGCCCATACTCCACACCCCATTCATTGCTGATATTCATCAGCACAGGGATTGCTTGGACCGCCTTGAGGATAAAATACTCCTCCACCTTGTCTATGCCAATGGTGGAAGGTACCTGGAGACAACCGGAGAAGTTGGCAACTTCTTTCCAGAACGACATTATAATGCAGCTATTGAGCATCTCGAAGCGATAGTGGGATGGAGGAACCTTCGAACAGTTCAAATTTTGCTATTGCTTGGAATCTATTCACTGAGAGCTCCAAAGGTCCCCGGGGCCTGGTAAGTGGCTTCCTGTACGTGCCTTGGGCATCATTCTGATTATTTTCAGGAACTACGTTGGATTGGCTATGAGAACATGTGTTGAATTAGGCATGCATCGAAGAAAATCGTTCTCCTATCCCACACTTGAGGATGAGCTCTCCAACAGAGTCTTCTGGTCCGGCTATATGCTTGACCGCCAAATTTCCTTGGCTCTTGGACGGCCATTTGCGCTTCCCGATCACGATATCGATGCCATGGTATGTTCAAGCGTACACTGACCAAACATCTTACTCACCTCAATAATTATAGATGCCCATGAACGTTGATGAGGAGGCAACGAGCCTCGACGTCAACAACAATACGTTACCAAAATCATCTTCACTGGCCTGCTTCAGGCAAACTATCAAAATAAGACAGATCGAGTCTCGAATCAAGGACACCATATATCGTCTAGATCGAAGCACAGACGATATCTCAGATGCTACCATCTCTCGGTTCCAAATGGACCTAGAAAACTGGAAGGACGAAATCCCTCCACCGAATCATGTTCCAGCTGATCTTGGACCACGGCCATATGATGGTTACGATTATTACGTGGGTTCCTCCTCTTGAAAATACGCCAACCTAACTGACATGGTTTCTAGATGCATTTCTATTACAACTGTCTGCGGCAGTTATATTTTCCAATCGTACTTTCGCAACGATCCCGATACGTCAAAGAATGTGCCAAGGCATGCATTGGAGTCTGTGAAACTTTCAAGAAACTTCATCGCAACTCAGTAGTTGGGTACTCACTCTGGGCTCTACAAACAGTCTTCTTAGCCGGTATGTCACGTCTTACAAGTAAGGATGAGCGACCGACACTAATTGCGAATAGGACTCACCCTGATATATACGATCTGGATTAATCCTGGAGAACTCTATTCGCAACGGGCCATCGGCGCACTGAACGATTGCAATGTGATCTTATACATCATCGTCGAGAGGTGGCCAATGGCGAAGAAGTATCGTGATGCTTTTGAGGAAATTAAGGATAGCGTTGCTGTGCTTGTAGCAGACGGAAAACAAGAGCAACGACCGATCCTTCCAAGAAACTCAAATGCAATCGCTCGGGAAGTGCTGGCTGAAGAATCGGGCTTCCACGACTACGGACAAATGATCCTTGACATGACACAACAGACACCACCTGAGAGTCAAGGAACTACTGTTGAGAACGGTGGTATCCCTGTTCACTCCAGCTTCACTCCGGATATCGGTCAAATGCCTAGCAACCATGCAGTATTTCACTTTGATGATGAGATTCTCTTCGACATTCCCACTGGAATGGACGACTTCGGTAACAGCATGTACATGCCCCAAAACACTTGAATGGAGTGGAGTATTCGTGTCGACTGATATATTGATTTTGAGGGGAGGGGAGTTGGTTGGTGGGGGTCTGCATTCTGCTTTAGTGAGTTCAATCGGGTTGGGCTGAATTTGAAGCAGCTACTGTGTTTCTGATGAAAGCTGTGACGAGGAAAATTGGGTTCTCTGGATGACGATGATACTCTCTCATGGCATGTGTTAAAAGTTTTATTATAGCCCTTAGGTAACTGTTATGCAGTTTGATACCTGAGTAGCTAAAGTCTGTATAATTTTGAAAATTCTCACTGTGTCAGGGAGAAATAGATTTCACGTGTGTCAAGGAACAATATGGGGCCAGTTATAAGCAAAGGTCAAGTACATGGTTCGATTCATAAAGAGACTGAATCTTGCCCGTCTCACACGTAAGGGGACAAGTATGGGAATATATATCGGGTGCTGTGCGGTGTCTCACCAGACCTCCTGTAAATCTACCGCATCGCCATGACAATGTGAAACGCCTATAGACATTCGATGCAAGGAAGCACGGTTCAGATGCGTCCTCTCGGCTAGATCACCAGCTTTATATAGTTGGTCGTTCAAGTTTGATCTTGACCAGTCCCAAATCCAGTATAAGTTACCGGTATTCTGTCAAGTGCCACGTCAGAAAACACCATATAGCTTGCACATGGGGCTGAAGGGCGTGAAACAAGTCAAGCTAATGTGCTGCGCAGATGAGTGTCAGACTGGGTCCAGCGGCCGATGATGCCTCTTGCAGACAAGGTTGTATTTGTATATTTGTCATGATTGATTATGATGGGTTTCAAATCAGTTGATAGCCGCTGAGGGTATTAATCATTCGGCAAAAGTTTTGTCTTGAAATAGAGTAAGGGCTTATGCAGAATACATCTGTGTGAATTGCCCTGTTTCGGGTAAATCTTTGGATATCTGAAATTTGGCTAGTGTCCATTAATACCATTAGTCCCACTGGCTTTCCCCCAATAAGTGTCATACTTGAACTTGCTACCGTAGTGATCACTACGGAGCTTGCTGGCGCCCTTCTCTTCGTACATGTTCTCACGCATGGTACCGCCCGGTACGGCGTAATCCTTCCAGTACATCCCTCTTCTCTGAAGCTCGGGGATAAGGAGCTCTACCACATCCTCAAAACTAGCCGGGTTGCTTGTGTAAGAAATGTTGAAGCCGTCTACATCAGCGACATCCACCCATTCCTGCATGGCGTCGGCTATCATCTCAGCCGTTCCCACTGGTGCGGGATGCAAGCCACCAAAGCACATACACTCGCCCAAACGTCGAGGGGTCCAGACTTCGTCCCCTTTCTCACCAGCACCGCCCTGGAAGTCGCGGATCAACGACTGTACGGTATTCTCGCCGGGTTTGCCAGTCAGTTGAAACGGCTCATCCAGCGGATACTTGGACATGTCGATACCAGTAAACCCGGAGAACTGGGCTAGGGCTCCGACAATATCTGCATTCTCGAGGGCGCGTTTGTATTTTGCTTGTGCCTCCTCCAGAGTGCGACCAAGAATGGGGTTCATAGAAGCAAAAATCTTGATGGATGTAGGGTCGCGACCATTTTCTGTAGCTGATTTGCGAATACTCTTCACGGCCTCGGTGGTGTGCTTGGGTATCAAGCCACCAATAAAGATGGCCTCGGCATGCTTGGCGGCGAAGCCCTGGCCGGCCTTTGATGAGCCCGCTTGGAAGATAAGGGGGGTGCGCTGCGGAGACGGGTGCGTCTGATGGGTGCCGTTTATATTGAAGTACTTTCCGTTGTGTTCAATCTTGCGGATCTTGGCGGGATCGTAGGCCACCCGGCGCTCGCGATCCCAGACTTGGGCATCGTCGGCCCAGCTGCTTTCCCACAGCTTGTAGCAAACATCCATATATTCGTGAGCCGAAGCGTATCTTTCGTCATGAGGTGTGACATCTTCCTGTCCAAGAGCATGGGCCGCACTCTTGGACCAGCTCGTGACGACGTTCCACGCTACTCGTCCCTGGGATAAGTGATCCATGCCAGCATACGTTCGTGCCAAGATATAGGGGTTCAAGTAGCTTGTACTGCCGGTGACACCGAACGATACAGACTTCGTTACTGATGCCATGGCGGGAACTAGGATCATGGGATCGAATTGTGCGACTTGGGTGCCGGAAGCGAATATGGCGTCGGCATTGCCGCCATATATTGTGTGTTGACCATATGCATCCGCGAAAAAGACAGCCAGTACTTTGCCCTTCTCCGCAAGCCGAGCAACGTTCAACCAGTAGTCTATGCGGTCTTTGGATCGGGAGTTATCGTTTTCGTCCCTAAAGGTGTCGTATTAGCACAGCTGACTTCAAGTCCCCTTGTTGCCAGGCTCGCTTACCGCCACTGTCCTGGACTCAGGTGATTACCGGTGCAGGCAGTCTCGAAGAAGCAGAGCTTGATCTGCTTGGTAACCGGTTTAGGCATGTTTGACGAAAATTAAGTATCTAGACGTAGCTGTTTTCCTCGGCTGATCAGATTGCTTTGTGTTGAATGATGGCACGCCTCAAGTCAAAGATTCTGCCCATTTATGCCATTTATGGTATTTTAAAGAAACGTTGGTGTGAAAGAGAGAAGGGAATCGCAGCCGTCTGAAGGAGCCGGTATTCGGGAGACTGTCATGGACCGCGAGCTCGTGCCGGCAATCGCCAACTTTAACGATTTGGATAGCATCGGAGCTCTGCCGGGTTGCATGAACATGGATCATCACCCCGCGAATGTCCTTATCTCCAACGGCTGGGATCGGATAAGGCAAGAGAACCGTAACCCAGGGCTATCGGAGCGCAGAGACCGACCTAGCTACCAGCATGCACTAACCCCGGAACTACGGGTCTTAAGGGAGGGAGGTATGTGTCCTGGCCATATGCACGTAGGGTAAAAGCGGGCCAGCTTTCGGCTCGCATTCAAGAGCCGCCCGGCTAGTCAGCATAACCCGAACGGCTCCACGGGTCCCGTTTGCCACGCTAGCTGGTCCCGACGGTTTGGCTTGGTCTCCTATCTTCTTCCAACGTCAGTAAGCCAATCTTGTCAGCAATCTGATCTCGAGGCCCCCGACCGAGTCGCCGCTAAGGCTACAATGAGATAGGCCCACTGATAAGGCCGAAGGGCTTGGTATAGCGGCTTCCATACTGGTGAAGGAGCCGCGATCCATAAAACACCAGAGATATCATGACCAACTTACAGCGTTCGTTTGAAAAGAAAGCGCTGCTTCCATAACTTCGTCGTAGAGAAGTCGCACGCTGCACCAAGCACATACCATGTCCGACATCGAAACTGGGATCATGAAGAACCCCGTGGGCCTCAATGCGGAGGAGAAATCGACTAGCCCTTCTCTAGGACCAAAGGCCGGATCCATCCATGATGGGGCTTCCCAATTCGTTTCGCCTCAAGCTAGGAAGAGCTTGACACGGAAGCTCGACCTACGCATGATCCCTATTATCATGCTCTTGTATCTCTTCAGTTTCCTAGACAGAGGTAAGATCCGATTATCAAACCCCATTGCATGTGTTTGGCGACAGTAACGGCTGATATTGGACAGTCAACATTGGAAATGCCAAGCTATATGGATTGGAAGAGGACCTTGGTCTTGTTGGGAACCAATACCAGATTTGCGTGTCTATCCTCTTCGTAACTTACTGCGTATGTGTCCTTGCATGCCCCGTGACAACGCCCATTATTGCTAACTCGTGAAACCCCATAGTTATTCGAGGTACCTTCCAATTTGATCATCAAGAAAGTCAAACCCGACAGATACATTGCATTCATCACCACGTCTTGGGGCATCGTTGCCACACTTACAGGTGTCTGTCAGAGCTATGGCGGACTTATTGCTATACGGCTCGTAATGGGCGCCCTAGAAGCCGGCTTGTTCCCCGGCCTCGTGGTCTACTTAACCATGTTTGTAAGTTCTACAGAAAGCGAGCACGACTCAGACTAGTTGTGCATCGAGACCTAATAGCATCATACAGTATAAGCGAGATCAACTTGCGGTTCGAGTCGGCTACCTTTTCATAGCTTCAGCCGTCGCCGGTGTTGTTGGTGGTATGATAGCATATGGAATTGGATTCCTAGACGGCTCTCACGGAATGCGAGCTTGGAGGTGGTTGATGATAATCGAAGGTTAGTCGACAGAGAACTTCAGGTCATCTCTCGCGTCCACTCACACCGTTTTTAGGTCTACCGTCAGTCGTTATCGGCATTGCCACTTACTTCATCCTACCCGAAAGTCTCGAAAAGGCGCATTTCTTAACCGAGGAGGAGCGGCAACAGCTTACAATTATTCGCCATGAAGAGATCGGCCAAACAAAGGAGGCTGAGAAGTTCCACTGGGCAGACGTGAAAGAAGGTGTGAAGGACTGGCAGGTATGGATCTTTGCCTTCTCCGGATTCACAAACGACATCATGTTCTACGGGTTCAGCACCTTCTTGCCGACGATCATCAAGAGCATTGGTTCGTGGAGCGCCATAGAGTCGCAGGCCTTGACCATCCCGGTCTACGCTTTGGGGACTGGCGTGTATCTTGTGGTTGCCAACTACGCGTCCAAGAACCAGCTTCGAGGTGTTGTCTCCGCGTCCTTTGGGATGATCTCGATCATCGGATATTGCATGCTCATCGCCAACAGGGGAGCGGCTGTCAGTTACGCTGGCACCTTCGTCATCGCTGTTGGATTGTATGTGTCTGTAGGCCTACCATTGGCCTGGCTGCCTGGCAACAAACCTCGCTACGCTAAGCGGGCTTTTGCTGTGGGAATGCAGTACTTCATTGGAAACACAGCCGGCATCGTCATGCCTTTCCTTTACACTACTGCGTCTGCGCCGCGTTACTACACCGGATACGGTGTGTCAATTGCTGCAGTGTTCTGTTCCGTATGCATTTTCTCTTTCTTGGCTTGGTACTACACGCGAGTGAACCGCCGGAGAGCTGCAGGTCTCGAGGACTGGAAATTCGAGGGCAAAACGGAGCAGGAGATTTTGGAGCTGGGTGATTACTCGCCGAGATATGTATATTCTACATAGAAGTTACATAGCGACTATAGGCATGAGAATGCAGGCCAATAGGCGCCTTGGGTTCGTAAGATACCGGGAATAGAAACACTAAGCGATACTACGCTCAAGTGTGTGTGTGTATTGGCTGATTATCCATAATAAGGAGAGACTATAACAATTACCCGATTAAGAAGATGGCCCGGTTTACGGGTGCATTGTAATGGCAAGGATACTCCGAACTTTCGTGACCCTAGTTCGCGAACGGCTGGAGACGGGCTACTTTGAGACTACTCACTTGGTTTTTGGCCACAGATAGTACACTTATATACTGATTCCTCGCCCTAACACAACCTCCCGATTTGATAGGACTCGTCGCTCTTCAGGTTAGCATGAGCACCATGGGATTAATGAGCGTCCAGTGACAAGTCATGCGCTAATAGGGTCAGCGGGAACTGTTAGCCCCATTGCCGCTCGACTAAGCTATCCTTAGCACATAACAAAATCCATGCGACCTTCAACCAATTTTCTTCGTACATGGGTAGTCTCGAGCAAATCAAATCGTGAGTGTTTCAATCCCAAAAGAAGAGAAAAAGAGTTCCTCATTGCATGTGCTTATTTTGTAAGAGGTAGCCTGAGGTTGCTGGGAGCTTTTCGTCATCAAGCCAGGCATATGAGTCTCAACAAGGTTAGCTTTAAGCTTGGTGCCTGTTTTAGTGGACCAACGGTCTGGAACGGCGCTGTTGCGTCCCCGAAATGACGGGATGGCGTCCGGTTAGCTGTGCCGCAGGGGGCAAATTTCCATTGAGATTGGACCAAGCATGGTCCATCCGGCTAAGGCCGTCATTGTTTTCTGTTCGGCTTGGACCTCCGAGTTCTTGAACATTCATTCATTCAGCTTCGGCAACTGTCACTCGTTTCAAGACAATCAGGGATAAACCATCTCACGGCGTCATGTTCTCTCGTTCCTTTGCTGCTGTGGCCGTTGTGGCCGGCCTGCTTGCTTCCCCGATCTCAGCCAAGACTGACTACGACGGATGCACCTCGTCCGAGACGATCGCGTATGGTGGCGCGAGCTTGATCTGGTATGTCCCAGATACAGGTGAGATCTGTAAATATCTCGACTGCGGTATGGTCACAAGTCCCAATCTTCCTGTTGTTCGAAGGCCTAACCTGGTGTATAGGAGGTGGCCGTGCCCCACCCAAGACTACTGTTCCCGGCTGTGATGGTTACTCGGGCACGGCGTCTTATACGCCCTCATATCTTCCCGGATTTGGCAGCGCCACCTCGGAGGCATCTGCCCAGGCCACTCAGACCAGCCAACCATCAAGCACTATTGAGGGTGCTGAATCGACTATCACCACCGCCACTGGCGCGGACAGCACCACTGTCCTTACTGGCACCGCCTCGCCAACTATCACCTCGGCGGCAACCCTCAGCACCTCAGTCAGTGGATCCGCAGCATCTAGTGCCGCCTCCTCAACATCGAGCAGTGTGGCAACGGGAGCAGGAGCTGTGGCCACAGCCGGGCCTATCGGTATGGTCATTGGAGTCGTCGCTGGGGCTGTTGCCATGCTATAGTCTTGCCACGCACTCGGAGATATAGAGGTCGACTGGAGAACCACGGTTCGCCGCAACAACATAATTAGAGCAAGTTAATTGACGCCATGCCAACCACGATGATACACTGGCGCACTGTACTTATTCCGCATGTCCATTCCCCACCGAGGGAGTCTCTGGGTGGGATTCGGACGGAAGGATCGTGGAGCTTGATCATAAGACTCCTAGAGCATGAATGTAGGTCTACACGCGTAACATATTCTTTTAGAACCATATACCAAGACGGTAACCTCATGCCCTGAAGCTCTTAAGTGAACTTCATTTGATGAATTGTGTAGTCAGAGCAAACTCACTATTGATTTATTCGTCCAAACCTGATGAAAACAAAACCCTCCTCCGTGAGAAACAGAGCCGGTTGAGCTACTCCCCGATAGCCCGGGTCCTGTCCCAGCGGAACTGCTGCGACCCAGGGACTCAGTTCTGCGAGCGGGCGAACTCGTCCTCGAAGCCGGCCTGGCCGTCGGACTCTAAACCGTCAAACTGAGCAAAGTGGCTTGGCTCGGCGTCGCTGGTCTCGAAACTCCTGTGCGCGGCGCCGCGAACGGGCTCCTCACCCTCCATCCAACTTTCAGCCTCACTCATCGCCTCGAAACCTTTGAACCGCGAACCCGAGTTGCCCGAAACCTAGGCCTCGAATTCGGGCCAGGTTCTGTAGATGCCCGGCTTGCAGCCAACACAGACGACGTAGTAGCATTTGCGTGTCTTGGCCATTTCTTGACGCTCCGTTGAAAGTCTTGGGGACTGATGGGACATTTGATTCTGCAAGTAGGTTTGGAGTTTCGTCGCCTGTAAAGATGAGAGAACATGAACTGTGCTTGAAGCTGGAAGCTCCTAGGGGGATAATGAGACAATTACAAGTTCAGAGTGGGTGTTCAAGTTACGCTTTTGGATGCTACGCACGAAGTCGACTGAGAAAAGGGGATTCAGAGGTTGCGGATATAGAGGGAAAACCGGCATGAGCCTACCTATCTAGCCTTCCGCGAAGGCTTCCCTCACCAACTAGTTGCGTCGGGCGCGGCGTACCGTCCCGTGTTGTGCATGTGACACATCGAATTCTCGCAGATTGATGGGCGGAATGCCATCTCAAGGCCAGATTCGAATACTACGATATGCGTATGTCACATGGCACTCGGTCGGGTCTTCAAACTCGCTACTAGCCCAATTACTTACTGTATAGTAAATGGGCTTAAGTCCTTAATATGCTTTGGCATGACTTCCCGTTTTAATGTATCACTATCTGTCAAATAGGCGCAGGATACGAGGAAATGGGACTTCATCTTTTCTTTACTTTTACCTAGCGACCGACAAGGGCCACACCAGAAATTCTCCCTTCTGCATTACAAGGACCTGAGCAGATCCGTCACACCATCAACCGTCTCAGGTGTCCGCGCCGCCCGTGATTGAGCTTGGGCTTTGAGCCGATTGCGCTTCGCTTTCCGGCTTTTCAGAGCATCTGCGCGTCTTCCCAAGTGGAACCTACAGTAAGGAATCTTACCAGAAGCCTCCCCGCAGGTACGGCATCTCCTAGAGTCTGGCATTGCCCCCGCGGAACCGGATGCCACCTGGACAGACCCGCGATTCAATGTATTGTTTTTGAAACGAATTTCCAAGGCCTCATGAGCCTCAAAACTCACAAGGCTCTTATCCATGGTGCGCCATAATGTGATCTTGGCGGCAAGACCGGCTTGATGGCCTTGACAAAGTGCGGACTGCGTCATGACTGCGCTTGAGCAGTCGACAGCAGCGCATAAGCCCCTCAGAGGTCGATCGGCGTACTCTTGCTCATCGTGGAACCATGGAGGCAGAACAGCCATCAACTCACACAGGAGTGCCTTGGCTGCGTTTGAGTCCATGTCCGATGCCATAAAGAGCTGTTGCTTGTTGAAGATTGGCTTGTGATCAAGTAAGTTATTGGTAGCTCACACTTATGCGTCTATGGCTCAGTAGCCGAATTGATGCTGGCGATGTCGTCTCTTATATATGCGTGACTGCAATAGAACAATGGGGATTGGTTTGATCACTATGCCTTTCAAAATCAAATTGGGTCAAAGCAATTGTTTAGTTCCCTCGCACAGAGTCGGCACAATGAATTGAGGAAGGCCAAGAGGGGAGCTGCAAAGTCTTCATTGTATTCTCACAATGCCTGCTGACACTTGAAACTCTGGCATACCTAAGGTATCGGTTTAGCCACTATAGGAGTCAACAGTCAGACGAGGAAGCTGTCGGGAAAAGACGTGAACCTCATAGGCTGCCTCCACTAGATAACCTCTTGCCTATTCCGATAAGATTTTGCTTGTCAATGTTTCTCTAAAAATCTTTCAAAGCACAGTGAATCTTGATGAAGGTCTTATCTGCATCTCGAGTAACAATACACGACGTACGGGGTACTGCACAAGGCTATATTACATATGTATATGTACAATACAAGGCCTCCCTTGCTGAAGCCCACCCGGTGGAGCGATAGGGAGAACCACGGCTGAGTCGTCTACCAGCTGTAGTGCTGTCTCTGAGCAGTGACTGGCCGGTTGGGGAGATGGACCCAGGGCTTCGCCTTGGCCTCCTTTTGCACCTTCTCGTCGAACTGTCGCAACCTCGTCTTCTCCTCCTTCAATACAACGGTGAGATCTGGGGTCGTGTCAGTACATCCGTGGTGTTTTCGTAACAGCATAACATAATGAACTTACGGGCCGAAGGCTTGACCATCTTGCTCATACGTCCTCTTGCGTGATACTGGATTCGCAATCCACGATCCTGGCCAATGCCCACCCAGGCCTGGTCGACGTAGAGGCTCGTGGGGTCGCGGACCTCTATCCACTTGCCGTCCTTGGTCTGGATCTTGCGGGTCTTGTCGAGGGTGTCGCCGTTGACCTTCCCCAGCCCCATGCCGCGGCTGACGACAGCGCGGTCCCGGGCCTCCTTCAGCAGGTAGATGATCTCGGGGGCGGTCTTCTTCTTGCTGTAGCGCATCTGGGTGAGGGCGTCGTCGAGGGTCTTGCCGCTGATCTGGCGGGTGAGGAACATGAGCTTCTTGTAGCTGGTGTTGAGGTTCTCGCTCTTGAGGGTGAGCTCCTTCTCGGTCAGGCGGATGCGCTGCTCCTTGGTCATGCGGCCGCCGCTGCGGACCATCTGCATGACCTTGCGGCGCTGCCAGCGGATGCGCCACCTGGGATCGGGGTCGAGGGCGCGAGCCATGTGCTCCTTGGCCTTGGAGAGGCCGCCAACATCACGGCCGGCGCCCAGCTCGGGCTTGGAGGCCGAGTCGGCGGCGGCGGCGGCGGCGGCGGCGTCGGACTGCTTGATCTCTTCATCGAAGACGGACTCGCCGGCGGTTCGGTTCTGCATCTTGTCGAAGATCTTCTTCTGCTGGTCGCGCTTGTCGAGCTCCTTGGTCAAGGGCGACTGCTTGTTGCTGCTCTTGCCCCAGTTGAACCATGATATGGAGCGCTGTTGGGTGTGCGGCAGGAGGTATCTGAGGTGCAGCGACGGGGTGGTCGACCGGGCTGTGGGCGCGACACGGCGAGTTAGCATGGATCGAAGCAGTCGGAACATGTCAATGGTTACGGATGCACATACCGGTCTGCACCAGCCTCCTGGCCGGCAGATTGAGACTCATGCTGGCGGAATTGAGTCTCCCCTTCTGTATGTCTCCTGCGCCAACAGCTGTCGCGAACTCGGGCTGAGCTCCAAAAAATTGACGACGGCCGAACTGGGACTCGGATGCCCAGACCAGGCCAATGGAACGGACCAACCAGGCAGCCAGCCAGGGGGGGACCAGGGGAGTCCGGCCGACTGCCCAGGTGGGGACCAAGGACCAAGGGACGGGTTGACGGGGGGCAAGATGGCAGAGAGACACTCCAGGTGGCCGAGGATTTGCCGCGGCGTTGAGCCTCCAAGCCCGAGCCTCAGTTTCCAGGCCCCCAGCCAGGCCCGAGGTGCCCTGGAGAGGCTGATGAGACCTGCACTGGTCTGGTACCGGCGTAGTCAGCCAGCCAGCCAATCAGCACCGCCCATAGCTCAGCCGGCCAGAGGGAGCTTCGAGTCCCAAGCGCGAATAACGTCAAACCATCGTTCGATTCTTTGGATCCCAATCCTCACCACCACCAACGCCGCCCCTTCGCTGTCCACCAATCTCCCCTCCAAACATCCTTCACAATGGCCGCAATCAAGCCCATCACTGGCGTACGTCACCCCCACCGCCAATTGGCTCCCGGCGCCCTCCTCCGAGCCTCCCCGTCGCCAGACGTGACTGACATTTTTTTGCTCGCAGATGCTCAAGAAGGGCCTCATCACCGACTTGTCCATCGCCCTCGGTACGCATTTCCTGGTCCCCTCCGACGACCTCTCGTCCGCCACGGCGCTTGGCCGTTCCATCCGGGGCGCCACGATTGACCCGAGCACTGGCTGACTGGAAAAACAGGTATCGGAGCCGTCATGGGAAGCCTGTTCTGGTATGCCATCCCGCCCACCCGACACCCAGCCGCCTAGCTGCCTGCTTGCTGGCGGCCACCAACCTGCCCGACCCTGAAATCTAACATACATTCTAGGCACGGTTACCACATGCCCCGCACCATCGCCCGAGACAACTTCTACAGCGCCCTCGAGAAGGAGCGTGCCACCAAGCAGGGACAATAGACGCTGCGGCTCGACGGACGGATCCATTCGGGAAGCGCGGGCGTAATGTCATGCATAGAGGCAAAATTTCTTTTGTGTTCGGGGAGGGTATAGATCTGTGAGGGGAAGAAGACGATGGAGGCGCGCAACGAGCTGGATGTGTCCACTGTATCATACGAACCCGGCAATTCAGACTTGGTAAACCATACGACCTGCGACCCGGCTATCCGTGACCTTTGAACGTGATATGGAGACTGGAGATCGGCAATGTTTCTTGTTTGGGAAGCCCAAGAAACTAGTCAACTGTCTTTGGTTGTCAAGAGCAGGATGTCGTCCCGAGGTCAAACTACTTGAGGGCTTCAGTGACTTCATGCTATTCTGGCATCCCATCGTTGAAGTCTTTCGCAGCACTGCACGTGGCATGATGTGGACATACCTTGAGTTATTCAGAACACCGGCACCGCTGAGATGCCACCAAATGAGCATCCACCAAGATCTTGGAGCTTGGATTAGAAGATGGTGTAGAGTACGCCCAGGGGGTTTCTCATCGATGGATAACGGTAACAGAATGCTCTCCCCTCCGGACTCTGTCCATTCCCCGGATCATCATAGCCTTGTAATATGTAGTGGTGGATTTATTTTAACAGTTGTTGCCTATGATACAGGCCCAGATGCAAGAGAATATGCCATAGTTGTTGCCCTTTCAAAACGCCCGCCCAGATGTCATAAATACACAATCCAAACACATCACCTGGCTTAGATCTCTCGATATTGCCCGTGCTTGTCCGTCTCCCTTTCTCTCCACGAGTACGACGTCCAGCCACGACCGCCAAAGCCAGTCCCCTTCTGTGCAGCTGCTGGCGGGACATCCTCTATATCCTTCTCGAGCCTGCCCTCCCAGCTTGTAGTCTCAACCATGAATTCCCCTTTTCTGTCCTGACACCTATGTACTGATCAGTCCGGGTTTCTCTTAAGCCACCATCGGTCGGCGTTGCCCCGCACTGTTCCGTCCCGTCGTCATCATCGTCAACCATTTCCGAAATTCCAGTCTCCACGCTTCAATTCCAAAATCACGAACTAAAAGGGAATAAACTCACCGTCTAAACCACCGTTGCACCGGCCAGCATTTGACAGGGCTGTTGGGCAGTTCGGGCCGGTCGATCTGGCAATCGTACTGCAGCATCCCGAACAGCGGGCACTGCGATAGGTCGATATCGCGGCCGCCCTCCGTCTTGCGCTTGGTGCCGACCAAACTGGTCTGGACCTGCGCCTCGAGGGCGTCGGCCTTGAAGATCTTGCAGGGGGGCGTCATTGTCTCCCTCCCACCAGCTTGCGCATCCGGAGGGGGAAGCTGATGTGCACCTTTGGGGATTGAAGGCTGGAGTCGCGGGACCGGAAACCTTGATTGATCGTGGAAAAACAACAACGGGGCGTGCTCGCACCAGGATGGACACCGCGGCAGCGAGGCACGCCGGGGCCAGGATATTAGGAGAGATTGAGGAGGAGAGTCTGGAGGAGGTATGTATGATTGCTTTTTCTCTTCTGCGGTCGGGGTCGCTACACCACAGCCTGCATCGCGATATGCAGGTTCGGGAGAGGTCCCGGCTTCACAAGTGTCCGGCTCCTGCGGCCCAGTGCACCCCCACCTTATCTTATCGCAGCGACCCTTCCACCCCCCTGAAGTCACTTACACAGTTTGGGCCGCATATCGGATTTCAAATCAGACCATAAAGCCCTGTATTTCTTATTTTAATTTTCATTCTCCTGTAATAGTCTGCCTATTCTCCCGATATATGATACTGACGACTCGCTTCTAGCTCCTTGCATCTCTCCGTGCCACGCTCGTGACACCTACCTCAACCACAGCCGCGCACACCGGAGCCCATGGCACCCTTCTTCAACCCCCCATCCCCATCCCCCAGCTCTCCTCCCTGATCGCCAGACACCACCACGCGAGCCAGTCCGCGCCCCCGCCTCTGCTCTCGCTCTCGGGCCGCCATCTGCCGTTCCTCTACCACCTGGTCTCGACGCTGCTCGCGGCGCCGCACCGCTACGCCGTGGTCGTCGTGGACGCGGACCACCGCTTCGATGTAACGCGCCTGGTCTCGTCAGTGTCCCCGCCACCCTCCTCCTCGTCTGCCGGGGACCTCGAGCAACATCGGCAGCAGCGAGACCCGAACCACCCGGCCCAGGTCGACGACCTGCGCCACCTGTACGTCTACCGGCCCGCGCGGTCGGCGCCGCGGCAGGCGCGGGGCGGCGGCGGCGGCGGCGGCGGCGGCAACCAGGTGCAGGCGTGCGTGGCCGCCGCGCAGCAGCACCTGCTGTACGGGCGGCACGCGTCGCGCGGCCGGACTTGGTGGGGCACCGTGGTGATTGGCGGCGGCGGCGGCGGCGGCGACGTCAGCGCCGGGTGGAGGGGTTGGATGGAGGTGCAGCGGCGGGAGGTGCCGGGGTTCGGCGTGGGTACGAGCGCCGAGGAGGCGCTCGCGGAGCGGGAGCGGCGCCACGCCAGGGTCGCGGAGCGCGTGTGGGAGGGCAGGAGCCGGGTCGGGGTGTATGCCTGGGCTGAAGGAGGCGGTGCGGGAGGTGGGTGAGAATGAGGGCTGGTGGATTGGGTGCCGCCTTGGGGCTGGGGAATGTTTCGATACCTGGTGTTCCGAATGACGAGGTAGTGAAAAAGCGTCATGAGTCAGCTATTGTATAGTGGCTAGATATCCCTAGAGCAGTCGCGTCACGATAGGAGAGCATCCTCTTATGGTTGTAGAATGGGTAATGACTATGTAGGGGTATGTCACCTATGTCCAATAAATTTCTTCAGTCTGCTTATCCTACCCGTTGATGTGAATGGCAGCCAAAGGTTGTCCCAATCTCCCATCAGGGGCATTTCCATCAGATCAATCATGATCGAAAGCTGAGCTCTAAGGTGGTGTCTCCTTTTCACAGTTGCTCGTCCCCGAGACCGATTTCTTTGGTGTACCTTTCGGCGATGCTTCCTGTTTCCGTTGCTCCTTGTCCTTTCCAAAGACCTTCACAACCACTTCTCGATCGCGGATGCGCTCGTAATATGTTTTCAAATTCGGTGCCCATGCGAGATCGTCCCTCCAAGTCGATCCGAGGGTGGTATACAGGAGAGGCCAGAACGCGTAGTCTGCTAGCGAAATGGAATGCCCAGCTATGAAATCAGCTTCCTCGGCGTACTTCTCCCAGGCGGTAAGGCGGTCTCTAAGTGTTGTGGCATCGGCTGGCAGGCCTCCGCTGCCCAAAGCAATGGCTTGCTGGAATCTGGTGAGCCAACGGGCAGTGTCAGCTCGGTCAGCCGCAGTCCCCTCTGCGCCCTTCCCGTAGTACCTGTCAAGGTACAACATAATGGCCATGTCACCAAAGACCGTAGACTTTCCCGGGCCATTGTCAACGAACTTGATTAGCGGATCATTGGAGGTGTCGCTCGGCGCGGGCGGTTGATCGCCTGACTTGGGCTTCATGTCTACCGGCGCCAGGCTTCCTTTGGCATATCCAATGCCCAAGTCAGTCAACATGAGTTGCACGCGCACGTTGGCTACCGCATCGCTGGAAGTAAACAGCCTGTGTGCGGCCATAATATGCAACACGTCGAATCCTTTGCCATAGTACTCATCCCAGTCGAAGTCACTAGACTGGTTCTCACGTCCAAACGCTCTAAGCATCTCAACTGCCTCCGGCGTCTGTCCATTGATGACTTCACGAGCTTCTTCTCTCGTCTTTGCCTTGGCCCCTTGGCCCCATATGAGCTTCTGGTCTCGGTCCAGGAAAGTTCCTATCTGCCTGAACGTCAACGAGATGCGGGCGCCACCATACGCGAGTTCGTCCTCTGTCTTTTCGCGATCTAGGCGCTTGTCCTGGCGAATGGCGTGCAGCCAGCGCATGTTCGTCTGCAGTCCCATCTGACACATGGAGTTGTGCGGCAGACGGGCCCGCTGCGCCTCACGCTTTGTCCCTTGTGCCGCTGCGGTAGGGGTTTCCGCCTGCGACTGCTCGTCGTTGTGCTGTTTGGGGGGACGCTTGGTGCGGAGTACCATGGTCCGCTCGGCGCCTACGCTGACGTTGACAATGAAACTGCCCTTGGCGATATCCAGGGTTTTGTCACTGTGTTCGGATATGTAGTCGCTGCCATCTCGATAGAACTGGATCAGCGCGTGATTCAGGGGGTGGCCGACCTTCTCTGCCACAACATCACGGATATCCTTCACTGTCGACGTCCACGGTAGCAGAGGTGGTGACTCATCTGCAGGATGTCGATATACTGGAATGTCGCCGCTTTCATCAACCTCGCCTTGAACAGCGACTAATCGAGGGACTTCACCTCCCTGGTGTGACATTCGCAGCCATTGAACTTCCTCTCGTAGTTTGTCAAAAATACCCTCGGCAAGTGCTTCGGGCAAGACATTGTAATGGACCTTGGTGTCGCCTTCGCACAACGGCTCACTCGTGGTCGAAGTTAATTGCCTGTCTTCCATTTTGGTACCAATATCCTGGTTGGGATTCGGGGGACCGTTCGATGGCTTTGGCGGTGATCTAGCCTTTGGTGGTTCACAAGTAATTGTCGTAGGTTCTGTCTGGTGTTCTAAAGGCGCACTCTCATTGACAGGCGAAACCGAAACATTCAACGGTCTCGTATCTTTATCACCCCCCAAGTTCAAGCGGCTCAAAGTCGATTCAATACCAGTCTCTTTGGTTGCTCCAACTTCATTCTTCGGGTTGCACCTTGTTTCCGAAGACTTCCCTTTGTTTCTAGACCCGATTCCATTTTGAGGCTGAGCAGCTGGCGGAGCTTTTACGGTGCTATCGTCATGTGAGTCATCCCCGGAACTTGCATTCAAATCGTCGTTAGGCGACGCGTGCATGTTGCCCATGATTGCAATCTGTCCATTGAGGCGTTGTTCAATATCTGGAAGCGGCCGAGATGGACGCCCACGCGCTGCAGCGGTTCGGGCGCGTGTGAATGTTATAGGCGGCAGACCGGCATTAGCCTCGCTAGCGAGCGGCGGACTTATAGGCGATGAGTCAACATTGGACGATGCAGAGGATGGAGGGCTCTTCGAAAGCTCCTGGTCGCCGCTGCTGCTGGGCCGGGCCTCATATACCACCGGGTATCTTCTGCCCGTTGGATTCGGTGTTGGCGCCGTAGCGGGGAGCTGCTTCGTTTTCGGCTTCAACAGCTTCAGGACTTCATCAGTAGACATGATGTCGCAACCTGTAGTCTGCTGTATTTTCTTGAGAGCGCCGCTATGGCGGTCACTGCTCCTGTAACCGCAGCAGTCTTCGACGATGCCGATGTCAAGTCCATGGCTGCCAGCATCTATCGCAGTTGCCATAATGCTTATATTCGTGAGAGAGCCACAGAGGAATACTTCACTGACAAACTTCATTCTGAGGCGTTGTATAAGGCTCGGAACCTTGAAAGCCGAATAATGCGTCTTGGTAAAGGACATGTCCTTTTTCTCTATGAGTTTCTGGATTTCGGGAGGGAACTCCGCGCCTGCCGTGTCTTTCTGCACGCACTCCGGCCTTCCCGGTGCCGGGCCGGAAAGAAAAGCCTCTGGGCACCTGGACAACGACTGCTCACCCGATGCCGGTGGTGGTTTGCGGCCTCTAGATGCAGTCTTCCGATTTCCTGATGCCGGTGTGTCTGATGTGATGATCTGCTCGTTTTTGGCCGGCCGAGGCTGACTGTACTCGCTCCCAATCCAAACGATATCTCCATACGGCCGGAACTCGTCCACAAGCTGGGTGATCCGGCCGGTAAGATCGGCCGGATCGCCGACATGTAGAGCACCGTCTGGAGACAGAAAGTCATTCTGGGCATCGACCACCAAGAGAGCCCTCCTGGTGCTCAGCTTGGGGAAGAGCGACGGGTCGATGGGTAGCAAGTTCATCGCGACGACTCCACATCTACCAACGCTTTCTTAGCCTTGCCGAGATCATGCAACCCTTGTATTGCAACTAGATTAATTCCATGTGTATTGTAGTGTCGTTCCTGGTTTGAATGGATAGAGCTCCGAAGGAAGATCGCGCAAAATGCTGAAGGTCCTTTTTAGTCGTAATGATAAACAGATAGCTGACACGGTTTCCAGTAAAGACGCGGAGTGCGGAAGGACGGCAAGAACTGCTCAAGAACGGAACAAGCTTGGCTGCTGTGGCTGCTGATGGCCACCACGAACATTGGCAATGTAGTAAGGAGATTGTCACATCCAAGATATGGCCCTTGGTTGATGTGCGGTATGAAACTTGTGTTGCATAGAAGGCGACGAAATTCTGGAGAGGACTATTCCGCATGTCATGGGCAGCATTGCATGTGTCTAGTGCCAACAGTGCCCCGCGATCCTCCGTTACAGGGTTCCACTACAGGAAGTACCCTGCCCGAATCCTGTTGTCACACACTTGATGCTGCACGCCATTGCAGTGGTATGCAAATTGTATGTAAGCCTATGCATAGAAACTCTCAATTTTGCAGCTTTGGCAGTGTTGTGCTCTTCCTCGCGTACGAATGGTACATTCGCCGGAGCTCATAGCCTGATGCATATGCATTCACAAGTTGGAAGTCGCTCAGCCAAAATACCAACAATTTCGAGGTCGGTACCGAGAACGGCCGTGTACGTGCCGCACATGAACGAATGAGGCTGAAGTCCGAGCGAGTACCGACCGATACCTGATTCTCGGGAGGGTGTGTACCATTGATGATTTTGGTTGGCCAATGGGCCGCTCAGACTGACAGGGAGGGAAGTTCAAACTTGGGGGTTGCAGTTGACTGAAGGCTTGTCTATTTGACTTGATGTGTCATGAGATTCTATAGTGCCGAACGAGTTCTATCAAGGAAACCATCTATGCTCTATACCCCAAGGCTGGTCTGAATATCGAGTGTTTCATTTCTTGGACCGCCAGGTTCATTTGTCTTCAACCCATACTGATGTCAATTGATTCGAGCATCCACCTATCGCTATAGCACTGGTTTTGGAAAACCTTGCTATGTAGCCTCTACTCGGATTGGATTATACTTGCCAAGGCTTGCTGGATCTCAACAAAGGTCGGCCGAGTGCTGGGATCCGGCAAGGTGCATTTCTCGTGAAGAGTTTTGAGATTTGCCAAACTTACTTGCTCTACCGGGTGATGAGAATCTCGCTCTATCAATCCCGAAATGTCTTGCAGCAAGTGAGCGAAGGCCAGCACCTCGAGTTGTTCCATAGCGTAGTCTGCGTATATAGAAGCTGCTCCAAAATCGCCTAGCAAGGCATGGCCCTCTTCATTGAATAGAATGTTATGCGCGTACAAGTCGCCATGCGCGATGGCCCTCGCATGGAGGTGAGCTGCAGCTGAAGCAATGCCCTGGAGTATTGTCAAGCCCTGGTCGAAACTCAACGCGGTTTCTGAGGCGAAGCAATCTCGCGTGCAGCTCTGGAGTGACGGCGGGAGGCCAAGAGTACTGTACGAAGGTGGAATAAGTTGCAGCACTAGGCCTTTTTTATCCGGATGCCCTTGGATCTCCCCAAGGGGGTCGATCAGGTTGTCGTGCGAGCCAGCCATGATGCAGGCACGCATCTCATCCATGGGAGTACCATCGCTAGTGACGTCGCCTTTGAAGAGTTTGATGGCAACCTCTTGGTATTCCCGGTCTGCTTTCCAGAGACCTTTAGAGATGATACCTGAGGCACCCTCGCCGAGGACTTCTTGAGCATTGATATCAGTCCAAGGCACACTGCTGAGACTGTCAGCCGTGTTTAGTCTCTGGATTGCCACCGTAGAGCATGGGTTTCCCGCAAAGGACAGGAATGAGAGCTCCGGCATGGCGAATAGCCAAGATGGTAGAATTTCGATCTGATTAGCGGACAAGCGCAGAAGACCCAGGTTGCGGCAGCCTGCCATTTCATCTGGAAGCGTGCGAAGTCGATTGCCAGAAAGCATGCACTTCTGGAGATGCGGGCATTTTCCAATGCTGTTTGGTAGCCGCTCGATCTCGTTGTTGGTCAAGATCAGCCAGCGCAGGCGCGGTGGGAGAGCGTTCTCGGGGATTTCCCTCAACCCATTGGAGCGGAATGCGACCATCTCGAGCTCGGGACATGATGCCAGTTGTTTTGGGAATACTGTAAAGTTACAGTTGGAGAAGAAAGCAATCTTCAGTCTCTTCAGTTGGCCGAAGTTGTCTGGCAACGACGAGAGGCCAGTGCCTGAAAGGTCGAGGTGCTCCAGAGACTCGGCCAGGTCGAAGATATGGGAAGGAAAGCCATCAAGGGGCTCTGAAATCTTAAGCTTCTTAACAGGCGCCGCTTGGTGGGCAGAGCCTATGAATTCGCCCATCTTGAAAGAAGCGTTTGATGTGGGAAAGGGCAAGATCAAATCGGTGTCGATGCCATAGAGTGTGTTCATGTTGAGAAATGAGCATGTGAGACAGCCACGGTAGCGATCTCCAGCGGCACTAGACCCAGCGTCGGCGTTATCGCAGGCTGAGCTTTAAGAAGCTACAAGAGAGCAATTGGGCATGTAGGGCCGGTAATAAGATTCTTGCCGAGACATATGCCTATAACATCAGTGCTCGACTTACTTATGACATGAAGCTTCCTGAAGACGGGTTCCAGGACAGCAATCAGGCTTGCGAGTTGCAAACTAGAGATATTATTTATTGCATTTGATGTACACAAATGTCCCCTACCTTGAGCGGGCCCACTGGAGAGCCTGTGGGCATACATATATCGTGCATTGTGTAGCGTACCGTCAAAGACAAGGTCGACTTATATCGTGAAGTTCAACTATGGGCATGCTTACTCATATTCTTGTAGTGCAGATCCGACCAGAGACATGTTGCGTCGCTGCCCGCAAAATTGGACGAGGGCCATTCGTAACAGCACAAACTTGAACCGGAGCATTCGCTGGACATGCTTCAGAAAACTGCGCAGAGCGACTGAGTAGCTCTTTTGATCAAGGCGTTTTATTTCACGTCAATACATGGGAGGGTGTCTGGGTAAGGGGCAGGGTAAACTGTGAATGAGGTGGGTTGCCCCAAATCTGATATTTGGAGTTCAGTTTGGTGATGACGGCTCAATGGGCGCAATGAAAGAAAGGTACCTAAGTGAAGTTACCTACCTACCTCCAGCTGGACTTGGGTCCACTAGTTACTTCACTTCTTAACCCCACGTAGGGGGTAGACCACTGAACCCCCCAGGCCAGTGGCTCTCATGGCCTGTGCACGCAAAGCTTGGCCAAGGTTTCCTTCGGCGACGCGACGAAACTGTTGCCGACCTGAGAGCACCCGTGCACCCCCCGGCCAGCGCAATTCAGACCTCCAGCTCATCGACGCCGTTCCCGCGACACAGCTCCGCCGAGACAAGAACGCGAGCCCGACGCCCTCACACAAGGATTCAAATAGGCTAGCCGAGCCTACGTCGCGAGCTCGAGACATCTCCTAGCCGACCACGTACAGAATTGCGCGCCTCCCTCGATCAGCTTAGCTCCTGCGGCCAGGTCAGGCATACAGTACACGATCCATCCTGGTACCTACAGCGTTCCGACTCTGTCGCCGGTGGTAAATTCCATTCGAGGTCTGTCGGCAGACCTGGCGGCCTCAACCGGTCGCAGCCATGGACTCGCCCATGGACGTGGATACATCACCCAAGGCTGGCGAGAAGCGATCGTCTCCCGCCGCCGCGCCGGGCAGTCGAGATGGCCAGCCGAACAAAAAGCAGCGGACGGAGACGCTGGAACCTGAGCTCCAACCCCAAGCGCAGCCACAGACTCAACCTCAGACGGCTATGGGCCTTGCGGGAGATGAGGACATGCCCGATTATCCCATCGGCCTGGCAGGAACGGCGGCAGCGGGCGAGCACCAGGGTAGCTTGAACGAGGCCGACTTTGCGCGGGATGGGCTGCAGAGGTCCATCGTTCTCGCCCTACAGCACGTTGGGTTTGATTCTGCCTCGCGGGAGGCCCTGGAGAGCTTCACTTCCCACGCCGAAAAATGTAAGCCCAGGCCTGCATGCTGCCATCAACATTGGCATCACGTCCTGTCTATCTCCCAGCCGTGCTGACTAATTTCCAGACCTCACGACCTTTGTTCAGCATGTGAAGCGGTTCGCCGAGTCAGCGCGACGAGAGCAGCCCACGCCAGCCGACTTCGATGTCATACTGCGCAAGCACAACATTCCCGTCTCGTCCTTGAAGCCGCACCTCAAGAACCCCATCGCCAAGGAGAAGCTGGAACCCACATACTACGACCCCTGCCCAACACCACCCCACGCCGACTATTTTCGGACCACCTCGACTGCCTTCCTGGGACCGGAGCTGGACGGCACGGCGGACCGACAAGAGCGGCCCTGGATACCAGACTGGCTTCCCCCCTTCCCGAGCAAGCACACGTACATGTTTACCCCGGTCGAGGCTGCGCCGCCCGACCCGGCTCGGAAACGACAGGAGGCGGTGCAGGATGCGCTGCTTGGCGAGAAGGCATTGCGGAAGATCAATAGAGCTGCCAAGATGAGCCAGCAGAAGGAGCTGACGGAGATCGCACGGCGCAACGCCCTGAGCAAACAGCGGCACGACAGGTGGGAGGAGATGATGAAATCTATGATACCCGAACACGGGGCAGCTGGCGAGCGGCAGGAGATCGCAGACCACAGCATCATTGTGGACTCCTCCGTGCGGTATAAGCGAAGAGAGGTGCCTAGGGTAAGATAATGCGGAAACCAGTCTGGTGAGAAAATGATTTCCATTGCAGCACAACTGACCATTGTTCTTGGGACAGGAGCACCGCGTACGACCGCAGGGTTAAGGACGAGAGGCGGTGACGAGAAGTTGTCTCGCTCGGGGGATCTCGAGGGAACATGTCAACATGTCCTCAATGGATGGTCCCTAGTTGTGTGACTCGTCTCGGACGAGACGAGCTGGTAGGAGGTGAGCTCATGGCATGTCAGCGTGGCGCACTGGGTTTCAGACTCCAGGTTTGTCGGCAGTGACGATGAACCATGGTACGCGGCCCCGCGGCGCGGCCTGTACGGCCCATGTGGGAATCCCAGCCGTACCTTTGTACTATCCGGAATGGTTGGTCGCCCTCACGGGGAAGGGTGGCTAGCATTGCATTGGCAGGGCGTTTTGCATTTTTGATTTCCCGAGATACCCCCTATACGTTTGTTTTATACCATGTATACTGTACGTACTGCATTGTAGTAGGTGCTACATACATCACTCACCCACGCATCCGTCCATCCGTCCATACACTGCCATGGTGGATCTAATAATGGCAATGTGCCTGTCTTGATACCTCTCGACTTCTTCCGTGGGAGGAGCAATATATTACCGCTAAGTGTTGCATTGGCACGCACAGTTGCTCGGACCACGGAGGAATCATGTGACTCGGTGCAATACTTCTAAGGACTATCGAGGATGTAAACTACCGATCTACTCAACTTCCTAGGTATGCAAGATGGAATCGGTAATCAACACTGGTCCGACGTTGGCTCGACTACACAGTAGCAGGCTGGGAGTAGGCTGAAGTGAAGTGGAAATGAATTACCTTGGTACGTACGTGCAGTGGACAGCTGCCAGCGGCTCACCAAGTCCATTTGCCAGCCGAGGTGACCCGCCGAGAGGGCAGCTGGAATTTTGATTGGCTCGTGCCCCACCAGAAGTCCCCCGAGGCTGGTTCCCCACTTGCCCACCTGCAAAACAACCCCTGCTGCCTTTTTTTGGCCCATTAGCGATTTTTGACCCTAAAGTGAACCACACAAAAATTGTCGGAATTTTTCGAGACAGCCAGCCCGACCTGCGAGAGACGGTGACCTTGACTGCAGCAGCCAAATCACGAAACCTCTTCTATCCACCACCCCAACCCCAGTTCAAGTTGTTGCTGTCTAGACAGACTTGAAGCACATACCCGGACAATGGCTGAGCAGTTGATTCTCAAGGGTACCCTCGAGGGCCACGTACGTTTGCATCCTCCCCATACCCGTCTCTCCCTCGCTCTTATCCTCCCCGCTGCCGTCCCCGTCGCTGCGATGCGCCTGTGCTGGCCGTCCCCAGGCCTGTGAGCAGCGGAGGAGGACGAGCGCGAGCACGAGGAGGAGCACGATCACGGCCTCGCAAGAACAAACAGGCAGCTGACATTTCTTCCACAGAATGGCTGGGTCACCAGCTTGGCTACCTCCATGGAGAAGTACGAACGACGCCCAACTTGCCCTCGAAATGACGAAACAAGGAAGAAAATAGCTAACATGTCTCGACCAGCCCCAACATGCTCCTCTCGGCTTCCCGTGACAAGACCCTGATCATCTGGAACCTCACCCGCGACGAGTCGCAATACGGTTACCCCAAGCGATCTCTGCACGGTCACTCCCACATCGTCTCCGACTGCGTACGTATTTGGCCCTCTCTGTCCACTTCCGCCAAGAGGAAGCGGGCCAGGGAAACCTGAAGATAGAAAGATGGAAGTGGGCTGACGGACTCCTCCCCGTGTTCAGGTTATCTCCTCCGATGGTGCCTACGCTCTCTCCGCTTCGTGGGACAAGACTCTGCGCCTCTGGGAGCTTGCCACCGGTACCACCACCCGCCGCTTCGTCGGCCACACCAACGACGTCCTGTCCGTCTCCTTCTCGGCCGACAACCGCCAGATCGTCTCCGGCTCCCGCGACCGCACCATCAAGCTGTGGAACACCCTCGGTGACTGCAAGTACACCATCACCGACAAGGGCCACACCGAGTGGGTTTCCTGCGTCCGCTTCAGCCCCAACCCCCAGAACCCCGTCATTGTCTCCAGCTCCTGGGACAAGCTCGTCAAGGTAAGCTCTCCATTTCCGTCGACCCCGAGAAAGCAGAGGTTTGCCCTCCAACAGCTTCCATCCACATGATGTTTTGCAACCTTAAGTATTTGCTACTTCAGAGCTAGCTCCGGCTTGCCATGAGACCACCAATCACCAATTGCCCTGATTTCTGAAGCCGCAAGGCTCTGCTTTCTCTCGTGGGGGGATCTTTTCACGCCTCTTCTGGTTCTAGTGGCTGACATTGCAACCCTCCTCCAGGTTTGGGAGCTCTCTACCTGCAAGCTCCAGACCGACCACATCGGCCACACTGGTTACATTAACACTGTCACCATCTCCCCCGATGGCTCCCTCTGCGCCTCCGGTGGCAAGGACGGCACCACCATGCTCTGGGACCTCAACGAGTCCAAGCACCTGTACTCCCTCAACGCCGGCGACGAGATCCACGCTCTCGTCTTCTCCCCCAACCGCTACTGGCTCTGCGCTGCCACCGCCAGCAGCATCATCATCTTCGACCTCGAGAAGAAGAGCAAGGTCGACGAGCTCAAGCCCGAGTTCCCCGCCGTCGGCAAGAAGAGCCGTGAGCCCGAGCCCGTCTCCCTGGCCTGGAGCGCTGATGGCCAGACCCTGTTCGCTGGTTACACCGACAACATCATCCGTGCTTGGGGTGTCATGTCGAGGGCATAGTAGGCTCTCGCCAAGGAAAGTGGAGGATCTGATCTTCTCTCAACCCGGGGTTGTCGGTCACTGTCATTGACTGGGCGTAAGGGATGGGCTTCATCATTTGTCATTTGGTCACTTTTACAGGGGAAATGGCAGATCACATCACACATATTTCGACGTGCCACGGTTGACGATAAAAAGGAATGGTTGGCATTGTTGATGCGCTGCAGGTGCTCTGCTAATACGACACTTTTACGAGATATACCAGCTCGTGTGTTCTAGCTGTGCCATTGTGAAGAAAAAAATTTGCAAAAACTCTTTTCGACCCTGCTTTCATTGAGTTGACTGGTTTGTGTGAGACGACACCAGATGCTTGAGATTTCTCGCAGCGGGAACATAGTCTGCATTGTGGCGTAGAAAGTGCCTTGCCACGAAACTCTTCTGCCATATACCCGGTGCTTGGTCTGCCGACCAAGTCATGTAAATCAAGCTCCCTACGCCGGATAGTACCTGGAATAGGAGGTGTCTTATCTGGATTAAGGCGTGACTGCTCCAACGACGGGTCGACATATCCGGTAGGTCCAGCAACGCCTACTTTGCCATTATAGTCACTCCCGAGCAATGGATCTGCCACAAGGGGTACTCTATCTACTGGTAGGATTCGACTGATGTCTATTACAGTTACCTTCAATGGGTTTGAAAAGGTCAATGGGATTTTGCCAGTTACGGCATACTGTTCAGCTGCTCGACGATTCCGCCGCCAGATTCATAACCATTTGCTTACACCAATTTACATCCCCTGAGCTCGCAAGAATTGGAAGACCCGTTCGAACGCTTGCGGCGCGACCTTGTGTAGATTCAAGTTATGACTTGTAATGATTCCAAATTAGCTGTGTCTCTCTTGAAGGGTTCGTCCGAACCAGATTCCAGTGCATTGACTTACCCAGCGGGCAGATCATCCACCCTCTCAACGACGCGCGCACCTTTGAGTTTCGTCATGACCTCCTCCAGCACGCCGGCACAGTTTCCCCCGCACGCGGAGACGTCGTACTGCCCCTGGAGAAGAAGCACTGGCGCGGTGATGTCCCCGTACACGATCGTGGTATTCAAGAGCGACGGCAGCTCGCCCACCGCGAACGGCTCGCTGGCGACGCCGTACGACCACTCGGCGACCCGGTGCTCGAAGAATGGTTCTGCAAAGTAGGCATACGTCTCTGCGTACAAGTCCGCGGATATGAGCCAACCCGCGTCGAGCTCACCCCAGCGTCCTGGGTCCTGGATTCGAGCCACGCGGAAGCCAGCGCCAGCCACGAAGGGCCCGAAGAAGTCGAAGGTCCCGCTGAAGCCCGTCAAGACTAGGGCGTCGACTGGCGACTGCGCTGCGGATGCGGCTGAGATATAGGCGCCATAACTGTGTCCCACGAGCGCAACCTTGGTGGACCCTAGTTTTGTCTGGGCATAGTTGATAAGAGAATCAAGGACTGCAGTCTCTACCTGGAACTGCGCGTCGATCAGTGAATTCACTCTAGAAAGACGTTAGCAAACGGGGCCTTTGTTTCATCATGAAGGAGACACTACGTACTTGGAAGAAGACCCGACGCCAATCCTGTCGTAACTAAGAACTGTATAGCCAGCTGCGACAGCAGCGTCAATGAAACTGTACTCGCCAGCATCTGACAAGTTGGGCTGCCAATACCTAAGCAAGTTAGTGCTCTGCAGTTCCATGCTATACATGGGGAAATCTCAACACGCACAGCTTCGACTCAATGATCCCATGCGTTAGCACCAGCGTAGGTCCGCCGTGGCCACAGACGGTCGCTCCGACCGTGTAGTTACTCTCGACGGGACCCGGGGTGGCGCCGGAAATGGGCAGAGGGAACTCGGCGCTCCCGAAATCACGGCGGGTGAGGTTGAATGACAGGGCCGTGGCATCCCAGTTGTCGTGCACACTTGTTGTGATATGGAAGCGCGGGACGGATACGGTCACTGGGATTTGGACTTCCCTGCAGCCTCTTGCGCCCTGCGTTGGCGATGCCCTGGCTATCGAGGCCAGGGCGGCGAATAGCAGATGACTATGCATTTCCGGTTCGATTACTGCGGTTACACGAAATCAAATTGCGCAACGGATGTGGCTTCAGATCAATTCTCTTGCCTTCATATACCCATCCCTAGTTGTCCAGCCCTATCAATGGTTTATCAATGCTGCCAGATCAGGTATGAATGATTCCTCACCTCGCATCAGGGCATGGCGTCAGCAGCCGGGGTTGAAGTATAGGCCCTGTCTGACATATCTGTATAGTGGGGATTATAGCTTTGTCACAATGATTCAAACGTAAAAGGTCCAATAGCAGTTCGTTCCTTCAATTGTTTACAGACGGCTTTAGTTACATCACATCCAGCGTCATGCAGCGCTACCTCACCATTTACCCAATATGGTCAAGTATAAGATTATGGTGCCATCGATTGCTTACTCACGTAACCGCATACATCCTAGTCTGGAGCCACTGCGTGCCAACTGTCAATTTGCTGCCAGGGGCTGAGCTCGTATTGTATATCGGCAAAACTGGATATGCCTAATCCTCATGCGACTCGGGATGTGGGCCAACAATATGCTTCACCAGCCTGTTCAGGCTTTGGGCTCCTTCGAGGATACAGTTGCTCAGATATGGCTCGCTGAGTTTGTAAAAGCAGGTTGTTATTGATTGGAGGATTTGCGACTTCATTGCTTATCTTAGACAGTCGGTAGGACGAGAGCTTTGTACAGTTTAACGGCATATTTTTCTACTCATTTCATAATTCAATACCGCTCTCGCTCTCTATTTGGGTACCCATCAAGTCTGGCCTGTATAAGGCGCCCCTGAATTCTTTCCACGGCCTTCGCTTCAATCCTCTGTCTTCTACTGCCGAAGCTATGAAAAAAAAAAATTTCAAACACCAGAAAGTTCGCCAAAGGCCCCTGGCTGTTTCATCGTGGGAGACGGCGATAACTTTGCTCAATAGATTGACAACAGGTTGCAAACACATAACCCATTTCAATAGAGATTCATTGAACCCTCATGGCCACAATTGTCTGATGGCCACTCATGGATTTTCGTATCATCATTTATTCATCGAGCACGTATGTAGCGTAAGAATGAGTGTAATTGATTCCCCATTCACCGAAACGCTTCTAGCCAACTTTAGTATTTATTTTCCCCCCGAGCCCCGCCAGCAGGTGTAGATAAAATGAGACAAAGGAGCGTGGAAGAAATATAAAAATAAAAGTGAACAGAGTGCAAACCACAGAGTACAAGAATAAGTACCCAACTAACAGCTGCATCCGCAAGTCTTGCAGTTCAATCCCTTGCCACACGCATAAAGTGCAGATCCACCACAGTCATTGTATGTTTTACAGGTGATCCACGATCCAAGACCGCCATTGTTTGCTGTCCAGCACCATTTGCCATCCCCTGCCGAGCCACATGCTTTCCAGCAGTACCCATCAGTGCAACCATATGGCGCTTTGTCATAGCAGTCTCTTGGGCTCAGTAGATCCAGACCACGGGACTCAGTGGTGGTTTCGTTGTCGTTATCCCTCTTAAGCATGTTGCCATTACCCAATGGGTGCTCTGCGCAGTTTCTGACATCGCTGGCGTTTACGCCGTCTGGAAGATCTTTGGCATTGAAAGACAGAACACCCAGATCACCGCACTGAGCAGCGGCTGCAGCGGTGGCAGCTTCGTCAGCTTTAACCAACACTTGAAATACAGTGAGAATGGCAATGGCATTGAACTTCATCTTGGCGGTGTATAGAGGTAGTATGCTGGGAAGAGGGAGATCTCGGCGTAAATAGGTTTGTAGCCTAGACTTTTAGGGGTGGGATGGGATGTAAGTGCAGAACGGATGATGTGTGTCTTTGTTGTACTAGAAAGCTGCTGTAGCGGTAGCTTTTATATCTGTGAATCTGGGCTTTGAGAAATCTCCTATACAAAGTGAGCAATATTCAGCCCAGCCAATGCGGCCGAATGCCGGTGTGTTTCTGGCAGGTAGCATGTAGATCATCATCTGTTTGCGAGACTTTCTAAACGAAGGACTGAGAAGTCCGAAGGGTTTGTGGCATAAGCTGCAGATGAAGGTGCTTCAGTGTGTGTTAGCCACAGAGGATTCTGACGGGATCTATCCATATATGCGACTTATTGGACACGCGATGCCAAAAGGATTGGAGGAGCCCACTTTAGTCCTACGTATTACGAGCCCAGTCCTTACCATATTACTGCCAAAAGCCATCTAGGCTTCTTATAATTCAGCCTCGCCAAAATGTTCCTATTTTCGGCTACTAAAAAGGCTCATAATTCATCAGTTTATGATAGTACTCTTTCGTGATACTATGGGATAGCCGAGGGATGGTCCGCTTTTCGGAGAATGCACCTAAAATCGCCTTGGATCCCACAAGGTCTCATGCTGGAACTAAAATCAAAGATTGTCTGTACTGCATCAAAGTGAGGATCAAATCGTGGCTTGTGGTCGGAGATTCCCTTGGACATCCTGTCAGGGTATTAGGGGCCACGGTAAAGCCGAGGTGCTGTCACTACACAAGTTCATAGACTGAGCACAACCCGCATGGATCAGTCTTCTGTGGAAAGGCTGGAGAATCCCATGGGCCGGATATGGAGGCCTATTTCAAGAACTAACTTAAATTTGGCTCAAGCAGTAATAAGTTAATCAGTACAAGGGTGTAAGATTACAGCACTATTCCTTACGGTTTTGGTGCTGATGCCTTGGCCACAGCGGTAGGTTGGATGCTTTGACGCACGCGTTGAGAGCCTCCTGTGACACTCTTTCCTGGACACATTCTTCCCGTATGGTGGCGAGTGAGGCATCGGACGTACCTAATGTATGCATTTATAGAGGGTCATCAACTCACATATGGGTCATTCTTCGTCAACGCTACGTCACTCATCCTTTTCTACCGCATCCAATACTTCGCAATGTGCCACTTAATGTATCAGTCCTAATAACATTGCAATGGGTGCATAAGAGTGCTTGAAGGTTTCCATGATGCCTTTTTGGAAATTGACGGGTATATAGCTCTTATAGTGAATGGCCAGGCCAATAGGTGCTGTGGAGTGCCAAGCGCTCGAGGGTTGACGTGTTGCCAATCTCTGCCTTGTGCGTACACTAGTCTGTGGCTGCCTGAGTTAGCTCATCCTCCAGACTTAGTGCTGACAAAACCTTCGCAACAATACTATAATAAACCACACAGCCCACAACGGCCTCGTCAGTTTCCAACTCCAAATTACTATTATATTGCAACAATATGCAGGCCGGCAAAATTGTTATCACAACCAAAGGCGTCGACGCCAAGCTCATCAATCGGCTACTTCTCTACGTAAGAGATTGGGAGTTTGGATTTCAAGGTTCTTGGGACAGGCAGAGAATCCTTCGAACCCGGGATGAGGTCTTCGCTGCCGATCTACCTGTCGACGTCCCTCCTGTCCATGATGTCGGCGACGGGAGGGCCGCAGCCAGTGAATCCTTTGAAAATCAGTGGGAAGGCCTCTCTATTGAAGAAGTAGAGAAGTATATGCTTTCTCACGATGAAGGAGGAGACAACACCAATCTAATCTTGGTCCTCGACGACAAAGGGCGGCACGATCAGACGCTCATCGTGGCCATGAGGGCCTATAACCCAGATGAAGATACGTTGTATCTTCCCGAGTACGACAAGGTTCGCGTCCCCTGGCAGGAGGTGCACAGCATGTGGACCAACCTTGATATGGCAAATATGAATTTTGACGAGTTTTGCGACGAAGAAATTGGTGCAGATGGGAATCGTTGGTGGACCTACAAGCCGACATTTGATGAAGATCACTATGCCGGGGTTGCGGATAAAAGGGATCCTGCCATCAAGGAACTCGAAAAATTGGACATGGCGTAGCATTGGAGCGTGGTAGCCACTTTTGCGAGAAGAAATTGGCTGATAACTGGGGGTGGATATCTGTATAGAACCAGAAACCACAGCTGAGATATAGCAACTGCGCTCAACCCTGTATTCTTGACTTGGCTTATAGCACATCGGTAAGGACCTCTCTACTTTTATTGTGTCTATGCTATTGCGTGAAACTTCACTTGAAAGAACCGGATAACCACTGCGAATACAGGTATGTCCGTTATTATCGAAGACATAATAAGTACATCTCCTGTCTTGTTGGGGCTTATCTGAGAATACCATGAAGCGAGCGACAGGCCATAAGCTTTTATCAAAGTCGAACTTAAACACTAATTGTTGACAAGTAGGAGATAGAAATGAATGTTAAGCAAGTCGGTTAGCACAACCCTGATTGGCCATTATACACCACCTTTTTCGAAGATCATTTGGCCTGGCCGGGCTTCTTCAGTGTTAACACCCAGCTTTTTGATTCCATTGAATCCAATCACGCTGAGAGCAACCAAGGCATGAGTATCCTCAGCACCCGGCAACAATAGGTTTATCCAAGAAAGCGAACACATAATCAAGCCAAGCTCGGCTAGAAGAATAACGCGGGGAAGAGGTTGAGAAGCTTCGACAGTATATGCGGGGAGATTTGGAGTTGAGGCCGGCAACTCCTTTATTTTCCACCAATAGGACAACACGATGCCTACTATGTCATCAGGACAACTTACCGTAAACTGATAAAGGCGCAGCATAAATGATCCAGTCGATGAACGCTCTTGCTTGACAAAAGCTTGCCTCAAGTCACAGTCCTGTCGACTAAGCCTCCTCGGTAAATGTAGGTGGAGCGCATATAGCCGGGTACTATATCGAGCAAGCTGAGATGACCCCTTCGATAGCGGCGACCACTCTTTTGAGTCTCGTGACTCTCAGTGCTTTCCACCCGGCAAGTGCTAAATGTGTACCTCCAAAGGAAGCCCACTTCAACTGGGATGATGTAGAGTACCTGTAAGTCTTAGCGAGAATCGTACATCACCGATGTTTTGGAGCAAGTTGACCAATACTCCACCAGGATCGCTTTCGGGGACTCATACACCTTCGTGCAGGGCACGTACGGCTACCCAAACTATAGCTTCATTGGGAACTACCTGCCGGGCGAGCTGTCGTTCACGCCGACGGAGCTCCTCAGCAACCGCATCGTGCAGAATTTCACCGGCACAGCCGAGGGAGGACCCAATTGGGTTGAGTACCTAACTGGCTGCGGCGTAGAGCCGGGTGAACACCTGCCCTCAGATTGCGCCATACAGCTATGGGACTTTGCTTTCGCGGGAGCCGACGTAAGCGAGGAATTCTTACCGCTGCACCACAACTTCACGACGCCGCTAGTCAACCAGACAGCGCAGTACCTGAAGTGGGCGGAGCCAGTGCTTGGCCCGCGTATTGAGGGCCGAGGCACGAACAAGAAGGCCGAGGCTGCACTGGTCGCTGTATGGATCGGTATCAACGACGTCAACGACTCACAAAGCAAGAAGCCGGCCAAAATAACGTTCCAGGACTTCTGGCAGGCCGAGATAGAGGCCGTGTTCTCCGAGTCTGTGCTGCCGCTGTTCGGCGCCGGGTACCGGAACTTCCTATTTGTCAACCTGCCGCCGCTGGACCGCACGGCGGCGAATCAAGTCAAATCGAACCCTAGCCCAAGTAAAGAGCAAGTTGGCTGGTGGAACGAGATCTTGGCGAACCGAGCAAGGGAGTTTGCTGAGACAAACCAAGGCGCCAAGGCCATGGTCTATGATGCCAACACGTTCTTGAACGGGGTAATGAACAGCCCGGAACAGTACGGCATCACAAACCTGACATACTGTCCGGACTACGCACAGTTGGAAGTGCTGACGAGTCCCGAAAAGTACGGATGTCGCCCATTAGATGAGTATTTCTGGTATAACTCAGGCCATATGTATGTGCATCTCCCTGATGAGGTGCCAACCATTACTGACAGGTTTCCCATTTTTAGGTCATCGCATACACATAAGATCATGGTGCCAAATTTGATAGAATTCCTGGAGGCCCAATCAACATGACGGAGCAAATTTTGATTACGGGGCATATATGTGGCAAGTGTCTAATAAAGTGCAGTACCGTAGCCGTGATTATCTTAACGGTCGCTAGACTGCAAGATAGAATGAGTAATGATGCCTGTCGATGATCTACGGTCGGGTTCAAGCCGTCATTTGGCGAGGTAGCATCTGGAGGTAGTGGGATAGTTCGTACGTCCTCAGTGGCAGAATTTTGGGAACGTCCATAACGCATGAACCAGGCTTATAGCTCTGAACCTTACGCCTCCAATGTACGAATTCAAATACGTAAATCTTCAAAACCACCAGCATTGTCTTACGTAGTCATATAATAGCAGTAGTGGTAAGGCTAAGCGGCGGCTGTCGCAAGCTTAATGTCATCAAGGAGAATGCCGCAGAGTTCAAGACATGGGCAAGCCATATTCTCGAAACACCGCGCGATGAAGATTGCTAGGCCATTGCCTGCGGAATAAACATTAGTGTCCCTCATAACGGTGAGATCGACCGGAACGCATTTTGACAGACCAGGGCTGTTGATTCGCATGCCGGAGCTTGTTAACCGATATAGTTCAGAGAAGAAACTCGACTTCTTAGTCGTCACAGCACAGTGATTAGTTTCCACAGCTCGGCTAACGATCGGGTTCTTCTACAATTCTAGGTCGACCACGCAGGTAGGGAGGGGCCACGAATTCTATGCCCAAAAGAGTTGCAGTTGACGACTGAAGTGTCAAGGTTTGAGCAAAGCTTGATCGGAGACATGAAGCACTCGAAAACCGTGGGGTAAAGGTATCGCAGCATGAAACCAAGTGCGTCAGAACATGGTGAGATTCCCTATGGAATCGCTTCGCGAGAGCTGGCTGAGCTGTTTGTTTGCGCGGGTCCAGCCAATCTGCGGCAAGCGAGGTGAGCAGCCCTCGAACCAAGGTGGCCTGTTGGGTCATCTTTTGAAACGTCTTATGTCGACCTTTTATCGAGTGTCTCAAGTGCTCGCCCGTGTTTAACGGGCCGGAGAATTTTCCAGGTCCGCGATTGGGGCGTTGCAACTAGAGATGAGCTCAGACCAAATCCCTCCGACCTGACGGGTCATTCCGAGTGTGGGTGCAGCTTGGAGACGGGGGTGTTTGATGCTTTGATACCCCAAGACCTCTTGTGAGAGCTGGCAAGTCTGAAGATGACGCATCAGCTGGGGAATCAAGGACTTGCTAACCTTCAGCCTGATGAGCCTGAGGCTCAATCTGAAAACAGGCTTAACTTGAGGGGGCCTTGAGCGGCTATACAACTCTTGTCAAGGACGATGTAGGAAAGGTCTTGGCAGTTGCGTTGCAAGCCATTAGGCCTATTTGTCACTCATTCCGTGCAAAACCCGCCAACTGTGCGGGCTGCTTTCCCTGCTGTTTGAGCGACATTCAAAAGGGAACAAAAGTGACAGAATTTTATGATAGTACTGTACTGATGATACCGGAATCCGGATTGGAGCCGCGTTACTCGCTGACCGAGCTTGGATGTCTTTTTCTTTCCAGAACATCGAACTCCCGGGGACCCCTGGTAAGTGGCTTGGGGGCGAGACGTTTAAACGGGCGTTGGCGTCATTGCCGATGTCTGCATGGGCGGACAGTTGTGAATCTGCGAACTCCAAGTGCAGGTAGACTATTGAAAGCCCCCTCTCTACCATGGTACCATGGTAGAAGATGGCGGCCATATGGCGGACTTGATTCTCCTGACGCTATTCTAGACCGCACTATCGTAGAATGGATCCGAGAAAACCTTTGCTGCATGACACTTGTATCTAATATGGTAAGATCTTGGGCTTGGAGCCCTGGACAATGCTCTGCCCTCCGCAGAAGGAATGCATCACCGACGGGGGTTCAGGCCGAAGGGGGCAAAGGATTCGCAGTCGTCGCGGCACTTGAACACAGCATTCAGTTGCCGTGCTGGCTAGGAGGATGGGTGAGATGATGGTGGTTCTGTAATGTAAACGCGACTCTGGCACTACGAGTAAATCCTGTCATCGAATGATACTGGCGGACACAGCCAGCGTTGGACGCCGAATAGCCCACACCAACAGCCATTGGCTCCATCGAATACACTCGTATGAGTGTCAACTGCAAGCAACACCCCTCGAGAATCCCAGGGCAGATACGTGTTTGTGAGCGAGCAACCATGGGTGATTCGTGATCATGGATAAGTTAGACACTGCACTACAGCAGGTACCTAGGGATCCAGAAAAGGGGTAGCGGATAGCGAGATGCTAGTTGGCTAGCATGCCTTTTCTTCTTCCACAGAATGGGATAAAAATGGAGAAGGATGCGGTCGCAGGGCCCAGGGGCGCCAGGGCCAGGGGCCAGGAACCCGACGGACAGGTCGCCCTTTTTTCCTCACGTCTACCCCTGGATTCTACAGATTACCTGCAGCCACCACGCAGCATGCACACAACCCAAAATTTGCATCAGCGTAGCTTGCCGTCTCTGAGCTCGTGTTTTCTTTCTCCTTTGAGAGGAAAAATCAAGCACCCTGAACTTTGAAGCCGTTGCGAACTGTAATAGAGTGTAGGAATGACCCACCGGGCTTCATAAGTGGACTGGCTGTCTACCTAGTCGTTCGACAGCCAACCAAGCAAACTACATAGTACGAGTAGGGCCAGGGGTTCAGGGGTCCCGCCGAAAGAGCGTTGAACTGGCATCCCTGGAGGCTTGCCAGGCACCCTGTTAGCCAGTCCACCACCTATCGCCATTCTGATCCGTACACAGTACCACCCCTATGGTAGGGATTCGGTCGCGCTAGTGCCCGCCGGGTAGGTAGAGAGTACTACTGCGGTACAGCAGCCATCCAAAGTGGAATCGGTCCCTGTCGGCGAGTCTGGGGCAGCGCACCTGGGCGCAGAGGGAGGATGGGAATTGGGATAGATAGCGACCGTGGGCAGCATCTTGAATTCCTGCACGTCAATTGTCACAGGTAACGCATCTGAACCAGAGATCGAGCGTCCCCGATTGCTCGAGCCGGCGCCGTTGGGCCACTGACCTCTCTTGATACAGATCGACGAGACTAGGGTACATGACAGTACGGCACTCGAGGCTGCACGTGGGATGTCCCAGGGACCCGTGGAAACCCGCTCCGATCAGCGACAGCGCCTGTTGAATCCCATACCGAGCGATCGAGCGAGCGAGTGGGTGGGCGCAGACGACGGCGAAAGGGCTGCCCACAGACGCGCTACTTTGACCATTTTACCCACTATCTTTCCGTCTTCCTCTCTCCGAGTCGCAAGAGCGCATTACTTGGCCACTAGTAGCGCGGTTTGGTACGAGCTGGAGGCCGTAGCCACGGATATTGTCCCTCGCTAGAGCCGGATACCGTCGTCCCCGTCCCCGTCCACGTCCACGTCTACAGGGCGCGCGCCGGCAGCCAGCACCCCTTGGCGTCAGGAGTATCAGCTTTACCAGGCTGTCCTCTTCCCGGGCCGCCCTCACCTCGACGGCCGTACGTACGCGTCCGTCGACAAGCAGAAAACGGAGCACCAACTTAAGAACCAGGATTGCACATAGTGCACGTTATTATTACGGAGCCTCCTATCGCGAGGGACAGCGCTGGGCATCAGCAAATCACCGGGCCCCCGCTGGTGGTTGGCAGTTTTGCCAGTAGTAGCGCGGTGTGTCCTGGGCCCCTCAGGCCCTCTGGCCCTCTGGCCCTCTCCGGCGGACCAGCTAGTGGGTAGGTAGCCTGGGATAGTGGCCAGCCCGGCTCACTCTAGAGGGGACCCGGCAACGGGCATCAGTCCAGTCAATCAGGGACGCTCCATCTGGGCGGGAGAATGCCACAACCACATGCCACCATCCTGAGCGGTGCCACCACGAGCCATCACCACTCTCAGTCCCAATCGCAGTCGCAGTCGCAGCCGCAGTCGCAGTTCCAGTCCCAGCCGTCCTACTCCAACGGCGGCCTGCATCTCTACCCGCCGCGCTCGACTGCCCCCTCCACCAACAACCGCCATCACAACAACAACCCGCCGCGATACCCGCCCGCCGGTGTCAGTGTCGGTGCGCCCTTGGCCAGGTCCGAGTCCGTGTCGCATTCGCGCTCGTCGACGCCCGTCAACTTCTCCCACAGGGGCCCCGCCGCCAACTTCCACTACAACCGCGGCCGAAGCGGCACAGCGGGCAGCATCGGCGGTGTGTATAGCGGTCGAGCGTACGGCCACGGCCACGGTCACGGCAGTGTTGTCGGCTTCAGCGCAACCGGTCCCGGAAGCGAGACAGCCGGCCCTCGCAGCAGAAAGGGGTCAAGAACCACCAACGGCGACAGCATCGCAGAGGACCAACCCCGGGCCCCGGAGGACCAGCCGTTGACCTTCGCCGAAGAGGCCCCCTCCTCGCCCTCCTTCTTCGCCGGAACCTTGCCCAGGACCTCGTCCCTCCTCCCGCCCCCGCGCCATCTAGGTTCAGGTCCCGCGCGTGCACCGCCTGTCACTGTCGACGCCAATGCCAACTTCAACTTTAATGTCATTGCCGAGCAAGACCCTGCAGTACCCCTAGGCCCCGATCCCGCGAACCAGCAGCCCCGCAGATCACACTCGCGCGGGAGTAGCATCGGCGCCCTTAGCGACAGCTTCCGGAACCTCAACCGTTGGTCGGCCTCCACCACGTCGAGCCGGGCCTCCCACCAGGTCGATCGCGACCAGCAGCAGCAGCTGCTACCGGCCAAACCTACCAACAACTTCTCCCGGCGCATGAGCGTCGATTCGGTCGCCCTGCTCAACCCCAACACGGGATCCCCACAGCCGACCTTTCAGTCGCCCAAGAAACTCACAAAGCGTAGGCCATCGGCCGCCAGCATAACCACAGCATCACCTCGTGCTGCTTCCGCGGCCAGCACACGCACGCGGCCACATTCACCCCCGCCGGTGCCACCGCCTCCGAATCTACCCCCCATCGTGTCACTGCCGTCGCTCGAGCTGTCGACCTCGCTCACGGCCCCCTCGCCAATCTTTAACCGACCGAGCCCAGCCGCCAGTACACCGACCTCGATCTTCTCAAGCGCGGCCAACGGTGAACCCAAGGACTACTTCTGGGATGAACTAGCCAACCAAATCCCAGCTTCAGCAGGAAACACTCAAGGAACCACACCCGGACTGCTGCCCGCGGCCACAGTCACACGCGAGACCGCCATGCCTGAGAAGGGTCATACGAGGAGCCGCTCCTCGACGGCCAAGAGCAGTACGGATTCCGGGAGGGCCAAGAGTAAGCAGCCGTCACAGAAGGCAATGCTTTCCAAGGCACTGGCCAAAGCAAATACGGCTGTCCAGCTCGATAATGCCCAGAATTTCGAAGGCGCTCGCTCGTCCTATACAGAAGCATGTGAACTTCTCGCACAGGTACTCGCCAGGACAACTGGCGACGAGGACAAGAAGAAACTGGAGGCCATCGTAAGATAATCCTGATCGTATTTCCACGTGATGTATCTGTACTAATCTATGACGCTAGCGTCGCACGTATACAAGCAGGATAGAGGAGCTGGATGGCATGGTGCCAGTTGAAGGAGAGCCCGGCAGCAAGGCCCTTCCTGCTAGGCCAGAAAGTCTAGCCTATAATGGAGTCGAAGTCCGCCCGGCCAGCGATGACGAGGAGCAGATATCCCCGACGACGACGCGCAGACTAGGTCCGCAACCACACAGCACTACCATTAGGACCCGTGGAAGACCGACGACTGACAGGACTGCAGAGCCCGCCCAATTGCCGCTTCAATCTTCGTTCTCTTCGAGGTCGCCCATGCGCCGGAATTTCGAAGGGTCGCTGACCATACCGAGTGACAATGGACAACTCATGCCCGCGCCGCTATCACCTCGACGACCCCTCTCGCCGGCGAAACCTATGACCCCCGACACTGCGGCACGAAACGAGTACTTCGCGCACGCGGAACGGCTAGCCACAGGTACAAATTTAAATGGACATGCCCGCAATCCCAGCCACGAGTCTATATCATGGCTTGATCCAATCGACGAGTCGGGAGGCTCAGCCGCCTCATCAATCCGTTCCAGGTCGTCCTCCTTTGGCGCCCAGAGGAAACATCTCCGCGCCCCTAGCGGCGATACCGAGGCCGAGTTCGACGCAGCCCTTGATGCAGCTGTTGAGGCGGCATATGACGAAGGATTTGAGCCTATGGATTCCTATGGTGAACCCTACCATGGCGACGAACATGACGATGACGATATAGTGGCCAATGCCATGCGCCGTGTCGAGATTGCCAAAGAACGAGTGCGCCAGACGGAGAGAGAAACACAATTCGAGCGTGAAGCTGTGATTCGAGCAGCGCAGGAGAAGGAGAGACAAAGGCAATTGTCCATCGGCGGGCTCCACCGTGACTCGCAGACCTACAACAACGGACACTTTTATGACGGGACGGACTCTGACGACGAGGAGCGCATGCTTGAAGATCTAACAAGAGACTACGCACTCAACAACTTCTCCTTCGGCCAGCAGCCACGGAAGACATCCGACGCTGTCGCGCGGGAACGCGAATCTGATTCTAGTGGCCTCACGCAACGGACATGGCACAGCTCCATTGGCTCGAGCCCGCCGACAGCGACCACTGTTCTTTCATCGGTTGCCGAGATGCCACCACCAATGTCCAAACCGCCGCCCTCCCTACCGCCGCCTCCGCAGTCTCTGCCGCAGATCCCGCCCCCGCAGCCACCAGGCACTCCCTCCGGCGTGCGGAGCCGGAGACTCTCCGGCCAGAACCCGAAACAGCTCAAGATCGAGACAGCCCCGATCGGGCAGGCAGCGGCCGGACCCTCGGGTGCCACGACCGCTATGCCTGCGAAACAGGGCAGCTTCATTGCCCAGCAGCGCCAGGCTCTCTCGGCAACGACCGGCAAACCGGGTTCGTTCTCTATGCGCGTGCCAGGCTCTCCATCGCGGGGTGTGAGTCCTGCTCCTCCATTGGCACCTCCAACGCCGCCGCAGAATCCCCCTCACACCGATGATCCCAACGACCACTTCCGCACAGGCTCGCCGTCTCCGTTTGGTGGGGCCCTGCGCAAGAATCAATCATCCTCCAGTCTCAAGTCACTAAAGACCCGCCAACTTTCTGTCTCCAATATCGACAATACGTCAGACTTGTCCCCCAACACCCCGCTCAGCCAGTCTTTGACCAACTCGTCCATGAGGCACCCGTCTGTGCCCGCCCTTCCTACGCCGCTGGTATCTACCTTTGGCAACAAGGCAACGGGCGGGTTCGGCGGACTCTATCTGTTCGAGTCCGACTTCCACTCTCCATTCCCCCAGGCACAGCACTCGCCTATCCCTGCACAGTTCCAGGGACCCGACGTTCCTGTGCCGCTCGAGCCTTGCCCGTCAGACACAATGTTGCGACCTTTCTGGTTAATGCGTGCCTTGTACCAAAGCATTGCTCACCCGCGCGGTGGATACATTACGAGTCGCCTCTTTATTCCTAGGGACGTGTGGAAGGTCAAGGGCGTCAAGCTGCGTGCCCTGGAGGATAAGTCCTCGCAGTGTGACCTTCTGACTGCTGCCCTCCTCAAACTCGCGAGGGTGGATAGCAATGATGCCGATGCTGTGCTCGAAGAGATGCAGAGCCTGGAAAATATCCTGGAGCAGGTACAGCAGACCCTGACCCGGAAGCTTGGCAACGAGGTCGGCATCCAAGGGGCTGGTGCCCTCCGCGAAAGAGAAGATAGCGAGCCAACACCTCCTGTTCCACGAAGCGCTAGCATAAGCGGCAAAACGGCGTCCTTCAGCTGGCGCAGACTGAGGAGTAAAGGCTCAGCAGCGAATCTGACCAGCGCCTATGGAAACAAGAGCACCAGTGGCGGTGCTACCGAAAGGATAGCGGAGAAAGAGATCTTCGGCGCCGGTTCTGGGACCCTTCCCAGTCTCCCAATGGTGGCTCATCCGAGCAGCCGGCCAGTCAAGCGTGACGTGACGTCCATCAAGTACGAAGGACCTTATGCCGGGTACATGCAGAGCCTGGCACGCTTGTTCGACGCCGCGCAGACTGTCGGTATGTTATGCCACGTTAGATTTGCCCCCGATTATTACGCTAACAATGCAACAGACATGATAGCTCGCCAGGTCGAGGACCCAGGATTGAGACACGCCGATAAGACCCAAGTTGGGTTAGAACTCTGCACCAGGCATGCAGCTGAGTTTTTTGGCTTCTACATCTGCCGCTTTGTCTTGGCAGATATGGCGTTGTTGCTTGACAAGTTCGTCAAGCGGGGGAGCGAATGGGTGCTCACCTGAATGCCGCTTGCGCCAATGAGATCGCCTCTATATGAAATACCCCTTTTTACGCACACGAAAATGACACTTAGACACGAAGAGGAGCGCTCTTCAGACGACCGCCGACGCGATGAGATTTGATTACACTATACCCACACCTTCGTTTCGAAAGTTTTATATCACACACCACCTTTCTTATCGAATGACGGTCGATCAGATTCAGAGAGCTGGGGTACCAGAAGCTTGCCCCTACATGTAGATATACGGGTGGAAGGGGGGCTGGCTAGCCGTGCTATATTTTGCAAGTCCCATGTACGATAGCTAAGCGTAGCCATATATTCGAAAATCAGGGTTCCTTGGATGAAAGAATGGCGGTATCAGGGGCTAGCATGAGAAGGAAGTTGCGGAGGGCTGTGACAATTGCCTGTGCTGTCTTGCACTAGAGTTGGGGAGCAGGCTGTATATAGAAGAATAACCGAACAGTCCGAGGAACAACTTAACGGTCTTTCTCCGATGAGTGCTCACTTAATGACCCAGCGTCAGCTAACCAATATAGTTAGACTTTGTTAATGTCACTCTTAATCGTTGGTGGACCAGCAGTCGCTCCATTCGCAGGTGCCATGTATGATATTCTCGTCCCCGTCCGCACTTCTGCGCAGCCAGGATCCACAGACAACGACTCGCCACTAGTCTTTCCACGGTCGGCCATCTGCGATCCACTTGGCTCGAAAACTTTTACTTGCTTCAATATCCGTGATAAACACCTGTCTTTCAACAGCCAATCATTAAGATTGGTTGCCTTCATCCGTCATCTCGATTAGTATAGTGGTCAGTATGCCAGCTTGTCATTGAATCATAGCTTCAATACGCTGGAGACCGGGGTTCAATTCCCCGATCGAGAGCACGATTTTTTAACCTCCTGCTCGATTGTATTTTGCTTGCCGATGGGAATCGTGCGAGTGGTCAAGATGTTTGGTGTGTCTTCTGCTGGGTAGGCAGGTCGTCGAGGATGTGGCTGGCGTGGGCGCGAAAGCCAGCCTGGCGTTTCAAGGCCATATTGGAGCGGTATCGTGCGACGCTGGTACAAATTAAAAGCCCATCCAGCGTCGCTGTCATTTTGGTCAAATGGTTGGGTCTTTGGAATGGTAAACTTTAGGTTGTTGATTAGAGCCCATCTCAGACATATGAGGACGGCCCGAGGATCTCGCATTCGCTTAAAGGACTTGGCGAATGAGACGTATGCTAGATGCACCTCAGTGGCAGGTGGGCCGAACTGTCGGGTGCGAGGGCAGGTGATATGGAAAGCTAACTTAGAGGGCGACAGACGCCGCGCGGCTCACTCCATACATAACTAGGTTACCTTGGCGGGTAGGCCAAGTAGCTAACAATGAAGTTGGGCGGAATGAATGTATTTTCTGGTGCTTGATTGAGCACTCAGTTGCCCAAGGTAGGAAATTGTTGATGAATCATGACGACTCTGGCCGGCTCCAATCGGCAGGTAACACTTAGCATGTTAATTCTCCTACTTGTACATTCACCAGCTCCGAATCTGAGTGGCCGTCAAAGGATTATTAAATCATGAAAGGTTGACGCAGCAGCTCGCAACCAATAATCAGGCGGCTTCCAGTTTGCCTCCCACGTTGAGTACATCACCACGGCCTCCCATCCTCCTCATTCCTGGGTTCGACGCACGCTCGAACTAGTGCGCTGCAGCCTTCCAAGCTCCAGCCAGCCACCATTGGTCCGCTGAACAGTAAAAGTAAGCGAATATGCAAGCTCATCTGACTATCGCTCACCCCAAAAGCTGCAGCATACTCGACGTACCAATGCTCAACGCTATCATCTTGGCGCTCAACACTCAGCTAAGGTTATAAACCCTTCCCTCGCGGCCGCGTTGGTGCAGTTCGTCCAGCATCAGCGCATCCATCAAACGCCTTTGGGAACAAGCAGTTGGTTTGCTGGATCATAGCTATTCAGCAGCTAACGTAAGCCCACTAACTTATTGCCAGAGCGCACTTGAGTAACTTCCACCACATTCCCCGTGATACCGCAGCGTCTAGGCTGTACCGCGAGCTCGGTCGGGGTTCACGGCCAGTATGGGCCCAGCTGTTGACCCTGTTCTCAGGGGTCGAGAACATGAAGACGAGGATTACGAGCGCGCCGTACAAAAGCTTCTCACCTTGGACTCTGACGACTGGCCCAACGAAGCAGGGGTAAGTTGGTCCGCTCTGCGCTCGACTTCGTCAACCAACACTGACTGACTGGCCGCCAAGTTCGAGGGACTCACGGAAGTAACAGGTCCTGTGGAACTACGTCTGAAGGGAACCATCCCTTCGTGGGCTGCCGGTGCTCTGTACCGGATCGGCCCTGGACAATACAACGTGGACGATACACCGCGCGGCACATACCGCACTACCCACTGGTTCGATGGCTTTGCCCATGCGCACAAATTCGAGATAATACCCATTTCCGGCGATTCAGGTAGCGCGGTGGCTGTCAAATACACTTCGAAAAGACAGAATAAAGCCCTAGTGAAAGCAATCCGGAAGGAGGGCCGTCGAGCAAATATCACATTCGGCCAGCGTTTGGATCCTTGCGTGGGACTCTTTAGCAAAGTGATGGCCACCTGGCGATCAGGCCTGGGCAATTCGACGCGTGATTTCGACCTTGAGAATGTTGGTGTCACGGTCCAGGCAAATGTACCCGGCTTAAAGTCAGCCTCGCAACATCCCACCGACCTAGGCCATCGCAGTGCTGCTCGGAATTTGTGGGCGACAACAGATAATGCGATCATGAAAGAGATGGATCCTGATACTCTCAAACCAATCGGTAACAGTACGCAAGAGGAGATCCATCCTCTTCTGAAGGGACCTTTGAGCTGTGCTCATGTTCAGCGCGACCCGGAAACTGGCGACCTGTTCAACTACAACATGGAAGTCGGTTACAACGCAACGTATCGGGTATTCCGAGTAAACGCATCAACAGGCACGACAGACATTCTTGCTACGATAAGCCAGCCCAATCTTAAGCCCGCCTATATTCATTCCTTCTTCTTGTCAGGATCGTATGTCATACTGGCCATACCATCCTCGCATTTCGGCAGCTTTGGCATGTCAATACCGTGGAATAAGAACATCATTGACGCGATAGAACCATTCGATGAGTCGCAGATATGCAAGTGGTTCATCATCGATCGACGAACGGACAGGGGCATAGTCGCCTCTTATGACAGCCCCGCAGGTTTCTTCTTTCACAGCATCAATGCATACGAGGAAGTGGACCAAACTTCTGGGGAGACTAGTGTTCTCTGCGACTTGATTGAGTATCCAACGGCAGATGTGATAAGGGCCTTTGAGATGGACGTCATTCTACGCAACGGAAGCGCGGCACAGAACTATTGGGGCGACGAAATGCGCAACCGCAACTCTCAAGCCCGTTTTGCGAGGTACAAATTCCAGATACCACAAGTGTCTGCTGCGAAAAAGAAAAGGGTGCCCTTACGGCCTGAGAAGCTGCTTGAGATCAGAGCCCCACGCGTCGGTGAACTGCCCACGATCAACCCCCTGTACGCCACCCGGAAGCACCGCTACGTCTACAGCCTGCCGAATCGCGGGCACTCGACCCTCATGGATAGCCTCTCGAAATTGGATCTCGAGACGAGAGAGACGCTGTACTGGGATAACCCGCAGGGCCACACCCCGGGCGAGGCCATTTTCGTTCCTCGGCCGAGATCCAAGCCGGACGAGAGGGAGGACCTGGCAGAGGACGACGGCGTCTTGCTGAGCGTGGTGTTAGACGGGTATGGCAAGACGAGCTACCTGGTCTGTTTAGATGCGAAGACTATGAAGGAACTTGGTCGCGCCGAATGTGACTGGGCCATTCCCTTTGGGTTTCATGGATTGCATACTTCAGCTATCGTGTAAGGTATCAGGAATGGATGCCTCTGGCTGCGTTAGAGATGTAACTACGCACACGAATTTTAATCAAAATTTACACATTGCGTCATCCTGAGTCGCTATTCCGGGTACGGCCTCCAGAAACGCAGTAGGAGACCAGCTGGTGGTCTTGTTCTTGCGGCTAAATTCCCTTTTGAACTTTGTCATCCTCTTATATTACTTATCAAGTATTACCATTTACAACCCAGAATGACCTACAAAGTCACCCTGTAATGCCCTAGACGCCTATGAACAGCTTTGGCTTCTGCTATCTATACAGCAACGCCTGATGGCCCGCGCATTACACATTTCGATGACCCTCTGGCACGCAGCGCACTGTCTGTTGCAATGCTCTAATTCAGCCGGCCGATGTTGATATGGCCATCGGTGCCCGACGTGAGGCTCGACGGGACACATTGGATGTCCTTTCAGGTTATTCATGATAGACAAAGGCTCATCAATCATGTCGCAGATGGGCGCGAGTTCGTAGCCGTCCAGGGCCTTGAGCTCAAGCAAGCCCGGCGCAAGAATCACCATAGCAGCCGTCAATGTTGCAGCGATCTCTTTGCGTAGAAAACCATTCCCAGTTGCAACAAGCGTTACCCCGATGTTCAGGCGGTTTGCATAGGGACTAACTGCTCCTGCCATGACGACGGCTATGACAACTGATTAGTCGCTCGATTCGGAAGCCAGTTAGAGAAGGCCAGTAAGACTTACTAATCTCGCTGGCCTCGCTGCACGCACATCCGTGCATGGTGATGGCATACTATAGGATGGTCGCAAGTATCAAGACAGCACAAGCCTAGTATCTTCTTCCAAAAGTTGTGCTCGCTCTCAAAGAACTGCACCATCGTGCCGACGGGCATTCTTCAGAGGCGTCGGCGCAGGAACCTACCTTGAGGAGCTTTGTATCTCCATACAAAAATTAGCGGGCTCGATTATGCCGGAAGACATCGATGCGCGGCTTCAGGTGTCTCCGGAAGCTTGAATTTCCTCTTGAGATCGCAATGTGCAATACCACTGAAGCTGAACGCCGACCGAGAGAACCCGGTAATGGCTCAAGGAGCCAAAGTCTGGGTACTCTCAATCCATTCATTGGTGATCTTGTACCTGCCTCAGTCTCGCAACTATCATTACTGTCAAGCGGCAGAGACCACCACGAGGAGGCACTCAAGGTCATTTTTCTTGCTTTCACCGACAAGAAAGCTTCTCAGCTGCTATTCAATCCCAAGACAGGACGAGGCGTACATGGAAGAGTGTAAAAGGGTGGCAGCGAAGGTCGAAGAGGTGGGCGTGATCCCACATTTCGAGGTATAGACAGCCTGGACAAGCTGACGTGGGATGGGTGGAATGACTGTTTCGACGAGATATAACTCGTACATGTTTTACGAAGCATAAATAGAGGAAAGAGTTGCAAAACTAGGCTTACTTCCAGCCACGTTGTTTTGAACTCAGATAATGTATGTGAAGAAAACTTTGCGGGTCCAGCTTGGGTTATGCACTAGAATGGTGAAGAATAAAATCAAAGACGGAACAGGCCACCTCTGTATGTATACATTGTAGCTATCCGCCGGATGGGGAAACAAAAGAAAAAATAAACGCAAGAGCGACGACATAGACAGGATTTGAACCTGTGCCTCCTAGGAGATGAGATAGCTGTTAAATTCTAGTCTCACGCATTAGACCACTCTGCCACTATGCCCTTGGGCTTGTGGAATTTTGAGCCGTTATTGTAGACTCCATTTCTGTAATGCTGTCTGTGATGTGGAATTGAAGAGATTGCTAGTACCATTGTAGTTATGGGGTAGAATGCTCTCAGCCCTAATCAAAGCGATGGTTGATTGAATATTACGCCAATGCGTTAGCTAATCAATTTGGTGTGTGATTCAATTAATTCAATTACGTTTTGATTATATACTACTTAATGTGCGGGTCTCCAGGCGCCTCAAGTGGGTATAAGCCAGCGGCAGTGGAGACATCATATCTCATGGCACGTCGTCGTCAGCATGACTTGTGTCTTCACCACTTCGCTCAAGCATCCTGCAGAATAGCTGCACTTGCCTTCTCAGAAAGCAAGTACGTCGGCAGCGCAATGAAGAAGCCCGGCACCGTAGGGAACGCGCTGGCGTCCACGACTCGCAACCCAGTCGTACCCCTGACTCGGAATGCAGAATCCAGAACTGCACCCTCCTCGTCATCGCCACCAATGGCTGCTGTACAGCAAGCATGATGACCGAAACTCTGAGTCTTGACGTACTCCTTGACATCTTCTACCGATGGCGCCTCTTTCCGTCCGGGGCGCACCTCCTCAAAGGTTCCTCCGAGAGGGATCAACTTGTCCATAGCATCGCGCGCAAATTTGATGCCCTCGTAGCTGGCCTGCAGGTCCTGGTCGGCCGATAGGCTGTCTTCAAACGTGTTGAAGGCGACAGCCGGGACGTCTCGGGGGTCCGCACTGGTCAGCTTTACGGTGCCGGCACGGTTCTTGGTCAGGGCCTTGAGCGATACCCAGACCCAGTGCTTGTGATCCGCGAGTGCCACGTCCGCCCAACCAGGATAGAACCCTATACTTTAGTTAGCTCCGAATGTCTACGTTACAATCGCCGCGGGGGTTGCGATATAGTCAAGTTTCTCACCTGGGAAGTTCGCAGGCCCACCATATGTCATCACGTCAGGGTCGGCGGTGTCTGCTGCCGAAGTTCGGAGTGCCACAGCGAGGGCGAGACCGTTTGTCGCGTATACGCCCTTGTCTATCGGTGTCAGGCCGTTCTGGTACCGCTCAAGACATGGATCTGGGACCTCAGGATATCCCTGCATGAAGGTACAGCCGTTGATAAGCGTGAAGTTTGTGTTTGACTTGGAGATCACAGAAACCTCGATGTGGTCTATGTATTCATCAGTATACACGACGGGTCCTGGGAAAGCTATAAATTGGGTCTCACCTCGAAGGTTGGCTCCAACTCCTGGGAGATTGACAACAACGGGGATGTTATGTTGTGCCAGCTCGTCGCTCGGGCCAACACCACTCAATTTCAGTAATTGGGGAGTATTGAAGGCACCGCCGGCAATGATGATCTCTTTTGCGGCCTTGACTACACCCTCCCCAACGACACTAGCACTTTCCCACCGTGGATCCGCTCGATATAGACTTTGTCCCTCGAGGTACTCAACACCAGTTGCATGCGGCACATCTCCGCTCTGATCAAACTGGATTTTGGTTACCAGAGTGTTAAGCTTGATGTCGAGGTGGTACCGTCTATTTCCATCGTCGTCGACGGCCGTGGCAATTTCGAGGAGGCGTTCTCGGATACCGCCCCGGACTGAGTTCTTCATAGCAAGAGGGACTTGATAGGGGCCGACGGCGATCGTGCTGCCGGGAGCATTGACATCCTGCGTAAGGATCTCGGCTAAGCCACCAACAGTGCCAATCAGAGTGCCTGTGATTCTATACAGGGTTCACGATTAGCCAAACGCATTCCCTTGGCCAAGGAATGAACTCGAGAAGGAACACTGAGTAGAGTGCATGGGATCACATACCCCTTTCCTAGTGCCGACGCAGCTGATACAATGATGCTAATGAGTTTCAAGTCCTGAACCACAGTGACAAGCGACGTCAGTTCCGTCCAAAACCAGCCGTTGAAACCATGTCCCACGATCGAGTTAGGGAGGTAGTTGCAGTGCTCCATAGCCTCGAACAGCTTCTGGAAGGTGCTGCCGCTCCATGATTTGTCACCCGTTCTATCTGCGACGGTGGTCCAATCACTGTCGAATGCCCGGATAGTAATCAGTGCATTGTGCCGCGAACATCCACCCAGCGTACCCGCTCTGGGATACAGAGTTCCGATGGGTGTCGCATCTGCTGGCGGATCAAGGCCAGTGTAAATAGTGCCATTGGCGAGCCTGTATGACGTGACGAGGTTCTTGGCCTCTACGGCTGGGTCCGAGCTTCGTGTCACGTAATAATCCCATTGCGTGTCTTCGAACTCGGTCGCATAGGGGTAAAGCGCAGGTACGGACTCTACCGGTGCTTCTCCTGAGTCACCTCCGGCGTCGATCAGCAACACTGGAGACCTTCTGTCAGTAAGTGGTCTCGCACACTCCATCTTCAAGAAGTGTGATGTCAATCACCTTTATATCCAGCCTCTGCAAGGTTGGCAGCCGTCGGCCCACCGCCAGGCCCTGAGCCCACGACGACGTAGTCATAATCTGTGTCCAATGCCTGACGTTTCGGTAGGATCGGGTTGTGACGGCGCTGCGGTGCGGCTTCAGAGCCACTTTTTTATGTGTAGAATCAGTCTCGGCTCTACATTGTATACGTCTATGCGACCGAAATCCTTCGACTTACATTGAGAGCAGGGCTGCCAAAATGGCAAACCCACGAAGGCTCGGTGTGAGCATCATGATGAATTTCAACCGTTTCGGATTAGATTCCAAGACTAGAACAACGCCTTCAGCCGCTTCAGCTCCCCCAATGCGATGGTCCTCTCTTATACCCTTGGCTCAAGCGGATCCTAACTTTCGAGTTTTCCGAGCCCGCAGACAGGGAAATACAGGAAACATAGTCTTCGGGTGCCAATAAATCAGCGGAAGTATGCAGATCGACAGACACAATCTCCACGTTGGGGACCGCCACCCCAGGGCGACCAATGACAAAAAGCGCCTTGGGAGAAAGTGCCTAGGCGTTCCTATCAGCTGCATGTAATTCCACATTTATTTGCATTTAGCAGATCGTGACCCATTTCCGTGTACCGGGATGGCAGTTCTCGGCGCATGTCAGACAAACCTAAAATGGCGGATAGCGCTCACACTGGCTGCTGTGTTCACACAGCATGCCAATACATTGAACGCGGCCGGAAAGGGGAGAACTCTTGCCTGCCTCGGCACTCCACGACGATCACTGCTGCAATTAGTCTGCTAAACTCAATAGTGCGGAAATTGGTGCATCCGAGCCTCGCCCTACGGGAATCAGGAGACCCCTACTGACATCACCCCGCAACAGTGAGGACTGACATTACTCAATGTGTTGTAGCGACGGCAATTGGAAGATGAGCAGGGTCTGTTCATGGATGCCACGAGTTTGGTCCAACGGTCATGGATAGACTCTGGCTCGGCTGAAACGGGCTGGTCCTTCTATCTGCAGCGGCACGGACCCTGTGTTCAGGTGGCACGTAGTTAGTTAGTTAGTTAGTGGCAGGGCGTACAGCGTGCGCACCCTTCCCCAGACAGACCACCCTTTAGCTGGTGGGCCAGTCAAGAAAGCGCTATACCGCCCATAGTTGGCGGGCAGCCTTGCCAGCTGGTGCGTCTTCAGCAATTTCTTGGAACCTTGACAGACAGAAGCGCTAAACCTTGTTGTCACCACAATAACCACAGCAGCCGGTCGGTGGTTTGGGCACCCGGCGTTAAGCAACCGAAATATTCAATTCCACCTTGTAATTCACTGGAGGTAACGTATATGGCTTGTACCCACGTGTCAATTGCGAGGTCCCGTGATCAACAGCTTCCAGGCGCCACAAATCAACTACAAACCGTAGTCTCCTCCAGTAAGGATAGCCCTCACTGGCATTTGGCCCTCGGCAAAGCACTCAACACTAAAATAGCCGAAACTAGTTTGATAAGATCGTTCAGGAGATCGGGTCCAAGGCCGACAACTACCAACCGATCTCTGCGTCAACATTATCGAGTCAGTAGGGGAAAATGGCGAAGATTCTCCATCGTAACCCCTCTGGCGATCATTCACAAGATCGACTGGCCCTGGTGACCGGAGCAAGATGCGCGACATCATGTTGCTGGCCCTCAAATGAGGAGCCATTGCTTTTGTCCCAACCCAAAACTGACGACCACCCAGCCAGGGGCTGGAGGGATGCGATGTGGCTTTACGTTATCTTTCGAGCAAATTGAATCGAGAACTCGGTATACTCAGAGCCAAAACAACAGTAAGGTCAGGTAAGTAAAAGTTTCGCGCTGGTCATTGACGTCGAAATTCGTAGAGCAAATCAAATGCGCTCGCCAACGAACTGGTAGACAGAGAAAGAAGGTGCAATCAATATGAATTATTAATAACATTATCTCACCAAGCTTGAGTCTCAAATATAGGCGCTCCGATTTTTGTACCGTAGTCCGTAAGTCGTGTCCATTGACTTTTTTTTCCCCCCTCCCCTTCCCCTGTCCCCGGAGCACTCAATCAGCTACATTGTATCTTGGGTTTCTCCGCAAGGCCCGGAATGTGAGTGAGCGTGGTTCGAAGTGACTCTTTTGAAGAGCTGGGCTCTGTCCGCTGCCCATCTCCTCTTGGCGTGATCAACAGGAGGAAGTGTATCGAAGCTCAGGGCATACTTCGCAACGGCATCGGCTATGCCTTTAGTGATGAGTAGGTAAGCATCTAATGCCAAGTTGTCGATGGTGTCGCCGGCTTGATGGTAGTTCACATCGTACGCAACTCCAGCTTCTCCACCAAACAAAGCTGCCTCTGCCTCGGTCTTCAGCCCTTCCGCACCCGTGGCAATACCTCCGGCAGGGATGCCATTTTCAATAAATGCAGCATAATCGGAGCGACCAGTGAACTCTGCACCAACAAATGGGGTGTTCTTGCTGGTAAGGAAGTCCTCAAACGTTTTCTCAAGCTCAGCAGATCCAGCAGGGCCGCTGAGATTATAAGAGCTTCCATCTCCATCGTAGATACCGTATCTGTAGTTGGGACTAGCAATCTACGTACAAGCACATGTTAGTCGTACTAATAGGGCAGAATAGAACGAGAGGTTTTCTGTAGACTTACCATGTCAAAATTGAGGTATGCCCGAATCTTGGCCAGCTCAGAGTCCGAAGAGTTCAGTTGCTTGATGTAGTAGTAAGAGCCCAATTTTCCGAACTCCTCAGCGCCCCAGAACCCAAATCTAACCTTGTTCTTGACTGAGAATTTGGACAGGGCCACGGCAACTGTCAAGGTACCAATTGTACCAGATCCGTCATCGTTGATTCCAGGCCCAGCAGCTACTGAATCGGTGTGGGCTCCCAACATAAGAACGTTGTTCCCGTCGCCACCCTTCGTCTCGGCAATGACGTTGAAGTTGGTTCTGTTCTCTGTCACCGTGTCAATGACCAGGTCGGCAATGACCTCGCCTGATGCTAGCGCTGCGAGAAGAGTGTTGCCCTGTTCAAGGGTGATTCCAACCACTGGGGCGAAATCCGGACTCGGAGCACCCAAAGTTCCACTGACGGTCCCCTCCACATTGTTATACACGATTGCAGCCGCTGCGCCGGCTGTCTTTGCGTTGGTAGCCTTGATCGCAAAGGAGCAAGTACCCCTTGAAATAAGTGCAATATTTCCCTCTACCTCAGCAGGGAAATCCGCAAGGTCACATCCCACGTTCGATACGGCTACCAGAGGTGCTTTGGCAGTGCCGGCTGGACTGTAGGACAGGACGCCGGGTTCGGAGTCAACACCATTGACAGAAAGGGTGCTGCTTCCGGTGAAGAACAGTTCAACAAATGGCTGCTTGACAACGTCGTAGTAGTCCAGCGCAGAAAGCGTGTCAAAAATGTAATCCACAGTCGCATTGTGGCCACCGCTTCCAAAGACACGAGTGCCGCCATTCGCATCCGCGAAGTCTTGCAATTTCTGAGACCCAGCAAGGAGATCCTCAATGTTGATCAAATCCTGTAGGGTCTCGGAAGAAACGTAGGCCTTGCATTTTGACTTCTCTGCGCTAGAATGCCTTGCGAGCGCCAGGGCAGCTGAGGCAATGACGGCGGCCGACCTCATCTCGAACGTGGAAGAGTGAAGGCGGGGAACCGGTTTCTCGTTTACTGAGGCTGCAAGTATCTCTGGGCTAGATGCACAACGAAGTTGAGTGAGTTTAAGCAATCGCTCTTCGGGTGGCTTCCTGCAAACAATCTGCTCAAGTGCGACGCGTATCTCGGAACCCTGACACGCACAAGAGTCGCTAAGGGCAAATAAACAGCGTCGCTTGACAGTTTAAATACACCGTAATGAATCGTGTGCACTCCATTATCCAAGACTTTCGCTATCGCGACAGATGACACCAGCCACCGAACTGATGGGACAAGCCTCCAAATCCGGACTTCTCATCTGCGATCCTTAATGCTGAGAGGCCAGTGCCCCTGACGTGCATAGCCAACTGCCTCTGTCGGCAAAGGCTAGATCGGGCGCTGCGGGGATTTCACTTGGCAAATACTACAATGCTTCTAGCCTCATTCTTGGCTATGCTTGGCGATGCCACTGATCCGATTGGATGAACGACTCGACAGACGTAAGCTATTTGACGAGAGAAAGAAAGTGAAAATAGGTTGTGTCGCAGATTACCCTCCGTAATTATATAAATGACGTGGTATAGACGCTCAGAAGTTTTTAAATTCTTTTTTTGGGTCTGTTTTGCTTGCCTGTATCAGGACGTTGGTAGATGCATTGGCCACAAGAAAAGTGACAGCAAATAGAAAGAAGCTACAAGGTCAACGGCGACGAAGGATCATTAAGCGTGCTGCGCGAATGTTCCGTGCGGCCCAATCGTAACTCTTCCGCTGTTTATCTATGGGCATACCTAAGTATAACCCAACCACCCCTGCATTCCACGGTACCTGTAGGTCGGGGAAAACTAACACCCAAAAGTGGTACCAGACAATCGTTCGAGCATCAGTATTGCTTTGTGGTAGCATATTCGCAGAACACTTGGCTGCATTTGATGTGGTCATGAGAGCTTGTACTTGTACTAGGCGATGAAACCACAACGCATTGGAGTTATATCAGCATCAAACCCACCCACCAGCTTTATACTCCCCAACTCACCATCATTTGCCAAACCTGTATGAACACACCCATTTTCTGTGTGGGGAATCTTTGGCGCCATACGTCTCAGTCGGTTTCTGGTTTCCGTCAAAATGCACTCATTCGCCAATGCCAGATGAAATTAAGCGGAGGTTTCCAGATACTATCTATACTAAACCCCACACCCCTGCACAAAACGTTGTTTTGAAAGCGTACGGTAATTGGTGGTGACTGTTGCACTACCGAAGAGCTGCAGCTTGTCTATCCGTGGTAATCCCCCGCGGCTCTTCCATTCTGGGGCAATGATGACCACTGCAGTTCCTTTCTCCACAACGGAACCAATCCTTAAATCATGACGTAGTATCTAGTAATTGCTCAGTGTCGCTTGGCCATTAGACAAAACTGATGCTTCATTCAATTCAGAAGGTTTTTGAATTGCGCTCGAGTTAAGACATATCCTTCATAGTCTATCTTGATTCCAGCCTTTCCTGCCCTAAACAAGCACGGTTGGAGGTCACTCCCGCTCAACCTTGTCTCCAAACCTCTACACGACACTATGCCTGTCCAACCTGCAAGTTCTTGTCGCGTTCACCGCAGTTTCGACATTGTGGTCGTTGGGGCTGGCAATGCAGGGTTCAGTGCTGCAATATCCGCTGCCGAATCCCTCGGTCCTGACTTGGGTAACCGTGTGCTGCTTATTGACAAATGTCCGGAAGATTGGGCCGGCGGCAATTCTTATTTCACAGCAGGTGCCATGCGGGCTGTGCACGCTGGGCTCGGGGATGTATTACCACTGGTCAACAATGTGGACGCCAACACTGCCAAGTCAATAGACCTGAATCCGTACACACGAGAGGACTTTATTCGAGATCTTCACCGGGTCACTGACGGACGATTTGATCGATCGCTCGGGGAAATTCTGGTAAACGATTCTAACGCTACTGTCAAGTGGCTGTCAGGACATGGGGTCCGATATCAACTCAGTTTCAACAGGCAGGCATACAAAGTGGATGGGCGATACAAGTTCTGGGGTGGCATGTGTCTTAAAACGGATAGCGGCGGCAAGGGGCTTATACAAGACTACCAAGCAGCTTGCAAGCGTTTGGGTGTCACTGTGTGGCACTCTATAGCTGCTAAGCAGATACTATTGGATCCTGCAACTGGCAGCTTCTCCTCTTTAATGGGCGAAATGGCCACAGGAGACACAGTGGAGATTCGAGCTGCAGCACTTGTACTTGCAGCTGGAGGTTTTGAGGCGAACCCTCGCATGCGAGCGCAGTACCTGGGCCCTGGATGGGACCTTGCCCACGTTAGGGGGACACCGTACAATACAGGTGAGGTTCTAGAAATTGCTATGCGGGACATCTCAGCCAAGCAAGGAGGCCATTGGTCGGGATGTCATGCAACTGCTTGGGACGCGAATTCGCCCCAACATTCAGGTGACCGAACAATATCCAACGAGTTTACGAAATCGGGCTATCCTTTGGGAGTTACCCTAAACACTCAAGGAGAACGCTTTTTCGATGAAGGGAGCGACCTGCGTAACTATACGTACGCAAAATTTGGCAAGTCAATACTGGGTCAACCTGGCGGTACAGCCTTTCAAGTATGGGATGCAAAAGGGATTCCTTGGCTTCGGAGCGAGGAGTACCGAGATGATATCGTGGAGAAGATTCACGGCTCTACTTTGGAGGAACTCGCCGAAAACTGCGCCAAGGTCGGCTTGGAGAATCCGATACGATTCGTTGAGGAAGTTAAGGAGTACAATGGCGCTGTCAGGTTCTTTCAGCAGGAGAACATCGACAAAAAGTGGGACCCCACAATAAAGGATGGCCTTTCCACACAATCTTCTCAAAAATACCTGAGAATTCCAAAGTCAAACTGGGCATTGCCAATAGATGAAAGTCCTTATATGGCTGTTAAAGTCAGATGCGGCGTCACCTTTACGTTTGGAGGACTTGCTATCGACGCTGAGTCTTCAGGGGTGATATCCAACCTGACTGGTCAACCCGTGCCTGGCGTCTTCTGTTGCGGCGAAATGGTTGGCGGTCTCTTCTATCAGAATTATCCTGGGGGCAGTGGGCTTACAGCTGGCGCCGTCTTTGGGCGTAGGGCGGGGCAATGTGCAGCAAATATAGTAAACTCGATGAAAGCTGAGAAATAGTCATGAGGAATGAAGCTAGTGAAATCTTAGGTTGCGAGGGGAATAAAAACGAACAAAAAGCATAAGTCTGAGACTCGCGAGTCTGCCCCAAAATAAAAACTCGCTCCCTTTAATCCCAATTCTAGTTAGCCTCAATTACACACGACTTCTTTAGAAACGTGACCTGGCTCAACTTTGGCTCGGCCTCACTCATGACAATATAGCCACATCTCAGATTACCATGGGTCTTGCCAGGCCTTGATTGTGGACCATCTGAGTAATAGTGAGCACCCTGAGCGAAACGGGGGGTTTGAATCTTATGCATGTCCGCCATCCACTATGTTGAACTGGAGTGGTGCTCCTGGGCCATATTCACCAGGTAACACAACCTCAGCCAACGCAGTCCTCCTCGTCAGTATCGACGAATTGAACGTACATTGTTCGTGTGCCTAAAATAGACGTATAAATCGACGGTCGCCAAACCGAACAGTCGTAAAATAAAGGCAAAAAGTGCGATAGTCTATTAAAATCTACGGAAAAGAGGGAAATTAAATAAATAAAACGCGAAAAGCACAGCCACAACTTTTCAAGCCACAGTTCTATACCACGTCTCACCAACCCGAGCTCATGTCCATTATTTTGTCAAGTTCGAGGAGCATAGGGTGGACATACTTAGAGCTCACGAGCATAGGACAGACATGGGCTACGCTCACAGAGAACAGGATAAGTATAGGCCACGCTCTACCTTTATATTCAGAGTTTCAAGTTCTGTAGAGACATGTGGAGAGCACTGAAATTATATTTGGGGGCTTTCATAATCCATTCCTTTATTTGGGCTTTATAATTGAGTTACTTCACGCCCATCTAACCGCGTTTCTCGCGCTCTTAGGACGGCTTGAATTTCAGACCGTCATTTTGATACTTAAACATAATAACCACCATTTAACCATATTTGTCTATCAGTTCATAATTTTTTTGTTCTGGCTCAGTAAAAAAGGTTCTTTGTGGCTTCTGAGATGTAGTGTTTGGTAAGTGCATATCCCGTGCGTTAAAAGAAGGGTCCTTTTTGAGATTCGCTATGGCTCAAAAGGATAGTTACATGTAGGGAGGGAATGGTGATAATAAAAGCCCAGCCAAATGGTTGGAAGGATGTTTGGGATACTCATAGCATAGTTTGGGTAGATTCCGTACTCTTAGTGAGGATGGAAATTACAACTAGATTAACGGCATGACATGTCTACCATAGCGAAAGGAAGAGTATCGGTACGTATGAGAGACCTCTTGCGTGGTATAATCTTGCTAGTGTTGCTTCTTTCGAACGACTAATTGGGCGAGGACCAGATATAGCCACAGAAAACCCATGCTCGCTTCCTGAAACACCTGCCCTCTGTCTCGTATGTAGTAATGTCTATTTTGGGGGGCCACCCATCAATGAAGCATCCCCTTGGGTCCATATAACATTTAACACCAATTTCTTAATCTTCCACACACCCGCTTCACCCTTAACAAGCTCAACGGAGTACTCGCCACCCACAGTGAACTTTGGCCCGGCTGGATCCCTGCCCTTGCCGGGAGGACTATGCTGTGCCGTTGATGTAGCAGTGAGAGTCGCAGTATCGGCACCATCCTCAACATTCACACGGACCATGCTGATGTTGTGCGTGGTATCCATAGGACCAACTTTATCAAGAACGTGTGTGCGGATCAGGGAGAGATTCGGGATGACTCTTTCGTTGTCGTCGTGGATTTCCATAACAACGTCTTCTCCGGCCCATGCAGAGTTGAAGAGGGCCGTGTCATGATGATCGCAGCCAATGGCGGCTCGGTACAGGGCGTCAGCGACAGCTTCCCGCTGACTGAGAGAGGAGAGGGAGATCGTATAAGGCTGCGACATTTTGGCGGATTATGATGTGTGATAGAAGAATAGTAATGCACTTTGTTGACTGTCGTCGTGTTCAGTCTGCCCATTTGGTTGGTTTTTATAAGCTGCTGTATCCCTCTTTTAGGCTGTGTACCTACTAGGGTAGGCATAGGCGCATGCTGGTCTCGTGTGCGCCGCGGAATTTTTGTCGAAAAATTCCGCTAAAGCCCGAACCAACGCGACCTTTACTTTCCGCGGCGTGCATGCGCACTCTACAAACCGGTAAATTCCTAGAACCACCACAAACTCGCGGCAAAAGCAAAGACGAATAGCTGGAGAATCGAATCAAGATGGACAGGACAAAGACGGGCCGCAGCGCCAAATGGGGCGCGGCTTGCGCTCCGTGCGCGGCGGCAAAAACACGCTGTATTCGCACCCAGTCTCCTGGGCTACCATGTGATCGGTGCCGAAGCTTAGAGAAACACTGCTCGGGTCAAACTCCCGGGCCAAGAAAGAAGAGACAAGCCAGATCCTCGTAAGTCCATATGCGTACATGTTCATACTCTGTCATACGCGTTTCTCCTGGCTCTTTGCGCCTCGGCTCCTTGCGACTGCCTCCCGTCAGCATACGATCTGTCCTTAGACTTCACTGCCTCTACCAGTGTCGTACTTGCTACCCGATCATCCCTGTCCGGGTTTTAACCGATACTTCAATGAATGAACTATCTTGAACCCATTATGTTGGACCCTCTGTTGACTCTAACTGACTAGTGCTAATTTTGACGTGAGAACGGCTCTGCTGCAAGAAGGACCCGATAATCCGACCGGCTCATTAAGGGCGCCAGGGGAAGAAAGCTCAACTACACACGGCAGTTCGTTCAACAGCAGTCCAGAGTATCTCACAAACAGCCATTCTGCATCTTCGATTGGTACCGAACCCCAAGCTCAAGACGGACCAAGCCAGGAAGACATTGCTCCGCACACTCCGCCGTATGACTTCACCTCTAGCGCGCCCGCGCGTCCCACATGCACCTGCATGGCGACAGTGGGCAAGGACGATCTTGTTCCCGTGGAGTCTGACGAGACTTTGTTATCCATCTACAGCAATCAGCTGTCCAGCCGATTGCCTTTTGTCATTATTCCAGCTGGCACAACGGCGAGGCAACTACAGGCAACTCGTCCATTTCTCATGAAGGTAATCAGAATGGTGGCTTCCGTCCGCCATCTCCGGTTGATGAGGGGCCAAAGCCGCGCCGTCATGGAATATCTTTCTCATGCCATGCTCATGAGATCTGAGCGCTCGTTGGATCTCCTCCAAGGCATTCTGGTCTTCCTAGGATCCTATCACTACCATTGCATGACGCATGCGCAGTTCAATAATCTAACCCGTCTAGCAGTCAGCCTGGTAGAAGACATGGGTTTGAGTACATGTCCCAAGTCTCAACAAAGGAGGAGTCAGCTGCCTTTACTACGTGCCGAGGAGCCCATGTCCAGAACGAACGAAGAGATAAGGGCACTACTTGGCGTCTGGTATATGAGTTCAAAGTGAGTCTTGCGCTGCCTATATAATTACAGTTTCACAAAGGACAAGACTTATTTGATGGCAGCGCTGGCCTGGTCGTGAAACAGTTAGCAGTCACAAAATACACCAAATATCTGGACGAATGCCTTAAAGAACTTGAAAATGCTGCAGAATACAAGACAGACCAACTTGCCGTACAGCTGGTCCGCATCCAGCGACTCACCGAGAAAATTTGCCACTTCCACAGTAGGGAATCCTCGGTGGACGAACAGCTAGGTTCACCCGCAGCGCCGACGACAGCGCGTCTGGAGGCATTTCAAGTTGAGCTAGACAGACTCCGGAACGCACTACCCCCAAAACTCAAATCCGACCGTATGATTCCCCAACTGTTTGAAAAATTGCTGGTGCTTCGCTAACGTGGTTTGAGAGCCCAGACCTCCTATCTTGCTATTACAATGGCGCTTACCTCAGAATCTTTGAGCCTCTACTGGCAGGTTCACATCTCCCAGATGCGGACGCAGAGTCCTTCGACTCGCTCTCGCACTCGGGCGTGCTGATACCCGACGTCTTTTCACGTTTTACTGCCGCACTCAAGGCCTGGCTCAACAATTGGCTTGCCATTCCGGTCTGTTCCTACTTCTACATGCCTCAGCCCGCCTACGCTCAGTTGGTCCATGCCGCCATGATGCTCACTCGCTGGACCAGAGTAGCCGGCCCGAGCGCGGTCAAGCTTTTCAATACCGGCACCATTGTGCCTCAGAAAGGATCCACCGTTCCTTGTCAACCAACGCCTGCTCTAAGCGGTGTGCCTTCATGCCCAGATCTGAGCTTGTCGAGACCTCCAGCCTCAGCATCCACTCAAGTCGTGTCCGCCCAGATTCTCAATACGCTCAGGTCCCAGGTCATAGCGCAGCCCGATCTTCAGATTGGTATTTGCGGTATCTTAGACATCATGGCAGCTCGTTTCGAGGCTGCAAAGGAGGAGATGGCTGCGGCGCAAGGTGTGGACTGGGAGAACGATACATGGGACCTTGCTGCAGAACATTTGAAAATGAAGAAGGCCAGAGTCGAGAAATGGCATGAGATCGTCGCCATGACGGTAGGTAAGGAGAGGGATTGGCCAACCAATACCTATAACAGCGATAATGAAGGGAGTCGAGGGACCATGAATATGTCGACAGATGAGAGCTTCAACGATTTCGAATGGCTGACATCAGACTATGGCCAGGACAATTTGCATTGGGAAAGTGCTATTTTTGATGAAATTATGCAGGATATTCATCCTTGAGCTGTCTTCAAGTCCCACCTTCCATCGACTGGAACACAGGCATGCCCGGGCTCATAGAAAAAGATATATGCTAGGAATATTGTTATATAGAGCGAAGCGAACTGGCGATTGGTGAAATATATCTTGTTGTGGTAAGAACGCACTACAGGCATCACTACTGGAGTTATCATGTAAGCTTATATAAGCAACTGTGACGCCTAGGCACTTACCCATGATATTCTGGCACCAAATGAAGCACCCTATCATAAGACAAACACCGCGACTAACTACACATCTAAATGAAGATGAACATAGATGAAAATGGGTACTGTAATATTGGCCCTGTGCTTAATGTTAGATCCCATTTCAGTACGCTTCGGAGGTGGCCAAATTGCTGGTCTCGACGGTGTTCCTTCAGTCAACGCCTGACGCCGGAACTGGCCATGTGCAAGAAAAAAAATTATATTATACAACACACCCCTGGGTAAACTCCCCTAGCGCAGTTTTCAGGGCGAGGGCGGATGTACTGAGAAATCGGCTGATTCTGGGCCGTTTGCTTCTCTATGACTACAAATAAAAAGAGTGTGGTAGCACTACCTGTTCAGGCAAGGTGTCACAGCTGAAGTAGTGACAACGGGAACTTGATACCATGCCGTACAGACTTTCCAGGGCGTATGGATTGGAATTCTCCGTAACTCTGTAACTCCGTACAGTTCCGGACCGATACTTGAACCCGATTTCTGTAGGTCCTGGCCAGAGGCGGCGATGCGTCACGCACGGATTGTCTCCCGAAAATTCCGCGGGGATTTCGAGGCCGAGGAAGTATTAGTAGCCCGATTTCGAGATGCAATCTCCCAATGCAGCACATACCATTTCTACAAAACTACATCTAAACGACCATGAAGGTGCTTTTGCTTGGTGCTACCGGGAATGTCGGCAGCCGTGCGTTGCCTGCCCTGATCAAGCACGGTCACACTGTCGTAGCTTATGTTCGCTCGCCTGCTTAGCTCACGCCGGAGAAGCGAGCTGTTTTGGCTGGCGTGGTCACCGGGTCGGTCACGGACAAGTCCGCGTTGAAGAATGCCATCCTCGCCCATGACTGCGATGCCGTCTTTCACGCCGCTGGCCTGGCGCAGCCGTGGGGCTGCTCCAAGACCCGCGAGTACAACATCATCTTTGCCACCGTCATCGCAGCCATTGTGGAAGCCCGACATGAGCGCCGCGGGGCCGCAATACGCGCCTGGCTAATGTCTGGGTTTCCCATGCTGGACAGCGCCATCCCGACACGCCTGATTGGCGACTACATGCCCATGTTTCCCGAGCACAGGGAAAATCTGGCCCTCATCCAGAAGCAAGAAAAGGAGAACATTGCCTGGTCGCTATTTTGTGCCTCTCAACTGAGTCCCAAGCACAAGGAGGCCCAAATTCCTGCACCAGACGACTGCTCGGCGGCCAATGTGTTCGCCAGGGCCGACTCGCCCCCGGAGTGGCGGGACACTCTTCAGTGGGTACCGCTGATCGGGCCTTATTTGAATATCTTGAGCCAGGCGGCTGGCTACGCAACTTCTGTGGAGGATCCCTTGGACTTTATTGCTGCCGATTTCGTGAAGGGAGGAAAGAGCGAATTCATCGGAACGAGAGTAGGATTTAAGCTGAAGAATAAGGTTTCTTAGGTGCTCCTCTAGGCATCTGAGTTACCCCCTGTCTTCTTTTTGCGTTTTAAGATGTAAGTGGTTCGGCCGGCACAATAGATTATACTGCCAGTTTTACATTATAAGTGGTATAGTTATATATAAAATACACCGCACTGCTAATCTGTGGCGGGAGACGAGCGCCTCGTTCTCCGTTGTGTGGCTTGTTTGTGCGTGGCTGTTGGTGAGTTTCTCTGGTCCGTCCAAGCCGGGCTGGGAGTAGTTCAAAAGGTCTAGTTCTCTCAAAAGCCCTGATCCTCCCGAGATCCCTCTACTCCCTCTAACTTCCTACATAACCTCCGCATGATCTTTCCACCTTTGTCAGTCTTATCCGCTTGGCCCTCGTGTTGCTTATCGTTTAGCACAAGAAAACAATACTAGAAAGGGACCGAAGAAGAGACACGAGAGGCAAGGGAGAGTCGGTCTACAGACGTGATTGGTGGCCTCTTTCGTAACCATAATGGCTGTTTAAAGTTCTTATAACATTGACCGTTTAAGATTAAGCCCCGCCCGAGTCTGAACTCTAAGGCGATGATGCAAAAGGAGAAGAGAAGGTATTCAACATCATTGAGGCGCCCTGGCGTCTTTCAACATACAATTGTGGCCCGAAACACCTAACCTTTCGACCGAGTGCCAGGGCGCCAATCATGCCCATCCGGCAACGCGCTTAGACAGTGCCTTTTTTCGCAGCACCTTGTCCCTCATCAACCACTTCGGCTTCCCTCTTATCCCTCAACGCTTCCTTCTTCTTGATCTCGAGAATATTATGCCAACCTAAGCCCCAGCAAAAGACAAGTGCTCCTGCTGCCATACCCACACCCAGATACATGACACGATCCACGCTCGTAGCATACGACTCCAGCAGCGCCTGCAGCGCCGGCCCCGAGAGGCCTAGGCCGTGCACGCCGCGGGCGCCCGCACCCATGATGTATTCAGGCGCCAGGCCGATCACGGACGCGTTCCCCTGCAACAGATCGTGAAGGCTGTTGTTGAAGATGACGTTGGCGATGATAAGCCAGACGGAGCTGCCGAAGGTTTGCACAGTCAAGACGATGGCCATTGCCTGGGGCACTTGGTGCAATGGGACGAGATTCTGCACCGCCATATAGGCCTGTTTGATTGGGTTGTCATGTCAGCATCGGGTCCAGCCCTGTACCTTGCTTGAGCTTCATGGAGAAGGACGTGAAGTCTTACACTGCTGTTTCCAAACACGCTGCCAACGCCGTACAAGATCTGATAGCCGATCCAGCGAGCTGTGGGCGTCGTAGGAGAAAGGGTCGATAAGAGCCCGTATCCGACGGCCGAAATACACGGGCCTATAATTGCCATGGGGAGATAGTAGCCCGTAGACTGTGTGAGGCCGCCGGCCGTTACCATGGATAGGAGCATGCCGAGTGTGGTGGGCAGCATATGGATCCCGCTCTCCAGCGGGGTGTCATTCAGAACGGACTGGAAGTATATGGCAAGGTAGTAGTCGGCCACGAGCATGACGCCATAGTTGAAGAAATTCGTTATGGAGGCTGAGCAGATGATGCGGCTCCGGAGCATGGCCCACGGCACCATGGCGGAGTCACCTTCGTGGTATTCCCAGGCGAGAAACAGCAAGAAGGTGACAGCCCCCCCGGCGATCAACCCGATAACGACAGAGCTATCCCATGCGAACTTGTTGCCGCCGTACTGCAGCCCCAAGAGGAACATAAGCACGCCCCCGCTGATGAGCATGAAGCCAACGAGGTCCAGCGACTTGACGGCCGTGCCGAGAACGGTCCGCCAGTGCGGCTTCACCTCGGCCTCTGGGATGGTGTTGAGGAGGAAGGCGACGGTGACGACGGGGAAGAGGCAGAGGTTGAGGTAGAAGCACCACCTCCAGGTAGCATGGATGTTGGAGGTGAAGCCTCCGCCGATGAGGGGTCCGCCCGCGATGCCGAGCTGCCCAAGGCCCATGATGGCTCCTAGAATGGCCGGCCGCTTGTGCAGGGGGAGCACATTGGCCACAATGGTCATCATGCCGGTGAAGAGACCCGCAGATCCAATGCCGGCGATGGCACGCCCCACGATGAACATGTTGGACGAGGTGGCGGCGCCGCTCAGGGCGGAGCCTACCTCAAGGATCAGGAAGAAGACTAGGAAGGACCATCGAATGTTAAAGTAGCTGTAGATCTTGCCAGTCATGGGCGTGCAGGCGGCGCTGGTCAGCTGGTAGGCGCTGGCATACCAGCCAACGTCAGTGAGCGCGTCGAACTGGGTTGTGATTGCTGGCGCTACCGTGGACATGATGGCCATATCGAGGAAGACAAGGAAAAATGACACGGCGACGGCCCCTAGGATGGCGATGAGGGCCCGGTCCGTTGGATAGGCGTCATGCTCGTGACCAGCCTTGCGCTCCGAGACTGCGGCAGCATCCGCAAGAGGCAAGAAAGCCGTCGGTTGAGAGTATTGTGATTCGAGCCCGGACTCGACACCGTCGATCGGGACCGGCGATTGGGTCCTGTCATTGGCTGCGAAAGGCTGTTGGCTCTGATGGTGGCCGGGCATGTTAATTTCCAAGGAACCGGTCGGTGTGTCAAAACATACCTAACTCAGACTTAGTAACCGCCGACGTCAATGAGTATAAATAGTTGCCATTTTCAGGGAAAATTCCCTATTCATCGTCGCGCTCCATAGTATCCTGTCGGGGTTGTTGACCGGAGTTGAACGAAGTTCGAGGGTTACGGGGTTAGCGAAATTCTGTGATCCTTTTTTGGTGAAGTCTCCGCGGAGTTTTCGGCTTGGATGAGATCCATTTGCATGAGTGGCCCATCCACCCCGTCAGCCTTATGCTAAGTAGGGCGTGGGCTGTCCGGAGACATTCTGGCTGCAAATTATGGTCGTTCATCTTTAGTGACAGTGTTGGAGCGATAGCGGTAAAATTATCATGAACGAGTCCACAATTTCCAATACACAGCAAATTTACCCCTTTTTTGGGCGATTATGCACAAACCGTGTAAATGAGCCATCTCGGTGAATGGAGGCAAACAGGCTGTGCAACGGGCAAAGAATAATCAAGGCTTAGCCTTACCAAATGTTCCCAAACACCCTTGTTCCCAGGTATGATCAGACCAATCAGAGCTCTCCTTATTTGGGAATTGAGCTCCGCCACGTCCCATCGAATCATCGCTTACCCTCATTGATGTTGAGATACTTTGCTGCGGCGACTGTTCAACCAGGAAACCCAAGTAGGTATTTACAATGCTTCTTCTGCCAAGCGGCACATTCAGGATCACTATCCCAGAAGAGTCTTAGCATCAGCTCCGTCGCTTACAATCAACTTTGCATTTGGCGCCGAATTGCTGCCTGCTTCTTGGTATCCCTGGCGCGTCTGTAGGCGCGCTAGACTGCTTATACGCGCTGCGCATTTCAATCTTCTATAATTAGAATACTCGAATGGCCGGTCATAACGCTATGTGTGAAGCAAGGCATGAGAGCCGACCATGGCAAGACTATAAGTAGGCAGCTATTTTGCCAAGACCTTGCCAAGAGAATGTATAGACATCTTTCAGGTTATACAATCAGACTTCAGCTCCAAACACTAGCCTCTGGCTCAATCCCCAGCATTTGCAGTAGTCACTTTGCAGGAAATTTGCTCCAAGTAGATTTATTTCAGCGATATTCAATCTTACCTGGAAACCCATCGCAACCATGGTATCTCAATCAACCATCGCCGCCATCACAACGATACTTCTCGGCACCAACATTCTTGTAGCTGCAGCTCCTGCCCCGTCTTTTAATGAGACTGAACTGGTGGCGCGAATGGACGCCAACACCGCCAGCTGTGAGAACACATGGGAGCACGTTACCAACGACCCTGTCGTGCAATACTGGTACTTGGTCGTTCCCAACTCCGGCGTCAAAGCCAACCGCATGTGGAATCATCTCAACCTCAACGGCTGCGCACCAACGGAGCACAAGTACTACAATACACCAAAGAACCATGGGGTCGCACTCACATTCCACACCAGTGAGGCGTGCACCGCCGCAAGGGTCAGTCATGCGTACAGATCTTCCTCCGACCCACCTTATAACCTTGGCTGTACCTTTAATGGCAAGGAAAGCCCTAACGGCGGCGAGGCTGGGGCCGCGGCAATTGATGCCGCATTCGAGGCTGTGCTTGAAGGGATTCGTGCCTAGCGGGTATCGGAGGCGTCTGTCGTCACTGTAGCAGTTTAAGTATCGGGTGTTCATATAGAGGTCAGGAACAGAAAACATGATGCAGAGCTTCTGAAAGTCATTAATAATATCATGAGCTCATTGGAGATTTTAGCCATTCATTATATTGCTTATTGCCCGCTTGCTCTCCTTCTAAGGCTAGGACATCAGAGATTCGCGCAACTTCGGTGGTGATATGCTGCTCTCAAGGGTTTGATTGCGTTCAAATGGGTGTTGCGGCCCAATCGCATCCGGTCATCTAAAGTAACTCATAGCAAACACATGACTCATTTCCGGGCCAACACTGCCCGTTTCATGCTAGACCTGCGATCAAATACTTCTCCTGTTCCAGAACACAGACAGTATCGAGTGGCAAGATTCCTTCAATAGTTTGAACGAATCGCCACATTGGTCGGTAACCAATTGCTAGCCAAGCTGCGATTGGTCTCAAAGAGTCAACAGAACCACCTGCAAAATCTGCAGGACAGAAGAGGAGATTTGGCTACGAATCTTACGTCCAAATACTTTAGCCTTTACTGCCCCAAAGTGGTAACGTAAAGCCCCAAGGGTAGGTTAGAGTTCAACCACCCCTGGCAGCTAGGTTGTTCGATAGCCCCGGTTCATCGATCACTTCAACTGAACCCGATACCTCACTTATGAAGCCAGGTTACTACGATCCTACGCTTGCCTGATCGCGGAATTGATACTACTGTAACATTTGGGTGGATGCACTACTTTCTATTCCGTCGAATTGTGCACGTGGATTGGTGATACTGCGCATGCAGCCGTCTCATATTGGTGAATACCTCCTTACGTGCGAAAAATAACCCTCAAGAGTTCAATTAGGCCTGTCGAAGAAATGAGACCGACTTGATTAATGTTGGCGTCCCCATCAACGAAATGGGAGACGTCATGAGTCAAAGTGGTCGCGCTAAATGAGTTCACTAGCGTACGGGTGCAAGTATGACGACAGTGTTTGTATCCAGACAAACTGCAACGGGCTTCTGCATCATTTGGCCCAGGCCAACCAAAATACCTGTTGTTTCTAGATACAATACGATTTTTTAACTCCCAGTCGCCTTCCATTTCATCACTATCGAATCCGACCATCAACACAGAATGGAGCCGACAGGGCCAGCTCAGCCTTCAAAGGCAACTGCATACACCACAGAGGGGAACGTAGTGACCTCAAACCCAGCAGAGCAGCGTTCCGCTCAAAATCATACTCATGGCGGCCGTGTTGAACAGCGCCTTCCCACCTCTCAGGCATCTGTAGTGCAGGAGGCAACGCCTACCAGCCTGGCTCGCGGAATCAGGGGCGCACCCCCTGGTGAGGAGCAATTTGGGAGAACGGCAGAGCAAGTCGGCCGCAACCAAGAGTTGGAGGGTGAACAGATGCGAGCACCTGGTGAAGGTGATGTCGCGGATACTGTTGATAGAAAGCCGGGTGCCAGCGGATCGCAGCCGGATCTAGCGAGCGACCTCGACAGGTGCGTATATGCTTGACCGCCCGTCAATTGGGGAGAATTGACATCCGTGGGCAATCCGTACTAACTGCCGTATAGGAAGAAGGCTGAGCAGGCATCAAAAAGAGAGGCCATCAAGGATGCGAGGGCACATGGGACTTTCTCTGAAGGCGTCGATCCACGAGCTGGAGTTGAAACATAAGGTTTTCCATCAAAGGTCATATCATACGCTGCGATAATAGGTAGTTAGTCAAGAGCACGATATAAAGTCCACTACGCGAGCATCTTAAAATCTTGCCCATTACGCAGGCCTGCGCGATCTTGCTGTAACGTAACGATCATGACATGTACTACTCGGCATTGACTCAAGTCCGAGTTCTTGAATGGCGTCGAGTACACACTCGTATTGAGTTCAACACATATGAACGCATTCAGTGTCGCCTGGTCGGTACAGATCCCACTTTCGTCCGTGGTTGGAATGTCCGGTTGCGCAGGTGGGAACCAATCAAACACAAAGTCGTCCTAGAATACGTAGATCATAGCTTTGGACATTCTCCACCCGCTCTACGAACACTTGATGAGTCTAGGCGTCGGCGTTTTCACTCAGAAACGGGAAACAAGTAAGTACAATCAGCTGGCCACCTCCATACTTCACCGACGGAACATTATGAAAGCCATCTTTCAAGGCTTTTCAAATACTACTCTAAAAGCCTGCTGTGGTTTCTTCCATGGAGCCATAGCGGTATTTGACTACTCTGAGTTTAGAATGCGCCATCAATGTTAACAAAGTCAAGGCTTTCACAAAGGCTTTGAGGCAGCCTACCGCTTCGAGTACAAAATCGACATAACCGGTCTGCTGTCAGACGCCTGGATGAAACTTTTTAGAACACATTTGGCATGTGTGTGCAACTTTGCGATGTTGTGGTCGGCTATGCGCCTCGGCGAGGTACAGTGTTTTTGGGCCCAGGTCCGCTGGAACGCCTTGCTTGCTGGGTACTCTAAACTGAGACTTCAAGTAGTGGCGGATTTCCAGTTTGTGCAGCGGAACCTAAACAACGTTAATCAAGGAACATGTTTTCCTTTCACGACAGTATTTTTTTCAGTTGGAGACTAGACGCGGCGGACGCTGGTGATTTAAACCAGCTCAGTCAGATGATTGATGCCGTAGACACGACGAAAGAATTTGATATCTTTACATGGTCTGATACACTTGATATTGAGTATCATCCTCGACCCAAGCCCCTGTTGCGCTGTTTCTCATCCCATTCGTCCCAGGCTGCCAGCCGGAGCGCCTTGAATCGTGCTTCGTAATGTGTCTGCTGCTCTGGGGCCAAGTTATCCCATCGGCAAAAGAAGTCACTCCCCAGGGGTGCGTACTCAATTCGTTCTTCCTCTTGTATATTCATGACCAAAAGACGTGCCGGTTTGGGTGGTGTGAGGATCCCGAACTTCGCGGTTCAGGGACAGCCAACACCCGTGACCTCCGTTAAAGACTGCGTCGCGTGGGCGAGCTGTGTGCCATCGATGCATTTCCTAATGCGCAGGCGACGGTCGTTGCACCGGGACGCTCTGTAGGAGCTTGGCCGCCCTGCAATTGGTGAAAGTTTTACTGCCGTAGGTTTAATCAGTGCTTGGCTCTAGATCAACCTTTAGGCTTCCAAGCCGCTTTCGAGCATTCTTTTTCTTCCCAGCTATTTACCACTAAATGCGAAAGCGATATTTTCTAACATCGTACCTGTCTTAGGTACCGTGGCGTACTGCATGCAGAATGGTGGGGCTGCTAACCCTGGAACTCGGTGACGTGACACGTCCGTCTCTTCCCCAACAACTTACCTCCGGCATCAACCTTACATGTATTAGAGCATTGGCGGCGAGATAACCGTACTCTCATGGCCTCTCTCTAGACGACTTCATCTTAAGACCGTGATGGATTCACAGATAGTCCTCTCTCATGGGAGTGCATGGGATGCACAGCAGTCGTCCGCGTCGCATGCTGCAAGCAGCGATGACGTCAGTGTGAGTTCTCCGTCTCTGAACGCCCAACAACGCTGGTATCAATCTACATGATGTTTCTGATGCGCAATGCAGGCAAATGCAGCATCGCTACCAGCTGTTGTGGCAGCTTTTATACCATCATTCGTCACGGCAGTCTTGTTCATGGTGATCTTCGTTGTGATCCGAAAGCCGTTTCGAAGAATCTACTCTCCTCGGACGTACATTGATCTGGTTCCCGAAAAGTAGACCCACCCCCTCCACCAACCTGTGCGTTGACTGTGACTGTGACTGACAGACGTAGACACCGAACTCCGTCCGCCAGTACTTCGCATATCGACTGGATCAGAGCCTTAGCCAAGCTAGACGACAAATTCATCCTGGAGCACTCTTCCCTGGATGGCTATCTATTTTTACGGTTTATGAGGACACTGATCTTCATCTGTTTCGTGGGGTCATGCATAACCTGGCCAATCCTGTTTCCGGTGAATGCCACTGGCGGCGGGCGAGCTTCTCAGCTGGATAAGCTCGGCTTCGGGAACGTTAGTGATCAATCGAGACTATGGGCTCATGTCATTGTTGCCTGGGTTGTCTATGCCTTTGTTATGTTCCTCGTTGCTCGGGAAAGGCTATGGCTGGTCGGACTGCGGCAAGCATGGGAACTATCGAAAGCCAATGCCTCGAGGCTTTCCTCGCGTACCGTGCTGTACCTTGACCCACCAAAGGTTGCCCCCCTGGACGGTGACCTGCACCTCAACTATGGCCAAGAGGCACGAAGACAATGGGTCATAACGGACACAGGAAAGCTGAACGTTCTTGTCAGCACCCGAGACTCGACAGCTAACAAGCTTGAGTCCACAGAGGTCTCATACTTGAGAAAGGTGAATAGAAAAAGGGCTAGAATGGCCAAGAAGCAAGGTTCCGATGCTATCCTTTCCGAGGACGCCATTACAGAGCTCCGTCCAATCCACAAAGACTACTACGTTTTTGGCAAAAGAACTGATGCAATTGATCATCTACGCCATGGGTTGCAAGAGGCTGCTAGGAAAGTCGAAGAAAACCGACAGTCCTGCACAGCAGATATTCATCATAACCGCAGTGCAGTCTTTGTTGAGTATGAGTCTCAAGCAGCAGCTCAGCGAGCATACAAGGGAAACACCACCTCACACATAATGAAGCCACCGAACATCTCCATACCATCCAGGCTCATCGGCGTTCCTCCCAAGGAGGTCATCTGGAATAATCTCGCCATCCCACATGCGATTCGAATATCCCGAAAGTCCGCAGCGAATGTGATCATCGCGCTTCTCATATTCTTCTGGTCCTTTATATCAGCCTTCGTTGGATCGATCTCGAATGTCAATTACCTGAGTGACAACTTTGAATGGTTGCGTTGGATACAAAACCTGCCCGATCCTATTCTCGGCCTAATGACGGGCTTGTTGCCACCATTGATCACAAGTTTGCTTTCCTCTTACGTACCAATATTCATGAGATGTAAGAGGTTTCCCACTATATGATGTTATAAAACTAACATTAAGCAGACATCGCCAAAAAGTCCGGAGAGCCGACAACCGTAACTGCTGAATTACAAGTCCAGAACTGGTACTTTCTGTTCCAAGTCATTCAGATCTTCCTGGTTACGGCGCTCTCCTCTTCCGCCACTGCATTTATCCCTGAAATCATTTCGCAGCCTCACCAGATTCCGTTGACTTTGGCTAAAAACTTGCCGAAGTCTTCGAAATTCTACTTGACGTACTTCATCTTGCAAGGTTTGGGCTCGTCAGCGAAGAATGTTCTTAACTACTCCGATCTTTTCCAATATTATTTTTTCGACAGGACTGTGAACAACACACCCAGAAAGAAGTACAGCCAGTATACCAGTCTCAAAGGTATCAGTTGGGGCAAGGTGTATCCAAAGTTCACCAATTTCGTCATTATCGCTCTGGCATATGCATGCATATCGCCCCTCGTCCTAGGGCTGGCTTGTGTCGGCCTCACACTTTTCTATGCCAGTTATCGTCACAACTTATTTTTCGTCATACAGCCCAAGCTGGAGACCAAGGGAAGGTGCTATACTCGCTCATTGTCACAGATATTAACCGGTGTGTATGTGGGAGAGCTGGCACTGATCGGATTGATGGGTCTCCGCAAAGCAACTGGACCGTCGATTCTGATGGGCGTGCTTTTTATCGGCACCATTATCTACAATCATGTTATGAATCGGTATCTGAATCCACTGGAGGACCGCCTCCCTGCCAGACTACTCTCTGAGGGGAACGACGAGGCCGAGCCGCTCCTGGCGGCGGAGGAGGGGGAGGCTAGCTTGGACGAGGCTCGTGAGCGATCACGTTTACAGCAGATAGGGAGAGGCGCACACATCCCGCAGCAGCTTCTTGATCCATTCGCCCGATTCTTCGAGCCGCACATTTACACTTCGCACAATATTATGAGGGGCTACCTCAAATATTCGGACTTGGACGAGCCTAAGTATAAAGATGAGGACCTGGAAACGGCCTATGCAAACCCGAGCCTTACTTCTAAGACGCCAAAGATATGGCTTCCATCCGACGACGCAGGGCTGAGCAAGAAGGAGATCCAGGCCAACTCGGAGGCTGATATTGCAACAACAGACTATGGAGCGTGGCTTGATGAGAAAGGGAGAGTAAGATTTGATGAGGAGAATCTTAGACAACTCCCAGTATGGAAAGATGCTGTGCCATACTAGGCACAAGATTTTGCGTAGTGTCAAGCGCTAATGCTCAATACCGTGTACTTTTCAGTCAAGCCACTGGAACGGACAAAGTATAACCGGCAAGGTCCTGCTACGAATAAAATAAAAATTGTTGGAGAATCATAAGAGGTCGCTGGCCACAGGGGTACTTCATGTAAAATGTGCAGTTGACATACTAGATATATAATCATCGAAGGAGTAGGACTTGGCGCCGTCCAGCTTTTGTAAGGACCCACAGCAAGAGCAATAATAGCACCGTTCTAAAAGTTCCCGGCTCACTGTACTACCCGTTTTGGATAGACACTCGCCCGTTAACGAACCTCCGCGCAAACACGCGGCTGACAAACGCGCAGCAACTTAAGTCCGAAATCCTACAGAGTATAACATCGTCATCAACGTTGTTGATTACCCACCCGGTACCGTTCTCCCAACTCTTCCGACGGACATCTAATCGAGCGTGGGGCCGCGCTTATCCGAATCTTCAGCTCGGCCCATTATCTATCCGGTCGCGGATGTATTAGAAATGTGGTGATGCGGTCCAATGATGTCGCAATACTTGCCCCACCTCGGAAGATAGCCCTGGTGTTGTTAAAGATCAGAGGGGACTATCGTCGATAAACATTTCAGCACAACAGTTTCATCCGTTCCTAAATATCTCAGATCTCAAAAGCTATACAGATAGTAAAACCCCTTGACAGCACCCCACTACAGCTTTTATAACACCGCAGGGCATCACCATGACGACTTCAACCCCGAAGCTCAAGCTCTATACTAACCACGGATGCCCATGTCAGTACATCGGCGAAGCCTGCCTGCCTACATACAGAAGGCATCAAGAGACTAACTTTTGCGTCGCAGGGGCTCATCGTGTCCATATTGCATTAGCTGAATTGAACATCCCTTTTGAGGAAGAAATCATTGATCTCAGCGTTCCCCGGACTCCCGAGTACCTGAAGATCAACCCGCGAGGACTGGTCCCATCGATCTCCTACAACGGCGAGATCATCACCGAGTCGGCTATCGTGGCCAACTTCCTCGCGGACGCTTTCCCTTCTCATCTGATTCCGGCTTCCACGGACGCCAACGGGCCACTAGTCCGTGCCAAGATTGCCTTCTTCGTCGACACGTACTTTTCCAAGGCGGCCCCGCACTACTTCAAGACATCGTTTGGCAAGCTTGAAGAGGAGCGCACGGCAGCCGGTATCGAGTTTGTCAACACCGTGGCCAAGGAGCTCGATCCCCTGCTAGCCGACGCCGCCCCCTTCTTCGGCGGCTCAAGCAAGTTGACCCAGGCTGAGGTGAGTAGCCGGCCCCAGGCCCCGTTCACCGGGCTACGCTAGCGAGAACCGGAAGCTGACTATACTCGTCGGACAGGTGTTGACGGGCTCCTTCGTGCTCCGGCTCTATACCTTTGCCCGCCCGGAGCACGGCCTCCAGCCGATCAGCCTGGATGACTTGGCTGCAAAGGCGCCCAACTTTGACAAATGGGCAAGGGAAGTGTCCAAGCACCCGAGTGTCACAGGGATCTGGAACGAGGAAAAAATGGTGAGTTACACGAAGGAGAGGCTGTCGAAACTGAGAGCACAAGCATAGGCGATGGTTTCATCATCCAAGGTGGTTCTGAGAGCGATGAGAAATTCGATGGAAGGCTGGGTCGATTGTTCCATATCTCTCGACAACGGGCGTATCCCTTATAAAGAAATCAAAAACTATATATGCTGCCCATTTGGAACTCGCTGCTGTCCCGTGCTAGAGAGGGTGGTGGTTCCTGGGGTGGTTGTGGATATCAGACTGGATATACCGCATGACCAACACATACGACCATAGCTCCTAGAGAACTCGGGATCCCGTCCGCTCTCCCATAGATAAACTCGGAAGCGCCAGATTAGTAGTTGGGTGGGTGACCACCAGCGAATACCTGGTGTTGTATGTTTTTTGCACTTCTAACGGGTTATGTGGATATGATTTTTTTTTGGAGATGGTGGTTGGTTTTGAAGTGTTGCGTGGCGGGTCACGAGAGACTGGGGTTAGGGACTTGGTGTCCGACTTATCCTATCCGATCTTTCAATGGCTAGTCATTTATACTTGAGTTCTTAATCCACGTTCATGGTGAGAATAGAACTGCGCCTAACCGGCTATACGGCAGTACAATTGTGGACTATACTTGGCACAGCTAGCATGTCAGCCTTGGCCTGGCCTTTAATCCTGTTGAATACTTGGCTGATGTAGATAAGTGCAAAACGAGCGATTGATAGACTTAGCGTAGCACGCCTAAGCTAAGACTAATAAGCCAGAGATGCACGCAGCCTATCGCTTAGAGTTCCGTGCCAGCACGCCCAGTCGTCTTGGCCATCCGAGCCCCAATGCTAATGGTTTGATAGTGACGCAACCGACTGTTCCAACTACTTTGTCTACATAAAAGCTAGTCTAAAGCCTTACACCACCAACGGATAGTCGCAATCGCCATGACAGCATTCGAGGTCTGTCTGTTGAGTGTAGGTTCTGTTTTGCCAGTGATCTCTAGGCAAAATGAACTTCAATACCCGCTATCTGGATGACAGTGAGATCGAATCTTTCGTGAAGGAGTTGGACAAGAATGGCGACGGATTTATCGACTATGGCGAAGTAGAGCACAGGCTGGATCTCGTGCACGACGAGATCGCTCCTCGCGCACAGCCGCATCACTTGCACCATGACAGCAGGGACGACGAGGCTCGACACCATTTCCTGCGCAGCATCATCGGGTCAGATGCCCAGCGCATCCCACGGTCTGAGTTCGTGGCGCGGGTGCGGGAGTGGAAGATCCCCTCCCTGAAGCAGGACGCAGAGGATCAGCACCGGGAAGACGAGCTGCTCCGGTCGATGAGCATCTGGCGCCGCGTCCGCGCCTACTGGGCCGTCCGGGGCCCGGATATCATGTTCATAGCCCTGGTGGTAAGCCTGCAACTTGCCTTTGGGATCTGGCAGCTTGTCAAGTACGTCACCGGTACTCAGTACCGTGCAGCGTTCGGCTGGGGTGTCGTTCTGGCCAAGACCTGTGCTGGGGCGCTCTACCCAACCATTTTCTTCCTGCTTCTCAGCATGTCCAGGTACGTCTCCAGGATCCCAAGCTTACAGGCCTATTTGATGATTAACCTTTTATTTCTGAGTAGATACTTTTCGACCTTCATGAGGCGCTCGTACCGCATCTCACGATTTATCAACTTTGACCTGTCACAGAAGTTTCATATTCGGATTTCAATAGTTGCCATCGTTTTAGCAACCTTGCACGCTATAGGCCATCTCGGAGGCTCATTCGTATGGGGTAGCAGGCCGGAGAATGAGGACGCTGTAGCCAATGTGATAGGCCCTGACATGGTCCCTCGTCCATACCGGGACTATGTCGCATCGCTCCCGGGCTCTACAGGTATTGTTGCTCTGGGTCTCTTCTACACCTTGTCACTACTCAGCATTCCTCATGTTAGGAAATGGAATTACGAAGTTTTTCAGCTGGGCCATCTCCTCATGTACCCGATTATCGGACTGCTGGCGGCCCATGGAACAGCAGCACTGCTGCAGTGGCCAATGCTTGGATACTTTCTTGCCTTTCCAACATTGCTCATTCTGGTTGAGAGAGTCACTCGTGTAACACTTGGGTTTCATCGCATACCAGCGACATTATCAATACTAGATGACCAAACTCTTGAGATCAAGGCGACAATCCCCAGCGAGAGGATTTGGAAGTACGAAGCCGGGCAATACGTGTTCCTGCAGGTTCCGAGTATAAGCTTTTTCCAATGGCATCCATTTACCGTGTCTGGGTGCGTCGGAAGAGAGATGTGGTTGCATATCAAGGTCGAGGGCAGCTGGACATCGAGGCTGAAAACCTTGGGACGTGAGAATGCGACGGCACAGATTGATATCGGAATCAATGGGCCATTTGGCGCACCAGCCCAGCGCTTTTCTGATTTCGATCATACCATAATCGTTGGAGCCGGAATCGGAGTCACGCCTTTCTCTGGAATTCTGATGGACCTCCAGGCGAAAGAAGATAGGCTTCACGGCGGCCCCGATTCGTCCAGCGGGATTGCGACTGGCCCTGGTGAGAGGAAGATATCCATGGGAGCTGGAACCACCCAGGACGGAAATACGGCTCTACAAGATTCAGCCCGTTCTGATAGCTCCACCTCAGACCCGTCAACCATGCGTAACCTGCAGACCCAAGCCTCGTCTAATGACCCTTTGGCCCTTCCCTCAGACTATCGCCGCGTTGACTTCCACTGGATGGTACGCTCCCGCAACTATCTACTGTGGTTTTCTGAATTGCTGAATGCGGTCTCCCGATCCCAAGCACGGCACCAACAGGAGGACGCAGACTGCCACCTGGCCATCAACATCTACACCCACGTGACGCAGAAGCGGAAGAACATCGCTACCCATGTGTACCGATGGCTGCTGGAGATGCACCGCACGCCCGAACACCCAGAGTCGCCGCTGACGGGGTTGATGAACGCTACACACTTCGGGCGCCCCGACTTCGAGGTTATCCTGGACCAACATTACGAGGAAATGAAGGGCTTGAAGGCCGCGAGGGCCATGGATTCGGAAAAGGGGGAGGGAGTGCGGAGCAAAGCACTGAAAGTAGGCGTTTTCTTCTGTGGAGCTCCGGTCGTGGGTGAGATCCTGGCGGATCGGTGCCGGATGCTGTCAGCCAGGGGACGAGCGGATGGCACCAAGATTGAGTATCATTTCATGATTGAGGTTTTTGGGTAGCACCGGCGGGTATTTAAGACTTCATGATACGTACTTACCTATGTACTTGGGCGCTTGCGCTATAATAGATCGTTGACAAACAGACACAGACAGGCGGAAGTGGCCAACGTGTAGGTAACAGTCAAAGCGTACCGGAATTTGCTTCAAAGAAAGTGCGCAAGACCCAGTTCAGTGAGGCATCGGTCTGGGAAGCGTAGGTGATCGGATATCTTCTCAATGCAGTATCTCGCGGGTTAGGTCGAGGGCTACTGTCCTTACGCACTGCAAGTTAGGTAGCCAGATTGTTCTGACATACGGCGGCCCATTTATCACTGGCTGCGGGTACCCATGTACGTCAGATTCCCAGCAGTTGGCAAGGATAACAGTCCAAGCCAACCGACTTGGCCGCCTCGAGAGAGATATCCCGGGGAAGGATACAGACATGATGGCGATGTGTACGTGGAATCTGCTTTGGCTATCCAGATACTCAAGTTAAGGGTCTCCCGGGCGAAGATTGGAAACCCAGATCACGGGCAAGTCAGCTGACTTCGGTGGTATCGGATCTTGCCGCCAAGCCAAGCCCCGGCGTCCGCGAATCGAGTCGACGAGTGGCATCACGTCCCCCCGTCCCACGTCCCACGCTCCACGTCTTACGTCCTGGCCACCAGACCAGCTCTTCCAATTTGCCCCGCTGGTGGATTGGTGACTCTTCTGGCGTGTCGAATCCGTCCCCCTCCTCCGCCTCGCCTTGTCTCCCGATAACTCTTCGGGGTCCGTCCACCTTGGACCCCTTCACTCAGAAATTATACCTACAGTTTTATCAGGATCTTGCTCGTTTGGCGGAACTGCATCGACGGGTTCCTTGCCGACCTGCGAAACTGAGCCTGCAGACCCTCTTCCGTGAAGGCATTGGCCACCGGCTCCGCCTGGTGACGTCCGGTCATCAGTCCATCCTCAGGACGGCTGGTACGACACAGCAGACGACTCTTTCGCATTTGAGGCTGCCCTGGCCATCATGAGCTCGACGCCGCAAGGCTTGGGAGGCAAAGCCCTATCGGCATCGGCATCCAACTTCACCCCGTCACAATCTGTCCCCATCCCGTCGCCGAATTTCGATTCCAGTTCGCGTCGATCCGGCATCTCGAGTCCGGCCCTGTCCTATACCGCTCCCAGAAAGGGGCAGGCAGCCCGGAAGCAGCACAAGGACAAGCGAAGGCCACTGCGAGACAGCCGGCTGGATGACGATGACGCCATGGCTGAACTGGTAAGCCGACTGCAACCCGGCCAGTCTGGACCTTGACACTGACGCTGCAGCACCACCAGAGGGCTATGAGAAACGCTTCGAGCCGGAGGGGCCAGACTTCGATCACCCACCTACTCAACTACTCGGCCCCGTTACGCCACTCGCACGACTACGGGCATGGACACGGCCACGGTCACGGAAGATCTGCTCGACGGCACCCGACTTGGGGGCCCGGCTCCGGCTACCACCCCGTCGACAAGGCCAAGTTTGTCCATGCCAACTACCGATTCGTTGTGGCGCCCGAAAACGACTACACGGCCCAGGCGAGCGACGCCGATAAGCATCTCGATTGGAACGACGTACAGCAGGTCGTGGCGTCGACCGAGTCACAATCGACATCGTGCCCAATCTGCCTGTCCGACCCAGTCGCCCCGCGCATGGCTCGGTGCGGCCACATCTTCTGCCTATCGTGCCTGTTACGATTCATGAATTCAACAAGCGATGACGAACCGAGCTCCAGAAAGGAGGCCCGATGGAAGAAGTGCCCAATATGCGAGGACTCGTTCAAGATGGCCGAGACTCGCCCTGTGCGGTTTTACGCCGGTCAAGAGAACCCCTTGCCCGGTCCGGGCGACGATGTAGTATTGCGGCTTATGGTACGAGACTCGAGCTCGACCCTGGCTCTGCCAAAGGAGGGCGGTACAGACCCCGTCAACGTCGGAGAAGAGGTGCCCTGGCACTTTGCAGCAAACGTAATGGACTACGCCCGCATTATGAAGGGCACCAGAGATTACATGATCAGCGAGTACGAGCGAGAGATCGACGATCTTCGGACCCAGGCCACCAAAGACGAGATACAGTTCGGGGCAGAAGACGGCGACTGGACGGCGAGGGCCATCAAGGCCATCACCACGGCCAAAGACAAGGTTAGAGACCAGAAGACAGACGTCGATACTGACACAACGCCGGCTACTGGGCTTGCCAAGGCCAAGCAGCCGGCAGGCCACCCATTCCATTTTTATACGGCTCCCCCGCATCTTTACCTGTCGCCACTCGACATCCGCATCCTGAAGACGAAATTCGGCGACTACTCTAATTTTCCCTCGACGCTCTTGCCGCGCGTCGAACACATCTCGACCGGCCATGTCGTCGACGACACCATGAGGAGGCGGACCAAGTACCTTGCTCACCTCCCACACGGATGCGTGGTCAGTTTTGTCGAGTGCGATTGGACAGACATTGTTCCCGCCGAAGTACTCGAGACGTTCTCCAAGGAATTAGAGAAGCGTCGGAAGTCACATCGAGACAAGGAGGCACAAGAAGAAAGAGAGCGGGTACAGGCAGAGCGGCTTGAGGCTGCAGCCATTGGCCGTGGTGCGCGTCGACACTTCGACCAGGCAAACGACATTCACCTGGATGCCGTCCCGGCGATCAACTCGGATGATTTTCAGCCATTAGGGTCCGCACCCAGCACAACACCCCCGAACCCGCGGCCCGGGTTCGAACAGCTAGCCGACATGTCCACAAGTCCGTCTACTTCCAAGACTGTGTGGGGAACCCGAGTGTTGGCAGCCTCTCCCGACCTTGGGCCGGTTTCAGAGGCAAACACAAACGACGGCTGGCTGAGGGATGATGATTTCCTTGGGCCTGCCGAGGTTGCGCTCCAACTGGAAGCATTCAAGATTGACGGGGCCAGCTCAGGACCGGCAACGCCAGGCGGTGGCGGCGGCGGAGGAGGAGGTGGTGGTGGGAAGAAGAAGAAGAAGCAGAAGATCACTTTGATGAGCACAGGCGGGCATCGTGGCGGATGAATACCTTTGGAGCTAGGTGCAGATCTACTAGATGCTAGATGGGCTGTGATACACGAAGTCGACATCTGTCATTGGTGCCTTAGAAATATTGGATTGCTTGGCTGATTATCGCTACAAGAGGCGTCACATGTTTATTTGGGATTGGCGTGGAGACAGCGCCACAGCCAGCTGTGCACTATAAACTGCACAAAGCGATACGAAATCAAACAAAGTTTATTACCCATGCCCACGAGAACTATCAGTACGTCGGACAGGTTTCCCGGCAGTTTGCATGTTGCATCAAATGTCACGCCGAGCTTATATCAAACCTCCACTCGAGGGAAACAGGGCAGCCATGGAGTGGCAGCGGAGCCGCGTGTCTTGAAGCAAGGAGTGTATACCTACCTAACTGAGGTAGTTGGTCGATAAGGGCGGACTCGGAACCACAATTGAATGTACGCGTCGCCTTAGCGATGATTGCGATCGATTCGTCGAGGCAGGAAGTTGAAACAACGCAACGAGGCCGTGGAAGTGGTTCGTTTTACCCCTGGATTATGATGAAATCTTAGGTTGCGCATGCCGTTCAGGGACTGGGAAAGGCGAGGCGCAAATTACGATCCGGAAATCGTCCGAACCATGACACTAGCGACTTGTCGGTGCGCTGCACGTCAAGGCGCTTCCGTCCCGTAACGTTGAAGTCATATTGGACTTGGGGGCATAAACATTCAAGCACGATGGTAATCTTACGGAGGCGGTGCAGCCAATTGGTGCCCGTGGGCTGTGGGAGTGGAAGCAAGGCATGGATCGGGGGGCATGCGAGCTTCGGCAACCAAGGACAGGCTAGCCTGATAGATAGTATGCATGTGTGTACAATACGTAGCTCTACATATCCAACGTTGCATCTCGTCCTAGGCACCCACTGCTGGCGAGTGAGCTGGTGTTCAATTAATCAAATATCTGGATGGCATGGCGCAAAGTGCAAGCCACGGCTTCACAGACGTCTCCTCCAACAGTTGTGGCTTTGTTTCCAGTCGCGGCATTTCACACGCGGTGCTACGCCGTGGCTTTCGTTTAACTGCAGTAAACTACCAGGATTCACGATAAGACGGTGAATAGTAGAGCCAAAAAGAAAATTCTCCGCAGCTTCCCCGCACTATATCCACTGGATCCATGATCGTCACCGTCCCCACAGGGGCCAAGGTGCGGGAAGCAAGCCACCAAAGAAACAAGCCCCTCCGGGCCCCCCAGAGCCCCTCAGGCCTTACCTACTGTGTGCAAGGCACCTGGGGGCAGGGAGATTCGTCCCGAAAGTGGGACGACACCAGTGGGTACGGTATAATGATACGCCTGCTCTTTGCTGGCTTGCTGACTGCAGACGCAGGATATCGTGTCGCGCGTCATTAATTTCCGCTCAAGTCTTCTCCTCCAGTCTGGTCGCAGTTCGCGCCTTTTCTAATTTCTCTGGTCTCTCGGTCCATGACATCGGCCTGCGTCGAGCGCCCCAGTAAAGCAGAACTGCCTGTGCATGCGCTCGGACCCAAGTGGCCGAGCATGCTCCCTCGCTCGACAAAGCCTGCTTTCCAGCTCCCGCTGTGCCTCTTTCCCATGTCGACGACAGTGGTCGTTTGCGAAGCCGATCACAATGATCTCTCCTCCATTGCAACCCAAGAGGGGCTAACGCAGAAGCCTGCCAGGTGACTCCCTTGAGATGCGTGCGTGCCAGGACGATGGCACCATACATCTGTCTGGGGAAAGCAAGTTGTGTATCATTCGACTCCTGGCCGTGGTACACGGCACGATTGGGCGTCAGGAATCTAGGTACGGTGCTATAACAACCCCAGCTGATATCGACCGGATGCAAAGCTGCAAGGACCATCACACCTGTTCTTGACAGCGGTGATCCTCATCTGTTCGAGATGAGATCTATTGCTGAGTGGAAGCCGTGTTATTGGGCAATCCCGCCTTTCTCCAACTGCCCCTGTGAGGAGAACCCAGAAAGAAACCACCGAAGAGCCTCCTCGCACTATCAAATCACTGGGCAATAGTTAGAGCCGGCCAGGCCAGTGCGCTATCTCGATCAATCCCATAGTTCTCGCGCTCGCTCTCTGGTGCGTCCCGGTTGCACACCACTTGCAGTATATAGGTTCGGCCAATGCCGCGCTAGACGGGTGCTACAGAAGACCACGCGATAATCCAGCATGCCTAAACTAGGTTCTACGGCCGCAGAACAAGTCATCATGTTCGGCAGGCAGTGCTTCTGTGCGGCAACATGGGGGGTGGCATGCCGGGCTACCCCTGGGCCAGTAGATGGCCATCTGTGCCTATGTGTGCCTATGTGTGCCTCTAGCCTCGAGGTCACCGCATCATGGCTAAGGCTTGGCCGAACCAAGCTTCTCCACACTTACCCCAACCGCCACCCATGCCTATTCCAGATTGCTATGCCTCGTGAGCCGATTCCAAGCCCGCGAGCTATCCAGACACATGCAAGCACGCTGCGCAGCGCCAGCAACACGATCCTCTTTTTCCTGCAGTCCCAGCAATGTTGTGCAGGGAGGCCATCCTCGCCAAGGGGCCGGGAGTGCCTTCCAAGGCACCAAGGATCCCCTCAACAGCGCGACTTGCAGGGAGGGGAGCCGGCCACCGATGGAAGCTACGGCAGACGTGCCGGCTGACCAGCGTCCATGATCCGTGTCTTGCTTTCGCACCCGAGCTGCCCGCGTCGGTCTTCTGACCTCTATAACTTGCACGGGTCCCCTTTTGCGTTTCTGTCGCTCTCTTCTTTTGGAGACCCTGATCGTCCTCGTGAGGTCTCTGCAGCGTTGGCATTCTATCCTGTTACCCTCCCTTACAGGCGAGACGCTCCTTCATCAATACCACGGCCTGTAAGACCGGAGCAGCGCAGCTCTCTTGAATAGAAAAGCATCACTTCTCGTCTCTCGGGAACGCATCGACCATTCTCTCGGGGATTGCCTAGCAAGCAGATATGCGTCTGAACACAGTCCTTGGGCTGATGCCCGCCCTCCTCGGGGCCCATTCGCTTGCCTACGAAGTCCAGACTCCTCCGTTAGACACAGACTGGACCTACAAGGTCGGGACAAACCCCTGGCCGGAATACCCGAGACCTCTTCTCCAGCGCCCAACGTGGCAGAATCTGAACGGGGTGTGGAAATGGAGGGCTGCTGGTGCAGGCGAGGGTGCCATGCCACCGCTCAACGAAACCCTCACACAGGACGTCCTGGTCCCCTCCTGCTTGGAGAGTGGTCTCTCGGGCGTTCAGCTTCTTAATCAGACGTATTCGTGGTTCGCCAGAGACTTTACCGTGCCGCCCGATTGGTCCAAGCAAGATGGCCGGATCATACTCAACTTCGAGGCGGTCGATTATGAGGCCACCATTTTCATTAACGGTAGGCAAGCAGGGTTCAACAGAGGAGGATATTGGCATTTCAGCGTCGATGCCACCGACTACCTAAGTGTAAATGGCACCAATAAGCTGTACGTCCTTCCTTGTTGTTTGTCCAAATACAGGTCTCTCCGGCCCTAACATGAACGTTGCACGACAGCCATGTTTTCGTCTACGATCCCACGGATACGCCAGGCGTAAACATTCCAATTGGAAAACAGACGAGAACTCCCAGCCACATCTTCTATCGTTCATGCACCGGACTTTGGCAGACCGTCTGGATGGAGTGGGTGCCCAGCACTTACATCAGCGGTGTGGAGATTGCTGCCGGCATGGACGGTCAAGGTTAGTGTCCCAGTCCGCGAACTGCATACGTTTTGGGTTGCATGAACTGACCTGGACCGTCGGAAAGTCAACATGACCGTAAGCGTCAACAGTTCTGCTGGATACCCCGAGACTGTGTCTGTCTCGGTCATCAGCGCGGACGGCGACGTCGTGGCGTCGCACGATGCTCCCCCAAATGCACCTTTCGATTTTGTAGTCGACTCGCCCGAACTATGGTCTCCGGAAAAGCCCACGTTGTACAACATCACAATCAAGACCGGGTCGGACGAGGTAACGAGCTACACAGGGTTTCGGACAGTTTCCAGAGGCAAGGTCAACGGCATTGAGCGACCATTGATCAATGGGGAGTTTTCGTTCCACTTCGGGACCCTCGACCAGGGTTTCTGGCCGGATGGTTTGTATACTCCGCCAAGCGTGGAAGCTATGGTGTACGACCTGAAGGTCTTGAAGGGTCTCGGCATGAACATGTTGAGGAAACACGTGAGTCTACGCTTGGGGATGGCCGACACTGTTGCTGATGCTGTTTTTCTATGTTCAGATCAAGGTTGAACCTGCATTGTTCTACCGAGCCTGCGATGAACTCGGTCTGCTTCTTATCCAGGATATGCCGTCTCTCCAAGCCAGTGGAAATGTGAAGCCAAATGCCGCGCAGCAAGCTGAATTCGAACGACAGTTCGATATCCTTATCAACCAGCACAAGTCATACCCCAGCATCTACACATGGGTATGCTCTCAACCTCTCAGACCTAAACTTAAGCCCTGTTAGCTGACTATCGCAGGTGGTTTACAATGAAGGATGGGGCCAACTCCTCAACAATGGCACCTATCCAGAGGAAGGCCTTACGGCCAGGGCACGTGAATTGGACCCCACTAGACTAGTCGATGCGACGAGTGGATGGTTTGACCATGGCTACGGCGACTACTCTGTAAGGCCTCTTGTTACTTAGTTGCTCCAGTCACGAGCTAACCATGGCTTACAGGATAACCACCATTACGCCAACCCGCAATGTGGCTCGCCCTTCTACAGCATCCAATCAAGCCCATGGGATCCCAGCAGAATAGCCATCCAAGGCGAGTTTGGAGGTATTGGACACAACGTCTCCATTGAACAGTCAGTATTTCGATCTCCGTCCTGTTCTAACTTGCACGTTCACTACCGGGCAACAGTGGCTTACTATGGGTGATAAATAGTCTTTGGAAGGTTGAACAGGCAATCCTAGAGCTCAATCAGACCTACGAACTTGATGCCGACCTTGACGCCTATAACTACCGGGCTCACAGACTACTAGATGAGCTTCGTGAGCAAGTGGAGTTCTACGCATGCAGTGGGGCCATTTGGACTCAGACTACAGATGTGGAGGGCGAAGTTAACGGATGTAAGTATTCTCCATACCTCCATACCAATATTGCTGTCGCTGCTCTTGCCGAAAAAAAATCAAAATGCTGATACTTGCTGCAAAGTGTTGACATATGATCGCCGAATTCTTCGGCCAAACGAGGACCAATGGAAGGCTGATATCCAAGCCCTCTATGACACCGCCCAATCGAGGAACGAGGGGAACATGGTGGTTCAGAAGATGCTCAGGTAATACCGTGCTGAAATTCTTCGGCCAGACAATATTCGATGTGCGGACTTGATCCGTAATGAGCTGATCCTATCACGGGTACAACTCTAAGGAATTAGCATATTTTATAACCAGTAATGGCTTTACGGGTTGATAACCCGAAACAAGAACACAAATAAATATTATGATTATTTTCACTCCATCCACATAGCCAAGTCATCTTGTTCATGTCTACCGTCATTGGCACTACGCCGGCAGGCCATTCCAGATCTGATAACTAAGCGTCTCATTCGGCGTTATCCAACTCTCCAGGCACGGGAGCTCTCTCACGATCAGGTCAGCCACCATCCGGCCAAACACCACAGTTCCCCAAGGGTTCAAGTGGGTCCGGTCCGTGGGTCCCCAATTATAGGCCTGCGCAGCGTCCTCGCCAATGGTGTTGACGTACTTCAGACTGGCGGCGTTGAGATCGATGATGGGGGAGCCGGTGACGTTGGCGGCCTTGATAGCCGCGAGACGCTCGTTGTGCAGCGAGTCCGTGGCGTTGTGTTCCGACTCGAACACGCGCCGGGTGAGCGATGAAGTCAGCAGCTGTCAAGGTCCGGTCAGCTGTAGTTGAGAAATACATTCTACCGGCGTGGACTCACGGGTGTCCCGCCTAGGGACTTGACCTCCTCGGCGAACTTGATCAGGTTGGCTTGATACTGGTCAAACGGCACGTTGTTGGCCGGTTTCTGGTCGTTGTGTCCAAACTGCGAGCAATTAATCGACGGCCAATGCGAATAAAACAAAGGAAAGGCTCACGCTGATGGTAACGTAGCTGTCATAAGTCGCGGCGTACTCCCGCAAGTGCGCCGTGATGTTGGTCCAGTTGCCGCCATGCACATACGATACTGTCGTCGCGCCGCTCTGCCCGATGTTGACTCCCCACGCCTCGGGACCCCGGAGCGTCGCTAGGAGGCCGTCACCCCAGCCCCCGTCGTGTGCCGTTGTCGAGTCGCCCGCCAGGAAGAATGCCGGCGGTTTGCCCGCCGCCCCGGCGCAGTCTCGAGCTGGCCGTGCAGATGCCAGCTGCTGCAGCAGCGACGCTGCGTATGCGGCACAAAAGGTAGAGGCACGCATTTTCGTGTTGGTTCTTGGACTTTTATGACTCCATAAAACACCGTTCGCGGTATTCAAGGGCTGAGTTCTTGCTGGAATCGCGCCAAGTTATGCCTCCACGAAGTATAGTCCCCGCATTGGCAGCCTGGGGTTTTTATAGTATTTTGAGCAGTATGGCAGTAGAGTCGTATTATATGTGAGAAATGGCGTGCGTGGTATTCGATTAGCAAATTCCGGGATCCATAGGGACTCTCTCGGGGCTACGCTCCCGACTGTCCTGCTTTCGTATATCTCGCCGTATTGCACACCGAAAGCGTTGCATTCAGCCGAGGCGCCGCTTTATGAACATCCCCACAGTGTTCGTCTTGGCGGATGTATTCCCCCGATTCATCTCTGCGGAGCTTTCCCGAAAGAGAGACTATTGGCGGAAGAACATATCTGTTAGCTGCTTGTGGGGTATTCTCAGTTATACTCCAAGACTCTGACTAAGTGTCTTACACGATTGTCATGCAACGTCCATGTATATCTTGCTGTATTAGTTTTACTAGATGGATAATAATCAATTATACTCGAGCTAGTTTACTATATTTCCGAGCTGTTTTCCTCGTAGAGATAACAACAAAAGAAAACACTTGGTTTCAAGCTTCTATCTTCGTCGCGAGAATCGTCATCTGGCCGGTTCAATCCCATGACTCCATCAACGAATTGCATAGCCTGACCTCATACTCTGTCGTGATCCCGGATATACAAGTGCCTGCAACTCTCGCAACTCTAGAGCGAAGTCTGGCTCCCCATCAAGCATGGCAATAATGATCTCTATGGCGCTCCTCTCCTCGGTGGATCGACTTTCGCCAGAACCGCGACGTATCTCGATACTGATATGCGGATCTGCTCCGTGTAGCAGAAGCGCCTTTATTGCGGTAACCCATCTCTGCCTGTTGAGCATCAGAAGTGTGCTTGTGCGACTCTGCAATAAGTGTGAGACGGCCATGCTCTGCTGCGCAAAGTATAACTTTCCTGCTTTGACTGCGTTGACCCAAACCCTCCTATCCACACGCGGGCTTGCTCCATTAGCAAGCAACACCTCGAGGACCTTGGTGTCAGGCATGTCGTGATGGAAATCCGTATAGTCTCCACTAAGCGCCACGCAAGCCGAAACTCCATCAGCTTTGGGGCTGATGGCAAACTCCAGAAGCTCTTGTGCTTTCGCACGCCTAGACTCTTTGCTGAGTGCTTTGAGCTTTTCAGCCACATAGTTTGTGAGGCTCGCCTATTATAGCTTTAGCTAACGTCATCCCAGGACCGTTGGAATAGTCTCGGGTAAGCGTCCAAGGTGCAAGATACACGGGTACTTACCTGGACGGCAATTGCCAGGAAATCCTTTCGTTTCGGAGACTTTCCAGCATCCATAGGCTCAAAACCGGCCCAGTGTTTCTGGCACAGGGAAGGGCAGTCTATGTCTGTCCATTGGGGGTCCTCGAAGAGAGGCTTGTGCTTGAGTAGGGAAGTGACCCAGGCTTGCTGGTTTGCTTGGTCCAACTCATCCACGAGATCGAAGTAAGCGCGCCGATCAATTTTCTCATTGTCGATCCTAGCAGCATAGCGGATGGCATTGGCGATCAACAACCAGGTCTCTGTATTCACGCCTACAGTGGGCCACAGGCAAATCGGTTGCAGCGCATCAAAACACTTCAGGTGCCGTACACAACCACTCAACAGGCAGATATCCACCGTTGCATTGTCGAACAAGCCATGATTCACCTTGTCCCAAACGTCCACACGGCCAGCGAACTCCTTGGCCGTTTGGTGCACTAGAATGTATGAGTAATTATGGTTCTTAGGGTTCGAGAGATCAGGAACCTCGTTGGAATCAAAGGCAAAAGTACTTACTGAAGACAACTCTTTGACTTAAGTCAGATGATGCTGCTTCTGCTTCCAAAAGACCAGCACAGCATGCCCTGAGTCTATGTTTCATTTCGCGACATATATCTGCTAAGCATTCGGCCGTGCGCAACTCAGACCTATCATGCTCAACACGAAGCCTTCTCGTAGATGATTTGTCCTGCTCCGTGTGAGGGTCTGCCAGGTACCCTTCTTCAGCAAAAGCTAGGGTGATGAGGCAAGGAGGTTGAATCGCCCTCAGCACGAGGCGGAAGGTCCTGTAGGCTGCATTCTGGTAGCTTGGCTTAAGGCTCTCTATCATCCGCATGTAGAGACCCTCGGCGCCGCCAAGGCGACTGGGAAGAGAATCAAGTGTTTGCTTCAGCGTTCGGAGTGAGCCCTGAGAGATCACCATATCCGCAACCAGGCGAGCCCAGAGAATGTCTCCCTGCGATCTGGACGCGATGTCACGGCAAAGATCATACGTGATATTGGAAAGTCCCGGTGCTTCTTGCTCCAGACGAGCAGCACAAATTTGAGCGATGGATTTGTCTGAGTGCCGGTGGACTCGTAGACGGGGACAATCGCAGAAGGCTTCTTCGAATACTGGGAGCTCTCTGCTTGTGACGCAAATTTTAAAGCTGTCCTTCTTGCTTCCCATCTCCAAGATGAGTTCTGCGATGTCCTTGTGTGCATCTGTGATCCATTTACTGGAGCCTAGACCTGCGTCTCCGTCTTCCGTATCATATACAAGAGTCATGTCATCCTCTGTGTAACAATCCCTTCGGTCCATCAAGCGATACTCATCTAAACCGTCGAGAAATACACAGAGCTTCATGACTTCAGATTTCTTTGCAAATAGCGAGTAGAATCCCTGACTCAAGTTCATGACGGTATTGAATGGTTCGCTAGGCGGCCATGCGCTCCCAAAAAAGCTGGGAAATGCAATGTATATCAGGTCGGGTTTGATACTTAGTATCTGCCAGAGAATACTGCGTAAAATACCTTCTCGCGACTTCTGGATCTGACTTCCGGCCTCGAAAAGATAAACGGCCGCCATCAAGAGTTCGCCATCGCCTGCCCAAGCCTGAAGTCGCTTCCTGGTGTCGTCATTCTGGAACGCATACTTCATGACAGTGGATTTACCGGAGCCAGCCCGTCCACTCATCCAGAAGATGGTGTCATCTGAGTTGTTCAGCCATGAATGCCAGATTGGTGGAGATCTTTCGTCTTCCGTAGCTGTCAAGATCCACTCGCATGTTTGGCCAGAAGCCTCATCAATGCGCTCTTCTCTATCGTGGAGTGCATCGAAACAAAGCGTGTCCAAAATTTCTAGTGACTGATCAGTACTGTTCAGAATCAATTGACCAGGCAGGCTTACGCTGGTTCCTTTTTGCTCGCGCTTTTAACTCTGCTGGCATGTGAGCAATACGGATATGAAGATGGCTCGCGAGTCAGGCATGAAACTCACCATCCGGCGTAGGTGCCTGAACAAGCTTTACAATATGGTCCCTGACTTGAACATACCCTGTATCTTGTTTGCTATGATATCTTGCAAGTTCAAAATGATGACAATGCAGGTCTTCTATCAAGACTTTGGCCCCTTCGTAGCAGGCTGCAAGTTTTGGAACAATCTGCGAAAGTGATTAGCGATCATGAACTATGAACGGCAGGAAGAAGATTTACAAGACCCATTGACGTTGGTAACATCTCTCTGACACAAACGACAGGAATGTCCCTCGAAATCATGACGAAAGAATCGCGTTGGTTCTCAAACATCTCTGACCTGTCTCGAAGCAGCTGGAGTAGTTGCTTGCTTGGCGATTGCGGTGAGATTTGAGCGGTGGCTGCAATAACCTCCCCCAAACTCTGTCGGCCATTGCCGGCATGAGGAGTTCCTAGGAATAAAACCCCGATCGTTTTCGGATAAACACTCCCAAGATCGTTATGCGTGCCAAATATCCTTGACATCGCGGCTGTCACAAGAGCCTCCTTTATTATAAGACCTCCGAGCCCGTGGCCAATGAATATTATGGGACGAGACACCCCGATGCGCAGTTTTGCTACATCGCTCAACAACAGCTCCGCCAAATCCGAGAACGTGTTTGTATTTGCATTCGGCGGAGCGTATCCCCAAGTAATAACTCTGGATGGAGGCAAATCATCACAGAGTAGATCTCGCGGCCATAATACGCCTGATTTGGCCCAAGTCTGGATTCGATGGCCGAAAAGGCCGTGAACGAAGACGATATCTAATCCGACATCACTTTGATTGAGCCCGTCGACTAGTACCAGCGGCCCCGTTGCATCTCGCGCGAGACTCAAGGACTCACTGCTGTCATAGCTTTTCCGACTTTCGGATCGACTAGATTTCCCTGAAGCCCGGCTCGATTCTTGTGGGGACCCAGCAGTGGCGCGTGCGATCCTCGCCAGACTTTCTCTAATTCTCTTCATCTTTTCGTAGTACGACAACCGACCCGGACACGGTCGTTAATCACACTGGAGAAGACCAGCAACAAGAAGGATCGATAAAGACACAAGTTCGAAGACGCAGGTGAAGAATTTTCGCATTTCTCTACATACATAACACGATGCAGAGTCAGCTTGGCGCAGCAACTGACTACCAGAGGTCCGGATTTCGTTCATGACACAAATACGCGCTGATCCGAGGACGAGCCAAGAGTGGAGACATCAAGGATCGGACCCATACTTGTTTCCCTGAATGTAGCATCGAAGCAGCGGTCTCGCTCCTTCAGAGCCTGCCAGACTAGCAAGGGAGAAATTGCAGGCAAGTATTAAGTTTCCCCACGAAGCGCCACGATGGCGCCGTTTGTGCAGCTAGTCTTAATGCTGGCCACGAAAGTTGACAAAATACCATACGACAAGGATACCCGGGGACAGGGAACTCTTTGAACATTACGAACCACTCTTTGGGCCTCGGACCTGAAGTCAAAGAGCCCCGAGTGGGTATGAATGGAGTCCTTCCAGTTATATTGAGCCAATAGCGTTGGAAAGACTTTTGCCGAGACTTGGTTGTGGGCTCCGATAAGAATGGTCATAACGGCGGCCCTAATTTGGTTCCACGCGTGCCGGCCCGTTGGGAATTCGGGCATCATCCAATTGGTGGAAAAGACCTTGGCGACCGTTGAAAGTATAATTACTATCTGCTACGAGGGTCTTGTCACATCCACACCACGTGGAGTCGGTGGAGCGTGAAATCAGGTGGTACCAATAAAGCGAAGGCACCACTGTCCAGCTGCGTGATTGCAGCAAACCGTCGTCATTCTCTATTTGTTGGTCTATTCTGGAGTCACGTTGTACTTTTTAGAGGGCTTAACAACGCGTCGCTGTCATGTACGTATGGTATGGGATTTGTAACAAATACTTGGTACTGTATTACCTGACAAACGTCTCGTCAAACTGCACAGACCAATATCTGGGTTAGTATCTAATTTAACACTTTGCCAAACTCGCAAAGCAACAATAGCTGTTCTCATGTTCGCTGTGATACTTTCCCAAAGCGAAGTAGTACGAGTTCACTGATTTCGAAGACATACAATGTCGACGGTATGAGATGGTGTGTGAGAGCCCATGAGAGATTTTCTCAGACAACAATCAAGATCAGTAGTGAGTAATAGATTGTAGTACGGGCCGGGGTAAAGATTACATCCCGGGCCGACCATGGGGCCCTGTGGGTCTGACAGGCCAGGTTGATGCTAAATTACCTGACCTTCGTTGCCTCTTTGACCATACGGTGGATAAATTAGTGGCACTAGCTCCACTATAATTGACCCATGATATGGACTGGAAGAATTCCGGCTTGCCGGTAGCGTAATGGATATTCGAGGGCTTTGTCGTTCTTGCCAAGGATCCGCCACCAATTAAGATCATACATGCTTGATCTGCATCACTACAGTCAGATCATGTCATGTTGGAGAAGATCCACTTCAGGGGGTAACTAGTCTAGACTTGAGTATGCACCGCGGTAAACGTATTGCTGGGACATGATCACGCACCAGTGGATACTTTGTCATTTCTCAAGAAGGAAGTGGTTCGTAGACCCCCGGGCGGGGGTATTGTGGCTTCATGCGGGATTTAGTCGGGACAGGAACAAACGCAACAGTCCAGCACTTGCCAGGGAGTCCCAGAGTGCGTTCGCAGTCGGCTATTTCGCCTCTTGCTGTTCGGATGTGGTTTGAATAGCCAAGGTTGAGCAAAATGAATCCTTGGCAGGGTTCCTGGACTACCTTACCACAGTCCAATTGCATCGCCTCTGGTGCCTGGAAAGGAATGGGGACATTTCACACTGGCCTGCCCATTACCAAATCAGGAGTCATAGCCCACGTTGCCGTTGGATACATCCACGCGGGCTGGATGTGCCACTTACCCGCAAACCTGCATGACGTTCAATTCAAGGAGGTTAGTAGTCCGACTTGATATTCATTGAACGCCTCAAGCAGCATGTCATGGGTTGTAGATCCTGGTAAAGTTTCTTGGCACAAGCTGTTATCACGGTTTCCTCCGCGCTCCGACAAGTAACCGAACATGGCCAGTCTATTCTGCGTATAACATCAGCGGCTATCTTGCGGAAGCCGGACGCCGCCCTCAAGAAGTGGTGAACCTGCCAGTCAAACCCAATACGCTGGCCTATCATGATTCAGCGGCAGTTTTCCGGTGGGGTTCCATAAAATGCCCAGGTTGCGAATGGTTGACTAAGAATCAGCCCCTCTCTCGATCATTTTATGATATATACAGGGTATCGAAGGGTCTTTCGCCATTTAACTAGACTCGTTGGCCCCTTTCCAGCATTGAAATAGTGGCCGTCGTCTTTATATCACATTTTTGCTGTGGTTTCTGGGATACTGGAGACAACTTTCCGACACATCAAGATGGGTCGATCTATGGGAGCTCACGAATATGTTGCCACACTCAAGGGCCAGAAACTGCGGTTTCCTAACCTTGAAGAGCCGGTTAAGAACTGGCCAAAGGGGATGAGCCAGCACCTTGAAATTCTGAACAAGGTACAACATCTTGATCTTTTGAAGTACTTCATCCTTCCCAGACGATCTCATGAGAATATTTGAATTGCTAACGTATCATCAGACTTCTTGGACCTGGTAAGGCATACGACATTTGTGAATCAACCGACTGTCCATACTTTGTTTGCGCCTGGTGGCCCAATGCAGACTATGATGCTTTGCGTTTTGCGGCACAATTCATCACCTTTGTATGTTGCTCTGTGCCAAACGTCAACAGAATTCTGACTGAACTTGGTATGACTAGCTTTATCTCTGGGATGACGGTATGTGACCACCTTGACACCCTCATTATCGCACTGGCTCAGACATTTAGATACCGATAACCCGGAATTAACGAACCTGGTTTCTGACCTGGATGCTTCTACCGCATTCAGAGCGAAGAGTGTTGCCCATTTTGAACGGTTCTTGGCAGATAGACCTTTACAAGCCCAACCAGAAAAGGAGTCGCCTCCGGCTACGTTGAAGAGCTTCAATCCAGTTGGAGAAGGAGCTGCTTTCAGGATGACCAAAGGGCAACGATTGAAGTTCCTAGGGGAGTTGGTGAGATACATGGACGCTTGCGACACTGAGCAGCGCTCTGAATTGAGCGGCATTGCTCCTACGATCCAGGAGTACCTACCATGTCGAATGGGTACCAGTGCCGCCGGATCAGTGGTGGCAATTCTTGAGTATGCATATTGCGGGTCTACATTTCAAAACCAGCCAATACTGACAATACACAGGTATATGCTCAAAATCGATCTGGGTGACGCTCTTAGGAATGATCCAGACATCAAGGTTGTCTTCGATGAGACTGTGTGTCTGATCGCAGTAAGTCAACAGAATCCGGCATTCGCCAGACACAGACAGCTAGTCAAGTTTGCTTACATCTACGATTTAGATAATGAACGATATGTTCTCACTTAGAAGAGAACTTCGGTACCCTTTCTTCAATAACGCCGTTGCAGTTCTTTACCATGAGCATCAATGTCTCCAAACAGCGGTAAACGAGACGTACAAGATCGTTTTGAGCAGCGCTGCAAACCTAGAAGCAGCTGAAGCAAGGTTACTTGCACGATACCCACAGCGCAAAGGCGATCTGCACGCCTGGATTGAGGGGGCCAAGACTATGGTGACAGGCAATATGGCATGGAGCATGCATATAAGGCGGTACAGCCTTGACATTTCTACACTGGATGGCACGTCCGAAGTCACGATCTAGATGAGTTTTCAACGAGCGCTGTATTTTTCCTGGTAGAATCTCATTGTCAGCCATAATGGCGATTAGCTTACATATGTACCACTGTCATCGTTTGAGTGATGTGCCGCTTTGCTGGTTGCTCTAGGTGCTTTCGGCTTAGCTTATGTGATGTTAAGTTACTAATGGGGCTCCATTCTTTCCAGAAGTCACAAGTCATCTGGGCTTATAGAGGTGGCAATAACCTTTTGTGCTCTTACTACAACGAAGTAATCTAGGAGGTTTTGACGAGTCGCTATGAATAGTATACGATTTCCCAGCTTCTGATAAAGCATGCATTGGTCAATTAGTGTAGTAATTAACGGTGGCCTGGAAGTCCTTGCATAAGCAGGGCGTATCTTCGCACGCAAACTGATCTATGGTATATCTCAAGGGTGCAGACCGGGTTGGTCATGCCATCCACAACCGAATATATTAGACTTAAGTGTTGGCAGCAAAAAGATCGGATATGGATCTCAATACTCTGTCGTGCATCAAGATCCACTTGATTGTAGAGGTCAAATAGTGACTTAAAGTCCAGTGCACGTCGTTGTCTTCGTTGACTACTATATATTATTAGTGGCACAACTGATTAGCGTGTGACCACTTTCTAAGGTTGGCAAATGAGGACAAGTCTCGGACTAGCCAGGAATCCCACAAACTATATGCGCGCTCCAGTATTGCATTAGCAGAGCTTTCTGCAGTACTCCTGTACAGTGAATCGCGTGGGTTCCAATCAATCTGAACAAGTGATACTATTGCAGTTGGTGGTTTAGAGTGCATTCGGGAATCCGATTGGTGTTCTTACAGATTCAATTCAAGGACAGAGGGACCTTTTGCCCTGATAGCAAGTCAATACTACCATCTGCGACTTTCGTTAGATCTCCGATTAGAATACCATGCGACGTTGTGTTGGCCAGAGTTGTCGGCTCCACGGAGATCTCCGATGACGATGTCGTGCGACGTTGTGTTGGCCGGAGTTGTCAGCTCCACGGAGTCCGATGGTTACTCAGCTAAAAGACATCCGTAGAATTTCTCCGGCGGACGGATTGTCTTGATACATCATCATGCCACCAAAACGAACGACGGGAGATGTACCGGTGCAGCGGCTTAGCTACAGGATTAATTACTTGTATCCTTTGATCTGATTGTCGTGTAGTATTGCGACAGTGTTACCACCAATATTCGTTCAAACCCACCAAAGAAAACTACGACAAGCACAAATTACTAATGTGCTTACATATCAGAATTGCGCAATTGTGACAATGGATATATCAAATCGTAGTCGGCGCGTACAGCTTCCCAGGATATGCCGCCTCCTGTCGGAAGTATTCATATATAAATAGAGCAGTCACCTTGTCGTACCTCAGTTAGAAAACAAGTAACTTCAACCTATTACATTTGTGCTCCTCCTGCTGTCACTCCAAAATGTCTACAATACTCCAGAACGTTGCGGTTGTTGGCGTAAGCCCTCCCCTTGACCCAGACCAGAAGCCGGGGCTCCGTGAGAATCATGCTGATGTCTTCCTACCTTTAGGCCTCGGGAAATCTTGGCGCTCCAATTGTCAAGGAGCTGCTGGCCCAGGGGTTCAATGTGACGGTAATCACGCGCGAGGGGTCGTCCTCGGTCTTTCCCTCCAGCGTCACCGTCAAGAAACTTGATGTGAGATCCGTACCGGCCCTCACCACTGCGTTTCGCGGCCAGGACGCCGTGGTGAACGCCGCCGCCAAATCCGCAGTAGAAGATCAGTTGCCCCTGATTGACGCAGCGCTGGCTGCAGGAGTCCAGCGATTCCTGCCGGCTGAGTTCGGGATCAACCAAAAGACTCCCAGCACGCATGCTTTCGCAGTCATAGTGAAGGATAAGGCTAAGGTGGTGGACTATCTTGTTCGTAAGGCCAACGAAAATGCGAAGTTTTCCTGGACCGGGCTTTCTGTCGGGCTATTTTTGGATTGGGTAGGTCCTCCACTCGATCTCTATTACGTTACGCCACCTACCCTTTATGAACACAGGAGTCGACGCTAACAGTCGTTCTCTATTTCAGGCCTTAGTCAACGGGCTTGCAGGCTTCCACAAGGCAACACGTACTGCCGAGATCTTCGACTCCGGAAACGAGACCTTCCACGCTTCCTCACTGGGCTTCATCGGCCGCGCAGTGGCAGCGGTGCTGTCTCGTCCTTCGGCGACAGCCAACAAGTACCTCGTGGTTTCGGGAGTTTCTCCGACCCAGAACGAGATCCTCAGGGTCATCGAGACCGCAACGGGCCAGAAATGGGCAGTCAAGCATGTTGATAGCAAGGAAAAGAAAAAGCAAGGCATCGCAGCTCTAGAAAAGAGCGACTATAATGGTGCGTTTCTGCCGCTGCTCCATCATTACTTATTCAGCGATGGTGGGGGTAACGGGATCTCACTTGAAAATAGTGATAATGCCGTGCTGGGACTTGAGGCGGATGATCTGCCCGAGCTTATCAAATCTAGCTTGATGAATTAGGCTGTATGTAGCAACAGCCTACTCTTCAGATGGAAGGGGAATCGTAGATAAAAATGTAATATTTCTTCTATTGAACCATGTGCTTCATCTCTCTTATCCTATGTGCTTGATGGTTTTTCCTTATATACACCATTTCCCGGTGCGCCTGGGCGCCTTCTAATCTAAGTCTCGAACTCTGGATCGTGTTCCTCAGCGGCCTCTCTTACCTCCTCCGGGTCCTCCTTCAGGTTCTGAGGGCCATTCCAGCCAGTAGCAGCCTGGATGACTAGTACAATGACTACCAGAACCACAGCAGCCTGGAAAAGAACTTTCAATCCACTGACATAGCCCTGCACTGCCACCTGCTGGTCAACGTCGCCAAGGCCCCCATTATAAACTAGGGCCGGACTACCAATGAGCTTCTTGATGAGCTCCCGCCGTTCAGCAGAAAGGCGGCCGGTGTTGTCTACGGTCTTGAATCCCTTCTCAAGCCCGTGTCTTAGGGTGCGAGAAAAGATGCCGCCCCCAATTGCGCTGCCGAAGCTGCCAGCAAAGCCTCGGAACGTGCCCAGCAGGCTGGTGGAAACATAATGCGTGCTCGCAGGCGTAAGATGCAACATATGCGCCAACGTGTAGTTGAGCGCGGCACCAGTAAATAGGCCATTGACGAAGACAACGCCGACATAGACCCACGTGGGGACAGCAGGGCTTGATATGAAAGAAAGTACGAGGAGCGACAGGCCAAAGAGCACGATGGAGACCAGGCACGCGCTCCAGAAACTCCCCGTGCGTTTGACGTGCAGCCAGCCCACCAGTAATCCGCCAATGCCAAAGCCCAGATTCGTAGGTACCAGCATGCTACCACTTGCTCCGGGGGAGAATCCAAAGACGGCCAGTGCCGTGATAGGTGCATAAAACAAAACTGTCCAGCGGGCAGCCATAAAGCCGAGCTGAGAGAAACAGGAGAGTAGTGCGCCACGGCTTTGGAGAACAGCGATGGGAATAATTGGGTCTGACGCAACAAAATACTCGACGAGCACAAAGCAAATCAGCGTCCCCAGAGACACGAGGATGGGAGTAAGCTGAATGGACCCAGATAGGCCGTAAAGGAAGAGTACAAGGGTGCCGGTCTATAACTGGCATTAGCTTATTTCTATACCACACGAGAAGGGTGACTTACCAGCAAGAAAGCACCCAAGTAATCAATTTGCTTAACCTTCTCAAATGTGGAAGAGGCCTTACCGCCCTTCTCTGCGTTAAAGTTCTTGGGTAGGCTAAAGTAGACCCCGAGTCCTGCCAATGCCCCTAGGGGAGATTGAATCCAGAACAGAAACCTCTATCGTCCATTTGTCAGCCGAATTATGGATCACAGTCGCCAAGGAATACACCTACCCAACCGGTAACGGGGATTAGGGCACCAAAAACGACCGCGCCCAACGACACGCCCGTGGTGAAGCCCGAGTTGACGAGCCCAACGAACAGGCCTCGCTTGCGCTTCGACGTCAGCTCCAGCACAAGAATCATGGCGAGGACGAAGATGCCGGCGCCACCAATGCCGGTCATGACGCGGCCGAGGATGAAGACGGGCAGCGAGTAGGCCCGCGCCGTAACCAGGCCCCCGACGACGAAGAAGCACGACGTCACGAGGATGATGGTGCGCGGTGAGAAGATGGCGGCCAGGCGGCCGGCCAGCGGGCCGAACGACGCCATGGCGATCAGGTACGCGGCTGTGAACCAGATGGCTTCCTCGTAAGCATCCAGGTCGGCGGCGATGGTAGATTGTGCCATCGTCATGCCTGACATGTTGGATGCTGGAGCCACGCTGTTGTGTCAGCGAACAGGTCTAAATAGGGAGGGCGAGACAGCTGCACGGAAATGCTGGACGTACCCTGCAGGAAGATCAAGATGTAGACGCTTATCATGATGGCGATGGCCCGCCTGCGGCTGACCTTCAGGTTTGGCTCGTCCAAATCGGATACTCCATCCTGTCGCGGCGCGTCAGTCCGGGACGACGAGCTGCTCCGGCTCGTCTGCGATGTGTTCTCAGACCGGAGCAGCGGCGTCGCCTCCGAGGCTGTGAACCTGGAGGACGAGTCGTCGCCGCCGCCGCCACCATCGGAGTAGTCCGGCATTTTGAAGTCGAGATTTGCGGCCTCGATTGTGTTGAGATGCAGCTATCTACGACCCCGACTACCGTGCCGGAGAAGCCAAGGCTCGTGAAGCGGCGCGATAATGGAATACAGTGCGCAGCTTGCAAATTGTATCTGTTAGCCCCTAGGAAATGAATAAAAGTTCAAAAGCTGGCCAAAAGTAGAACCTCTCAACAGATTGGGCTTTCGGATCTTTGACGCAGAAAATTGACCCCAATGAATGCACGTCTCAAATCGTCATCCACTGATGGATGGCGATTGGTAAGCCGAAACGGGTAGGTCCTTGATAGCAGGGATCGGGCTTCCGAAGTGGCCGGCCGGTGGACCCGCGTCCTTAGGCCCGGTAACCGGCAGTAACTAAACCAATCCTGGTTTCCTGCGTCTGGCTAAACCCTGGGGGCCTGGATATTGCTACAGGCAAATGCAGAGAATGTTTGCTTGCTCCCATCGGAAATAATATACATGAATTATGTAAACCTTGGGCTAGCGACTTTCCGAACATGAAGACGATTGAGTTTGCATATCGAGTCAATTGATCCTATATACCAATGCATAGCTATATCCCGATCCAGTCCTCATCGAGGTTGAAGAACATAGTCATAGCACCGGGAAGTGCCAGGCCAGACTGATCTCAGCTCGTATCTAATCCTGAATCTGTAAAAGCCTGTTCTTCGTACACAAGATCTCCTACATGCGGCTTTGGCTCTATTGACCCTTTAGGAAAAGCCAAGAGATGCAAGGGAGAAACCGAACTGTCTTATTCTGTCGCTGGGTTGGGATATAGGCCAACCTTTGAGCAAGCTCAGACTTGATGCTCGTGATCCAGTTTCGATTGAAGTGGTGAGGTAGGTCCAACTCGATTACCTGAGGAGCGCGACAGGCCGACTCACGCGGTCGTGGAACGCGCTTGCTCTTGCAATGTAGCAAATGGCGTATTAAAAGACTTGAGGTAGCGCACCCCTCGTCATTTCGCCATCTCTGTCATCTAGGAGAGTTGCAGCTATGACACATTGTTGGTGTGGAAGGTTATAAGACTTGGAAAGCAATGCTTTTTCACCCAAACCCATCTCTTGCCTTGTCTTCCCGATGTTCGACGCTTGACGGATTCGATTCTTTTCGGGGCTTGAGTCCGCCAGTAAAAACAGTTGAGAGCTTCCTAATGAAGCCAGACTCGACTGTAGCACCCGAGGTGTTTCGCCTTCGCTGCTGTTGAGCAATGATGTCGTCCAACCCCATCTGTTCCTGATGGCCGGCTTGAAGCTTCGACTGCTCCTCCTTGTCAACGCGAGCGTCCACGAGAGCTCTCGCATCTTTCTTGAGATCGAGGAACAACGCGAACAGTGCCGTGAACACGAGGAGCGCCGGAACCACTGTAAATGCAACCTGATAGCTAGCTCCGTTGCTGTTGATTGCATAGATCACAAATGGCCAAAACGCAGGACCGGAGGCTCCCATAGTTATGTATGCGGCAGCCCTCTTTGTACGCTTTCCCTGACCCCTGAGTCCAAGTGTATAGATAAGCGGCCACATGGGTCCTTCCGAGAAAAAGAATAGTATGACTGGAATCGCAACGAGATTCGGATTCGATGGTCGTACGGCGGCAACAAGGATTCCAAATAGTATGCTGAGCCCCGTGCTGATGTTGAGAATGGTTCGAGGCTGGGGAACCTTCGGGTGCGTGGGAGACAGGTATGCTAAGTATGCAACAAGAAAACGTGAGATGGCAAATGCCGTGTGGGCAACGAGAAGGTAGTCTGAGATCGTAAGAGCAAGAGAAGCCGGGTGATGTACTTCCTGCGTCGTGGCGTTTGATGTAGCATTCGAGGTCGTATCTGATTGAACATTTGCTGTTGGTGTCAAGATGCTTCTAAAGAAAATGCTCATGCTTTCCTGGCCTGCAACATAGGTCCACTGGGCCAGAACGGCAAGGCTCAGGGTCCAGGTCCTCAGCTGCAATCCACCAATACTCCGTTTCTTCGGGTCGATCGGAAGATACTTCGTAGATCGTTCCATTTCAGCGTCGGTTACCTCAGGCAAAGGCATATAGTAGAAGAAGAGCGCCAAAGCGACACAAAACAATGTTATCGCCAGGTACGTCCACTGTACATCCAGCAAGAGTTGCGAGCTTGTGGCATCTTCCCCAATGCCTGTGAAAAACACTTTCTGGGCTAGCAGCTGGCTTATGACAGTAGCGACGGCTTGGAACGCTTGCGAGAGGCAGAGTCGCATCTCGGCGTAGTTCAAAGGGCCGCAGAGTGCAATGAAAGGGTTTGCTGCCGTTTCGAGCACGGCTAGGCCAAAGCCTACAACAAAATTGCAGATCATGAAGCCAGCAAACGAAGTCAAGACAGCACTTGGCCAGAACATGATGGTGCCGGTTCCGTAGATGCAGAGCCCTAGAATGAAGGTAGCCTTGAAACCACCGACAGTCGGTGTGCCGTCATGCTTCTTGGTCCGTCGATGCTCGTCACGTCGCAGAATCCATTCGCCGACGACCAAAGGTCCAAGGAAGTATCCCACCCCAAAATACATGCTGGTAAGCCCGATCGTTTGGGCAGAGGTCATGCTCGCGACGGAGGCTATGGCGTTGTTGAGGGTATTCAGCAAGCCGTAGGAAAACCCCCACAGCAGAAAGAGAACAGTGACCATGGTGCAATATCTCCAAGAGTCAGCTGCCGACGTGCGGATTATACTCTTGGGCTTTTTGATGTTAACAAAGCCAAAGAAGACTCCGTTCTCAGTAGCTGTGTTCGTTGTGCCTGCTGTCATAGCCGTCCTCGATCGTGCCAGGCCTGTCGCCGCCCCTTGACCGCCAATGCCCGTCATCTCAGGCGTTGTTAAGAACTCCATCGCGCTGTATGCAGGCTCTGTTTCACGTGGGTTTGCATTATGTGCTGCCTCGGGGGGAGAGATTCTCCCTTGCGCCGAACCAAGCATTCCAGCACGCCCTTCGTCAGAGCTCCAATGTCTCGAGGAGTCGGACGGTGGCTTTGCCGCAGTATCGAAGGCTCTGCGGCTGCCATCTGGGTCGATAAGCATGGCAGGCAGGATGCGAACAATGAGTGGCTTCAATGTCGGGATGCATGCACAAGCTATTCCGATGTTGACCTCGACAGCCGACCACATCAGAGATAACGACGCATTGAAAGCAAACTCGGCTTGGTCGCCGAAAGTCGCCTCTGGATTGTTGGATAGCCCGGAAGACACGTCTGTTATAGCCTGCTGCAGGTAGTAGATCCTGACAACATCCACAACCGTTACAAATATACCCAGGGTGAAGGTAAAAACGAGAATCATTTTCTGGCGGAACGGGAGTCTCATGCCGGTAAGGACGGGTAGCGGTAACGCCAGTATGGCGAGATCGGTCACAATGTTGACGGGCGCCGAACATATGAACTCGGTCAGAAGCGGTATGCACTGAGCTTGGTAGGGGTATTTGTCGAATGCGGCTTGAACGGGTCGGCATTGGAAAATATTGATCAAGGTTAACACGGTCCCGGCAACGTTGACAACTCCCAATACCAGCCATGAGGCTAGACGGAGGACCTGTTGTGTATTCCTAGCAAGCCGCAGGTAAAAGATCAAGATGGATGTTTTCGTAGCCATCAACGCAGGGTTCTGCCAGACAAATCAGCCAACGACAGCAGACGAGAAGATTTCCACTCACATATAAGACGGAGAAGACGTATTCGCAGCGTCGCAGAACATTCCAATCGGCTGAGGGGATATCCTTATCATGTCTTCCCAGGCCATTGCGGGTACCGTAATCAATCGTGAAGCTGACGGCAAAGGCGAGTGCCCAAGCCAGCATGATAAACCAGTCATCCCAGGTGATCTGTCGTACAATCGCAAGACGAGTGTACAGTCGCGCAGCCACGAACACGGAAGCCAGGACCAGAGTCGCGGTCGTCACGGCGAACACGCTGGGCCCGCGGTCACTGATCCCGCCCGTGCCGCTGTCGGTAGTCGACATGTTGGCGACGTTATCAAGATTCGGTCTTGCAACGCGTTTGTCGAGTGACGAACCAGCCTCTCACCACCACAACTCCATCACGGAAGCACTTTTTTCTTCGGCAGACCAAGGGATATGAGCAACGCACGTTTACTGCTGGCGATCCAGAGTTCGGGCTTGTACTTGAAGGGTCCCGAGGTGAGACATCTCGTGCCGCTGACTCGCCCTTGAGTACCCCGGTTTTGAGGGCAAGCTGGAGCAACCTGGGGTTGATTCAGCCTAGTCGGGAGCGATGTACGTAGGTGGTACGGGGCCGAGAGTCACGATGTGGGGATAAGTACTAAGTGGCCCGACCGTCGAATCGGCGGTCGACGTGGCACGTGGACGGAGGGCTCCTTCACTACCGCTGACTCGTCTTGAACCCTTTGGCCAGACTGGACTTGCCAGGAATGAAATTGCTACAGCGCGCAGGCGAGGGATGAATAAGAGCCTGGCGACGTGTGTGTGCGCGTGTGTCTCACGAGGGATTTCTTGTCAGCATATCGCCTGGGCGGTCAAGTCACCAATCCTCCCCCATCCATTGATCGTCAGAAATCTTTTCTTCGGCTACGTAGCTCAGCCTTGGCTGTAATGTTACCCCGCCTGCACCCGGTCGGGGAATGGATTTGTGTGTGTGTGCTACAGTAAGATGGCAGAGGGATAGGAACGAAGCGGAGGCCGCGGGAAGAACGGGGTGCGACTCCAGGTCCAACCGGGGGTGAGAGTTGGCCCTTGGGCAGGAATTACTTGATTCAATCAAGTCTCCCTCCCAAATGTGCCAGTCAGCCCACCCAACTGTGCCTCTGGTTGGAGTTGTTTGGGGACAAGAAAAAATGTTAGTCAAGAGCTAAGCCTGCTAAAGGGGGAATGGGAATGAGCCATGACATAACGGTCACGGTCCGACAGCTACTAAGTGACGTCGGATGGAGGGATCCCCCTGATATTTTGCATGGGTTTTACCCCGGATTTGACGCGACTGTTCGGGGGGGCTTGGTGGCTGTATGTGCAGGGGTGAAGGCTTGGCCTGTAACCTCACCAATTCACAGTTGACAAGGTGCCGTCGTGCTTCGACTTACCACGAGTTTGGCCACTAGCCTGATTGGTATCCACGGTGACTTGGGTGAGCAGTGCCTGCACATGAGTTGGAAAAGGGAATAAGGGGGAAATAGAACCCGAAGCCCCGATATGCCAGTTGTGAGATTGGCAATAGTCGCGCCATTGAATCGTCCGTAAGCGAAGGATCTAGACCCGCTGTGCTGACCCTCGCGGACCCTCCTCCGCAAAGACCTTGGGAGGGTCGAATCAAGGGTCCTGTACGATAGACGGTTGATTTGGTAAGCCAATGCAGGTGCAAATGTCTCTGCGGAATTACCAGAATCGTAGGTCACCGGCTTCGATGCTCCGGATGCAGCTGTGCTGACGTTGCAGACTGCATACCGTAGTTTATAATCGGCAAGGCTGACCTATCTCCAAGCCACGGGCGTGTATAGCGTCGAGTTGCCGGTCTACTGCACCTAACCCTATGCGTGCAACCTGTGTCGGGCCAGCACAGTTAGGCCGAACCGGGAGCATGCACCACAACTCGAGTCAATGCCAGGTGCACATAACTGAAGCCGTTCGTTGTGGATAGGAGCTTCAGAAGCACTTCGTATCGAAGGTATGCCGGCATGTTCGCGCTTCCATGTTACTCACAAATGAACAACCTCAGCCGAGACGCGGAGCACAATTGACAGTCATGGCCGGCCATATCACTATAGGGCCCAACTAAATCCAGTGTCGGTCGAAATGGGTAATTCCCAAGAAACCGGGCTAATCCCCATGGCGTGAGATACTTGCATGGCAATAAGCTTGTACGTCTGGCTCTTGAGCCTCGACTCAAGATGTTAGCATCCAGATCGACGTCGAGGTAGCACAAGGCCAGATCCAGCGTAGTGACCGTCTGTTGTCCAGGCCTCGAGCTAGGGGGACGCTATCTGAATGCACATACTATGAACTATGGTATTGCCTTGCTTGCCCACTACAGCACAGCTTCTGGGGAGGGAGACATGGGAGAGCTAGGCTTTCTAGACCCAGCAGCACGCCAGGACGCGAGCCACGATGTCGAGATGGACGTGTGCTCTCTAGCATGGCCAAAGACACACATTCACACAGCCTCACCGGCAAAAGGTAGTGCGATGGGCCACGCATAGCTTGGGAGCCGGCAGTCACAAAAAGAAGGTTCCGCGCAAGAGTCGAGGCCATGCGACGCGACGTCGTTGCGGCTGGTGTCAATCCGACTGTGTATCATGCTCCAGATTCTGAAATCGACGGGAGGCGAGAACATGTATGCTTGTGCGTGTTAACCATGGGCCGAAGCGGAGCAGCACAGTAGCACAGGAGCTGGTGCAGTCTGGAGCTCTCAGCTCAAGTGTCGGTTTCCACTGTACTGTACCACCACGGCCGAAGGCGCACTGACGGGGAGCGAGACGAAGTGCGCCTGGGTTGGAGGATCGATTGGTGAGGAACTTGCTGGGTGACTGATTGCTCGAGTCAATTGATGGAAGTGATTGGGAGCATCATGATTCACCACCCACGTGGCCGTCCAACGTCGCCACTGGTGCAATGGCATGGGCAAATCGTCTGCCTCTGGATTCCTGGCAGTCCAGGTGAATTTTGGATTATTTTAGGTGGCCTCTGGCTGGCCGGTGGTGCAGTGCCCAAGGTCCACGGGTTGTGGTGCTGTTGCTGTGGTGGGCCCGGAAAATCCCCCTCGGGGCGGTGTGCGCCAATCGGAGGCGTGGATTTTCGGATTAGCGACACAGGGCGGCGAAAAGAAGCTCGTCGTCAACGTCAACCAACCGAAAGCCCGTTCCGCGTGGGCTGGTAGCGATAGGAGCTGTTTGCCAACCGTCACCTCGACCCTCTCGTCAGAACCTCTCCACTCCCGATTCGAAGATTCCTCCAGGTCTTTGAGTCTCCTTCTTGATCCCCCCAGTCACGATGCTGGCATCAAGACGAGCCGCCTCGCTGGCTCTGAGAGGTGCGTCGCGATACACCCACCCTCGCCAACTTTGCCCCCCCTTAGGACCAGACCAGACAAGACAAGACCCGCGTGACTGACCAGAACCCGTGTGATGCAGCGAAGCCGGCGAGCCAATTCCTTCCCCTGCGATCCGTCGCCGCCATCTCGACGACAAACAAGAAGGATGCCACCTCGGTCGCCCCCCACCGGGCTACGGGCCTAGCCGGACCTCGCAAGGAAGTCCCGCTTCCCAGCCAAGAAGGCACCAAGGGCGTCGTCCAATACGCATTGTATGTTGTTATGTTGCCGTTGCTCTACAGGCGCCGTGCCAATTGGGCTGTTGGGATGAGTTGTGTCCGGACCGCAGACTGACAATGGGGTCCGCAGAACCACCCTCGATCAGGTCGCCAACTGGGCGCGCCAGTCCTCGTTATGGCCCATGACCTTCGGTCTGGCCTGCTGCGCCGTCGAGATGATGCACCTCTCCACACCCCGATACGATCAGGACAGACTCGGAATCATTTTCCGTGCCTCGCCCCGTCAGTCCGACGTCATGATTGTCGCCGGCACTCTGACCAACAAGATGGCCCCCGCTCTGCGCCAGGTCTACGATCAGATGCCCGAGCCCCGATGGGTCATCAGCATGGGCAGCTGCGCCAACGGAGGAGGCTACTATCACTACAGCTACAGCGTTGTCCGTGGTTGTGACAGGATCGTGCCCGTCGATATCTACGTCCCCGGATGCCCGCCCACGAGCGAGGCCCTCATGTACGGCATCTTCCAGCTGCAGCGAAAGATGAGGAACACCAAGATCACCAGAATGTGGTACCGAAAGTAGATGGGTCGTTTCTTGGTCAAAGTTATGGGGGGTGGAATCATTACGCATACTCTCTTTTGTCTCAAATCGGGGGGTGGCACTGTACATAGGTTACGGCTAGATATACACCCAAGGGTTGTAGAAGTATTCGAGGAGTTTGACTGCTACCTCCCACTTCCCCCACTGAGAGCGGTGAAATTAATTCGTTAAGAAGAGCAACCTTCAGGGGTGCGCGATGGCTGCCGTGATACAATCTTAAGACTACAGCCTGCTCGGAGTGGTCTGGTTGTTCGCTATGCGGCTCGCCACACAACTAATTGACAAATGCGAATAGGCCATTGAAAATCACAATACCACCCTCGTGCCGCTATTTGCTTACCTCGCTAGAACCCTCACTTATCCTGGAATGCGTAGTTTGGTGTCACGCGTCACTTTACAATCAGAGTCACAGGGATAGGGCAGACAGCCAGCACCGTCGATAAATGATGACTGACCTCGACTCCCGACTGTATATCACAAACACCCCGAATGTCTACATACCGACCCAACTGCCCTCATACTCGCCCTCACGGTCCACTCCTAGCTATACGCACCCCACAAACACCCTGTTTGCTAACCCAAACCCACCCAAGCCGTTGTATCACCATTAGCCAAACAATCCTTCCCAATACCTAGGAACGCAAAACTTCGCGAGAAAAGGCTGACGAAAAAAGAAAAGTAAATAAGAGCAGCCTATAGCATGAGTTCCGTCCACTTGTTCTGCGGCTGCTGGTGCGGCTGTCACAACGCCGTCCTCGACCCGCGGTTCTGCGACCCCTGCGTCTCCAGACACCACCGCAAGCAGCCGGTTCCGGCGTACCAGCTGCAGGCCCTCCGCCGCGCCGCCTATCGTAGAAGGGCCCTTGAGCAGTTGGTGGCCCTGTCATAGAGTTGTAGCGTATAGCAGAACTCTCTGGGCATGGGCATGGGCTAGTCTTACATGAATATTGTGAAAGAAGAAGTCGGTTTGGTGCCATCATGAGGCACCTGGCTTTCCTTTCTTCTCTACCAATCCCATATCCGAGACACTATCCGCAGCATTCTTATACATGTGTACTCGAGATCACGCTGGCCTGAGAATGGTATCGGCCTTTGCCACAGGCTGACCGACCAAATCTCAACGGCTGGCTCGTTTCAAGATCTCAAACAGACAGGAAAGTACGCCAAAAAGGGG